GGAGGTCGAAGCTTTAAAACAGGACTTCCTCTACGAGTTTAAACGCTTCAAGGATACCTTTTAGAAAGATAAGATCTCCTCAGCCTCCTTAAGCAAAGATATATTTGAAATAGTCGGTTAGTACAAAAGCCACAGGATCCTTTTAGACCCCGCTACTCCGAGATGTAGACAACTAAGACACGCTTATCTCATAACCAAAAGAGAAGCGCGACTTATTTCCCCGCGTCCTCCTTAGAAACGCTGCAATCTCCGAGGACATACTAATAGAAAGCCCAGTCTTATAAAGGCAAGCTACGCTTCCTTTCCCGCAGGTTACGAAGGACGAGGTACGGTCTTCGGTTCTTACCGCGGGAAACACGACTCCTGGGACCGACGGAATTACTACGACTGCTTTGAAAATAGCATGGCTAGTTATCGAGGATATTGTCCTCTCACTTTATAGTGGGTGTATACGCGAGTGTTGGTATCCTACTTGTTTTAAAGAAGCAACTCTCGTGATCCTAGCAAAACCGGGAAAAGAGACAAGACACTCCCACGCTCCTATAGGCCAATTGCGCTCTTGGCCGTCCTCGGAAAAGGCTTGGAGAGACTTATCGCCAGACGACTTGCCTGGATCGTAGTTAAACATCGTGTTCTGCACGATCAACAGTTTAGAGCACTCCCTCTTCGCTCTTGCAGCGACCTTATCGTAGCGGCTATCCACGACATCGAGTGCGCCTGGTAAAGAGGCCTGGTTACCTCTATGCTTACGCTCGATATAAAAGGGGCTTTCGACGCCGTGCTCCCAGGACGACTGGTCCGACGCCTCTGCGAACAAGGATGGCCGGAGAACCTCGTACGCTGGGTCTTAAGCTTTATTACCGGAAGGAGAGCAAGAATAAGACTTGATAGGGAGGTAGGAGACGTCTTCGGTCTCGAATGCGGACTACCACAAGGCTTACCCGTGTCTCCTATTCTGTTCATGCTCTATATCGAACCTCTTTTTAAGCTAGGTATAGCTCGCTTAGGAAGGAAGCGATCTCGTTTCGGCTACGCCGATGACGTTATTATCTTAGTAAGCTTAATATTACTAGAGAATAGCTGTGACATCCTAACTAAGGAATGGAAAGAAACCTTAGGATGGGGCGCGACGGAAGGAATCACTTTTGACCTCGATAAGTCCGAACTAATCCACTTTGCTAAGAAACGAAAAGACGGAAACCTATTAATTATAGTAGGTTTACCGGATGGGAGGTATTATACAGTTTAGGCTATCAAAGAAGGCTCTTCTCTACGCTGGCTCGGCGTTTACTTTAACCGTAAACTCATATTTAAAAGTCACGTAAGAAACCTCTTTGCAAAAGCATACTAAGTAGTTAATGGACTACGGGGACTAGGGAACACTATCTGGGGCGCGCCTACGTACTTACTTCGTCGAGCGATCACCTCTTATATATTACTTACTCAGTACTATACATCTGAAGTATGGTAGCCCGGCAAGAGCCGGATAAAGAATGGACGTACTATCTTAAACGGGGTTAGTAGTCTGCTATACCAACTGGACGCGACGCAAACCAAAGCCATTAGAGCGATGGTCCCCGTATATAGAACTATGCCTATACCGATCCTATAGCGCGAGGCGGCTCTACCCCCAGCAGAGGTGATACTGGATGCGAAGCTCTATACAGCGTCCACCAGAATCCATCGCCTGGACGAGCGACACCCTCTCCGAACGAGACTCAGGGACAAATCAGGACCAGACTCACGGCTACGACGAATGGCAACCCTCGTAAACAAAAATACCGAATACATCGATCCGTTAGAACTCCCCCCTTGGAAGCAACTAGCGGACTGGCAAACAGCCCTCGCCAAGGTCGGCTACGAACCTAATAAGACCAAAGAAGAACAGGCCCTCTCCTTTATAGGCAGGATAGTAACTTTCTCTAAGCAGGATATTATTATTTATATTAACGGGTCCTAGATATCGGACGGTAGTAGTACCTCCGCCGGAGCAGGCTAGGTAGGGTACCAAGCTATACGGCAGATCTTTTGCAGATCCGAACTACTCGGCTCCTAAACTAAGGTATATAATGCGGAGGTATAGGCTATGTATTACGGCCTAATAGAAGCCACCCGGGCTCTTACAGCTCGTATGGTAGATAATATCTATATCTGCCTCGATAACCTCATAGTCGCGGCTAAACTATATTCCTAGAGCACAGGAAGTAGTGTTACGCCCGCCGCAACTTGTCACTGTGGGCGCGTAGCTATATAATGCAGAACAAGGGACAATGATGCCGGAGTCATCATTATCGAAGCTTTTGCTTTGTGCCACAGTTGGTTGCCTTGTCCAGCTCGTAACAAGTAGCCAGGCTAGATTTAGGGCCTTTAATAGGCTCTCTTCCTCCTGGACTCGGAGATAAAAAGAGAGCTAGATAACCCCCGGCAGGGTTTATGTTTCGTGGTGCCCTGGGTATACGGGAGTATTAGGAAATAAAGAAGCGGATGCTCTAGCCAAAGAAGCCTGCAAACTAATCCCAAAATCACAACCACAGCCCTCATTAGCGCACCTAGAAAGGCAAGCTAAAGCAGCTACCTTCCAAGCCTTTGCCAAAAAATGGCTATCCTAATGCCCTCGGTAATATACCGACCTCAAGATAATTCTTCACCCCAAGCCGCCCGAACTCCGCCTCCCTCGGCACTTACTAGAAAGGCTATACGCAGCAAGATCCTATTATAGAGACTTTATAATATACTACGAGAGATTCGCTTATTAAGATGCGTTGCTTAACTATAGCTATGGGAAACCTAAGACACTAGTCCATTTCTACTTCTATAAGCATGGACGTAAGGCTATACCGTGCTACCTCCGCCAACGTATAGCTAAAGCAAATATTAATTTCTTATTAGGTTCTACTAAGGAAGTCTTTCTTCTATACGAATAGATAGAGGAGACCAATTTCTTTTCCGAAATTTGCCCGAGTCATTAAACAAGAACGTTAGGTAAAGACGGTAACCTATAATATAGTTTAGATTTGTATAGACCATATCGGCATAGCGCCCGGCACGTCCTTTTGTTACCAGACGTTAAATACATCATCATCATCATCATTTCAGAGCGAGCCTCGTACCTATTCTCTACTTTCAATGGATAACCGTTCTCTATCACAAATGTCGATGCCCACATTGTGACCATACGACAACTGTCGTGGAAGCTCTGCCCGGTGTGCCGATTTCAATCAACCTGGTCGAGACTGGGTTGGAAGACATCTTAGCACTCCAGCGGTCAACTCTGGTTTTTATACAAATGACACGATTGGGTGCCTGTTCTAAACAAATTTCAATTTGCTTGTCTGTTTAATGACCCTCATCAATTTTCTTAACGTTCAATAATGGTCCTGAGGGATGTACTGTACCTCACTTTCCTCGCCCCATCAGACGCACATTTCCTTCTGGGCCGTCGGCGATCAAACAATATTAAAGATGAGTTATCGCGAAATTTATCAGGTATTATCATGCTCTAGCACGTAGCCACTTGTTTCTGTCTCCGGCGTCAGTCCGAACGCACCGGCCGAACTCCTCATGGGCAGTCTTCAGTTGCCGGCGTACATGCCCGTGTCGCCCGTCGGGATTGGGTACAAATCCGGCAAGCAAAAGGTATGGCCCGTCTCGTGATTCGCCGCCCTATAACGCCACCAATCGAACGTGTCAATGCCCATTGTGACGGCTTTTCTCGCAACGTAGTTGACATTCTTGGTATACGCGCCACCAGTGAGCGCTACAGACAGCTCAATACCCGTGGCGTTGCTGGTCGGGATGACGTAGAAGATATCGGTCAGAGGGCCCTCGGTGCTGTTAACCTTGGGAATCGGCGTGTTGGTGACAGCAAGCCACTGCTCCAGCGCGTCTTGAACGTAGGCATAGTGAGCTTGCTGCGATAAAGGTCTGACGGAATTGTAGTCGGCGGCCCTCTTTGGCATGCGGTAGAAGCGGCTCGTGTCTGCGGTGATGTTGAGCGATAGCTGGCCTTAGGAGGACGTATTAAACCATTGCTGGGCTTGGGGTATCAGGATATCGTAGACGTCTTGCGGAGAAGACTCTGAGGCAGTCTGGTCCGGGAAGTCGATGAAGATGTGGATCGCATTGACGGTGCCCTTGCTAGGAGCGCAGTCGTACTTGTAGCCGAATCCAGAGCTGAAGAACACGCCGTTCGTCGCTGGCAGTTTGCAGGCTGACACATCGGCTCTCCGATTGATGTATGAGCTTGAGGCAACTACTGTAGTAGTGAGCAGAGTTGCCCACTGCAACAGCAAGTTGTTTGAAGCTCTCATCTTGTGGATTTCCGAACGCTTAAACGGCAGAGGCAGCAAGTCGGACGACATACAACGAAGCTAGATGCAGGTCTCATTTTTGTGATATGGGAATGTGCCAGTTCTAGTCCTTGAGATCTACATCCGTCGCGGAGCAGCCGGCGTGAGCCAAGAACCTTTTGAGGTTTATAGTGTTTCTTAATATCGGTGTATAAGCCCCCCATTGAATACGAGATGATCTCGCGTTCGCCCCAGTTTGAGCCGCTCTGCTCCACTTGATATTAAGCTTGTTCAGCAATCGGATGGAATCAACAATAAATGCTAATTATGCTAGTTAGTAAGTGACCGAACCACTCCAAATTTAGCGACCCCCAGCACTCAAGTGCCGTAGATCATCCATATCGCAAGAGCTCATAAGAGCAGAACTCAGATTTCCACAATGACGTCAGTCTAAACCTGATGAGGATGCCAATAAGAAGAAGAAAGGGGACTTGAGCGATATTCATGTTTTCAATGTTCGTTCAATGCTACAAACAATGTTTGACTTTGGTGAGCTAACCTAAAGTACTAACAAATCACCCCTCCCCTTCGTTGAACAATTTCAAGGATATTGCAACACCGAACCCATAAATGTCTCGCAATTTCAGTCCGCCGATGGTTTGCGTCCATGAATCGACCACCTAGACAGAAAGAAAGGGTCAGAGAACGTACGTAGGCTAAGATAGAATGATGGGGGGTATCTGAAAGTTTCATACACATTGAAGTAAGCGTGGATGTTTCTGTCCGCGAGTTCCTTACGAGCCTCCATCGCAAGAACATGGACTTCTGGCTGGCTCATATCCAGAGCTCGTGTCAACGGCGCCATAAGAAGCCCGTCCAAGTTGGGCGATAGGTTCTCGAAGTTCCACTCGCCTAGGTCCTTATGTTTCTTGTCCTTGGGCCATGGGTTCGTAGGCCACTTGAACCGCTGCACCTGTATATCTTCGAATCCAACATCGGCGAGCATAGTCTCGAAGCGGCTGTACTCTTCGAAAGGTGAACCCATCTTTTCGAGAGCCTCAAAGCAGAGATTGAAGGCCCTCATGAGATGACTATCTTTGGGAATAGTGTCATCGTCTGAAATGGGGAAGAAATCGATGTCGTTCAGCTCGAGATATCCACCAGGAGTGAGATTACTACATGATTACCGAGTGATTAGCAACTAGACACCCACAGCACAGGCATACGTGAGGAGACCAACTCAAAACTGCTTTGGAGAAACTTTTTCCAGTCGCGAATACTGCCCTTCATCATTCTGCTGTGGATGTAGTCGAAAGGATCACTGAAAGTCCATGGTTCCTCGATATCATCGATCTCGAATTTAACATTGGGAGGCACACTAGTACGTTAGTCTTGTCAGCGCGTCTGTCAGAAAAGGAAATCGTGTTGGGAGCCATAAGTCATACAAGTTTGGCTGGATAGCCGACAAGTCGACACCGGTAACCTGAAGAGTATTCATCAACATTGCGTATCCTCTACGGTGTCAAAAAGGTAGCAAGCGTTACGAACCTCCGCCTCCTCATGCTCCTCTCCGAATTCAATTGCCCAAAGGCCTGTGCCCGTGCCGACGTCGAGCACGCGACCGACCTTCGATTCCTCTCGAGTCGGCGGCGCAGTTCCCAGATAGTAATCAAAAGTCAAGAGGTAAAGGTTGTGCACAAGGTCTAAGCCCGCGTGTTAACCAAAGAAGCATGGTGACCAAAAGGGGGAATGAGAACGCACCGAGTCTGTCTTGCTCTCTCTCATCATTGGGAGCCCAGTACTCTGCCAAAGTCAGTTACTGTACAATCTGAACATAAGTACAGATTCGAATTTCTCATACTGCCTTCCTTGTACTTGTGATACGTTCTCCCGTTCTCAAGTCTAGACTCGAGAATTGACGCCGCGACTGTCGAGGTGGACGGCGCAATGCTACCCTGAAGTGCCCTAGTCAGCCTGCTCCTGCGGGCACGTCCTGGCGCATCTCCCTACGACTTACACCATTCAATGAGGAATTGTCGTCGATGTCGGTGACCTATAGTGCACATCAGGGGTTCAGTAGACCATCATTTCTCGATAGATTCTGAAGATATCTCACCTCGTCGGCCGCGATGGCGGCAGCGGGTGGGGGTATGGGGCTATTGTTCTCGTTGCTCATTTTGTCCTCTTTCACCAAGCGCGAATGATAGGAACTGTTCTGTGTCGATGGAAGAATCTGACTTAAACAGACTGGATGTAACGTTCGTTCACTAGGTTCATCTGCTACGATCTTTGTCTGTGCAATGGCGAGTAAGGGGAAGTCTTCACACCGCGAAGTCGACCAGAAATATCTTGGGGAGGGGTCCCACGTCGATTTACCCCTCTTCTTCGCTGGGGACAACTATGCAGATATGCATGTTGGTTTGTCCAGTCGGATCCAACCAGCTATCTGCGACATAGCCCTGGTACTCGGGGAGCAGTTTCCAGAAGCGGCAGCTAGCCTGCGGCCCAGGGAACAACAATAGTTCATCGTCTATGGCGGTGTGAACGAACCACACCACATGCGGCAGTCTTCCGAAGTTCCGGTCGCTTTCTTTGCGTCCTAGCATTATCCGATGCCCAAGGTGAACCACAGAATGGTTGCTTTGAGTTTTCCGATCCGTGAAAAACAGCGTGCACCGATGTGGCTGGCAACACGCGATGATCACCCCAGCAGTTTATGTGTCCACTTTAACTTGGGTATGTTTTACCCCGATTCCATCCGAGATCAAGACCTGAACTATTTGATAGAAACTCCGTATGCGTCCCTATACGCGCATTAAAGCTACTGCAACAGGGTGCCGAAGGAAACAACCAGGCAGCCAGCTAGTCTCTAGCATCCCGTAGATCGTGCTTCTTCTAGAACTCCTCGTATTCGTCCCTGGACTGAGACAAAAAGGCTAAGGGCACAGTGATTGGAGCGAACGAGATTACCTTGTCTGCGAATTCTTGAAGGCGTGCCTTGGTGTTTTGCCTATTGTTTACAATACTGTAAACCAAGATTCTGTGACAGGAGCTGGTCACTTGCAAGCCCCTATTCCATGCGGTGCGTACATCAGGCGGCTGAGTTTGGAGAGCATTGTCCCAGCACCGACAGACGATCTCAATCTTGCTACCTCCATCGCAACGAAAACCGATCTTCCAGATTCTCCAAGTCCAAATGCGCTCCTTTGAGAGTTTCTCGACTGGTACGGTACACCAGTTGAACTCGCCTTCGGCCGAGAACTCAACCCGGTCTGGCCAGCGACCGCCGCCCAAGCCCATTACAGCGATTCTGACCGTTAAGTATGACGACTTGCTTAGTCTAAGGCGACATGGTGGTGGACCTGAGTGGCATCTCTTGGATCTGTATGCCATCATTCTTGTCATTTTCAGGTTTTGCCTGTCAATTTGTTGAGGGAAGTAGAGGTACTCCTGGCTCTGAACCGGCGCATGTGTAGGGTTGATGATGTCTTAGAGCCATCCCTATTGATCTTCTCTAATGTTGATTTATGTCTGCGCTCTGTGTCACCTTTCATCATACATGTATTCTTCCTTGTGATTTCCTTCGTGACTCTCCTCGTTGCTGTCCTCACGAGCAACATCTACGTACACTGGCTTCCGCCCATGAATTGACCATCTAGAAATTATATGTTAGCTAATATGAAGCTATTTGCAAAGAATAGCTGACAGGCAGCGGAGGGGAATGGATAACTCACATGGAAAAGTACGCGTGGATATTTCGGCCACAGAAATCCCTGCGGTTCTCGGCCATCAACACCAAAACCTCATTCTTGGTCCAACGCAGAGCCCTCGTCAGCGGCGCCATACAAATTGCCTCCCATCCTTGTGTGAGATTTTCATTATTCCAAACTCCGAGCTCTTTATGCCATGCTTCCCTCGGCCAAGAGTTGGTAGGCCATTTGAAGTGTTGCATCGTCACAGCAGTAAACCCCATTTCCGTAACGACCGCCTTCAATGTCTTGACATCTTGATACGGGCGCCCCAATAGCTCCGAGGCTTCTTTCAGCATCCCTACTGTTCGGCAGATGGAGTGCTCTGCTTTCAAGGTACCATCATCAGACAGTGGAGCAATGTCGATTTCATTCAACTCCAGATATCCATCCGGATTCAAGTTACTGTGCAACCATGAGGATTAGTCAAGAAACTTGAAGATCCATGCTGGCGAGTGTTCGTCGTCTCAGGTACTGTGGGCAGTACACACTGCACATCTGGACCAACGAGGCAAGCAATGAGGCAATACGACTGGTATTGACGGTTGGTTGGTGATGTTGTGGTGAAGGTGGCTGCGGTGGGCTGGATCAACCAGGAGGTGGATCAGGCAGCTGGTGCCTGGGGCACCAGCCACTGCCTCAGGTATCCACAGTCCCACAGGTACTCACTCATAACAGTTCTGTATGTACTCGCGCCAGTCTCTAATTGAGGAATTCATCATCCGGCTGTGTATGTAGTCGAAAGGTCGAGAGTAGGTCCACGGCTCTTCGAGGTCGTCAATTAGGAATTTGACATTCCGTGGCGTACTGAACAATCAGCATTCTCCTATGCTCTCTCGTCGAGTCTTCCAATCAATCAAATCGCTTACAAAGTTGGCTGTGCAGCTGAGAGATCGATACCCCGAACCTTCGACACATGAGTCAATGTCCTTGTTCACCTTGCAGACTCATAGAATGACTGACCTCAGATTTCGGGTGTTCTTCGCCGTAGTCGATAGCCCATATCCCACTCCCTGTACCTACATCGAGAACTCGGCCAACTTTACTTCCCGGATCGTTTGGTGGCGCTGTGCCGAGTCTATCATCAAATGTGAGGCGAAACAAAGTGTGCTGCAAATCTGGTTTTCTCATTAGATTGATCAATATGCATCCTGTTTGGGCACCAACCCAGTCGTTCTGTCTCTCTTTCGTCGTTGGGCAAGTTGTATTCTACCCTGAAACGTCAGTAAGTCTTGAGGGAAGGGAGTTGAAAGTATTTAAAGCGACGATTTGAAGGGTTCAAAGACTTACTGCCATCTTTGTACTTATGATAGGTTCTTCCATTCTCGATACGAAATCCAAAGATTGAGCTAGTCGCGCTCATACTTGACGATGCTACGCTCCCCTAATTGAACGTCAGTGTCGAGTTCTCTACGGCTAGGCAACTCCTAGCTCTCGATTTATACATCTAATTAAGTATCCAGGTCTTACCGATTCTTCCACTTCCGCCCCATTCTGGTGAGCCATTAGCGTTTTCTCTTGTCCAGCCAACAGCGACTCCATATGCGTACCTGATGCTCAGCCTCAATGATAACCTCACGATCGGGCACATCGTTGGGCGGCGTGGGTTGGACTGCTGCGTCTACGTCGATGGCAGAGTCGACACCCATCGTGCGACAGGAAGCTGGACGAGAATACATGTTGTCCCTGTTTTGAGGATAAAGAGCTTGGTCGTAGGTTTTCTTGCGGTGGCTCTGGATGACTTTTCGGGGTGATGAACACGGTTGGATGACCGGATGCCGTTGAGGTTCTAGTGCACGTGAGTGTAACTATCAAAACCGTGGGCCATTGAATCCCCTGCCATGCGGCCGTGTCTTCACAAACGGGCCTCGTTTCTGCATGAGGATAATCCTCCTTCAGGAAGGACGAATAGGACTCGACAAACAACAGGGGAGTATTGCTCCATGCAGCAACAGGTGCTAGTAACCAATTGTTGTTGGAGAATTATGGACCCGAGCGAAGCGACCTCGCGTCCAACTCGCATCCAACACGATGAACCGAACCAACAACGAAGTAATCTTGATCGCTTCGAGGAACAAGATGCTGCCGGTTTCCTGCCACTGTTCCCATGGCTAAGATAAGGTGAGGAAAGTATATCGAGCAGCAGACAGAGAAATCAAATGAGCCTCCATACTCTGGAAAAGAGGCTTTCTTTCAAGTTTTGGATTCTCAAATGCCCCAAAGGATTCAACAAGTAACCGACCATCCAATTCTTACAATCGTCTTCTCTTACTGAACGATGCTTCGTCTCTGGATACAGGGTGCTACAAAATGATACACATAGTGCAGTCGATACGTATAGTACTTAAAGTATGTATACTGGGACTTGCGTCCGACTGACGCATGGTCTCTTGTTTTCAAAGAAAGAAAACTCTAGATCATAGAACAGTCCACAGTAAGAGTCAAAACTTTACACCGCTCCATGCATTTTTCGATGACCCTATTCCTGTTACTCGTCCTAAACAGCAGTGACAACCTCGCCTACATCATCAATATGAACAACGATAGATCACAGCGACCAGATCCCCCTTCTTGTTCATTTTGAAATATTTCGGCCATATCCCTCCCGCAAGCGCTAATTGCACAAAAGACAAGGTGCCATCTGCCATCGGCTTGAAGACGGCGAGAGAGTCGGAAGGCTCTTTAGTCTCATTGTTTGAGTTGAGGCTGGGTATCTCAAAAGATGAATCATTGCGATTGGAGGCAATGATAAATCTGTTGTCCGGCTGTTGAATCCATGGATTAGCCGAGTAAATCATACTGCGCAGGAGACAATTCAATTACAGAAACTTCGATCTCCGCTGCAATTCCGTAAGGAGCTGCTTGGGCGGAGCCGTATGAGTTGACGATGCCGATCTGCTCAAACGCGATTCTTTCCGATGAAGGATACGTGATGCGAAATGATGTGATGGTGCTGTCGAGTTCTGCTAGAACATGGAGGAACAGAAGGGCTCCTCGGGTGAAATTCGCGGTCGGTGCCCAAAACACACCATAATGTGGACCTGACCCCGAAGGACACGATATGTGATCTATCTCGGTTAAGAGACTGGTGTCTTTGTCAAAAGAGTAAATTCGAAGAAGGTCGGAACCAAGGTCCAGCACAACAATGAACTCCCCGGTTGGGTCCAAAATTGCATCATGAGGGTGTGGGACACTCTGTGCGGGCTTAGGGCCTGTAGGAGACGTGTAGATAAACGTCTGGAGCAAGCGGATTGACCATTGGAGGGTGCGTTCCATGTAGTAACGCAAATTCCAGCCCTGGAGATACAGGTTAGCACCAGTGTCAAAGAAACGATAGCTCAATGACCTATAGGTGGGCAGCAGCCATTCCCTTTTTCTCACCGCTGTTATAGAATGTACTGCTGACGGGGCCTATATTCGTGTTCTGGCTCACAATCGGTGTGAATCTTCCATCTTGAGCCACGCTGAAAGTATTGACCGAACCCGGTCTATTCAGGCAATAGAGAACATTGTTGGGCTTATCGAGCTCCAGCCACACTGCCTGTGGACTGCAAGAGTCTGTGACGTAAGTCTGCTCCAAATTGTAGCGACCGTCCTTGTGGGAGGGCTTCAAAGAAGTCAGGGCGCCATCATTGGCCCCCGAGAAGAGGTTGATGCTGCTTGCGCAGACTGTCGTGATGAGGACAAAGATTAGACACTTCGCAATCATTCTCTCAAGATTGTTCTCGTTTACCTGATCTGGTTTGTGGAGATGTCATTGTTTATGATTCTAAGGCCCTCCGGGGCCCTCCGGGGCGCTTTTGTAGTGCGGGCTCACAGTTCTTGCTGTTGTCATGGTTAGTATCAAGTCTTGTTACGATGTGCCAAGCGTGGATATGATCGATTCGGCAGGATAGGCCAAGCCTCAATACGTCAGCTTGTCCTCAGAAATTTGAGGAACGAACTTCTGGTGATGCTGGACCTTACGCACTTGGCATTCGGTGCGGACTGCTTGTCTTGCATTTGGGCCCTACAGTATTATTTGATGTTGATACCATAGATTGCCCAAGTTTGCTCTTGTTGCCCCCAAAGCTCGGCACTATGCCGTGTGGTGATTAGTGAGCTAGGTTCATTTGCCTCAGCTGATCCTCTATCACATAAACTGGGACTACTCCTATGTGTTCGAGTCAAAATCTTGAGACTTCCAACGTGACCCGGCCCATTCGTCCTATCTCCTGCTAGACGGTCCCGATAAAGCGTCCTAACCCCGGCACGTCAGCATGTTGCATATGAGATATTAGTTCCACTAAAACAATGGTCCCGATCATTTTAGCTTTCCTAGATTGGTCCAGGCACCACAAACGTTGTAGAACCGAATAACGGCCGGCCGGCCTGGCGCCTCTTCCAGTTCTTGGAGGGTGGTTTCGGCCTTAATGAACAGAGGACTCAAGAGCTTCTGGCTTATCAACTTCCAAATTTTGTCATATCGTTGGATGCACGAATGAGGGAACCTTTCGGCGACCAAGAACATAAGTGATCGGGACGGCCTGGGTCTTAGCGTCACTCTAGGACGTAGTTGGAGAATCAGGGACCTGAGCCAGTACGGGTGGAGGGGGATCATGCAGCCTGCTGACACTCTCGAACTCTGATGGCATTATCTTTCGGTGAGAAATACTGCATTGAATAGATTCGCGGAGCACTGCAGTTTTTCTTCTAGCCCAATCTCCTTCTCTCCAATCGTAGCGTTTGCCGCATCTATTCACATCATGGCTGAATTCACAGTTGAGTGTACTTGTGCATACATGTACGCGCAAGCTCCTCCTGGTGAGGCAGATGTAATGCCGTGCGAAGGCAGAGATTTCCCACACTCTTCGCTGGACACGTCTGTTTGCCAAAAGACATCTACGGGAGGAGCCGCACAATGGGGTATGGCGCTAGAATCTTGATCCGCATCAGCCCCCTGTTCTCGTCCCGGACTTCAAGGTAGACCTTATCTGGACATGGTGGTCTATATGGAGTGTCGTCTTTTGCATCGCCATATCCGTGCAGTCAGTCACGTCAAAGATGAGGTCCCAAGCTTCTTGGCGGGCCGCGTGGCTGTGACTTCGGCCACATTCCTGCAAGTTTGACGGTGAAATTAGGCAAGGTGCGTGTCCTGACGTAGCATGTTGTTGTTGATGCCGGACCGCAAATCGGCACTCCAAAAGGATGTTGTTAGTGTCAACTCAAAAGCCCGTGGGTCACGCGGGGTCCGCTAAATTGTACATGGTGATTTCCCATGACGACAGTTGATTTTGTCACTTGCATATAGCATGTTATGGGTCCTAGCTTGAACGATCATATCTTAGCCAAGCTCATTTTCTTTCCTAAAGTAGCAGCTCGTAGTGGTAGTACGCGGCGACCCCTAGTATACGGGGCAGCAAGTACCATTGATACGTTCAGGTTTGGAAGACATTGGATCAACCTGGTATTTTCATCTGGACAGAGATAAATGCAGCAAATATCCTTCAAAGTGAATCGAGCATTCCTCACATTCTTTCATTCATTATTCAGATTGAGGCATTGCATCCGGACATCATAACCATGGCTATTGGATACATTCTGGGTCTCCTCGCCCAGACACGCTTGGGTTTTGCGGCTGAGTCTTCCATAACTGCCGGCTGCAGTCAAGCAGTGAGATACTCAAATGAGCGCGGTCTTTCTCATGTTTACCCCGTACTGATCAACAAGATAGTGCTCCCAATTGATGGAGGAGTTCGGCTCTGCCGTCCATCTGGGTAGCAACGACACTTCCTTCGCGATATGGGACATGAAGCAGCAGGAGGTTCTTCCCGCCTGCCGGGTAGAGCCGACGACTGCTTCCCAGGTATCAAGGATCGTCGAGATCACCGTTGATAACTGGTGCCGCTTCGCGATCAAGGGCGGCGGACACATGACAAACTTGGACGCCTCCAACTCTGTCGGTGGTATTACGATCGATTTGCACCTCATGGACCACATTGAGATCTCAGAGGACCGCACGAAAGCGAATCTTGGGCCTGGTCATGTTCTTCGCAACGCTTACTTGGCACTGGAGAAATACAATCTTACGATGGTGGGCGGAAGAACTGCCGACGTTGGACTCCCGGGGTTCACTATCGGTGGTGGACTTTCTGACCTTGGACCACAATATGGCTTGGCCGTGGATAATGTCTGGGAATATCAGGTAAGCGCTTCAATTCCAAGACAGACTCTATGTTTTGCTACCGAATCACAAACTCTGAGCTTACCTTACTTTGCAACAGCTCGTGCTGCCGAATGCCACCATTGTGAACGTCTCCGAGACTGCTCATCCAGACCTATACTTTGCTCTGCGTGGAGGCGGCAATAATTTCGGTCTCATTACCAACTTCCGCTCGCGACTCGTACCGCAAGGTCAGAAGTGGGGTGGCTCGAGAACCTACAACGTCAACTACACTGATCAGCTCGTCGATCAGTCCTATCAACTGGCGACCAGTTTGGCCGTTGACACGTACATGTCTTTTTGGACTCGCAACTCCTACGACGCTGCCAGTGATCGATTCAGCATGAGTGTTTCACAAGCATACTATGAACCTGTTGTTGAGCCCCCTGTCTTCGCCGAGTTGAACAAAATTCCTTATGAAACGAGCATTCTTCGCGTCGACTGGATGAGCAACCACAGTCTTGATAGCGTCTCTCCCCATGGATTACGGTAAGCCTAGTATCAGGCCACCCACAGCTTCGTTGGCAGATTGAGACATCTTCTAACTGGATGACAGTCGTGTTTATGCTTCCATTACCTTCCGCCCTTCTCTTGTTCTGCACAAGCAATTGATAAACATCTACACGGAAGAATTTACAGGTGTCAAGACCACTCCGGGTATCTCCTCGTCGCTGGTCGTTCAGGGCTTGCACAAGAACGCCATCGATGCCATGAAAGTGAGGGGAGGGAATGCTCTCGGCGTTGAGTCTGATGGCCCATTGATGAGTATGCTTACCACTGTCCTACCCTTCATATATCTCTTACATAGATGTGAAACATTCGCTAACTGTCTCTGCCACCAAACAGTTGCACTTCTCACTCTCGGATGGTCTGACTCGGGTGATGATGCGGCGATGTATGCCTATGCCGACCGAGTCATTAACCGATCCAAGGCTGAAGCTGAGTCGATGGACTTGTTGCACCCATGGCTGTACATCAACTATGCAAACTACAATCAAGACCCTTTCTCGGGATATGGAAAGAAGAACAAGAACAGACTCCGAGAAATCCAGAAGGCGATTGACCCGAGAGGAGTTTTCACCTCCCAAGGCCTGGTTAGAGGATCATTCAAGCTCAACTGAATCTTATTCTAGACCTCTCCTTTTCACAGCCAGGGTAGGATGACAAGCTCCAACAAAATCTGGTTTTGAGGAACGCGTGTCATGTGTACATAGACGGATCTCGAGCCTAGTTACATGTAGATGTACGTGACTCGATTGATACATGCTCGAGTAAACCTCTCTGATTCATAAGTACGACTAGAGAATATGTGTTGAGCAGACTGGAAGAGAATCATTAGCCGATGCCCAGAGTGAGCTGTCGTGAGACAAATTACGACATTGACTGCTGCCCACAAATAAAGGCCTAGACCGCCGCATGACACAATAATGAACGATCAATGTAGAATGCTGTTACCCGGATGTGATCATTCGGAACTAGTCTTGTCATGCCATCGGGGCCGGGCCGGTAGGTTCAGGTGATCGGAGCCCGCCGCGCCGGTTGACCCACATCAGATGGGGCCGGGCCGGCCGGGGAGCGAGGGAATTCCCGCGCCTCCCCGCACACATCGCTTTACAGAGAAGCCACTCGTAGTAATCGTGACTAACAGAATGGAGCCGAGGATGGTTCTCGATTGATCAATCTTATCTGCACACATATAGTGCCGGCTGAGGGGGAGCTGCTTCGTCTGCGGGGTTGTATATAAATGGTCCTCCGTAGTTCCGAGGCATTCACTAGCGCCAATATCTCCTGCATGAGCCTCGGTGGGTTTGATGCACGACCGGCAGCCGGATCGCCGTCGATTGGCATCCCCCGCAATGCTCCGAGGCTCGGCTGAGACCGCTGCGAGAATGGGGTGATTTGTTGAAAGTAAGAACATCGCAAATTATGGTAAAACAGTTTGACGACGGAATGAATATAAAAGAGCAAGCTCCTATTCAGAAAAGTCGTAAAGTCGCTGTCCCACTTTTCTTGTCTTTCTCGACTGATACCCAAAGGCCAGAAACCAGCACAGATCACGAAACAGAAGAAAAAAATGGCAGACGTCTTCGCCAAGCTCCAGGACAAGAGCCTGCTGGTCTCTTCCGGTCTCGTCGCCGGGGAGTGGAAGAATGGTCAGGATGACAAGACTTTTCTCGTGTACGAGCCATCAAGCGCAACAGTCCTCCAGGAGTGCGCCAACTTGAGCCGGCAAGACTTCATCGGCGCCATTGAGAGCGCCAAGAAGGGTTCGGCCAAGTTTCACGAGTCAACGACAGCAAAGGAGCGAGGCGCCCTGCTCAGAAAATGGTCCGACTTGGTCATTGCCAACGCTGACGACTGTAAGTATCTGGCAGCATGCGGCAATCCGGCGGAAACACTGGTACTGACGCATTGGAAGTGGCCTTGATTCTGTCTTTGGAGAATGGCAAGACCTTTGCCGAGGCCAGAGGCGAGGTGGTCTACGCCGCTTCTTTCATCTCTTGGTTCGCCGAGGAAGCGACAAGGTCTTACGGCGATACCATCCCTTCATCCTATGCAAACACCACTGTCTTCACATTCAAGGAGCCCGTGGGCGTCTGCGGCATCGTTACCCCTTGGAACTTCCCAGCAGCCATGATCACACGCAAGATCGCCCCAGCCTTTGCAGCGGGATGTTCAGTCATCATCAAGCCTCCAAGCGAGACCCCCTTCAGTGCTCTTGCCCTAGCCAAGTTGGCACTCGCTTCTGGCATCCCGTCTGATATCATCCACGTGGTACCGACCAAGGACAGAGAGGCGTCGATGGAGCTCGCCAACAACCCTATCGTGAAGAAGCTTAGTTTCACTGGGTCGACTGGGCTCGGCAAGATGCTCACCAAGGCTGCGGCGGACACGATGAAACGCGTGAGCATGGAGCTGGGTGGTAATGCCCCGTTCATCGTGTTTGACGATGCGGATATTGACCAGGCGGTTGAGGGTGCCTTGATTTGCAAGTTCAGATGTTCCGGTCAGACATGCGTGGTAAGTCCTTGCAATCGTAACAACGTCCGAGTAACCCTACTAACAAATCTTCCAAGTGCGCAAACAGATTGCTCGTCCACGAAGCAGTCAAAGACCAATTCATCGAGAAACTCGTCGCCCGCGTAAAGCAGTACAAACTTGGCCGTGGAATCGACGAGGGCATCACACAAGGCCCCCTCGTCAACGCCGCAGCCGTACAAAAGGTTGACGCCCATGTACAAGACGCGCTGAAGAAGGGCGCCGTCTACAAGACGCGCTGAAGAAGGGCGCCGTCCTCCACACGGGCGGCAAGGCGCCGGAGGGGCTCAAGGGATACTTCTACGAGCCTACGGTGATCAGCGGGGTCACGACCGACATGGAGGTCGCACACGACGAGACCTTTGGCCCCCTCGCGGCTATCTTCTCTTTCAAGACGGAAGCAGAGGCCGTCGAGCTGGCGAATGCCACAGAGTATGGCCTCGCGGGCTACTTCTTCAGCAAGGATATTTCTCGAGTCATGCGTGTAGCGAGGCGGTTGGAGTGCGGCATGCTGGGCGTCAACACCGGTCTCATCAGCGCCGCGGAGGCGCCGTTTGGTGGTATGAAGGAGAGTGGACTTGGTCGGGAGGGCAGCAAGTATGGACTAGCAGAGTACCAGAACATCAAGTCTGTCACGATTGGTAACCTTGGCTTCGACTGAAGAGTCATGCGTGCTGGCTTCTGATTGTGGGCAAATATGGGGTTTTGGCTGGGCGTTTACTCTGATGACATCTTCTGTAGGTTGGCATATTGGCACAAAACAAAAAGTTCGAGGTTCTGATTCAAGTGTTTATCCCATCTTTGCGCCGTTTGATACAGCATGATGACGTCCGTGAACACACAGTTCCACCCCTCGCTGATCTCCCCATGCACAGACGAAGCTAGAGTCAGCTTACCCCGTGCTATTGCCACGCGTATTTTCCTGATTTGATATGGTTGAAAGTTTGAATTAGACTCTTTGCGAGTGATTAAAGAGATGGGGTAAAAAATCTAATCTCCCTGAAGAATTTCATACAGTCTCCCGTAACTTTGCCCAAAACTCCAGACGTGACCATTCCCAAACCATGCATCCCCCCAAGCACCCCAGAAACAAGATTTCCTATCCCATAATTCAATTCCCACACCGATGATGCCGCCGACCTTTCTATCCAGCCATGACAACTCCAGTCTTGCTAGCTTGCTTTTCCAGGTATCCCCGATGCTCCGGTTGAACGATGACCAACTCCGATTTTGTTACGCCGGCGGCCAATGCGCCCTTGGCCAACTCCTCTTCTATCCGCTTCAAACATTGGTTTGCGGGAGATGGCTTGTGCACCGTCAAGAGCTTGACGGCGCCAATGGCCTTCTCCAACGATTCCACATTTCCTCTGTAAGATTCGCAGGGATTCGGCAAGGTAATGTCGACCTTTCCCTTCGCGAGACACCTCACTAGTGACCCGAGAAGCATGCTATTGCACTCCTCGGCGTCTGGTGAGCTGTGGTAGTATCCTTTCATGTATCTGCATCCGTCCTTGAGACATCGGTAGAGGAGAACGAAGTGGTCCAAGTAGGCTGAGACAAGTGCCTGGCGGTGCTTGGCGATAGTTTCTGTTGGAAATCTTGTTAGCGATCTTGCTGCATGACTGAGTTGTTTGGAAAACCGAACTTACCAAAAACTTCTGGGGGCCGAAGGTAGACAATCTTTTCGAGGGGAAAGTTGTATCCCTCTGGCCCAGGCTTCCAAATGCGCGCCAAGTGTCCAAATACGACCCTTCCTTGAAGGTCAATCATTGACTCATAGGTGATCTTCTTGTACATCGTCTCAAAGACCTCGGTGTCTCCCAGCTCCCAAGCGACGCAGAGCAAATGCGCATTGTCAGTCTGGTGCTTGACACCCTGCATCCACGAGCGAGCCCATGGGCGAACGATGACGGTCATGTCGTACTTTTCCGTGATGGTGAGAACGTTGTAGAGACGCATCAATGGCAGCTTCTCGGGTACGAGGTTGAAGTGGCCGTGGACGATGTTTAATACGATTTCCATCGCTTCTGGCGAGTCTTCGGGCAGGTCGACGGACCACTCTCCGGCACCCTCTAGCGGGCGAGACTCCAGGAAGCGGCCAAATAGCATGGCCTTCAGGACTGGCGAGCTTCGACCGAGTGCTCTTGAGCAAACGACGAAATCTTGTGGGTGGTCTTCGACGTCGCCGCCAACGGAGAGTCCCAGGTCGCCATTGTCATCAAGATAAATGGTCGGTGGTGATATCAACTGAGCCAGTTCCTCTGTTGGTTCTGTCACTTCTGTGATCTCTGTCACCGATTCCGTGACGACCATGGTGGAGGAGGCCATCTTGCTGGCGATGACAGCTCCATCGAGAGTATGATAAGGTATGGAAAAGGACGCACCCCCGAAGAGGCTGTTGGCGGGAGCTGTTGAACACATTGCGAATAGCTATTAGCTCATCTGAGGTTTCGTCCAAAATTCTGCTCACGACAGACCCGTGAGAACGAGAGAGCGACGGGATCGCGCTCAGTTTATCATTGTTTGACGGCGCGCGAGATCTAGGGTATCACACACTCGACGAACGGACCGGGATGTCGTCGCTTCGGCAGAGGCATAAAGGGGACCGCAGATCACAACGTTGATGCTCCGATGACATGACTAGTCTTTGTTCGGGAATCGGTCCCCTCTTTTTTCTAACTTTAGGCGAGAGATGGGGATGGACGGCAAAAGTTTTGGGACGAAAGGTATCTTAAACAATGCGTTATACCTGTTGGTCCCAATGACCGTTTGCTGCCCGACGGCGACCGGGCCAGAGAGGCATGAACCCGTTGAGTGTCAAGGCATGTACACAAATGACAATAATTTGGGCGAAAATACATGTGATGGAAAGGGAGGAAAGCAAAGCTCGCCCTCTCACAAACGGCGGTGCTCCAGCGCGGGTGCGACCCTGGGAACCTTGGAAAATCGTAATATTGTCGCTTTCAAGAAAATCCGGGTTCTTTGTGAGATGCAAACAAGGAACACGGTGGAACGGAGGTCGGAACAAGCAAGATGTTGGAAAGCAGGGCAGAAAAACGGCGTTCGGACCCTTGCTCGGCCAGGATGGTGGCCCCTTTGGTTCGCGTTACGCCAGGGCGGCTATGTGGGTGTTGTGGACCTTTGGTCCTGCGCGTCCCTTGCTACGCTCTCTGGTGCTCCCGTACCACACTGCAAACAAAAGAGGCCTGGCGATGAAACCCCGGGCGGCTATCCTGACTCGGGAGCCCTGGTGTTATTGCAACAACTCTTGCGACGAAGAGGGCAAGGCTGGTGTGCGAGGTTTGGCAGCATGAGCCGATGTGAGACCCTTTTAGACCTCTGCTCTGCCGGATTGCAAAACGTGGTTGTCGTCATTGCCCGTTTCCCGGCAAACCCTAACCGTTCTGACCTTTTTGATATGTCTCGCACCCTCCTCCAGTCGTGAGTTCAAGTTGAGCCCTGGGGTTTCCCAGCCCATGAATCGTCAACAATAGAATTACAAGATTTTTCTTTGCGCCGACTCGGATGCCCACTCGCAAAATGACTTTGATTCCTGAGTCTGGGCTACCCTGGGCGAGTTTCTATATTGAAATCTCGTCAGCCCGAAAGTTGGAATATCTGGGAACGGGTTGACCCCCGCAACCCCGCCTTCAGGGTCCTACACACCACAACGGGAATCGTATCATTTCCTACTCTGGCCGGCAGGGCACCCCCATCTGTCCCAATCCAACTCCGAGCTCCCCTGCGCAAGCGCCGTCCGTCTCCAACCGGTCTCCAAGGCACGCGACACTAAGGAATTTTGACCGCAAGCTTGGCTTTTAGCGCCATTCGGGCGGAGGACCCGATTTCTTGAAAGTAGCGTGATATTCCGGTGAGAGTTGCTGAACCTGGGATGTGACCTTCCCTACGTGCTGGCATTGAAGCCAAGTTTCTCTTCTTCCTTCTTTTTTGACTTTGATAATCTCGGTGAACCGGTTCGGAATCAAGGCAGCATCAGTGTTCCCTGTTCGTTGTGCCCGGTCAGCATGACTGACCTCTTGCGTCCCCACAAATGTGAACGACACTTTTCGTTTCCACATGATTAAGGCTGTGTATGGTGCACTAGGAGGTCCCGATGTGGAGATACTGTTGGAGAGCAAGGGACGGAAAAGGGGGCTACGGGGAAGATGTCCACTTACACATCTCTTCTCTCCATCTTTTCGCAGGGCAACTTGGCACGGAGTCACTGGGAGATTCGGTAGATGCTTCTCCATGGTGGATCACAACAGCTTCTGTTCCCTCTTTGTTTTGACGCGCGCCGCCGCGCCAGGTTCGTCTGGTCATACTCTCAGTGTTCCCTTACATTGCCTGTGTTGTAACCCACCGAGACCCTCGGACCGACGGATTTGGAGAAGGGGGTTGGGTGTTGAGTCGAGTCGTACATTCCTTACTCACGACATGCATTTAGGATGGGTTCAAGAAGAGCGGCTAGTGATGCGCCCTCCTTGATGATGTCGACCGCTGCAGACAATGCCGGATGACACGGAGGTTGTTCGAGGATGATACAATAAACACTGAGTAGCACTCGAGGACAAATGCGCATGTACGCTTCAAGGTTCGCTGTGACACGATGCCGAGTACGACTTCAGACTCACGCAAAAGACATCGAGAGTATGACATTCCTAAGACGTTTGTGGTCTGCGTTTGATCAATAAGGTGAAGGTGTATACAAACGACTCGAGAAACGGATGTTCTTAGTCGAGACGGAGAAATCTGTCATTGGTAACGGTAATAGACTAATAGTTGGCTTGTTCAGCTGGCAGCAGAAGCTATATGAACCTAGAACAGAGTTCATCGTGAAGTATCCGTGCTGGATAGCGTGACCTCAACACGGCACCGAGCACAGCAGAATCCTTGTGGCTCTCATATCAAATCCCACTATCCTACTTTTTGGATCGATTTCCAATCTCACCTCGACCTTGTCTTGATGGTTACAAGCCACGTGGCTACATGTAAGGTAGACTGCTGGTCTTACTCAAATGTGGTCACCGGTGACCGGTGCGACTTTCATTAAGGTAGGTACTTAATCCATTCAATAATATGGTGCATCCGAATGACACACTGATTCACTCTCAGACGTTAATGTGCCTGGACAATCACTGTTAACAGCTTGAAGAAACGACGTTTACCTGCATCGTGTTACGCCAGCAAGCGACGGTAACTCGCAGGATGGCGAGGACCACGGATATCTGTTTGCAAGCGCCCCGAGCCAGTGCATCTTTGTGCTGCTATTGAGCTTTGTGATGACGTCTTGTGTGGCACTGAGACCTGGGACAAGTCTCATCAGCAAGGTGCCTATCTATCACCTTTCATCTCTCCTAAACTCCTTATTATGTTGTTTCGAAAACAACCTAAGCTATCAAATGTTTCTCACTACAGCTTCTGGGGCTCAAGTGAATTGATAGTATTTGAAACCATACGAAGTTGGCCATGTATCGCAAGCCCGCATACTCTCCCTGCATGAAAGACGTCGCGAGCTGCAGCCCAGCCGCTCTTACTGGGGACCCTGTAGGGTCGAGACTGAAATGGATCATATCTGGGCCTGTAGACTGAAGACATGCGGGGGATCTGTAGGGTCATGGGCACATGTCACTCTATGTTGGCTAGGCTTCAGTCATTGCCCACCTGTGTGCGTATCGAGGATCTCCTCGCTTAACCCATCAGTGTTACCTGAGTCGGTAAATCAGCCCCTTTGTTCAAAATCTCAGCACGCATCCGAAGTTGGAGTGAGAACGATGGCGTCGGGTATGCCAAGGGCAGATTGGTTCGTGTTTCTCGAAATGACACTTAATTCAAAAAGGCTTTTGTCAACAGTTCAATCTCAATGGGTTACCAAAGTTCTTTGTTTCTGACATTTCAAAATGACATGCACATATCCAGGACGTGGCCTCCTACCCGTCTACCTGAACCAAGATGTCTGCCAAGATGCAGCAAAGCTATGAGACCAGGACCTGTCACCTTCAGGCAACAAACATTGCATCATTGGGAGTCGATTGAGTTGTCATGTGTTCCGGGGACTCGGTCCTTTCCAAAGTGGTGGGTAAGTAGCCCAAACAAAGATGAAAGCAAGCACAAACGGGAAGGCAATCAACCAGACACTTGGATCGCAACAGGGCCACAAGGAAAGTTGAGTGAGTAACTCATGATGCAATGTCACTATAAGAAGACTGGTGTATCGGTATTCACTGACCACTTCCTTTTTAACGGAAGACATTAACGTCACTTTACTGTTTGCCTGTCAGCATTCCAAAAGATCCGAGCGAATGTGTAGATACCTGTCACGGTACGTACCGGGGTAATTAGCTAGATGTGGGTTAATCGAACTCAGACGTGATTTAGGGTACTCCCCTATAAAGAGTCTCCCACTTTCCACAATCCACCAGTCAGCCTCAATTTCAATGGTCTACTAGTGAGAGAGTAGACAATAACCCTAGATACCTTCCTATACTCATAAAAGCTATCATAAGCCCATCACGGTTTGGCAAACGTCAAGGCAGACAGATGAACGAGCGTTCCTTCCATTGCATTTAAGAAGTTGAGGTGTGCCTGATGGGAGGCAACCGTGGGGGTGGAACCGAGCCCCGGGCGCTAGCAGGGGCTTTGGCCTCAGGGCGGCTGTGAGTGGCTGAGAAAAGTTCAGCGAGACTGGCAGACCCACCCTTGCATATGTGCATCTGGCCCGTGCTCACCTGTCGGCAGTGACGTGCTTTTAGGCTCGATCAAAGTTCCTTCTCAATACGGTTGACGGCCCATGCTGAACCATCTTTCAAACGTCTCTGGATGCCATCAACCTGGGGAATCCAGATGAACTTAGAGAAATCTAGTACTGTACGATTGAGTTCTGGCAGCTTCGGTCCAGAATAGTTCTCAGATTCAACAATCGGGCTTCATTTTTCACCCAAGCTCTCGAGCTATGATCTATCCATCTGTCCTGGATATGTACGCCACCATGGCTGCAACGGCGCTCTCTGGCCGTTTTTGACTCACCGGCATTTGGGGCTGAGTAGTCCTAGATCCCCAAGGTCAGCATAAACGCACAGTACCTTGGCTTTGCAGATAGCTTGGGTCAGCCACTAGGACAGCGCCGAGGCCAATCTCATAGGCCGCGAGCCAGTATGCCTCGAGTTCTATCTGCACCATTGTCGAGCCTGATGCAGCTTATGTAGCATCAGCTGTCAGGCTTCAGGCTTCAGCATCAAAGCAATAAGGCTGCCAATTGAAAAGGCACTGATTTACTTGATTCATCCCGTCTATCATCTCACCATCTTCACACTCAACTCAGTCCAGATTTTCAACCTTGGATATTCCACAACTTCCTATCACAGCGCAAGCGAATCGTCAAGATGCATCTGAGCGACATTCGCGACGTGTTTGACAAGGAGAATCTCTCGGAAAAGGCGTGGCAATTGCGTTGCAAGCTCCTCTCCCACAAAGAAGAAGTCGGCCGCCCCATTTCGGATATCGAGGGGAGTCTCTCCGACGATGACCCAAAGAAGCAGCACTCACCCAAGAACCCGACTTTCGGCGTTGATGCCACCGTTAAGACGTACTACGAGGGCAAGAACAGTTGCAATGGCATCTATGATTGGGTCGACTTTCCGCCCAAGCAGATGAGCAAAAAGGCCGCCGAGAGCCAAGACCGGCCCGCTATCAAAGTCTACAAGATCAAGGACGTCGAGAAGCCTGTCATGGCAGGTCGATACTCCTTGACCTATCACCAAATCTCCATCCAGAACCCGACCCTCGTCGCTGCTCTGGAGCCCATCTTCAAGAAGGAAGACGTACATCTCGACCCTAGCGACACGGCTATCTTTGAGGCCCCGTTTCGACCACTCTTCTTCTGCTACGATGAGATCCTCGAGCTGTACAAGACTACAGATGACAGCTCGCTCAAGGGGTACTTGCAGCTCCTGGTACGAACCCTGGACGACATGCTCGGCGAGACGCGCGAGAAGAAGCGCAAGCTGCAGGCCAGCGGTCTTATCAACTTCAAGATGGCCTGGACCTACTTCCCACGAGACTCGGTCGTCTACAGCAGTGCTCGGAACACGGAGCTGTTGTGCAAAGTAGAAGACACGGCGTACGAGAGGATGGACCAGGGCGTCTTCCTCAACATCAAGTGCAAGATCATGACCTTCAACGGGGAGAGCTTTGTGTGGTCCGAGCAGGAGCTTCAGATCCCCAAGTTCGCGGGGAATCGGCCCATACTTGAGCTCACTCACTACCCTCTGCAGTTCCACCTGAACAAGGAAGAACTACTACAGAGGACCCTGACAAGGGGCAAGAAGGTCTTGGATCTTCAGAGGCTGACGTATTGCACATACAACGGCATCGCGATGGGCCCGAAGAGCAAGCACAATGTAGAGGGCAGAATCCTCATTGACGTTGTCGGATTTAACAAGTACGAACGGACCCAGGGCAAGAGGGAAAACGATGACGCCGAGACGCGACGGAATCGTGTGACTAGGAAGCGCATTGTCTACGATGATCACGGCGAGCCGGAATCTGAAACGGAATTGAAGAAGCCAGTAGCCAAAAACGAGAGACATCTTGGCGAAAAGGGGCAGTTGAGGAACAAGGAAGAGATGCTCGCGCGTCCGGATGACCTCGTCTTCATGTCTCCATTGATTGAGGGGTTCGCCTTGAAGAACAAGCTTTGGCGTAAGTTGCTCACCTCCAACCACTTACTATTTACATGATTGACATCTTCAGTCGGCTTCTACGTCGAGGATATCGAGCCCATCGTCTGGAACGCTCAAGCATACGACCACTTAGTCTACGACGAGCAGCAAAAGGACCTCGTTCTCTCCTTCGTCGAGAATCACGGCCACGCGAATAAGAGCGCAATGGAAGACGTCATCGTCGGCAAGGGCCAAGGTCTCATCATCCTCCTTAGCGGTCCACCAGGAACCGGCAAGACACTCACAGCCGAAGCGGTCGCCGACAGGACCCAGCGCCCATTGTTCTATCTACAGGCCGAGGACCTCGGAATCAACCCCTCGACGCTGGGCGAGAAGATCAAGCGGGTATTCGAGATGGCCACCGAGTGGAATGCCGTGATCCTCCTCGATGAGGCGGATGTGTTCATGGCGGAGCGGAATCCCAACGACATTGCGCGCAATGAGCTCGTATCGATTTTCCTGCGCGAGCTGGAGTACTTCCGGGGTATCATCTTCTTGACGACGAACTTGTACAACACCATCGATACGGCGTTCAGAAGCAGAGTAAGCTTGCACTTGCTGTTCAAGGCGCTAAGCCCGGATGCGAGGGAGCTCATCTGGCGGAAGTTCCTCGGAAGGTTACCTCAGCAAGGCACCTCAACAGATGGAGCGGAGGACGCGAGGACGTTGCTCTCGGACGATGATATCAAGGAGCTTGGGCATTGGCAGCTCAATGGTCGTGAGATCAAGACGGCTGTCAAGATGGTGTCCAAGTGGTGCGATCACAAGAACTATGAGATGAGCCTGACTAGGCTAGAGAATGGCATTCGGGTGACGAGTCCCCATGCTTCGAAGCAAAAGGACTCGGGCGAGGATGATGATCTGTACAGTTAATCCGGTTGGATGGAGAGAATTGTCGGTATTTTTTTGTGGGTTACAGAAACAGCTTGAGCGGCCGAGGTCATAATGCAACACTGGTATCATCTGCTAGCCCTTCTCTAGATCCGAGTGTCGAAAGCATCTTCAATCAACTTCGCCTCCTCATCTTGATGGACCTTCTTCGAGCCAGTCGCAGCGGCAGCCCCCGTTCCCCGCCCAGCATAAACAATCTTCTTGCCCTCAAGGACGTTCGAGTTTCCAACAACAGTCTCAAGCCTATCGCGCATGTACTGCCACGCACCCCCATTATACGGCTCTTCTTGACACCACACAATCGTTTGCGCGTTTGGGCAAGACTACAAGTTCTCCCTGACCTCGGCCCAGGGAAAGGGGTGTAGTTCCTCGATGCGCGTGATGGCAACGTCCTTGATGCCCCTTGCGTTGCGATAGTTGTGGAGTGCTGTAAACTTGACCGCTGCAGAGGATTACGTGCTTGATCTCTCCGCGGGGGAGTAGACTATTTCTGTGCTCCGGGTCCTCGATTACGGGTTGAAAGGAAGATGTTCCCGTCAGGTCTGGGATGGGAGATCTGGCAATGGGGTGACGGAGAGGCGATTTTGAGAAGAATATGACAAGAGCTGAAAGTGTTAGCAGGCATCTCAGAGTGAACATCCAACAACTGATTGATGTAACTCACGTTTCTTCTCAGATGAGTAAACCTGCCTCCTCCTCAACGCATGGAACAGATTCGCCGGGGTTGTCATACACACAATTCTAACATTCCCCTCCCTCTTCGCCCTCTCCATATCTTCAGGCCAACTCCGCCCATCCTCGCTACCCAACTCCAAAAACCTGCCCAGCCTAGCAGACGAATGCTCCGGTACCTGACCATCATACCCATGCGGCAAAGACATGACAAGCCCAGACCGAAGCATCCACTCGGCCTCACCCGAAGTAATAAACTGATCAATGATAACCTGCGCGTTATTCGCAAAATCGCCAAACTGCGCCTCCCACACGACCAACGAGTCCCGCGCAGCCAGGGAGTACCCGTAATCGAACCCCAGGACGCCAAACTCGCTGAGCGGCGAGTTGATTGCGCTTTATGTCCCTGCGCCGGAAGCACCTAGGTTATTCAGCGGCGTGTACTTGGTGTGGGTGAGCTGGTCGTGTAGGACAGAGTGACGCTGGGAAAAGGTGCCTCGCTCGACGTCCTGACCGCTGATGCGGACGGACTTGCCGTCCGCGATGGCGGATCCGAAGGCGAGGGCTTCGGCTGTGGACCAGTCGACTTTGCCGTCGTCAAAGGCTTGTTTCTTTGCGGCGAGGATGCGTTGGAGGTTACGGTGGAGTTTGAAGTCTTCTGGGACGCTGGTGGTTGCGGTGGCGATGGTCGAGAGTGTGGCCTCGTCAACTGTATTCGTTGACGTAGAAGGGCTAGCGGATGAAAACAGATCCGAAGAGGCAGTCTTCATAGATCGGTTGGCTGGCTGCTTGCTTCTTGCAGGTTTCTCTGCTAGTTGCTCCCAGACCCAAGTCTTTTGCTGCTCCGCCACCTCGACGGACATCCCGCCCTCGTCGATCAGCTTGTCGATGTGAAGATCCATCAGCGGCTTCTGCTCGGCGATCCTCTTGTACATCTCAGGCTGAGTGAAACTGGCCTGATCAATCTCGTTATGTCCGAATCGCCGGTAGCAGTTGACATCGATGACGATGTCCGAACGGAACTCTGCCCTCCAATCTGCAGCCAGCTTACTGACGAACACAACGGCCTCCGAATCATCGCCGTTGACGTGGAATACCGGCGCCTCGATATACTTGGCCAAGTCGGTGCAGTATGGCGTAGACCTGGAGTCTGGAGAATCAGTCGTGAAGCCAATCTGATTATTCACAATGAACCGAATGGTACCGCCGACTTCGTATCCCTTTAGAGCCGAAAGACTGAGCGTGTCATACACAGTCCCCTGGCCAGAAAAGGCGGCGTCCCCATGGAGAGCCAAGCAAACCACCTTGGACTGATCAACATCGTTCTTCAAATGTTGCACCGCCTTGGCTTTGCCCTGCGCAACGGGATCAACAGCCTCCAAGTGGGAAGGATTCGGCAACATGGAGATACCAACCGTCTTCCCACCAACTGTCGCCCTCTCACCCTCCATGCCAAAGTGATACTTGACATCCCCAGTCTGCCCATTCGCCGGATCAAACTCCTCCGTGCCCGCAAATTGGCGGAATAGCGTCTCGTAATCTTTCCCGTAGATTGTGCTTATAAGGTTCATCCTCCCGCGGTGGCAGCTTCCGATAACGACGTCTTGTACGCCGTGAGCCTCTGCGCACCGGTCGATGAGTGCGGCTAGTCCAGGCGCCAGGCCTTCTGCGCCATCGAGGCCGAAACGCTTTTCGTTGGGGAACTTTGCGGCGAGGAAATGTTCGAGGGTTGTTGCCCAGATCAAGTTGTGGAGGATCTGCTTCTTTTCTTCGGGAGAGGGGGGCGAGGTAAGGTAGATTTCAGTGCGCTCACGGATCCATTGGCGTTGGTCGGGTCAGAGATGTGGTGGTATTCAACGCCGATGGAGCCGCAGTAGACCTCCTCGCAAGTGGCGATGATGTCGCGAAGTTTCATCGTCTTATGGCTTTGTGCGAGATGGAGAAGAATCTCTGGATCTAGGACAATCTCACGATCCAAGTCTGCGGCGGTGTAGCCGTACTTGCTCAGGTTTGTTGTGCTTGGGATATCATCGTGAGGCTTGATCGTCGTGTTGCTGACGCCTCCGAGGGGGTTGATCTTTGCGGCTGAATGGCCGTATTGCTGGAACGCTCGAACGATATTCTGGGTCTTGAGACGATCAATGAATTCACTCGCGTCGGTACTGGGGTGGGGTTTGATGGCTGGTGTGTGCCGGGGTGAGAGCAGGCCGGGTGGTGGCTGAAAGGCTTGCGTCGAATGTACAGAGGGATCTTCCATGTTGCTGAAATACGTATGCCATGATATATGAACGTTTTGAGGGTCCGTCTTCCAAGCGAGATACATTTCGTCGGCTTAGTTCGCTGTTCCACCTTGGAGAAAGGAGTCTATGGGACTCTGCATGGCCGCAGATCGTTAGCGGTGGAGAGACAACAGAGCAACTGTCGGTCGTGGCCTTACCGGTAGAACTCTTGGGTTCTCTGCTTCTGCTGTTGCAGGGTAGGATCTCCCATTTGAGGGCGTAAGTCTACATGATCTGGTGGAGGTGAACGCTCGACGACTACTCGACCCTTCATTTCCATTGACGCGGTGCGTGATGCCGCGGAAACTTAGAGAAGCAAAGGATGTAGCCCTCGTGCGGGAGAGGTTTCGTTGTGAATGGGCTCTGCAGAGAGAGCAAGCTGATCGAAGCATATTTTTAGTGGCTCAACTGGCGCTTGGTGATAGGTTCTAGCTTAGTGGAATCTTGAAGCTGGATGTGTGACAGAAATGGCGAGGTACGAAGGTCAGTTTGGCATTGTCTTCGTTCTCAATGCTCGTCTTTTCGATGACTGACGAACCCCGAAGTTTAGATGTAAAGTCAACATGGCCGCAAGTTGAACGCGACTTACACGCGGGAAGCGCCTGAGTAACGAACCCCACGTTAAAGGCACACCGTTGTCCATGCCGTCGGTCAACCTGAAGTTCAACCGAGTAGGCTACTCTGGCAGACTGTCGGCGTCTTACATCGCACTGAGTACATTTGAAATCAATCTAGAGACCATGCCGACGCGACTCTCCTCGCACGAAAGTGCGTGTATTGTCGTCAGCGGAAGGAAGGGTGGTTGAAAGTTGCCCTCGGATATCGAAGCCGAAGTTCTTGAGTGAGCCCCGCCATGCAAACAAAGCCAGCCTCCTCCGGCTTCTACACCCGAAAAGCCAACAATGACAGCAATACGTCTGGTGTGACTGAGAACTGAATCATGCCCAAGAGAAAATGCCGCCGGAGCGCCAATCTACCATATACCACTGCATGACGTGAGGGGAACCTTGGTCAACACTGGCTGAGAATTCGATCCCTACTGAGGGGTCGATGCCAAGCATCAACAGCCCAACTTCCATCAAGCCTATATGAACGAAGAGTGGTAGGGCGCGAGGAGTAGCAATTGGTAAAGGGCAATATGCTGGACGCTGGATTCTCCGGATTATCTATGCCCGAGCCCCCATCTAAGATTTCTAAGATGCAGCAGTGTATACCCCCCCCCACAATGCCCGCACCGCAATGCTGTCAGTCCAATCCCACTCCACCCATTTACAAAGTAAAATACAATCGGCACGATGCTACAAGAACCGTAGCCGTGCAGAGTCTATATCTCCTCTCCCACACTCTGTCTCCGCTCAATCCGATAGACACTGCATGCACTCAAACTGTGCTTAGAGAAGGAGAGTAGCGGGGTCCTCGACGTAACCCTTGACTGCACCAAGGAAGGCCTCGGCCTCGCGCTGCTCGATGAGGCGGTGGTCGTAGGTGACGGTGATGTACATCATGGGGCGGATCTCGAGCTTGCCATCGACGACGACGACGCGCTCCTTGATGCCGTTCATGTTGAAGATGGCGGCCTGGGGGTAGTTGATGACGGGGGTTCCGAAGAGGGAGCCAAAGATGCCGGGGTTGCTGATGGAGAAGTTGCCACCCTCGAGGTCGGGCATGGCGAGCTTGCTCTTGCGGGCCTGTAGTGTTCAATGTCAGAAATGCTGTCCTCTTCTAGAAAGCTGCGAGAAGAATGATGTAGCCCTCACCTTGTCAGCCAACTCAGCGACACCGCGCTCAATACCAACAATATCCAAGCTCTCCACGTTACGCAACACAGGCGTAACAAGACCCTTGGGCGCCGACACGGCAATGCTGATATCAACGTAATCCCTGTACTTGATAATCTCCTTCTCGGTATCCATAGCAGCGTTCATCTGGGGCACACGCTCCGCGGCAAGGCACGTCGCCTTGGTGAAGGCGCCCATGTAGCCCAGCTTGACGCCGTAGCGCTTCATGACGGCCTCCTTGTTCTTGGCGCGCCAGGCCATCAGGTTGGTCATGTCGACCTCCTCAATAGCCGTCAGCGACGCTGTCATGTTTTGCGACTGCTTGAGCTTCGTGGCAATGGTCTTGCGCATGCGCGGGAGCTTCTCGATGCGCTCGCCGCGGGAGAAGGAGCCCGTTGCGCCAAAAGGAACCTCGGAGGCGGGCTTTTGTTGTTGTTGCTCCTGCTGGGGAGCGGCGGGCTTGGATGGTGCCGCTGGCGCGGGCTTGCTCTCCTCCTTCTTGGGTGCCTCGGGCTTCTTTTTCTCCGGTGCGGCGGCGGGCTCGGGTTTGCTCTCGGGCTCGGCCTTCTTGGTCTCTTCCTTCTTCTCCGGCTGGGACTCCTTCTTCTCTGCAGGGGCGCCGCCCGTCTCCATGCGCGCGAGCTTCTGTCCGACCTCGACGGTATCGCCCTCAGCAACGAAGAGCTCGACGATAGTGCCCTCTCCGGGGGCGTTCACGGCGACATCGATCTTGTCCGTCTCGATGCTGGCAACCTCCTCGTCGGCCTCGACGCGGTCGCCGACCTGCTTGCCGATGGAGGCAATGGTACCCTCCGTGATGGACTCGGCCATTTGCGGGACGGTGATGATAACCTCGCCATGCTGGATGCGGGTGGTGCTGAATGAGCGGTATTGGGAGGAGGAGAGGGCGGGGTAGGCTTGGACAATCGGTCTCGAGGTAGTGCGCGTCGCGGTCGTAAGGGATCTCGTCGTTGTGGTTGTCGGTTTTGATGCTGCGCTGGTGATCTGGGTGCGAGCTGCGGATGCGAGTCTAGGAGCCGCGGAGGGCTTGGCCAGGCGGCCGACGGCTTGGAGCTGGGAGCGCATCATTTTGTCGGATAAAAGGGGAGGGAAACGTGGTGGTTGAGCGCCCGACGATCCTCGACGAGTTGTTTGGGTGTTTCTGGTGGTGTTGAATGAGTCTTTGACCCTGGTCAGGGAAAAGGGACTCGGAAAATCGTAGTGGAAAATTGACGTTGGAGCTTTGCTGGGCGCTGTGACAGAATCACCTGCCGCTTTAGACCACGGGGGCAGATAGCTTTGTGAGGTAGGTACCGTCGGAAGGTACATGTATCGTGAACATGGGAGCTACGTCAGGTACTTGGACTGATTTAGTTACTCGTCTAACACGAGTTGCTATCTCCTAAAATGCCATAGATATGCCAGATATTAATCGCTAATTCGAAGCATCTTTGGAATGCAGCATCGTCTACTTTGCAAGGTGCAGTGATAATTTTGGATGCATCTACTTTGCTTTTATCAGGTAAGGTAGGTAGGTCACTTATTTTTGGCCTTTGACTACTCTCCTAGGATCGAAAAGAACCTCTTCCGAGATACGTACGGTTCCTGAATCCATGTAAACCTATCTCTAGATGACTATTTCATCCCAATCTCCGTGGGAGATGTCGTGTCTCTAGTTGAAGGTCAACAGTAACATGACAAAAGCAGCAGCGCATTCGGTGTCCCCCGGTAACCATCTGGGAAGAAATCGGAAAGGCTCCGCATCCGCATCCCGGGACAGCGTCCCGAGTGGATCCATAGCTTGCCAAACACCGCCGCTCCATTGGCCAATGCATCACCCGCATTTGACAGCCGATGACAGGGACAAAAGTACGTACCCGCTTACAGGGGTTTTCGGCTTCTCTTACTCATTCATCCCTTACGGTTTACCCGGCCAGACGGCTTCTTCTCCTCCGACTTCAATTCACCATCGTTCCCCTTTCTCTGCATCACCCCTGTTGATTCTCAGGCACGGTGGATGATTTATGCGCCAGTCAGATGTCTTAGTCATCACATCTCGGCCGCATGGTTACACAGGGGTGCTCAGAGCTTGAAGTCAGAAAAGCAAAAAAAAAAAAGTCAATTAATGGTCCGAGCTTGTCCACTCACATGCTTCAAGAAATCGAGGTTATTCACAACCGTGACTCGTGAGCATCAGGACTCTCCAACCAGCGCAATGGCTGCAAAAGATCCTCAAACACCCAGCGGCAGCAATGCAAGAGTCGCATACCTAACCCTCTACAATACTCTCTTTGCAGCACTATGGGCATCCATCTTCCTAACCGTCGCCTCGACCGCCTTATCCCAGGGTAGACTCGCAATCTACCAAGCCGCCGAACCGCGCTCGCGATGGGTGCAGACGCTAACCCTCATTGAGGTTGTTCATTCCGCCGTGGGTGAGTAACTACATACCCCCATCACTCCCCCGAGATGAGATACCACGCACGTGAAGACCAACTCGAACTGACTCAATCTCAGGCCTCGTCAAATCCCCAGTCGGCACAACAGCCCTCCAAGTCATCGCCCGCACCATCATCGTCTGGATGGTCTGCTACAGCTTCCCCGAGACCACGGCGTCTTCCGCCGCATACGTGGCGCTGCTGCTCTCGTGGGCGACGGCTGATACCGTGCGCTATGCCTACCTTGCGCTGAACTTGCATGGCAAGGCGTCTGATGCCCTTGTTTGGGTGCGGTAAGTATATGCAGGCCTTGCGTTTCTCCGTTCTTGTGGTTGTGGTTAGGGCGGTTTGGGCTGACGACGATTGCCAGATACACCATGTTCTACCCCTTATACCCCATCGGCATCGCCTCGGAATTCTGGCTCCTGTCCCTCGCTATCGACCCTGCTTCCCGCATCAGTGCCTTCATCCCGCCTGTGTTCTCCTTTTGCTTGTTGTTGTACATCCCCGGTAAGTATACCATGATCCTGTTATTTGAATCCCCACGACTCGCTTTCTCGTTGCTGACACGTCCGTCTGGGGCTAGGATCTTACACCATGTACACCTACATGATCAAGCAGCGCAAGAAGACACTCGCAAAGATGAAGAAGACGCAATAGCTGCACAGTCTTTTGGCCTTGTAGAAGCGATGTTCTTACTCGAAGTAGTGCGTGTTGGGAGGGAGTAGCTGCTACCTAGTACTCGGCGTTTATTTAATATTAGACGCAGGCAAGATTAGCTTGCAACTAGCATGTCTTCTACTTTGAGCGTGGATTTAAACAAAATGCGTACGAAGTTCCAGCCCTCACGCACCAATCCTCGGTGATACACGCACATATCATGCCCAGTCTCACAAGCTGTACTGGAACGCCTTGTCCTGCACATCCGTCTAGTCAGAATCAACCGCAACACCCATCTGCACCGCCTGCTCTCCCCCATCATGCCCGCCAACATCATACTCATACCTCCCCTCCGCAGCAAGCCTATCCGTCCTCGCATTTCCCCTCCTCAAAACGACTCCATACACCGCATACGTGACAATCAACCCCACCCAGCTCGCAATTAACAAGATACATCCCTTGGTATACCTAGGCGCGTCCCTCTCCGTCCAAGCCTGCGGGGAGACAATACACCCAACACAGTACACGATAAAGAACCCCGCGCTAACAACGCTCTTCTTGGTGTTCCCTTTGACGTTAGAAGCCATCATTGATGCCGTAGAGCTGAGAAGCGCACTGCAGCACGCCGCGAGCAGGTGCTCGCCACGATGCACCACTCCGCGCCGTGTAGAGGTAGTGCGAGGAGCATGGCGGAGCCGAGGAGCGGGACGAGGGAGAGGCCGATGGAGGTGTAGATTCGCGTGCCGGGAAGGAATCGCGGGATGAGGGCGCTAGCCCAGATCATTATGAAGCTGATTGCGCCGCCGGGGAGGCCGACGAGCATTGTCGTGAAGGGGGAGTAGCCGAAGCCGTTGATGACGAGGGAAGAGAACTGTATGACGGAGTGTCAGGTCTGTTCGTTAATAAAGAGAGTGAGGGGAATGTTTACCTTGAGAATAGGAGTCGTCAGTGTGATGCAAAGCGCCATCGTGAAATACAGCCACGTCACTGGCTGCCTCAACGCCTCATACATCTGCTTTGTGTTGAACTACGCGCGATCCCTAGTCCCACGATCAAGAGCCAGCCTCCTCGTCGCAATCTCTCTCTCCCTCTTGTTCAAGAACCACGCTGTAGTAGTATCCCTGGGCATAAGCACACAAAACGCAACACCACACGCCGCCGTCAGCCCGCCGCTGGTAAGAAACATAACTCTCCACTTCTCGAGCACCATCGCCGACGCGCCGCCGATCCCGTACATCATCAGCGCGCCGAGCACCTGCGAGACGCCCGACATGGACACCCACGTCGCGACGCGGATCGGGTGCTCGCGGCGGCGGTACCAGTTTGACGTGATGATGATGAAGGCCGGGGACACGGCGCCCTCTGCGAAGCCGAGGAAGAAGCGAGCTGCCGCGAGGCCTGCGAAATCGTGCGTTGCGCCGAGGGTCATTCCGACGGCGCCCCAGGCGATGATTGTGATTCCGACGAAGAGAGTTATGGGGAGGCGGCCCATGAGGTAGGCGGCGGGGTACTCGGAGCATAGCTGGCCGAAGTAGAAGAGGGATATGATCCAGGAGAAGTCTTGGCCTGTTAGGTGGAGGTCTTTGCGGAGGCCAAAAACTGAGCCGTAGTTGATGGATTGCTTGTCGAGATCTGATGGCGCGTACAGTTAAAACGAGGGCATTCAGGAGAGTTCATGGAGGTAAACTTACACTGGAAGAAATAGACAAACGCCATGAGGGGCATCAATACTCGATCGAGCTTTCGAGCGAGAGCTGCTTCCTCCTCGGGGCTGATTTGCTCAAATGCTACATGTTCCTCGTCTTGCTTCTTGGTCATCTCTAGCTCTTCAGCCGTGGCAGCTTGCGGATCTTCTTTTGTATTCGCCATTTCTCGTAGCCAAGTCGACAACTAAGACAGGTTGATGCTCGGAGGCCGTCTTTCGGTGAGGCGCGTTAGTCACACGATCAAGTAGTCGGCGGCAACTGTGTCAACTCTTCTGCTCAATGAAAAGAGACTGGGATCCTGATAAGATAGTCTCCCGTCAAGATTTGAGAGGTTCAGAAGTCAAGTGACAATCAGGAAGGGATCTCGTATGATCTTAAGTAGTCGTACTGCCTGCTTTCTCGTTGTCTGCTTCCAGGATGGGCTATCCTAGGTACCTGGGGAAACACACGGTCCGTCGTGGGGGTTAGGAGATTGCGGGGTTTGCCCCAGACTCTCCGCAATCCGGCAAACGTGGAGAAGACAGACCGAGCCTCGCGATATGCCCAGGACCTGCAGCCAGAGGTCTCTGCTATCGGCCGGCTGTTTCGTGCGCGGAACCCTGGGCCGGAGACTATGAGTCTACTTGCCCTCGGGAACCACACCCGAGAACTAGTGCAGATCATCCGCTTCGAGGCAGACTGATAGCGTTGAGCTAGACGTGATGGTCACTGAAACAGTGTCATTCGGGACTGGGAAGTTACCGAGGCAGGGTGAAGTTGCCGGGCTACAGCCAACCCGCGCCAGACTCTTTTCCATGTACTGTTTCCGTTGGGAGCCTGAAAGTACAATGATCATTGTTGGCTGCCCCATGGAATCTGGTTTTCGAGCGCTTCCCAATCCGTCTGCTCGACGCCAGTGAACGAGAACCCTGGGGTGTGGTACACCCAGTACAGGCTGTCCTCGCCCTCCAGCGGTATGCTCGCCAAATCGGCGCCACTGAAGCCGAAGTCGTGTTGACCATCTGGATCATGGGCTCCCGATACTGGCTCGACGTTCTCCTGGGTTCTAGATAGTCCCTGAGCGCTCGGTGTTGCCGGACCGTCGATGGCTGATGGTCCTTCCGGGGCCACATCAACGTTTCCGTACCCACTCGAATACGAAAACTTCTGCGTCAGAAGATCTATGAACGACTGATGGGGAGTCTGGCCGCCAGACTGGTGGACGGGTAGAGCGAGATGCGTACACATCTGATCGAGTTCCGCCAAGCGACTGGCCGCAGTTCGATTACCTAGGGCTACGAGATACCTGAGAATGGCCCTTGACCCGTCGATGCCTTTGTGCCCAAGTAGGTTGCCTGGATCTATGGCCTCAACGAGGACGAATACATAGCCCACGGAGAATGTCGCATCTAGATCGAGGGATGCGTTTTTTGCTGTGCATCAAAGATCTTTAACGAGAAAGGGCGTATTAGAGTACAATACTAGACTCACCGAGTATACCTCTCTTCTGGAGCTCTTGTAGAATAACGAGGGTCTTGCTTGCGGTTTCGACACATATCTCAGCGAGGCGTACCAGTGCCGGACTGACGTCACTACGGGAGCCGTCACGCTCTGGATCGCGACTATTTCGAGCCATGTAGAGCAAGATTGGCCGAACGGTATGGATCACAGCCTATGTGCGTTAGTAAACATCTCCTGTCTCTAAAAGCTGATCATTGAGTACCGAGTAGACCGAGATATGCAAGCTGGAGCTAGTTCTTGATACTGTGGTCGCTGCTTCCATGAAGATCCGTCCTGCAACGGTCAAACCCGAGGGCTTAATCTCCATTGAGTACTCTGGAGGCATAGTCTTCTCCACTTCGTACAGTGAGTGTAGGATATCTTGGACGTTGTTGATGAAGGTCGCCTCGGGGTCTTCCCTTTGCGAGTAGATCGCTGTCATGAAGTCAGTCTTGTTCCATTGAAGTTGTATCAAATGCATGGAAACTGGCTGGCGGTTATCTTGCCAGTGACCCTTGCCGCTTGAACATTTACGCCTAACGCTGTAGAAGATGGGAAGCCCAGCACCTCGTATGGTGGTTTTGTGGTTATCGCGTAGTCTTCTACGGACATGGGAAATCCTCCTGCAGCGCATAGCCTCCTGGGTAGAGAGTCAGCTGCCTGTAGCTTCAGTCCGGGGCAAGACTTGATGATTGAGTATCTACCTTTCCTGCATGTAAATTGACCACCACAACCTGTTCCTATGAACGCTGTCCGACCGCCGTAGGTTCTGACTTGTGTTTGCTCGGTGCATGCCATGGCTGATGGCCAGTCGCAAAGCAGTGTTGGACTACACGAGTAAGCAACCCAATCTTGCGGATGCCAAGCCGGACTCAACTTACATGCAGATATGCATCATCCTTTTGATCCGTAATCTGTAGGTATAACGCAGTTAAAGCCATGATTTCCACCTCAATGATACCATGCTTCCGCATATCACTCAGCAAAGGCGTCCTTTTCACTGCCTCCCGGAAGAACATCGTCCCCGGAAGCCCTCCATCCTCATCATCCTGTCCCTGTAGTAGCCTCCCGACCGCAAAGACAAGTAGTGCCTCCACTATCCAGGTCTGCGGCAACCGCATGTCGGCAGTGGACTCCTGATACAAGATGGACAGATTATCCGAAAAAGCACGCACGTCAAAGAGCTGCTGCGAAATGCCGACATTGAAGACCACGATATCGAGCATCGCATGGGCTTCCTCCTCCGTCGGCCACTGGCTTCCGATCGCTATCTCTAGTGTGCATCTATCGATGTGCGGAAGCAGAGTCACGGCGTTGATGGTGGACCTCGGACTGGCGGCTGAGCCGGGGTTGGAGCGGGAGACTAGGAGTGTCTTAATTTCGGATCCGAAGGTCTCGCTCGAGGAGAGAGCAGACTCGGGTACAATTTCTATGCGCCGGGATTAGTATCCGAGGCACAAAAATGTTGTCTGAGGGTCGGTATATAAGAGTACACTTACCTCTGCCTACCTGGGCCTCTGAGGTTCTCGTTCTTTCGAGGGTAGGGGATATTGCTGTTTGAGACATCGTCGGCACAGGCTGGACCAGTGTAGCGGGTGATGGAATTGTGCTGTCACCATCTGGATGGTCGTCAATATGCATGACTGTGATTTCATTCGAAGAATCTTCGACATCATGCAACTGCGCTGAAGCAGCGATCTCGGGAGCCGACTTCTCTCTACTTCGTCGCTCATAATAGGCAACTTTATCCTCGAGCTAGCGTATCTGTCTGCATCATGTTATTTCAATTTCAGCTACCACGTTACCCCCCATTGATGTCGGAAGTGAGCACCTGCAATGAGCCCGGGGTAAAACCTACGAGATGGAATACAACTTCCTCTTCTCCGAAGCGGAAAACACACAATCCAGCCCCCGCTTGGAGCAGTACTTGCAAGGCCGTTGACCGGAGCACTTGACCTTCTTGTCCCGACAAATTTGGCACGCATTGGATGTGCGAGCAGCCTCGGCTTGAGAAGCCGAGCGGAAGCGTCTGGTTGATGCCGTCGGCGTTGAAGCGCCCACCGCTGGTGGGCTTGCTGGTTTCCGGGTGCTGGTTCGACGATTCGGTCTCAAATCGACGTCCATATCTATCATATTCTTGAAATATTCCAACGTCTCTGCCAAGATATCGTTGCCGCGAATCAGAGATCTGGGGAATCGGATCGAGTGCTTGTGCGGTGTTGTTGGGGTAAAGGGGAGACATATCCGTGGGACGTTGTTCATGGGACGAAGTTGATTTAGTGGGTTGTGGGGCCGGCGCTCGGCAATTTGCACGCTAATTGAGGTGCACCTGAGTTTGGCTGTGTGTGAATTTGACTAAGTAATTATTGTCGTAGGGTATATATGGCGTTAATTACTGCCCGTAACTAACGGCGTCGTTTTTCCGACAATTATCGAAAAGAATATATACATGAAAGTGCGCCTGTGACAGATAGGCTCATGAAAATTGTTCGTCGCCTTTACTATAGCAAGGCGCCTAATTATGTCTAAAGAGAATAGAAAACTTCCTGTCTCGTCGTCGACGCACGCCTCAAGGTGAGTCGTACTTCAGGTACGCGCCGCTGCCCGTATCATGCGTCAAGTTCGTCTGCACAATGCGACCGTTCTTCAGGCTGCCACTCTCAGCAAGACCTCCAACAGCCGCAGAGCCGTTCAAACGATGTAGCTTATTCTCGCCAGCCAGTACAGTAAAGTTGGCCAAGGAGATTTCGTATCCTTGCTTGATCCTCGTCGTCGGGATACCAAAGAAAGAAGCATTCACAGCATCGTAGTCAATGCTGAGCTCGTAGTAGCCCCTGTAAAATAGGTCCTGCCACTGCAACTCGCGGTTCGCAGCCGTAAGCCACGCAGATCCCGCATTCGCCGCCGCCAGCGAGACATTCTGTCCAATCGGGCACGGTGAGCTCACAGCCGAGCCCGCGAACTCGACGCCGACGGATCCGGAGCCCGTGCTCTGGTCGTACTCGTGCTCGCCGAGCCAAACAAGATCGGAAACCCACGAGGCGTGCGAGTCACCTGCGAGGAAGATATTGTTGCCGACGTTTTGCTCGTACAGGACCTGGAAGGTGCGGTTGCGGTTGGCTTGGTATCCGTCCCATTGGTCGTAGTTCATCGGGTTCTCGGCACCGAGGGCCAGGCTCTGATTCATGCGGCTGAAGATGATTTGGTTGCCGATGACGCGCCAGGTCGCGCCGCGGGTGGAGCTTTGGCGGAGGGTTTTGTAGAACCAGGCTTCTTGGCGGGGGCCCATGAGGGAACGGCTTGCATCGTTGGAGATGGCGTGGATATAATTGGTGTTGGTGTAGACATCGGTGATCTATGGTAGGGAATATTAGAAAGGCTCTGAAAGCCTCGCGTGAGGAGGGGACTACTTACAGCGCGATCATACTGGCGAGTATCCAGCATGACAAGGTCGAAGAGGTTGCCAAAGTTGAACTCTCTCCAGATGCGGAGGTTGTCATCCATATCGACTTGGCGAATGGGCACTTTGATGGCGTTAGCATCGGTATCATTTTTGGGAAAGACTTAAACATACTCCACTCAAAGTATGCGCGAACGGCGTTCATCTTGCGCTGATCAACCGAGACACCTCCATCAGCGATGAAAGATTCTTCAGTGTTGTTGAGCTCAGACGCTCCATCTCTCCACGTATTGTCCGAGACCTCTGTTTTCAGTTAGTCTCAGGCTTCACATGACAAGGGAGAGCTGTTACGGACCGTGGTCATCCCAAACGGGGATCCAGGGGAAACTCTGGTGGCTGGCAACCAAGTCCAGGTCCGTTCTGTAGGTTGCAATACGCTTGCGGTAGTCATACAAACTGCACAACAGTCAACTTCAGTTGTCCGCTTGTGAAGCTTCGAGCGTTACTTACGTGTAGATCTGGCGATCAGGAAGAGGGATTCTATCGATTGAGTTGCCCCAACCGTACTCGCCGTTGCCGTACTCGTAGATGTAGTCTCCAAGATGTATAACATAGTCAACTGAGTCCTTCCGAACTGGGTTGCCGTACGCATTGAAGAAACCGAAAGCTTCGCAGAGTTAGTCCGGAAATTCAATCACTCCTAATTTGGGTACGGCGCGATGACGTACGGTAGTTGCTGCAGGAATAGACGGCAAGCTTGATTGGTGTTTCAACTCGGGAGTTCTTTGAAGGGATCGTCTTTGTGCGGCCAATCGGGGAAGTCTTGTTGGAATTGCAGATACCAAACTGATAGTCTTTCCTGCGTGTTAACTACTCTCCTTGGACAAGTCTGAACAATCGCGACTTACAGTAGACCGTGAAAGGCGCCAACCGCTTGGCCTCAACCTTGACAGTGTAATCCACGTCAGAGCTCGTGTAAGCAGTACCCGAGTCAACAACAGAATCAAGGCTCTTGCTCGCGCCGATTTTCCAGTCGATGCAGACCGGCGAGTCGCTCTTCTTCACGTAGTCCTCGTTGCTGTGGTCGTAAAGAGGAACGTAGCCGCTGACGGTCAGATTGCTCTTGTCATTGTCGGCTGTCGGAGCAGCACGCGTCCACAAGATGACGCTGTCCTCATACGGGTCGCCGGACGCTACGCCGTGCGTGAAGTTGAGCTTGGTCGGGTCCCAATGGGAGTTGGCGTAAGTACGCTTGGCGACCTTGTTGATGGAGACACCGAGCGAGGCATGGTGCTTGGATGGCGACAGGTAGTTGAGGTTACCCGTGAAGGCGCCCGATGCCGCAGTGGCCAGGGCCAAGACAGCAAAGATGGGCTGAACCATACTGACTGTGCCTATCAATGTCTAGGAAATTGAGGTGCCGATGACTTGACCGCGAAGAGCTGATCAGTTGGTTGCCAAACAAGAGCCATCGATAAGCTTTAACGGCGGAGGCCGCCATTTATGAGCTCTTATTGACATTTGGTTCCTGGAGCGAGGTACCAAGGATGAGCTTCCGCAACTTCCATCCCAGGCCGTTTATTTCTCGCTCTGAATGGACGCTCGCCACGTGCTTTCTTCAGATGGCCGGGCTCGTGGGTAATCATCTCAGCAATGATTGGACATTGAATCCCTTCGCCGGACATCAGAAATCGTTAGTCTTCTCTCAATGACGACAATTACCAGGGATTATCGTAGAGTAGCATTCGCGAACCCCTCTTCTTATCAATCGTGCATGCTGAGATGGGTATTAGTTTACTAGGCTTGCAGGGCACGGAAGTAAGTCCTCTTTATGAATGGCATATCTTGAACCGCGGCTTACACGTGCGGCCGGTCCCAGAGGTCATTGGTGGTCTTGGCGCTGCGGGGCCGTTGCTCCGGTCCTTCGGCTCTGCATCTTCAGCTGGGGGATCCTTGTCGATCCGAACATAGCAGGATCGCGAATTAGACAATTGCAACTGGTCAGGGTATTAAGAGAAGCACAATCTAATACTCGGTCAACGGGCGCTGGTAAGTTATTGGCATCAATCAGCTATTGGTGTGTAGGGAAATGCATCAGTCTTACATAAGGATCGGATTATCAAATCGCATTGCATGAATTCTTAGAATATTTTTTAGACTTTGAACATAAAGCAAGAATTCAACGTTCTACACTTGTCTTGAGCTGGTATTAATAACGCAGTATCAATGCGCGATTATTCCAACAAAATTTTCTGACGGGTTGGGTTCAGAAGTTTCATGCAGCTCATATCAGCGTTTTATTATTAAAAGAGAAGTGTTGCAGGATACAGGTGCAACGCCAGTTGCCCTCAGCCTCGTAGTGACTCATCACGTAAATTCTCTACACAAGCGATGGTGGACAGTACATGTATGTACGGCGGTAGAAAGTGAAATGCTGGTTTATCTTTGATTTCTTCTTCCGGCAACCACACCTAGCTCACTAGGTCTTACCGGAGACACTGATTGGCTATTACGTCAGTCGTTTTGACCACGGGAAGAAGAAAATAGGAAAGCTCACGAACGGATTACAAACGACAAGAGAAAACGTCACCGGGACCATGAAAGACCGGTCGTCAAGCCAAACAAAAGCCGCCACCACAGGAGTTATTGAAGTTAAAGAAAGCCATGCCATGTAGCTAAGGAAAACCTTCGATTGGTAGAGGTGGCCAATGACTGCGTCCGGGAGCTGCCCGGCGGCCTTTGCTGAAGCTGACAGCAAACCGCGTCGGCTTTGGATTGCTTCTGCCAGATTTCTGGGAATTTCATGCGAAGAGATTGTAGAGGTCCTTTGCGCGCCTGTTGTTGAAAGTCGACTGATGGGGCCTACCCCTCGTTCTTGTAGACAACAATTAGTCAAAAAGCCTACTTGGGGACTCGGGGAGACCCTCCCTGGTTCTGGTAGATATCTCACTTACCTAAGTATATTTGGGCAGCTACAAACACCGGCTGGCAAAGTAGCAGGACTGGGATTAGTTGACCGAAGCCCATCTCGCGCTCAGCTGACTGTATTTTCTCCTCGACTTGACCCCTGTTAGTGAAAAGTTGAAGTGTACCCCATGCTATGGTGGATGCGAGAAGGAACAGAGTAAGCATAAAAGACTCCAAAAGCTCCATGCTAGCCACTAAAGAGACATCGTCGGATTGGAAGCCCAATTCGACCGTGAGTAAGGGCAGAGTAGGGGCCACCTCGAGAGGGTACAATTACACCTCGACGGTCCACCCAACCTCCGGTTGGAATCTCCCTTCTACTCCTTACGCAGAATCAATCAATACCGAGATATTGATACTTCGTCACCCCCAGGACCCTACGGTTCGAACCAACTTCCCTGTGATAGGGATACCAACAGACATAAATGCTGACAGTAGTCTTGTATCTGGTCCTGTCGCAGCGCCACACGTGGCGCTGCCGGTTACTGCCGTACGATACCGCTTTCCACAAGCCGATTACCCGTCTTGTACGGTATATAGATATGATCCTCATACGGATCTTCCACTTAGAGGAATCAAGCCATTTTCTACTATACAAGTCTTCCACTTGCTACCTAGCTTTGTGATAGGTCCACGTATGCCATCTTGGTCGTTCCTGCAGTATGCGCTTTGCAGTCTTCTCGAGAAAGCACTCCAATCGGGCCCGGCCCCAAAAGCGTACCCAATCCCGACTGCTATCGAAGAATTGACATAACTTCCAAGCGAAAGCGCCAAGGAGAGAAGCATAAGATATCAAGGAATCGCTGCCTTTATTTACACTATAAAGACTTGTATTCCAGAGACAACGAACCGGTAAACCTTTGTTAAGAGCCCAGCCCTCGTGAGGTCACGTAGGGGTGATTTCGGTATATAGAATCTAAGCTGAAGAGGAGAGATTTGGGGCGGGGATTCCGCAGAGGAAAAACGTTCAAGTGGGACCCCCGCGGAATCGGCGCGGTAAGTCGTGGCAGAATCCGGGCCTTAGCCCGGATCCACTAATCGGGTCCAGCTCGTAACAACCTTGACCGGGAAAGAAATTTCCTATACTTCTCCTTGGCCATCCGTATGTTACTGTCGGGGCCAAAGCCGCGAGGAGAAGTCCAAGAATTATGATCATGGCCAAGACTCGAATAGACTGTAGTATTTTGTTCGTCTTAAGGCGGTCCCGGAGCACCGATAAGGACACAAGATGAACTGATGAGCTGAGCCACGCCAAGTATGTAACGGTGTTCCAATGGTAGACGCTAAGGTTGTTCCCCAAAGCTTGAATGTAACCGGCCACAAGGATGGCAAGGCCGGTGAGCAGCTGCTGATCGCTGAACACCAAGACTAGTTCCACAACGGTTTTCCTCCATGTGTCATTCGCTTGTGCTTGGCGAGCGAAAAAGATCCTTTGATCAACTCTGCGCACGAGACCCTCAGGCAAGGCTCCAAACCAGTATGCCCAAGCGATCAAAGCTAGAACTAGATAAGCGGACACCACAAAGGCCGTGAGCACCTATGGGCCATGTTAATCACGCCTCGTATGTTCCTTGAAAATCGCGGGCGACGAGACTTACTCCGCGTCCAGAGATGTCTGGGTTCGGGTAAACGCTTAGCTTGCAACGGTTAAATACATTGCTACAATCATCCGCAACGGCATCGACTATTCTGACGATGACTTGAGAAATACAATGTAGCTCTTGTACATGGCTTATTACGTTCCAGCTGAGAGAAGTGGTGGTGATAATCTCCGTCACCGCTGGCATCGCCGCTGTGCCGAAGGTGCATAGCGTACTCGTTACTGTCTCTGAGATAACTAGCGTGGGTATTGTGGTTGAAGGTGTGGCAATTCTCTATGGCCACTGCGATTGTTGACTTGCTGTGTTCTGGGTAGTATAAGGTACTGGAGGCCGGTGTCGTAAGAGCGGAGGTGAAGGAGAACATGGGGCGGGAGAAAAATACGGGGCTGCCGTAACCAGATAACATACCGGCTGGGCGAACCCTTGGCAGTCTGACATGAAAGCCACAAGGCTTCTCGTATGCTGCAGCCTACATGCAGTTGCCTGCAGTCGCTGGTGACATCATCCAACGACGTAACCCTGGAGCTATCTCCCACTAGGCTAAACACCACCTCCTATCTCCAATCATCCTTTGGTTTTCGTGCTTGTATCGTATGATACGCTCGCTTGTCGAAGTCTAAAGGAGAAAGGGCCACTTTAGTGAAGTCAACCTGTGCCGTTTAGATGCCATATGGGTACTAAGTATCTGAGGTATGAACTGTATGGCCAGATTACCCGCCTCTTCAACGTCGCGTGAGAACGGTGAGGATATGTGGAAAGCGTTTCAATTACAAATCTGTTCGCAATTTTTGGTTGAGTTCATTACTTAGTAATTACGGATTGAAGATTTAATATTAGCGAGCTGGGCAGCCAATAGTTATTGCTCAAAGCAAGTGATGTGCTGACAGCAGCAAACGCCCCCAACACCGATCGACCACACGACCCAAAAGGATGAAAATATGATCAAACAAGTGCAATTCCAAGTGTAACAATAGCCCCAGCCACAATCCATCCGAATGCAAGGGACTTGGCTTGGACGGGACCTCCTGAGTCCAAGTCAATGGGATCCTGAGCGTAGCACGATAAATGTTGCCGGCGTATCTTCTTGTAAAGCTTTTCGAAAGGTTCACGTGAAAAGGGACCCCCAGCACGGAGTTTAAGGTCTTCCGTCCGGTTGTAGAAGGCCTGGCCACTAAGAGTGTTTCGAAATTGAAAGTAGGAATCGCTTTAACGTGGTATCAGTATTTCTTGTCTCGTCTTCGGGAAGCACGCAAAAGCTTACAAAAACAGGTTGGAGAAGTTGCCAGTCATGGAAACAAATCCCATGCCAGGTTGAGGCCAATACCACGACCGTATCATCTCACCATTCTCGGAGACTCGATACTCTGTAGACAAATTCAAATTGTCGTTGCTTCGGAAGAGGAGACCAAAGTTTTCCCACTGAGCTGCCTGTGGTGGGACAGAAAGCCATACCAGGTCCCGTTCGTTGACGATCGTGAGATTGCCCAGGTGGTCGAAAGGTAAATCGAGATGCTTATAAAAGTTGCCACCCAAGCTGCTATAGCTACCCACACTCAAGATCTTAAGGTTTGGTAGCCGCTCAATGCTACTGAGGCTGTGTGTTGTTTCAATGTTGCCAATGATCTGCTCAGTGACGCCAGATCCACCCAGCACAAGTGTGAAGTTGCTTGGTTCTCCAACTGCAACCCAGTCGAAATCCAGCGTGCCAATTTTCGCAGCTCCGATTTGAAGACGCTTCACCTTACTCGCGTTTTGTATGTAGGCTCGGTCAACGCTGAGTTGCGGTTCCTGGAAAAATGCGTCAAGAGACTCAAGACCGCCCAGTCCAATATCCATGCTTCGATCAATCGATCCGTCAGGATAAGTGATACCAGTGATATCCCGACAGGCGCCCAATTTTAATGTTGTCAGTCTGGATGCCGACATGAGTCCCACGTAGCCCACCGAATCTAGTCGATCGACGTCGAGAAATTTCAAACTTTCCAAAGAACGAATGAAGAAATGACCGCCAACCGATTTCAGTTCTGGAAAGCTGAGGCTCGTGATCCATCCGTCGTTTCTCAGTATAACCGAGCCATTAACTCTCATGAGCGTACTGGAAGAGATGCTTGTGATGTTGTGGTTGAATCCGATGCATTGCGCCATTACCCATCCGCATTGAGAGTCGTTTACAAGGTCGCCATGGATAGCCTTCACTCCCTCGAGTTCAATCGCCGGGATCGATGCGTCGGTTCTGATAGTGACATGTCCGAAGATCTCGGGACAGCTCCGCAATGCGTCCGCATCCGCTTGTGACGTGATCACGACGGAACCACACTGCTGGCCAGAAACTTCTGTTGGTCGAGTGCGTCGTTAGTCGATCGATCACCAGGCCTCAAAGCGTGTTGTCTTACGATACTGCCCAGCAATGAGGGCCAACAAAAGCCCATACCTCAAAGTCAGCGACCCAAACATGTTGGAACGGTCAGATTCCTATCAATTCCGTGCGATAGACCGCGTGCGATGACCAAGGGGCACTGACTTCCTTAAAGACAATACAATATCCCATCGTTTCCACATCTCCACTGAATTGACTATCTGATTTCCCGTTCACCAGTAGGGCCGGCAAAATAAGCTTAAGCCTAATACACGATACACAGGGAGTAAACGGCTGCCTGCCAAATGTTCCGTAATGACAGGTCAGCTCGAAGGCTTAGCCTCAATCTTTCTCACGAAGACCGGGCGTCTACCCCTAGCGGACCGCTTGACAAAATTTTAAACATCTGAAAGGATCAAAGTCGTAGGGTCTTGAATGTAGGGTTACACCATTCGACCTGCCTACTATGCAGTAGCTTCATAGCTGCCAAGTCCGCCCTACCCGAGGAGGAGTTTGAACCGAAGCCAATGGCCTGATTTGGGACAACGAATCCGAACCATGACCAACCAGATAGTGCACAACTTGTGAAGAATGAGTTGCGCGATCAACTAGTCAAAGGAAGTCCGAAACTGCACCCGGACTGTTCACTCCAATTCTGATACGGTCATCACCTGCCCACTCAACGTGCTGAAGTTGCAATAAAGTTAGGAAGTCGCAGTCGGCTTCAAATGGGAGCTTGCAACGAAATATCCCAAGAACCCTCGTGCTAAGACAGACGTAACCCCTGTCTTTCATCACCTCCATCACAACTTCGACATCGGAGAGCTTCAGAGCATTTAGCGATAGGAGCCATTTCGAAAGTCACGTCGTTGTCGCCTCAAGACACGTACTCGACGTCAAGGCGCTGGGAAAGGGCTTTGAGGTACAGGGACAAGCAGACAATAAATTCAGAGCATTCAGACTTCGATAGATCCACCATAATTCTTTTCAAACAGACGAGTCCGTTTGGCAGGGCGTGTAGGCGGCAATAGCTTTGACAATCATCTCCGCATAGGTGAGTTGGCCACGTGTAGGGTTCTCCGTAGTCTCCAATTCAGGGTTACCTATAGGCTTATAACCCAAAGATTTAGGTAGACAGAGACTGAGTCGCTCTTCGGACACTTTGCAGTGGCCAACAATGCCGACGAGTCTCTTGGCACTTGTCGTAAGGGGCTTAAATCCCAGTAATTCTCGTCCGCTGGGTGTACTTGCGACCATAAAACTCCGTCGGACATTGACTTTATTCCCCGTCACGATCGAAAACTACCCATGACATGGTCGCTCCTAACACGATTTATCTTGGCAATTATGCAACTGCTGAAGAAGCCTCTTATTCTTGCTGTGGTTTCCAAAGATAGCAAGAGGCTCAGATGAGTGCCAAGTCGTGGTTAATCAATTTGAACTTTGTAAAGTGTCTTTGCTGACGAACTCTTTGCCTGCGACTGGACTTAAAGGACTGGCAATAATCCAGTTGAAGTAGATCAAATGAAAACTCATCTATCTCATCTTGTTCTTTGATATCTGTGCTCTTCTCATACTTCGACTACAGCCTCCATCCTCCGCAAATCATTAGCAACCATGAAACAACCAGTGCATATCCTGTTGTTATTCCTAACATTTGTTATATCGTCAGCAGGAACAATCGCACTCACCTTTGCACCATGCTACGCAACGTTTTGCTCCGAAGACTACTTCGAATTCGAGACTAGGTTACACCTTCTAGTCTACTTTGGCCTAGTCGCCGGCTTCGGCTGCTTCCTCCTCCTTCGATCTTACACCACGTGGGCTCATACCCTGAGTAGTTACCATCTTCTGCGCATGCCTTTGGGAGGCAAACGAATCACTGTTGGTGGTCTCTTAGCTTGTGTTTGGATTTTGGTGGTGGTTGCCTCTACGACTCTCTTTGGCTGCCTGCTCAACGAGATTTCTGGGGTTTCAGAGCTGACCCCCTGGGATGGGCGAGCGCCAAGCTCAAACTCACGATCACGGGAGTCACTGGTCATTATGCCGATATTCTTCTTGGACTACTGGTTATCCCTGTTTCCAGAAAGAGTCTGCTTGGCAGGGGGTTCTCGTTGCATCACAGCACGCTGTTATACGCGCACAAGATCGTTGCATACCTCTTCTCAGCATCAGCAACCGCGCATGGAGTTACCTACATTGTAAGCTCATGATCAATTGGTGGTTCTGGATGCAGACTCTAATTAGGCGCAGCTCTACGCAACGGATTCCAGCAGCGAGGGCGATGAGGCAAAGGAGGAAGCATTCGCAACCGGCAACCCAGCAATGACTCTATCGGAGAGCAAGCAAAGAAGCGAATGGTTCACTATGACCACATAGACTGGCATAGGTGTCATATTGCCCGTATGGTTGATCATAATCACGTCACTTCCATGGATTCGGAGAAATCACTACAACTTTTTCTACTACAACCACGTCATTTTCGGCCTAGTCATCTTCATCGGGGCATGCGTCCACGCCAGTACCGACTTTTACCTCCTCCTTCCCGGACTATTTTATTTCTCTGGGTCGCCGATTGGGCATGCAGACTTTTTGGTGGACAGACGGGCGGTATTGCCTCAAAGACGGGTGCCACCTTGGAAAATGCAGGCAACAACTGGCTCAGAATTTCCACGCATCTGCCAATCTCGAAGAAAGACTCAGGGAGTACCTATGATCTCATCCAGGAGAAGGGAGAAACTCTTCACGAACCTCTCAGCTACTACTATCTCAGTATTCCATCCATCAGCAAGTTTCAGAACCACGCTTTCACCGCAGCGGTTTCTGCTTCTACCGGAGCTGGTCCCACTTTCCTCTTGCAACCCACGACTGGAAAGAAGCAAAAGAGACTGGACAAGGAATGGACTTGGAAGCTGCGCGCACTCGTCCCCCAAGTCTTTGAGAGTAAAGCTGTTGAAGTCCGAGTTGAAGGGCCTTACAGTGTCGGTGACGACGGTTTTAAGACGGCTTCTCACATCGTGTGTGTTGTAGGCGGAACTGGAATCACTGGTGCTTTGAGTCTTGCGGCATGGTGGCTGGAGAAAAGACCAGCAAACTCGACCTTCACTCTCGTATGGGCTGTGCGGCAAGGAGAGGCTACGGCGATTACGGAGTGGACTCAGCTCCAGGAGGTGGCTTCCTCGGTTCCGGAGCTTACTGTAGTTGCACATGTGAGTTCAGAAAGCGGTCGCCTGGATCCTACAGCATATATCCGTGGAGCTCTCATTGTCGGACAACACACAAAAGTGTACCCGGTCGGACATGCTTGGGTCTATAGCTCTGGTCCGGCAGGTCTTATTGGCACTGTTGAGAGGGCGTGCGTTGAGACTCAGAAGGGCACCATTGCTGGCAGAGGCGGGAGAAGCACCGACTCATGGAAAGTACGGGATCTGGGGTGGTACATGGCGAAGTGGGAGGTTTGAGACCTCCAACTCTCAGAAGCTTCATAAGCTAAACCTTTTCGTTGTCATCCGCAATTTTCTGATTTTCTCTGGTTTACTGGTGGGTTAATGGACGGGGATCATAGGGACTTTTGTGCATTGAAATAGATTAGACTCTAACTTACATCTCTCATTTATATCGAAATATTTCAGAATACATGCACACCAAACAAGTTACACGTGATGCACGCACATTGGGTCAAGTCAGTTCGAATGGATTCAAGTACAGCGGTTGTCAAAATAAGTACGATTGTGTTATACGATAAACCAAATTGAAACCAAGGTGCGAGTCTACTACGCCCCGATTTCCTTCACCACCCTCTTGGCGACCTCGTCCAGGCTCTCCTCTGAAACACCAAGCTTGCTCATGTCAGAGACCTTGGCGCTGTAGTCACCGCCCCAGCCCTCACGCATGTGGTTGACGTAGAAACCAACCAACATAGCCATGTGATCACCCTGCTTGAATTTCTCATTTGAATCAGCCACGACAGCCTCTGCATCCAGAACCTCAACCTTCCAGTCCGCCTCCTTCGTGCTGGTAGCGCGCAGGATGCTGTCCAGCATGTCCCTCTGGCTGATGTGGAAGGACTTCAGGTACACAGGCTTGTTCCGGAACTGCTTCAACTCAGCATCAGGCAAGCTCAGAACACCAGCCGTAGCCTTTCCGGTGGTGCCAATAGTGGTCGTGATGAACTTTGTGTTTCCGCCGTCAAACAATCGAGCAGAGCGATTCTTGATATCGATGCCCCAGAATCCCTGGCCGAGAGACCAGTCGAACCAAGGGTTATTAACGATAGCGATCCAGCTCATGCCCAGCTCCTCGGCCAAATCACGGAACTGCTTCTTGCCCGCGACCAGGGGGCTGACCTCGAGCAACTTGGACGGCGCCGGGTCGGAGCCGAATTCGGTGGGTAGGACCCACTTGACGCCGGCCTTAGCCGCGGCGCGGATGAGAGGGGCCTGGCCCGTTATGAAGCTGTCGAAGCCGAGTTGCAGGATGAGCACATCCTGGCCCTTGAATGCGGAAACCAAGAAATCTTCGTCCGAGTAGTCGCCTTTCTTGACAATGACGCCGGCTGGGAGTGTGGCGGAGGATTCGGCGCGCGTGACGGCGGTGATGGTGTGGATGCCCTTGTCGAGGAGGGCGTTGAGGGTGAAGCCACCGAGGTTACCGCTGGCGCCGACGATGGCGATCTTGCGTCCTTGTTGTCCAGACATTTTTGGAAGAAAGCTGTTTTGATGTTATGTCGATTTGATGGTTATCGATTTCCTACTCTTTTTGAGGGATGTTGCTGTTGTGCTTGTGTTTGACTGAACGAGATGCTGTGTATTGCCATCCCCTATAACCAACGGGAGGACAGATGCAATCCTTTAATATTTCTGCCATATTGACAACTCGTAATGAGGCGCAAGCAATTCCCCTTTCCGTACTGAGCAAACAATGCATTATTGCTTCCAGCACCCGGATAGTGTGTAAGCCTTCAGAGACATTGAAACTCCCACCACGAAAACGCATCCGGTGAGCACGGACAACACCAAAGGTGCTGCTGACAACTTACAAATGGAGTGGCTGATTGCTAAGCTCCTGGGATGAGCTAACCTGAAAGGGTCCGAAAACTGCCCAGATGTGGCTGGTTGATGCCCACACCACGCGGTTCGGGGGTAAATTAGCCACGTTGGGACACTTCAGCTCCGAGACCTCGGATTTTCGAATTGCCCAGTTAGTGAATTTGGGATATTTTTTCTCCGAAGCGCCCCAAGATTGAGTAATCCAGGTCTCGTCATCACTTTTGTGCTAAAGACAACTCAGCGTTTCTTTGTACAACTTACGCGGGGCTTTCGTGCCGTGGCGGGATCAAGATGCAGACATCGTCTTCATGTTTGTAAGCTTGAATATTCTTGCGTTGTTTACCAAGAATCGAGCATCTATTCACAGTAATTCTGTTCGGGGAACAACAATTCGTTGTGTCTCCCCCATGAATGACCGAATTAACTTTGCAATTGGGCGATCCGACCGGCCATTGGATTTTCGTAATTTCGGAATGTCTCCGTCTCCGGCTCCGTCTGTCACCAGCTGGCCACTGCCGGACTCTTCTGAAACGCGCCTGTGCTCTCCCAGCTCATCCGGCCCATCGCTGACGGCATTCACGGACGGAATGTGTGCCCATTCATAAGTGCTCATCATCGCGTAGCTCACAACGACCCTCTGACGATCGAAGCAGTAGAAGCTCACGTCTCACTCAATTGTCATGTAGTGGGAGCTTTGATGAAACTTCTTCCTGCTACACTAGAGCGTTGACAACCAGCTCTCAGCCTGCTTCAATCACTTCCAGCCATGAGCTAAGGTACTGAGCGAGTCGTAAACTATCAGCCTTGAGCCTCATAGGCCCCCATCGTGATCACCTGGCCACACAGTATCGGTTCAATTCACCATGGCATCCGCTTCTCGGGATGGCGCCCGCTTCCAGCCGCTACCCTCGGGACCTTCAGGGCCGGGCTCCACCTCCTCAAGGTCTTCCTTCGACTCAACGTCCGATCCCAACGATGCCGACGACGAAGCTTTCGCCCTTCTATCCGATGCCGATGCCGCATCTCTCCTTTCGGATGACATTGAACTTGAAGAGTTGTCTACTGCCGGACCGTCCGTCGGCTCGGGCTCTCGTCCGGCCAAGACTCGCTCGGAGATGGATCAACGGTTCCAAGATGCCATCAACGCCGAGCGTACCATGACACCACGAGATGCCATCCGCGCCTATCCGATGGCCGTGTTCTGGAGTCTCGTTGTATCTCTATGTGTGATCATGGAAGGTCGGTCAAGTCCCAAAGCCGACCACGCGAGCACTCCGATCTAATGAGTTTACAGGCTACGACACCATCCTCATCGGCAGCTTCTTCGCTCACCCAGAATTCGCTAAGAAATTCGGCGACGGCAAAGACAATGAAGGCCGAGATCAGCTCTCAGCTCTCTGGCAAGCTGTGCTCGGTAACAGCAGTACCTTCGGCTGCATCATCGGAGTCATCGCGAACGGCTTCCTCGTCGAGCGGTGCGGCCAAAAAACCGCCCTCATTAGCTCCCTGTTCGTGCTCTCCGGCTGCATCTTCATCACCTTCTTCGCGACCAACAAGACCATGCTCATGCTCGGCCAGATCGCGTGCGGCTTGCCCTGGGGCGTCTTCGCATCGTCGGCACCCGCGTACGCGTCTGAGGTCTTGCCGATGACGCTGCGGGTGTACCTGACGACGTGGACCAACATGTGCTTCATCATCGGCCAGCTCATGTCCGCGGCTGTACTTGCGGGACTACTGCCACGCAAAGATGAGTGGTCATACCGGATCCCGTTCGCGTTGCAGTGGTCCTGGCCGGTGCTGCTCATTCCCCTGCTGGTATTTGCGCCGGAATCCCCCTGGCATCTTGTCCGGACCGGACAGCTGGACAAGGCAGAGAAGGCTTTACTTCGTCTACAGAGACGGAAAGTCAACAACCTAGACGCCAAAGTCCGTCTACGTGAGATTATAGAAACCGATAGAATGGAGCAGGAGCACCAGACAGGAACGACCTACTGGGACTGCTTCCGCGGCGTCGAACGTCGCCGCACGGAAATCGCCTGCGTAGCATTCGCAGGCCAAGTGCTCTCCGGTTCGAGCTTTGCCTATAACTCAGTCTACTTCTTTCAGCAAGCCGGGCTGAATCCGCAGGATGACTACAACCTCAACGTCGGTGGCACCGCGGTGGCCCTAGTCGGGACCGTCGTTAACTGGGTCGCGCTGATGCCGTACTTTGGCCGTCGTCGCATCTATCTCTGGGGCATGTTCAGCATGTCCACGATACTCTTCATCATCGGCATCCTCGACAGGATAGGGCGGTTGCCGAATGCACCCTCGTCATCCATAGGCTGGGTCCAGGCCTGTCTTACTCTTGTCTGGACCTTTATCTTCCAGCTGTCTGTCGGTCAGCTAGGGTGGGCTATCCCCGCCGAGGTTGGTTCAACGCGTCTCCGACAGAAGACTATTTGCGTGGCGAGATCTACCTACTACATTATGAACTTACTGGCCAATGCCTTCCAGCCATTCTTCATCAACCCAAACGCGCTGAATCTCAAGGGTACTACAGGCTTCGTTTGGGGAACTTCAGCGTTCCTCACGTTCATATGGGCATTTTTCCGGTTGCCGGAGACAAAGGGGCGCACGTACGAGGAGCTGGATTATCTCTTCCATAACAACACCGCGACAAGGCAATTTGATAAGACAGAGGTGGATGTTTTCGAAGGGGGTTATGAGAAGGTGTCACCGCCAATGTCTCGATGAAATTCTTCAAGCTCTCTCGTCGGATTCAGCTATCTGGCAAGATAGGTACTTACTTACATAGAGGGAAGGAATAGAGAACACGCATAGGTTGTAAGACGCACCGGCACTGGCTAGTCAACGTGTGTGATATGAAGTCTCACTCATGACCCGAAGAGAGAACAAAACTTTTATTGACTCTTATGTCATTTTCCCAGGACTGAGTCGACCTATTCCACAGTTGATTCTCACTTGAACTCATAACCAATAGTCGATGGTCTGTTGGCCATTTGAGGCCATAAAGGATCGTCGTTTTCTGAAAACTCATCTGACAGCTTGAGACCAGGGTCTTGAATTATGACGTAGTGAATGAGTACGCGTACACTTGTAGTCATTTCTTCGTTACCGAGGTCTTGTCAATTGTTAACTATGTTGGTCTTGCTGGATTTATCTTCGGACATCAGATGCCATAATCTTTGACTCGTCAACCTCGAATCAAATCCGGCAGAAGCTCACATAAAGAGCAAGGATCATAGCTCAACGCCACGGAATCTCCCCGCACATCCACAGCCAAAAGACACTCACACACACACACACACACACCGACCGAAGACCCCGGTCAAGATCCTCCCCCACCAAAGGGCGTCAGGGCGCAGCCAACACGCTGGCAAGCTTCGGAGACACGACGCTAACGAAGCGGTTACCCCAACGAGTAAGCAGCAACTATCCTCCCTCTCGTAGAATCATCCTCGGCAGCGAGCGGCCATTCTAATTAGCTATGGTTTCGCAAAACGCGCGCGCGGGGACTCTGGAACCAGCGGCTTGCCACGGCTTCGGTGCATGAGACGGGCCCGGGATCTTGATAACAGATGCAATGCGGGGAAAGCTAGCTGCTCGATTCACACAATGTTCTCTTTTCTCGGTCAGCTACCTATTCTCCAATTGCTCACTTCTTCACGTCTAATTTATTGAGTAGTAATTCATTCCGCGTGCATTGACCTCTGACTATCACTTCCCCCAACGTCTACGACCTTGACTCCAATTTAACCTTCTTCAAGCTCCTCATCTCCATCTTTGTTATCTCTCTCCTTTACTTTTGTTCCGTGGACACGGCAAGCTGAACTACAGTAGAGCTCTACACAACCCGTTTACGCATATTAGAGAGCGGGAATTCTACGAGGATAATCAACAACACGATAGCTTCCAGATTTGACAAACTCAACGACCCTCAAGATGGGTACCGTTGTGGAGAAGCGGGGCGGCCAGACGATTTACAAGTCCCCAGATCACATTGATCTTCCCAAAGTCGACCTCCTCACATTCCTGTTTGGTGAGTCTCATCGTCACGCAAACCCCAACACATTGCCGAGCTCGGCCCTTTACCAAATGCATGTACTGACATCGAGCAGACTCACCAAACGAACGGCTGCGCGATGACACAGTCCTTCACGCCGACGCGGCAGATCCATCCAGATCAATCACCAAATCCCGCCTTGTAAAGGCTCTCAAACAGCTCGGCCATACCCTCCGGCACCAGTATGGCATCAACAAAGGCGATGTCGTGCAGGTCATCTTCACAGGCCACTACATGGCACCCACCGTCTTCTACGGCATCATGGCAGCGGGCGGCACCGTCGCGGCGTCAACGCCCTCCTCCACCCCGCCAGAGGTTGCGCGCCAGATCAATCTCACCGAGAGCAAGATGGTCATCTGCAGCCCCGATCTCAAGGCACTAGCCGCTGCTGGTGGGTCAGCAGCAGGACTCCCCGATGACCGGATTCTCTACATTGGCGATAGCCACGAGTTCCAGCTGTTCGAGGCCAAGACGGATAAGCGAGTCCCTCTCTCGACGCACGAGCTCGACTGGGAACGGGTGACGGACCAAACGCGACTCGAGAACACTGTAGGCTGTTACATTTACAGCAGTGGCACCACTGGTATCCCCAAGGCAGTCAAAATTTCTCACGCAAACATGATTGCGCAGACCATGTTCATTTCAACGCCGACGATAGAATATTACAAGACGCACCCAAAGATTGAGTACATCACGCTCGCGCATCTGCCGGCGGCTCATATATCTGGTCTCCAGGCCTACATCGTCAATCAGACCTTCATGGGCGGCATCGTCTACTGGATGAAGAAGTTCAACTTTGTGGAATTCCTGGACTACGCGAAAAAGTACAAAATCACCTCGTTCTTCAGCGTACCGCCCATCTATCTCATGATTGCGAAATCCCCGTTGGTAAAGGATCACCTCGACACCGTGGAGTTTGCCTTCACGGGAGCTGCTGCCCTGGGAGGAGAAACCCAAGCCGAAGCACAGCGAAAAATGGGCAAGGGGAAAGCGATCCTCGGTCAGACGTGGGGTCTTAGCGAAACGACCGGTGGGTTCACGATCCTCCCACGCCACCTCACAGACGACACTGGCAGCGTCTCCATGATTGTAGCCAACTGCGAGGCTCGCCTGGTCGATGATGAGGGGAAGGACGTCGAGGTCGGACAACCTGGGGAGATGTGGTGCCGCGGGCCAATCATCACCAAGGGGTACTACAAGAATGATAAGGCCAACAAGGAGGCGTTTGTCGATGGCTGGTTCTGCACGGGTGACCGCTTGTCTTTCAAGGATGGAAAATTCTACTTCGTTGATCGGAAAAAGGTTCGTAATATTTGATTCATGGTATCGGTGATGCCTCGAAGGGAGCCACAGCTGACCATCTTCAGGAACTCATCAAGTACAACGGATTCCAGGTGGCACCAGCCGAACTTGAAGCATTGCTGGTCACGCACCCGAAGATCCAAGATGCAGCAGTAATTGGCGTCGACGGCGAAGGCACCGAACTCCCAAGGTACGCAACTTGTAGCACTCCATCGGCCACCACAGATTGGTATACTAACAGCCCCCTTTAGGGCCTACGTGGTCGCCGATAAGAAACAGATTTCTTCCGAAGAAATCCAGAAGTGGGTGGCAGATCAGGTTGCAAGTTACAAGAAGCTTCGTGGTGGCGTCATTTTCATCGATGCCATCCCAAAGAGCCCCTCGGGAAAGATTTTGCGCAAGGATCTAAGGGCACTTGTCAAGCGCGAGGCTGGAGCCAAGCTTTGATAGAAATCAGGTGCTAAGACACCCCATGGAAAGTGTAAACGAACGTCCTGCTCACTTGCTTAAACGCCGCCATTCATGGCTCGGGGCTTAGTCCTGAATTTCCTTTGATTGTGGTTCCCCAGATGCTATGTAAAATTAAGCCTCAAACTTTGACGCCTGGTACTGTAAAGTGATTCGTTCTAATCCAGGTGGGGATAGTATGAAATCAAAGTCGATCCATACGCCTAATGGAACCATTATTGATCTATCTATCTCCGAAGGATATTGCTCCATGCTCTATTTGCGTGCTCCCCTACCCTTCTTCCCACTACGATCTCCTTCATCCTTCAATCGTCAACTACATCCAGCCCACACTCAGTCTCTCGGACAACCACTTCAATCACTCATTCTATCATTATCATATCTTCAGATCAATTCTTCAACAAACGCCATCATGGGACTTCTAGCATCCATCAAAAACCGTCGTATCGGAACAGGAAAAACTCAACCTATATCTGAAGCATACAACCATATGCAAGGACCTATGCTGTATTACTCCCCAGCCATAGTCATCCAACAACATGCCCCCTTGGATCCGACTACCAATGGCCCTCCGACAAATTCGACCCCGATCGAGCAGGAAAATCAACGGCTTCTCCATCTTACGCAAACTATGGCGGAAGAGAGAATGCGAGAGAAAGCTGTTTACAGCGACTTCCTCGAAACCGCCTATCGAGAGAAGTATGGTGATCAGTGGGATCTCCATCTTAAAAGCGAGCACCCAACATTCGAGATCAAGCGAAAGCCCGTTCCTTCCAGCCAGTCGAGCTCTCGGGGTTCCAGCCCCAGTGCCTCCTCATCCCGCTATAGCGGCACTCCCATGAATGAGTATTCTTCGGGGTCGTGGTTCAACACACCGAGTCCCGGCTCCAGTCGATCCAGCTCCCGAAGCCCTTCGCGAAGCGAAGCCAGCAGCCGCTCAGATTCTTCAAAAACACTGGTTAACGGGGGCAAGCACTTATACTTGGTCACTGGGAGAAACCACTCGCATGCCGCAGTATGGCCCGTCAGCTACAATCCTCCGCCATACATTGCCCACCGCCCTCTTTCCATCATTTCAGAGGACGGCACTGGCGAGACGGCAGCAAGGGCAGCCCGGCAAGCACTTCTTCAAACAGCTCAGAGGCAGGTCACGCCCGTGGCAACCGGCCACAAGAAGAAGCTGAAGTATGTGCCAGCTCCCAGGAGCCATTTGGCTCGAGGAACAGTGCGCAATAGGCGCTAGTGGTGGGCCCGTTGGAAGTACCTAGAAGGGGAAGTCACTTAAAGCTCCTAGCTTCAAGGTGGATAAACGAGGGCCTATTAATGGTACTCGATTACGACGCATCATATAGACTCAATTCAGGACGACCGTCTTTCTGATGCAGTAGCCTACGCTCTGTGTGTCATTATTTGATATACCTATTTAGGACGGATAATGGATGACCTTTGGCAACAGCTGGTTGTAAGGGAAAAGCATAAGCTTCGAACCACGTCAAGTAGAAGCCCTACTAATACAACCCATTCGTAAATCGAACAAGCTATTAGTCAGTCAGCCATTTCAATTGGATGATTCGTGAAAGTAGTAATTCGTGTTCAAGTCGTCAAGTCCAGGAGGTGGGCGGGCGACATTTTTTGCTCCACTCATTAGCAGGCCCAGTTTCTGCCTACTCCATTCTATAAACTTTCAGAGGTATGAAGTCTGCGTCATCAAGACATGAATGAGCATATGCATACCTTCGAGTAAGATTTAGTACCCACAAGTCATTGATAGAATGGCCTACGAAAGGGTACGGGAGCTACGGTCTGGCTCAACGCGACGTGCTGTTTCCCATGCGGGTATTCGTACGGAAAACTCTGCCACGGAGTCTCCAGCCTCGGACATCGGGGCACGCTCTTCCATCGCCGACGGTAATTCGGCCCCCGCAGACGAAGAAATAAATATCGCCTCTTTCGCCGTGAATCTCCCGGCTGAGACCGACGACTCCGACACTTCGGCCGCCGCTGATCGCCCGCGCAAGCGCCGCAAAATCTCCGCCGCCGCGTCTACCTCTGAGCCCGCCGGCCCGGCCGCCCCAGCCCTCAACCGCCCCGGTGCCGTGCGCCCAAACCCCTGCCTTCCTTGCGTCAATCACCTCGCGAAAGCTCGCCTCCCCGAGGCGGTCGAACCCTGCCGCGACTGTCTCCGCGGCGCCGCTGTCCGCTGCTTCGCATGCGCGGACCCCACCAGGAAGGCGCGCTGCGACCCCATCGACGACAACGTGAGGGCGGCCTGGGCCGACTACAACGCCCTCATAGCAGCAGCTCAGGCCGAACCAGATCTCAATATGGCCAACTCCCACAACCATAGCGCCGTAAGGGCACTGGGTCGTCTCCGGGCAGAGGCTGCTTCCCAGACCAGAGCCGAGAACCTTAAAGCCAAGGCGAAACGGGACGCCAAGAAGGGAGGACCCGGCGCCTCCAACAATGAGACAGTGACACAGGGTCTCGTCCCTGCCATCATTACTCGCCAAGACGCGCTTGCTCTCCAGCAGCAGCATGCTGCTCTAGCGGCTATCTGGGACCAGATTGCTGCCCGCGAGCCTTCCGCCTAGAGCGAGAGGGCTATTCCGGGCTGCAACTAGTGGGCATACGCAAAAAGTCCGACGGCGAGGATAGCAGCTTTGATTGTTTCAGGAATCCTATGATAGCGTTAATAATGGCGCATAAATGGCCGAAGACTGGGCTGGGGGTCTCTCAATATGGAATCTATTACTGACAGATCAAACATGACTGATGTAAATTTCGTATTTCTTCGTGGGGAGGCCACTACAACAACCTGCATTCTTACGGACCATCAAGGCCGTAAACAGTTGAGGCATCAGTCCCAAAGCATCATTGCCTACGAAAAAGGCGACAAGAGATATGTTCAGCATGGTTTCTTTAGCATAAGTTGGTAGATCGTGCGATGATGACACCAAAGTCTCCACCATGAGCATCAACCTCGAGAATTACAACAAGACGCACCATAGACGATTAGCCCAGCAGCCTTTATCACGTTTGACCTAAGAGAGTCTCTTCCAAATAGTTGAAGCGCTATAGAGTATGAAGATTTGGTACCAGTTCAGAATAAGTAGACAGAGTTCCGCTTCGAGACGTGAAAATTAGGGCCTCATATCTCAATTTGGGGTTCTTCGCCGAACTACTCGTATTGCTGATCTGACACTTATGACATTAATCCTTCGAGGAGCCTCATGTCGCATTTTGCCAAGTGAAGTGGATTTCTTCGGCGGCCCAGCCGGCCTTCCAGCTGCACCATCCTGCATGAATCCTAAGCAACCTACTTCAGTCGAACCACTCTTTGGTGAAAGTGCACATCATGGCCTGGACTCAAGATTTGAGGCTTTTACATCATAGAATCCGAGACAGTAGTCACATTTATCGACTCTGTCACATTTGCTGCAGGCTGAGGCTGACCGAGTGATTTTCTTGCCCACCACCTTGCAGCTGGTTCGGCCAGTTAGGCGAGCTCGCAAAGAAGCGAGACAAGACGATTGTCTCTGTCCCCCACCTTCCTATTTCACTTGGTGTCAGTTCATCCCATCTTACCCATGCGTTCCATGGCCCAAGTCTTAGGATTTGATGCAATGTGACCATCCACTCGTGTCCCAGACCGTCGGAGCATCATCGATAACTTGTCTTCATGTGTGAATGAGGTGAGGAATGCTACGATTCGTCAGCCGTAACCTTTCAACATGTGGTTCTTCCAATAAATCAAATAGCAACATGACTGACCGACATATCAGGGGTGGTCAGATAGAGTCCGGGGTACCTGCACTGACGTGAGATGAATTACTGCGCAGACCAGTCGGTAAACGCGTGTAACCCCGGCAGCGGGGCGGGAGAGCCCGTCAAGGGAGCGGCTGCGGGCCTCTAGTCCGAGAGACCGGGGAGCCGATCCTTAGAGTGAAAGTGTCGCCATCGACCGGCGCATGTGTAATCCTTCATCAACCCGTCACCCCGTGGGTCTATCCTCGTGCACGTTAGGCTCTCGCCATCGCTGCAGCTTACCGCCATCGGATGCAAGATCTAGAATGTCTCACTACTCGCCCTGATTAAGGTTGTGATGGCGGTCAAGCGCGGACTGTTTCTCGGCCAGTGGCAACATCAAGGGAGTGAAAGGTGAAAGCTTCCCTAGAACCCGGTAATACCTATCAAATGGAAACTCCGAGACGATCCAGCCAAGGGAGATGTCCAACTTCGCACCTGCATGACAACGCCACATCCGTCAGCCTAATTCTAGCCTCGAAGACCCTTGGAAGTCGGACTTGGCACTGAGAAAACTGTGTGAGCTGGTCTGAAGTGGTGTGCTCCATGTTTCGCAGCGGGATATAACGATTGGTGGTTAGGAGGGGCCACTTCTTCTTGGCTGCGCTGAGCCTTGAGTGATTTCCAATTTTCATCCCTTCAGAGTGTGCGCAACCCCCCTCCATGACCCTGTTAGTTCGTGAGAGCGTCATTCGTCTCCTCGGATCCCCTCGCCTTCCTTCAAGAAGGTCCTCGGTGACCATGCAGGGGAGATCGGAGAATCAATGGACTTACGTGACAGGATTCAGGCAACGTTGCGTCCTCATCATCGAGTAATAGATCATGACGTGCCCAGGCCCTGAGGCCCGGCTAGACCTCACGATGAACATTATATGCCGTTTGTGAAGACTATAAGTAATCCAGTGCTTCTCCCAGCAAGAAAAGATATGAGAGATGCCCAAGACATCCGGACTTAAATCTCTAGCCTCATAGTTCAATCCTCGTCACAATGCGCTCCTCATTCATCGCATCTGCCCTCGCGGCAATCCCCCCAGTTCTTGCTTTGACCCGGTCTCCTGCACCGACTGTTACAAATGGTCAATACGTCGTTGACGGCTACGCATATGCCAAGCGCCAGATTTTCAACTTTGCAAGTGGCACTACCCTTCCCAGCAACCTCTACAAGAGCACCTGGAACATTTCTGACCCACCTACCCATCGCTTCGATGCTGCTAATGTCGTTGTCGGCGGCGGGTACATGAACCTGAAGGTTCCGGGTGGTCAGACAGCGATGCCTTACAGCTCTGCCGAGGTTTCCACAACATTCAACGTCAAGTACGCTTCAGTTCGTACTGTCGCTATCTTCAGTGAGCCAGCGGGAGTCTGCAATGGTAAGTCGCGCATTTACAGTCGAGTTGCAAATCCATGCTAACAAAACCCCATAGGAGCGTTCTTCTATCAGAGTGATACCCAAGAGACCGACATCGAGTGGCTTTCCGATGCGGCTTCCCTTAGCAACCAGGGAACTCGCAAGCTCTGGCTCACCAACCAGGATACCGATGGCGACGGCATCAAGACATACAACGCCATCTCTCCCCCTGCCAGCCCGACTAACACCGAGCACGAGTACCGTCTCGACTGGACTCCTGGCCGTGTAACCTGGTACGTTGACGGCGTCCAGGTATGGACCACGACTGGCGATGTGCCCACCGCCACTGGTCCCTGGGTGTTCAACAACTGGTCCAACGGTGACAAGGGCTGGAGTGCCGGCCCCCCCGCCACCCAGGCGGATTTCAAGATCAAGGATATTTACATGTACTACAACCAGTGATCTGTGGAGAGATGTTTTCACAAAGAAGTACATGTACCTTGTCGAGAAATGCGGGACTATCTACATGTACTTGTATGAACATGGGTTGCATATCATTTGATGTCTCATGGTTTCGAGTAGTACTAACCTTAATGTATGGAGTGGAAATTCAAAGACTTTTGTTTGTGCTATGATTTCACCTATTCTGGAGTGAATTGAACTTGCTCAACTTGTATTATCATCAGACCGGGAAGAGTTGAACTTCTCAACTGTGTATCCCAATCGCGGATGGTTGGAACCGCGGGCATGTAAACTTCAATGTTCCCTTCCTTGTGCGTGCTAGCAGAATTAGAAAGTACGGTCCGGGTGGGTGCTCAATTGCTCTTAGTCTTGACGTTGTGATACTACACATGCATGTTAAGTGGACGAGAATGGTCGCATGATTGTATCCAGTTCAGTTTTGATGCAGTGAGCTACCATCTATAAAACTCTACGAGTCAAATCCAGGCACAGAAATGTCTACCCAATAGGTACCTTTGATCAACCCAATGTTCATCTCGCAAGACAATCGCATTGACCCCCTAACCTTAAAGTTACTTAACAGACAGGAATGTTGATAACATCGCCAACTTGAAGCAGAAGAGGGTCGACACCCTGGTTGACAGCTTGGAGAGCGTTGACATCGAGGCCGAAGCGCTCGGCAACGATGAAGAAGGTGTCGCCAGAAACGATGGTGTAGGTGGCTGGGCCGCCCTTAACACAGGTGCCGGTGCCGGGCTTGGACAAGCAGGAGGTGTTGTCGGGGTTGCAGACGTAGGTTGGGACCTTGAGGACCTGGCCGAGGGCAATGTAGTTGGGGTTGGTGAGCTTGCTGGCGTCGGCGATATTGCAGATGCCGGAGCTGTACTTCTGGGAGATGATGGTGAGGGTATCGTTGGAGACGACGGTGTAGTCGATAGTGGGGCCGGGAGAGCAGGTAGGGGTGGCCGTGGCCGAGGCCGTGGTCGTGGGAGTTGCCTGCTGTCGGGTTGTTAGTTTGAGTTCATATTTGCTTATGGCGTTGTTGAAAGGCCGTTCAAAGTTCGAGTACGGTTTCAAGAAGTGCAGGAGATCGAGTCAGCTTACAGGAAGGGCAGCTGCCAGGCCGGCAACGGCGAGGACGGAGAAAAGGGTGGAAGTGAACTGCATGTTGACTGATTTGGAAGAATCAAGATTATTGAAGCTTAGCGAAGGAATGGAAGTTGGTAGTATCGAAACGATTGTGTTTGTATAACGAAAGACTGGATCGAAGAGCTGGGTGCTGATGATGATTTCCTAAAAGGTCTGTAGCATCCAACGATCTCTTGCCCTACTTATATGAAAATTCGACAGCCCCTGAGAGAAGAGGGAACCAACAGTTCGGACGCTAGCATTCTGAATCCCATGAGGGAGCACTTGGCAACGGCAGTGTCTGTTTGTGGGGGCATATTGGTTAGGGGCTTGTTCATGGAGGGGCTGTGTGATGAAGCTCTCCGTGTTTTGTTCAGGCTAATTCGCAGTGTGTCAAGGCGCGAGACAACAAGCGACAGTAAACGAGGCGGTTGCGAGCAGCGAGTTCGCGCTGTGAGGGAGACGTATTTCCCGAGCCATGGGCTTGGGTCACTCGGAGGACTCGGGCATGATCATGTTCATAGCAAGCCAAGCAAGTAAACCTAAATTTCTGGAGATCGTGGCCCCTTGATTGACTCGTGCCGGACGTTGGGTCTGGGGAGGCCCTCGCAACTCTGCTGCGATTGCCGGGAGGTCAAGACGATGTTTCTAAAATCTCAATATGAATTCACTCAATATCCCTCCCATTCAATTTTAACTTTTCATTTAGTGACGTGGCTGTCGTCAGCTTCACCACTTTGGCGCCTCCGAGCTGGCGATGGCCGAGCATTGATATTACTAACGTGAGGTCTTCAGAAGTGGTAACAGTGACGCGTGTCGAAGCAAAATTCCATGAGAAGACTTCTACTCGAGAAAAGTGCTTCACAGCCTGAAGTCTCCTGAAATAGGAGAAGTATCGGTTGGCTCCGTGTTCGCGATCCAACGTTGACGGGTTATCACGCGGAGTATATAGCCGGAGCAATCAATCAAGGTTTGAGCCTCATTTAAGGTCACCCCACCCTCACCGTCCGAGCCATCGTCTCATCTCTCGCAGCCTGGCACCGACCGTTTGCATCGAAATTGTCAGTCTGAGCATTTCTGCTCACTTTCCGAGTACTTCAATCATTGGATGAACTTCCGATAATGGTACATGTAGTTTGACTTCGACAGTTGCTTGTTCATTCGAAAGTGGGAGATTCCTTTGCATGTCGTGAACACTGTGGACGACCTCTCCACTTTCCACCGACTATCTTCTGGGTGTTTCCCAGGTCGGTCTCGGATTGGTGAACTTAGACTCCGTGTGGAGATCGCGGAGGGATCCACGTGCCCCAAAGCCACGTTATGCTCCCAAGGAGCCCCGGGCTTTCCGATCAGTTCGCAGTGAAGTGACCTTGAGGCGGTGTTGACTATTATTACTAGGACACCGTTCCCACAGACTTGATGAAGACCCAGGTGAGCGGTAGCCACAACCGAAATGCAACCTCGTGTTGTCCGTAAAGGGGTCGCATAGGAGGCAAAAGCGGACCTGTCGGATTGGAAGCCCAATTCGACCGTGAGTAAGGGCAGAGCAGGGGCCACCTCGAGAGGGTACAATTACACCTCGACGGTTCACCCAACCTCCGGTTGAAATCTCCCTTCTACTCCTTACGCAGAATCAATCAATACAGAGATATTGATACTTCGTCACCCCCAGGACCCTACGGTTCGAACCAACTTCCCTGTGATAGGAAATACCAACAGGACCAGACTTCCCATTTCTGCACTCAAAGCCTTGCCATACACATATTGCAATCCATCGATTTCGCCGGCATGTTGCTGTCAGTCATACGGTCTTGGCGTGAATGCCCTCATGATTGCGGGGCGCGTCAAGCTCGGCGGTCTATTTTTGAGAGTTTCTGCGGAGTCGAGATGCTGTCAAGCTTTTCACCCAACGGTACATCGTCTATGTTATGAGCGGTGCCGCCGTCTCTGCCGAGGATTCGCTGGATCGGATGGACTCGCCTAGAAGCTTTGGAAAGGGTTATTTTCGTATCGGAGGCGACTTAAGGAAATGCGTCTCCTTAGTCGGATCGTATTCGATATGGCCTCTACGCTCAAGCTGCAAAGAGCAAGTTCTTTCATGCCCACAAGACGATAGTCTTGGATGAGCTACTCTTTCAGGAAACGAATAATACATCGCTGGAACGAATGTTCGTGATGAAGACAATTGGAAGCTCGTCAGCAGACTCTCATGCGTGTCTGGCCTTCGATCAATGACTTCATTCTCCTGGGACTTTCTTCGCTCAGCCTTAACTACATGCTATTGATAGTGCTTGCCCGGCCTGGGCTTTTGGATGAACTCACTGCTCTCTTGACTACCTTATATTAGACCATCAACTTGATAGAGCACGTGATGATGGGTCTTAGGACCACTTCTTGTTGTTTTCAAAGGCTATTGCGGGCCACGACAAGGCATGACTTGGCCTATGAAAAACAATGTCAAATTCTCACCCCCTTCTAAACTATGACTCGCAAACTCGAAGGCAACCGCGCGCTTAGCAGCTGTAAAAGCGATAACGCTTAGAAGTTACTAGGAAAATGAAGAGAGCCAACCTTTGAGGTAAGGCAAAGAACAGTTGAATTTGGTCGGCATTGACGTTCCCTGGGAGTTAATGAAACCTGATCAACGATTGCAATTCTGGTCCCAATCCATGACCGTCTTGATGGTCCTTTCTTATGCTCTAGTCCTGAAATCGCGATATCATTCTGAGTAGCCTCACGTAGGACACGCCGTCTCATGTACTTGGTCATGAGTGTTGACCCGGTCAGCAGGCCCGAAGGCTGCTCCGTACCTGTATCTACTATCTAGTGTCTTTGTGGGTAAGGCGGGGAATACACCTGACGATACCACCACGCAAGCAAATCCTCATATCATGAAGAGACAAATCATCAATCAACCCCAGGACCTATCGTTGCGGCCTCCTGCCATCACCTGCCGCTCGAGAAAACGTGGCTAAGCATGCATTTCATCCGATCAGTGTGTCTGGACGATCATGATGGTGGCCCGCTTCCCCGCACGATGCTGGAGAATCTCCGTCCGTTCCCCTCATCTCATCAGTTGCATCCCCAGCCTCCGCTTTTAGCCGCCCCAGATCAACCCCAACTTAGTTGTTGCGCACCAATTGCAGGAATGATCTGGCCCGGGATTGAAACTCATGCGATCGCCTTATTTGCGCGCAAGTGAACGTTTCTCGGCATTGTGTAATCATCCAAGTCGGCTCATGTCAGAAGGTAGGAGGAGAGTCATTATCTGGTTGTGAGAGGAGCCGCGATGAACTAGCTTCGGGTACTATAATAATAAGCTTATCACAACTGTAGTCTTCTCTAAGACTATGATATCGATCAGTGGTGTTCTAGATCAGTCACGAACATGATGCTCTCCCTCCTTTCAGCTCTGGCGCTGGCGGCGACCTCTGCCCTGGCCCAGGATACCACGTTCACGAATCCTGTCCTATGGCAGGATCTGGCTGACCTGGAGGTCATTCGCGTTGACGACACATACTATTACACAGCTTCAACGATGCATTACTCCCCGGGAGCTCCCGTGCTCAAAAGTTACAACCTTGTCGACTGGGAGTATGTGGGACACTCAGTGCCCGAGCTCATCTTCGGAGAAGAGTATTACCTGAATGGTAGTACGAGTGCCTATGTAGGAGGTATCTGGGCTTCTTCCTTGAAGTACCGGGAAAGCAATGGGATGTTTTACTGGTACGGATGCATCCAGTCCGGCGGAATGAAGACATGGATCTTCACCGCGAGCGACCCGGCAGGGCCCTGGACTGCTCAAACGCCCATAGACGAGTGCTTCTACGACTTGGGTGTCCTTGTTGACGAAGATGACACTATGTATGTTGCATACGGAAGATACAATATCAGCGTTGCTCAACTCTCACCTGATGGACTGCAGCCAGTCAGGAATGAGGTAAGCTTCAATTGAACTTTCGAACATGCGGAGAGCATCACTAACTTCTCTTCTAGGTCGTGTGGGTTGATCCAGTGCGGTACTTGGAAGGAGCAAGATTCTATCACATCGGTTCCAGCTACTACATCTGGTTGACCAAGCCCGCCGATGGCCAGCATGTCTTGAAAGCAGATAACCCATGGGGTCCTTACACAAATCGCACTGTTCTCGATAGAATGGTTTCTCCGATCCCGAACTCCGGAACACCTCATCAGGGTGGCATTGTAGATACCCCCGATGGTGACTGGTGGTACATGTCATTCTTAGACGCGTATCCGAGTGGCCGCATTCCAGTTCTGGCACCGTTGACATGGGACGAAGATGGCTGGCCTCATATTGTTACGGATGAGGCCGGGGGATGGGGCGAAACTTACCCGATGCCCATCCAGACGGAAAAGAAGGTGAAGGCAGCTGGGGCCTATACCGACAACTTCGATAGCTCTGTTCTCTCGGCCGAATGGGCTTTTAACCACAACCCTGACAACTCGGCGTGGGAGCTCGGTTCTGACGGCCTTACATTACACACAGCCACCATCACAGACGATTTGTATAGAGCGAGAAATACTCTTGCCCACAGAATTCAGGGGCCCAAGAGCAGCGGCACGTTCCGACTGAATCTCGGCACCATGGTCGATGGCGATGTAACTGGCATCTCGATCTTCCGCGACGAGTCTGCTTACATTGGTTTCCGGAAGGAAGGCGATATTTTGAAGCTCGTTGCGGTTCATGATCTCATCTTGTCGGAGAGTACGGGCTGGCAGACCACCTCCAATGGCACGATCGTGGCCACCGCCGCCGAGTCTGAAGTCGAACTGTCAGGGGTTGCCAACGGTTCTGCAGACATCTACCTGCGCATAGTTGCAGACGTCCAACCGACCTTTGGAGTTGAGGCGGATAACCCGAGTCAGCTGCTGTACAGCCTCGATGGAGAGAACTTCACTCAACTTGGACCGGACTACCCCCTCCACAACAGGTGGCAGTTCTTCCTAGCATTCCGTTTCGCGGTGTTTAACTATGCTACGAAGTCTCTCGGGGGCTCAGTTGTGGTGAAGGAGTTTACTCTTGAGGCTGTGAACTAGCCCAACCCTTCTCGATCAGGACTACCTTTGGCGCTGTAAGCTTCATGTTTTCTTCAACCTGGTCGTCATTGAGGACGTCACGATCCGGGCCGATATGAAAGTTCGTATGAATGTTGAACCCCTTCGGTCCATCGGTTCAATTCATCTCCTGGCTAGTCACAGATAGTCAGAATATCTCAGTCATGTATCTACAAAATTTCGGCCTTTCTCAGATGTCCTTCTACGATATGTTCTCTGGGAGTCGAGTCGGCTCATGGGCCGCACTCAGCAGTTTGCAATCCATTGGTCTCGAAGCAGTCGTTTTGGAAATCGTTGTTTCGCACGGGGTCAGATACGATAATGCACTGTGTGAGGAAACAAAGTACTATTAGTAAAGGGTAGAGCTGGGGTAGCAGAGGGCGTATTTGGTCGAAGGCTTACAGCATCGCCTTCTGTTCCTTATTTTAGCACTCTTTTTCCAGTGTGATGATATTCGGGGGTTGACTTACTCATATATCCTTGGTCGTGGCATGCAGAGGTCGTCCAGTCAACGCGGACTTTCTTGGATGCCTGTTCGCGGCAGAAACAGCTGATCTCCTGCTGGGCGAGGGTCCCCGTCGCGAGGGTGCTTCAAAATGCTTTAGCGTTGTTTGCTTTGATATACTTGAGATAGGGCACTCTTACAAGAAGAAAACGACAATAGTTAACATTGTTGACACCTGGGATGGATTATGAAAGTTGATTCGGAGATCACACATATGCTGTCCTTCCTGAGAGCATCCAAGACGTACTTATACAACATCCCTTCTAGGAGCGGTGTCTTCAATAGGACCACAGTGCCCCCATTCAATGTATTTGGCTTCTAGCTCTTACTATATCAAACTAGGCATTCAGATATGCCAAGCTGGACGGTTCCTGAGGGCTTGGCTTGTGTTACGAAAGAGGTATAGTAGTGGATATCTCAGGGGTAGAGATAAGGGGTAGACAGGGGTATGGGCATACAAAAGGGGCTCCCTCGAGGGCTTCCCTTTTCCCCTTTTCCATAGTTGATTAGACCACAGTTGAGATCCCGATTTCCATGAGCTACTCTATATGCTGATTCGTGACAGCTTGGCAGCTATGAGTTGTTGAGTGAACCACTGAGATAGACGTCAAGTTAGAGTTAGGGCAATGGGGCTCCCCGATTGGCATCGGTCTCGCAAACTCATCTGATAAGACGCAAGGCAAATTTTCTCCAGCAAAGAGGCTTAAGCCCGGCTCGAGTCATGCCGCTGAGGATCTTGCCGAGATGAGGCTCGTGAACCTTTTGAACCGGCTACCAAACTCTCTGGAAGCTTGGTCTGTAAGTTGGCCGAGGATGAGCTTCTTTCGAAGCTGGAAGCACGCATCTCAAGTGCCTGGCGGCGTAACTGCCAAAGAAGCCATTCACAATGGAGAAGAGCTTTTGCAAAACAGCATCATTCATCAACAGCTGGGAAAGGGGCATTCGGATCCTCTGAGCATACTTAGCATACGTAGGATACATGTTGGAACGGATGAGGTATAAACCAGGCTCAAAATCATTTGATAGTCATCAGCTGTGAGACCTCTTGTGCAGAGTGATGGAAGCTCCATGTCGCAGAAGCCGCAGCATACCGGCGAATCTATGTCGCTCAAGCAACGGTCTGATTAGAAACGACCCAAAAGTATTGTAGATATGCCTAGAATAGGTTACAATATAATAGAACACTGCCGTCGTACGAAGGTATTGGTTAGTCGAAGACGTGGCGGGGTCCATCGTAAGTAGCTGCCTCGTGACCCCAGGCCGGAAGGAGTAGGTGCGCGGCTTCAACGCTCAAACGAGATGACTGACATCGCGATGCCCTCTGAGAAGACTTACAATCTAATCTGTAAGAGAAGAAGCGTGTCTGTGATGCTTCAGTATGAAGCATTGTCTTGCCCATTTGTCATCGGTACAGCTGTGCTTAACGATATAGGTACCCGATCTAGAGGCTAGCGAGCCGATATTATGGGCAGATATCGGAATTCTGACATAATCCTAGGTTGAAAAAGGCACGCTGACACTGGAAGTGCTCAATTAGGACTCGATCCCGATCTATCAAACGCTGTTTGATGATGGGCATGATTGCTTGACACTGGGAACACTTGTGAAGACATTGACCGCACATAAAATCACTGAGTTTGACGTTGCTGTAGAACTTTCTGAGCACATCACGGTCATTACCGTCAATTTTCATCAAACTCCAGGTCCAGAAACATTGCGATTTATAAACCAACCAGCTTTGGAGTAGGATCAGGTAGGTTGCGAATGCTCTGGACATGCGCACCCTTTCCAGAGGCACATGCCAGGTAAGGTACATGTATCGTCAACAATCTTACTCTGTTGCAATTCTCTCACATCCTTGAATCGAATCTTGGTCTATACGTGCCAGTGGTCATATCTTGTGGGAAACATGATAGCAAGAGAAGTAATCTGTGCCGACATGTCGACATCAAACAAAGGAGAAGGATGGGGGAACCGGATCGACTCGGCAATAGACCGATAGGCCTCGCTGACCCCCTAAGAGTGAAGACGTATGCTAGGTCGACGGCGGCGGAACGACTTTATGATCACTGACCTTCCAATCAAAACATTAGGAAATACGTTTCCCAAAACGGAGAATCGAGAACGTTGCGTCGAGTTTCTTCCGTGCACCACGAAGTAATTCTTTTGGCAAACGCTTTGCCAGGATCATATCATGATGGATAATTGCCTGCATCTGGACCGTGAGGTTTTGAATGGTTTCTTCTCATTGAAAATTTGGCATGGGGCATGAGGGAGGGCAAGATGTTCCATGGGGTTCAAAATGCCTCGATCGATCACCCAGGCTACACTAGTAGCTCAAGTCCATATGAAGATCGAAGAAAGATCGTTGACTTTCCGGAGCTGTTGTGTTTGTCTAAGGGTATAACACGGAAAATATTGGCGATCTATCGTCGTGTCGAAGCTCTATTACCGCTCTTCTCTACGGAAACGAACCCAATAGTTCTGTTCCAACCGTCGTAGCAACAGCTTGGCCTCGGAGGTTTACCTCACACTTTCTGCCTTTGGCATTGAATGAAGGGACATAACCGAAGTCGGGCCAAGCATTCTTTCGTACGAACAACGGAGACGGCTATGGCGGTGCCATAGTTAACGGTGATGTTTTACGACGTGACGGGTATGACGGAGCAGGCTCGATATTCGAGGTTCGATGACCAGGTCTGTTTACTGTCGAAACAGATCTAAGATGGGCAGTCGTGTAGCATAGAGTGGCCGCGCAGTGAAGAGATGGACCGTTTCTGTGTTCTGTTGTCCACGACGAAATCTGCTAGAATACGAAATTAGCAACAGGATTCAAGTGACGCCATTGATGAGTATCGGCGATACATGTACACTGTAGAAGATATATAATCCGAGGCTGATGGCCGGATCCAAAGACCTGCAAACGTGGAAGCCTGTGGAGGGTCGAGGACGTCGGAGGCATGGACGGGAAACCAAGGAGGGGATTTGATTTTCTGGGCCGAGGAACAAATGGCCCAAGTTGTAGGCTGCTATTCAACAGGAACGCATCCGAACAAAGCAGCAACGTATGTTCAGATTCCGCTCTGAAGTATAAACGAGTTTCAGAAGGAGGATCTAAGAGCTTGCAGCAACTAGAACGATCTGGTAACGGGACTGCCCTGCCAAGGAGTGGTTCTATGACCACGTGCTGCCCTTTTCCCACACAATATGCCCACACACCTGGGACAGCCACCCGCAATCTCGAACTGAACACTCCCTACCAGCCCTTACCGCTTTTTGCATTGGATACCTGATGGGGCGAGCGGTTGTGGAACTTATGCGTTTTGGAACATTTGCAATCTCGCTGGAAAGCAAAGTTGAACACCAACAACACTGCTCTGTACTTCACCAGACTTTAATACCAGGGAGAGGCCGGGAACACTTCAACACAAAGTGAGCTCCGTGAGACATTGCGACTTCCGAACCTGGTGCGGCTGGGAACCGACCTTCTTACACACCGGACCACAGGCTGTCCTACGCTGTCATTGCCTTGCTGCGCCGAGTGTAACCATCGCGTCGACATGAGTAAAATGTTGGCACTGCAGAGAGCCTGGGATTCTGGGTCTGCTTTGCGATTTCTCGTAGCTGGTAATTGACCCAGTCCAATGACATTGGTGGCAACATGAACTCTTTCCAGGCTGACATTCATCGGTAAAGGTAAGAGTTGCACATCTAGTCATCTATAAGCAGAAACCCACAAAGAGAAGTGGCTTATTGGACGCGTCAGCCGATCAGCTTGATTGATGTGTGTGGTACCTAGAGCAGGCTTCGATTCCAGGAGGTGTCTGGTATTTGTTGTTGAAAGGAGCAAAAGTATAGGAGGAGTTGACAGTACTGAATTTTGAACCAAACGTAGAAGACATATAAAGTATCCGTAGTCAAGTCAAAACTCTCGCTGTCGGGGAGATGAGAGGTCCGTCCAGCACAGAGGGGTCACTGGCCATTATTAGGCCTCGACGATCTGTGCCGTTGTGGTGGCCCCTTTCCCCGGCTGATACAAGATTAAGACCTTGTCCAGAGTAGGACACAGCCTCACTTGGTCTGGTCTAGCAATACGCCGTATTCTAGCTTGTTAAGCTTGCTAAGCTACTGTCGTACAAAAACGAATCCGTAATTGCCGGCCAGCAATTACGCCTTATTTACCACAGCTACCTTGCGTGAAGTTGGAGTAGAGTGCGCTTGTCATGTGGCGGGGAACGAGACCGCGACTGAACCGGGCGAATCTAGGGAAGAGGCGCTGTCCCTGCATCCAGGTCTAAGTCACATTCTCACACAGCCATTCTGGGGTTCAAATATATATAAATGCCCAATTCCATCCTGATTATCATGAATTTGAACAACAATCAGCTCATCGCGTTTTTGGCTTGGACAACAGAATGCTCGATATTTCCCTCGAGGACCTCCAGAATCGTGGTCCCTTTGAATCCCGTCGACCTTATTCATCGATTTCGGATCCCAGCGGCACACATCGCAAACGCCAGACAATGGAAATTTTATCTTGATTCTATCCTATGCCATCGATTGGGTTTTACTCATCGCATTTGCCGTGGCAGGCCTGCTGCTTGGCAACCTGTCGCCACAAAAACGGCCCTTCAACCTGGAGAACCCAGATATCAGCTTCCCGCTTTACAACGATACCGTATCTGTGACGAATCTGCTCCTGCTGAGCGTCGCATTGCCAATAGTGGTGATTTTCGGAGTGGTCATACTGTTCGTACCTGGGGGAACAGTCCCAAGAGATACTCCAAGGTCCCTTGTTTGGAGTAGAAAGATTTGGGAGGTGCACGCAGGATGGCTGGGACTCATCCTATCGGTCGTGACGACCTGGTTCATCGTGAGCACAACAAAGAACCTTCTAGGGAAACCTCGACCGAATGCCTTGGCCCGCTGCCAGCCCAATCTCGACAATTTGGCCCGGTACATTGTTGGTGGCATATCAAACACCACCACCGTCGCCATGGGACAGCTCGTATCGACCGACATCTGCGCCAACCCTGACAAGAGTGTGATTGACGAGGGGTTCCGCAGCTTTCCGTCCGGTCACTCGTCCGTCGCAGCTTCAGGGCTCATCTATCTCATGCTTTTCTTGGCGAGTAAACTTGGGGTGGCCGCATCGTGGGCACTTCAGGGGGTACACCTGGGAGCTACCCATCACTCTGCTTTCCCTTCGCACATCGATGGGGAGAGCATGGCGGGAGAAGGTCAGGCAGGCAGGCTCCCCGAGCAAGTCAACTCGTTTCGAAAACAAGCAGCAGCTCCACCCGTCTATCTTGTGGTCCTCACCCTTGTTCCGTTTGCGTTGTGCATCTTTATCTGCGCCTCCAGATGGTACGATTCCCAACACCACGGCTTCGACATCTTGTTCGCTTTCGCTATCGGCGCTACCTCATCTTATGCTGCGTTCCGCTTCTACCATCTACCTATTAGTGGAGGTGCTGGCTGGGCTTGGGCTCCTCGTAGCGAAGATGCTGCGTTCTGGGCGGGTGTTGGCAAACAAGGATATCGCCACAGCTCGACCAAGCTTCGGCAAGATTCTGTATGCTGAAAGACATTCCCCGTTTAGTGATGTACACTCGGGGCGAAAGATTTAAGCCGAATCCACCAATCACCACATTTGTATCACAAGCAATGGCGCGGACTAGACACGCATTGGTGTACAGTAGTCAGTAGAGATGGTTTCTCATGTAATGGTCAGGGGGCCAAAAGCGAATACCTACTCAGGGAGTCAGTCGTAGCATTGATAGCTTGAATTTCCCACATCACACGTCACAATCCAAGGTTCCTTTTCATAATATCTGCCCAGGCAGGTGCCGATTTGTTGAGATACTCGGCCTACGTAGTATTCGTACTAGCTGATCGTTCGAATGTGGAATCTGGAAGCTGTCAAGGGGCTCGGATTTAGCTATCCTAGGAGCCCGGAGACCGAACGAGGGGCACTTGTCATGTCTGGATCGTCAATCCTGCCACAACGACCGAGCTCTCCGCTCATACCGGCTAATTTAGACCCATACCAGGGTACCGACTAGCCCATGAATTATGTGAAGCCGTTTCTTTGCTACGCTAGAAGTCATCCATAGTGTTTTCGAAAGCTGGCCGGGTTGCCCACGTGCTACATGACGGAAGATGGTAATAATCTATCGCGCGGATGCTGGTTTCATACGACCTGAGAAGAATAGGGCTCTCACTGGGATCTGTATAGTAGGTACACTATGAGATGAAGACGGAAGAATCAGGGGTTAAATGATTATTTCCATAAGTGACTAGTAGAATTTGGTGTACTGCAGTCGCCCTGGAGAAATGTCATGTCGTATTGATTGCCTCGATTATCAGTCTACCTGTAAACGCCATGTCATGATTGACCCGTCTCCTTTTTCAAGCCGTGATTTGATATAGTCGAGTCGTTACCATCCGAAGTTCTCGCAGTGTACTTCTATGCTGATTTCGCCAGAAGCAATGCAGTGTGCAGCAGCGTTCTGAACAATTTCAGTCAGGGACTGCGGACCGCAAGCAGCTATCAACACCCGCTGACCAGGCGCAGCTGACTGCAGTGTTTGAGTGATAGCTTCTCCAGCTCTCAATTTGTCGAACTTGATATCGCACAGCCCCTCCAGACCCAACGACCTATCTCCCTGTGGAACTGCCACCGTCGAAGGGAGAGTTTCCTTGCTCTGCTCCGTGCCAGGCTCTGGCAGGAGAGCTTCAACTTTCTCCTTCGGTGACTTCAGGGAAGTGGGCGATGAGACATTTAGTTCCGACAACTCGCTCAAGGAGGCCACGGAGCCCTCCCGAGTAATGTGGAATAACACGTTCACCCCTGCGCCGTGTTGGCTCAGTGACTGAAGGTGATCCGTGAACCATTCTAAATTTTCTGTCACACACGTCAGCGTCCACTCCACCTCTATCAATGATCAGACTAGACAAACCCCTCTTTCTAACAGCCCAGATGAAGTCAACACGCTTATGGGATTCGGACTCCAAGTGCTGTAAGAGGTTCGTTGCCAACCCGAAGGTGAACGTAGCCCCGCTGCCGCCGGCAATCAAGACCACCTTGTCGTGTTTCTTCGGGTTAGAGAATGCCCCATAGGGTCCGTCGACAGAAGCCCACACAGTTGTCCCAGCCTCGGTATTAGCTCGATCATGCAAGGCCTTCGTGAAACCATCATAGGAGCTGAGGACCAACTCCAGCCCCCCGTGAGGGGTGTTGGACACAATGGTGAAGGGGTGTGTTTGGAATGGGCGAACGCCGGGGATCCAGACGAAGCAATGCGAGCCCGGAGTAGCACCCGACAGAGGTTTCTTGATGACCAGACGAACACCGTTGTCAGGTAATCGGTAAATGGTGGCGCTGTTGTTGACAAGGTTGTACAGCATCCTCGACCCTCGAATCAGACGGTCAAGCCCCCAAATTGCGGCGATGAAGACCATTGCCACAGGGATCTTCCATATCCAGTAGGGCCTGTGAAGCCCAGTGAAAATAATGGCGAGCAGGAATCCCACCATGTGGCTCACGTAGAACCACTCATAGCCAAAATTCCTGGCCAAGCCCATGAGTAGGAGGAGCATGGCCAAGCCTGCGCCAATGCCCTCCCAGTTTTGCACTTCGAGTAGGGTGCTCCACCGGTTCTGCCTTCCTTAGTACACCATATAAAAGATGGCGTGAAAGAGCATCTGAAGTACGGCCGCGTACCCAGCCAGACGGTGGAAGAAATTGAGTCTTTCGTAGGAGTGTCCGGTCAAGACACCGAGGAGGGTATTTTTCAGACCGAAGAAGACGCAGAGCGCCATGTTCGCCGTCGACATCCTGTAAACAACATGTTAGTCTCTGAGGGGGTGACCAAGGGTTTCTCGAGATCGTACCATCCAAATCGTGCAGCAAAGTTGCTCATCTTTTCTTTATCAACGTGATGAAAAGACATGACAATATTGACACCGATGAACGCAATCGTCAGCAAGGCATGGCCTCCCGTTGGAAACCCCGGCACCTTGCGAACCAGTAGGCTGCGAATCTTTCTGCTGGTTTTTAGGGCTGATCGAGCGCCAAGGGATTTTTGACGATAGTCTTACCTAGAAGCCTTGGCAAGGGGCGAAGACGAGCCAGTCCTTGTCGACTTTGATGTTTTGCGTCTAATCCATTGCGCCCAATGGTAGATAATAAGAGCCGCAATCACACCAGCAACCACTCCCGCATATACCTTGACATTCCACTCATTCAAGAGCTGTCGTGCATTGGGTGGCTTGGATTTCTTTGCTGCACGGGGTTCGATCATATTGGTCAGCGTTGGGTGCTGGACAGAGCGTCCAGTTGACAGCGATATTGGTATGAGCAAAGGTGACAGGCTCTCTCTCGGATCAGATTACTGTACTCAAGGGTGATTTGACGAGTCTCTTCATACACTTATATCAAACACCACTACACCAGCAAAGAAGATTAGAAAATAAAGATTTGCCCATGTATCAATCTAGCTTCAGAAAAATAATGAAAGTGCGGGACGTTCATCCCTAGTCCCACTATCAGATGCAATGATTTGAATCACGGACAACTTCCTTGGTCGAGAACCTCATTTTCGTATCATGTTTCCACCGAAAATACCTCATCGCTTGCGAGACTGCGAACATCGGACGGATGAATGTGACATGGAAAAGTCAATCATTAGCTTCACGATGACCCTGATTGGATCTAATCAGATTTCCAGATAATCTTTCGCACTAGAGCCACACGCGCCGGTGGGTTAGTGTGGAGGCAATACTACTGTATTGGATCTGATGATGATGATGGGAAAAGCTGAGCGCTGGCTGGGCTGGATATCTGGGCAAGGTGTAGGTGGGGCAGCTCCGAGATGTGAAGGAGCTGCCTCACGTGACCCACCTGCACCTGCCACGGTTAGTCCTGGCCTGGATCGTATCTTGGAAAGAAATGACTCGCTTTCGATGTCGATGTACTTGCCAGTGACTTGTGTGACTTCGTGTGGGACTGTGGATACCTGAGGCAGTAGCTGGTGCCCCAGGCACCAGCTGCCCGATCCACTTCCTGGTTGATCCAGCCCACCGCAGCCACCTTTCACCTTCACCACAACATCACCAACCAACCGTCAATACCAGTCGTATTGCCTCATTGCTTGCCTCGTTGGTCCAGATGAGCAGTGTGTACTGCCCACACTTCTTGACGCGGGAAAGGAAATATGAAACTCTTCGGTTAGGTGACAGTGGGTATCAAAGAGACCGTGGGGGCCCACGAGCATGTCCAACAAGTTGCCATGTGTGAGGTTGGTAGGTTTGGGAACTCTAAGCTTACGAGTTCTATCGCCATTTGATATTCACTCGAAGACTTTCTTCACGTACGCCCCCAACAATTTTCTGTCCTTCAGCGGCTTAAGTGGGCTCGAAGGAATCCTTAGTCGACTGAACCGAGGAATGATATGGATACTACTTTGTGATGAATGGATGCTTAAAGAACGGCTGTCGTTCAGAGCCATCTCGGTTGCGTATTGGGACTCCCGGGCGCGGAAACACCTACCGTAGAAAGTAACGAATCATGGCTAAGCGAAGGGATGAATCAGGAAGTCGCTTGTCATAGTTTTAAAAAGTGGGCACAGCTCTCCGCTCCACGTGGATACTCGAAACTACGTCTGAGAAAGGCATCTGGGGGGCTACCCAGTTGTTACGGCCAGCTAGTCGTAGTGAGGTATGTTTGCAGAAGTTGAGGCTGCGGAACTGGTAACAGTAATCGTAGTCGGGGATAGCTTCAGGGAAGCTATGTCTGTCAATCGTAAGGGTGGGTAAGGCTTCGGTGATCAATCGTAGTCTTGTCAAGGTAGTAGCTGAAAGCGGATGTTAATCCTGATACGAAGTTAATTGCTGAAGAGCTATGGAAAGTCTGTCCTAGAGTCCGGCTCGAGTCCATCCTATATACAAGTCCTGGTCCTGAACATATCCCTTGTCAATGATCAGTTCCTCTGATCGGGTGAGCGCTCATTGTTTGGCATGAGCGCTCATGGCCCCACCATGGCCGCTCATGTCTTATCTTATCATCACGTGACTTGTACCATAGTTCTTCCGTTCCGTGAGAGGGTGCCTAGTGTCCCTTGTCTCCTGCATATGTGGTGTGTTGTAACTGCCGCGAGCCTGCGGGGCAGGCCCTGTTCTTGGTCATGCATGTTGGGTCGTAACACCAGTATCCGAGCGTTCTTTTCCAGCATTAGGGAGATCGCGAGTAGCCCTATATTATCCGTATACCCAAAGCGGTACCTAGGATTATCCAGGAGCACATCTGCTAGGTATAGGATATAGAGGACTGGGGAGGTAGGGGAGCCCTATGGTAGACCGTAGCGTAAAGAGAAACCCTCCGAGAGTTTCTTATCTATTCTGATAGTAGCCACGCGGTAGGTCATAAAGGACCTTATAAAGTAGATAAATACCTCCAGATAGCCTTATTAGCAAAGCCTGAGTATGAGTCTGTTGCGAAGCGTGGCATTAAATGCCCCTTTTACATCTATTGTGACTAGGGTCGTAGTAAGTCCACTTTTAAGTACTTCCTCTATCCCATGGAGTGCGGATTAACGTCAAAAACGCCAAGGGCGGGGCAGAGCCAATAGGGGCTTGCGAGGCCACTGGAGTCAACCAATGAATAACTAGGATTTCCAGTACCTCTATTCCCTATTGATTTTGGGTATGCCAGAGGTACCAGCAATCCCCCCTGGTACATAAAGCTACGTCGCAATCTAAGCAGCCTTTCCGAGTGAACCTACGTTGCCGCTTGAGGCTATTCCCAGTTGTATTACTAAGAGCCTGGCGAGATCTTAGTGCTGCCGTATTATTATAATAGGAACATGGCGAACAAGCCTTCCTAGACCCCTGACGATGCTGCTGCCAGGGAATAAAAGATGCGTAGCTGCCGGAGTAGACTTTGGAAGCGGTCCCGGGAGATAAACCGGGTGAATAGATGGATGGGATCCTCCTTTTGCTGTTGAGTTGACCAGTATCTTGATATTTGAGATTTATTATGAATCCCCATATAAAGTGGGATTCCTAAGAAGAGGTAATTCTCTTCTATAGAGGTCTTTCTCCACTCATACACTCTTGACCGTTTAGCCCGGGGGCCTTCCTTAAATAACGGTGCCGTATTCGTCCATTGCGCCCACTGCTCAACAAGGTCCCGGGGGACATACTGGAGAAATAGGTCAAGCGGGGCTGCCGGTAGGTCCCGTATCCCTCGGCCCCGGGCGGGTACGTCAAAGGGTCTGAAGGTGCCCGGCCGCCCGCGTTCAACGGCCGGGGGTTCGTGGGGCCGGACTGTGCTGTTATCGCACCGCTCCGGCGTACAATCGGCAGTGCAAGCGACGGTGAGGTCTTCAGGAAGGAGCTCAACCATAATACAGCTCCGTACGGAAGCCCCGGAAGCCCCGGAGGCATAGGAATCGCTAGAAGACATCGCGGCATTAAACAAAATGATGATTTTAGTGGTGACAGTAAGGAAGAAAACAAAGGTTTAAATGATGTTTCGTCATGTACTCATTGAAGTGCGGAGTAATAGTGGGTATAATAGTGGGTAGTTCCGGCCTTGGCGTTTTTGACGTTAATCCGCACTCGATGGGATATCATGCGCGGCGTATGAGGTCAGATCGACAGCACTCCGGCCAGGCAGCGCACCAAACTGTTGCGGGTTAACAACCGTATTTTGCACTATACAGTACGCAGTACGCGATTCCAGTGGAGTTGCCCAAGCCAATACCAGTATAGATGGACTTGCTGGCAATCGTAGGGGTGTAATGAAAGAAACGGACTCTACAGGGGACTCTGGTTACCAAGTGCTTGGGAAGCATGTAAAGCTCTGTAGTGAATGCAAGAAGGCTGGCTACCGCATAGCCCCGGCAAACCATCCGCCTTGGCTTGCGGGGAGACGTCTGGAAGATAGTGACCAGGTGCCCGACTGTGGACACTGATCGCCCATATTGTCGCCGACTGTTGGTATTCCTTTCACAGGGAAGTTGGTTCGAACCGTAGGGTCCTGGGGGTGACGAAGTATCAATATCTCGGTATTGATTGATTCTGCGTAAGGAGTAGAAGGGAGATTCCAACCGGAGGTTGGGTGGGTAGTCGAGGTCTAAGTGTACCCCCTCGAGGTGGCCCATGCTCTGCCCCTACTCGCGGTCGAATTGGATTTCCAATCCGACACCGACCTATTCGCACATAGCACAGTCTATCTTTGTCATGGTTTAAATAATAGGCAATGAAACCCCAAGAAAGTGCCGGTGGTCTGAGTTAATCGTGGCTTGCTAGGTTCACTGTGCCTTGGTATCTATCGCCGAGTTGGCGGCTCGGAAGGCCGAGGGATTGCAGCTACAGCCTACGCCACGTTCTGGTCTGCCCGTTGAAAGAGTCCCACTCGGGAGGAAACCCGCGCCACCCAGGCCAGATGCGTTTGATATGAAGCAATGTCTCTGCGTGCCCGTGGAACCACATCGCTTCGGCGTCAAAAAGTCTTCTGATGCTAGTAGAGGTTGGGTGAACATCCCCTTGAAGTTACTTTTTCTGCATTTCTGCAGCCCTCCTCACTGGATCCGCCCAGTCACACGCTGCAGTCTTCCTATCTTGTCACGTTTGTGGACTGCTACTATCCGAAGGATGGTGGGCCGTTGGGCCTAGGGAGAGACTAGTCGTTCTAAACCTATGCCTCGTGCAGGCGTGGCTGTATTTCTCACCGAGTACGGAGTAAGGTTATGAGAAAACATTTCATACCATAGCCCCGTACGATGGCTCGCGTGTTAATGGGGCAACATGGAGCTGGGTTCATATGCTTAGTTGGTCCGCGAAGAGGATTGAATTACTTCGTACGTGCTCCAAGTAAATTACTAGGGGTTAGATGAGTGACACATTCAAGGAGATGATGTAGATGCAGACGGAGTAAACAATCGTGCCTAATGCATGAGTGGATTCGCCGCATGGTTTAATGCTGTAGGCTTAGACTGAAAATCGTTCAAAAGTTCGAAGCTAGTGGGAAAACAAGGTTGATGACTATTCAAATTATTATTCGAAAAACCAGGTAGTTACCTGAACCAAAGATCCCAGGATACTGGTATCGAGACCGCAGCCTAGATACTGTGTGCTCCTTCCCTAACAGAATCGTCCCCTCCACGAGAGCCGGCGACACAAAGATCTCCAAACTGAACAAACACCAAGCCTGCCAACTCATATTACTCGTTCAGGGCGCTTGTAGTGGTTGACATGTCCTTCTTCGGCTCGTTGACAGAGTGTTCGGTTGGCGTAGATGTTCCAGGCATGTCCGCAGTGGACTCGACCTTACCAGCAGCCTTTGGCTTCATGAGAGGCCAGTGTTCATGGAACTCGTGGAAGCTCAAAAGCACAAGCCAAGAGATGACAAAGATCCAGTAAACGTTGTACGAGATGACGGAGCCGTAGGTAGCAGAGTTGTTCCAGCCGAAGATGGCATTCAGAAGACCTCAGCCACCGCCGCCATTCAATTGGGGGCTGCAGCACTGCGAAATGTCAATTTCATGATCACATATTCTCGTTTGAGGGCGACTTCGAGTACTCACGTTGACTTTCCAAACGCTTCTATCGATGCCGTAGGATCCAGGGCCCGCGCCAACCTCTGCCGCGTCACCGCCGACAGCTGTGTTCCATTCCTGCGCTTCGAAAAACCACACGGCGCGAGAAAAGAGACCAGCAGCAACAATGTAAAGCAAGCAGGTATAGGCGACCAGGAAGATCTGAATCTTTGAAGTAGATCCACTCCTAGAATTACGGTGTAAGGAAGCGGAAGGGATGGATTTGCGACGGTGATATTCTGTCACGAGTTATGGCACGCAGCAATGGGCATATGAAGTGGGTTAAAGTGGCTTGAAGTAACCCATCTAGAATGAGCACATGAGAGCAGTCTATATACTAAGAGAGTGTGATATCCACGTGAGAAAGCACGTGGCAAGATGCTTGACAAGTGCTGATACCATTCCTGTTTCGTGACATATTCCTTACTTGTAGAGGAGGTAACTGGCGAAAACGCCAACAATCAAGCCAACAACGACCGGCAGCGGGACTGCAGTGGCGGGTGCTGCGAAAGTGACACCGAAGATGAAGACGATCATCTCAATACCCTCTCGCAGGATGGTGATGAGGGGCAGGAAGAACATGACGTATTTCTCCTGGTTGCGCTTGAAACGAGAGCCGAAAGTTGAGGACGCTGTCTTTGCTTGGGGCTCCATGGCCTTGGCAAGTTTCGCGCGCCATTTGTCTTGCAGCTTGCCAACTCGAAGGAGAGCAACTCCCATGAGTGTGATGATGATGGAGGCGAAAAGCGCAAATGAGCCTTCGTAGTAGTATTCGTGCGCTTGCCAGCTGTCCCGACCGACTCCGTAGAAGACTCCTATGATGGCAGCCGAGGGCAGTTCCCATCCAGACCCGCGTGGCGTGATGAGTTAGAACAACGCGACAAAGTCCTCGAATAGAGGAAAGCTAGGCAAGGACATTACCTGTTTACGAAGAGCTTTGTAGACAGTGACATCGCGTCCGGGACCCCCGAGGGTCTGCTTCAAGAAAGCAAGAAGGACAGAGACAATGATGCCTGTCTCCAGGGACTCGCGGAAAACGACGAGGAAGACGGGGACCGAAAACACGTTGACGGCCATCTTGCTCGTGATGTGGTAGTATGAACCTATGTGTAGGGCGACGTCTAGTTCGGAGCGAAGGTGGGAGTTCTCTTAGCAGGGATCGATGAGGCGATGAAAGACTTTATCAATCTGGCTTGCTGATCGAAGGGAAGTAGTTGTGCCTATCGGATCGAGGAGTCTGGTGCTTCTCTAGGCCGAGCTCGGAATCGGAGGGGTCTGGGCATGTCGATACGGCAGCCATTGGAGGGGCATAGAATCCAGATGAACCCACCAATACATGGCAGGTAGATGTCGTAAAACTCTGCGGATCTTGGAGGTGTCCTGATTCTCCTCCCATCACCTCAGGGGTGGTTGATGGATCGATTAGATTGGACTACCAGGCCCGAGCTGGGGAGGAAATAGACTGAAAAGGGCGGGTATTTTCCGGCTAGTTCTATCAGGTATCTTCTCCTCAAAACACTTGCGATGATCATTGGTTCTGAACGTGAGTCGTAACACTCGTACTACGCTGTTAAAATTGCTTCCACATCCAACACGGGCAGCGGTCAAACACAATTCTGGAAGCCATGTCGTTGAATGTATCTGAACTGTACCGCTACAAGATGGATCTAGATGCAAGTTCGAACCGAAGAGGGCTCCACAAACGCAGGCCGGTCGTGTGGCGGTGGGGGGCGATGGGTGGAGGAGAACCGAAGGGTCTCCCGGTGCTAAGCATTTCTGCCCTACCTACTAGTCTAACCCCGGTGCTTGCTGATCAGATGGATAAGATAATTGAGTGATTTTTGTACCGACATATTTTCGGTTTTACTTCCATGGAAAGTGGCGTCCCGGAAATGTTGCCTCTGAGAGACCCTGTTCGTCTGGAGTCAGCCAGCCTCCGGGAGGGAAGAAAAATCAGATGACTCCGATATGTCGCCCGATATTCCAACCAGGTCAAGTCGACAGGATCGAAGACTGATATCGGCGGCAACGGCAGCTCCTCCTATCTCTTCTTTTTCCTTAGAGTAGAGTACCGTCCACCTCGTTTCCTGTCGAAAATCGAGAGATAAGTTCTCCTCGGCTTCTCATCGAAGGACAGTCAGGACACCGCATTCCTCGCCAATCCCCATCGCGGCTACTTCTGTCATTCGAGACAGCCCGCGAAAGACACGCCAACCACCATCATCACTGGATCATACTGTGAACTGACGCCGTCATGGTCAAGATCCTGTCTCTCGCGCTCGCGTGCGTTGCGTCCCGGCTTGCTGTCGGAGCGACGGTCAACTACGACTTCACTGTCGGTTGGGTCACGGCCAATCCTGACGGTGCCTTCGACCGACCCGTCATCGGCATCAATGGAAAATGGCCCATCCCCCAGATTGAGGCCAACATTGGCGACAACACTGTCATCAATGTGCACAACGACTTGGGCAACCAGTCTACTTCGCTGCACTTTCACGGGCTGTTCATGAACGGGACCACGCACATGGATGGTCCGGCCCAAGTCTCTCAATGCCCCATTCCACCGGGCTCCTCATTCCTGTACAACTTCACGGTAGGTATTCCCACCTTATAACGTTAGAGTTCGCATAATTACGAACTTTAGCAACGGAGTGTTTACTAATGTCAATTTTTGCGTTGGTTTAGATTACCCAGCCGGGCACATACTGGTATCACTCACACACCATGTCCCAGTACCCAGATGGACTCCGCGGCAGTCTCATCATCCATGATCCGGACAATCCTTATGCTGGGGATTACGATGAGGAGATTGTCTTGACGCTCTCAGATTGGTATCATGAGCAGATGCAGAACCTCATCCTGCCGTTCATGAGCAAGACGAACCCTACCGGTGCGGAGCCCGTGCCGAAGGCAGCGTTGATGAATGAGACGCAGAACCTCACCATCTCGATCCAGCCAGGCAAGACCTACTTGATGCGTGTTATCAACATTGGTGCTTTCGCTGGTCAATACCTATGGTTTGAGGGGCATAATATGTCCATTATTGAAGTTGATGGTGTTTACACCCAGCAGGCGACCGCCGAGATGATCTATCTTTCCGTCGCCCAGCGCTGCAGTTTCCTTCTCACAACCAAGAATTCCACTACCGAGAACTTCGCCATCGTCGGCAGTATGGACACGGTAAGCCTAGCACTTTCAGAGGAAACATGAGTCTGTCCGTGAACGCAATGATATCAGATGCTAATGTTGCTTTCTTCACCTACAGACGTTGTTCGACACTCTGCCAAATGACCTTAACTGGAATGTCACAGGCTAGTTGGTATACAACGAGACTAACTCACTTCCGGAGCCGGCATTGATCGATGAGCTCAATCCTTTTGATGATATGACATTGGTACCGCACGACGAATTGGCACGTTTTGCCGAGCCTAACCAGACCGTTGAGCTCAACGTCATCATGGACAACTTAGGTGACGGTGCCAACTACGCGTTCTTCAACAACATCAGCTACAAGGCACCGGTGGTTCCGACATTGTATACGGCACTAACAACTGGTGCTGATGCGGAAACTGCCGAAGTCTACGGTGACTACACCCACAGCTTTGTTTTGAAGAAGGACCAAATCGTTCAAATCGTGGTCAACAACCTTGATTCCGGTCGCCACTCGTTCCTTCTCCACGGGCATCACTTCCAGTCCCTCTACCGCGGTGAAGAAGAGAGTGGAACTTTCGCAGACTCGAACATGACCGAGAGCGACTTTCCCGCAGTGCCCATGCGCCGGGATACTCTCGTCCTCTGGCCCGATGGAAACATCGTCCTTCGCTTCAAGGCAGATAACCCGGGTACGTCCTTACAATCTCATAGATACCGACACCTATACTGATTCTCTTATCTTCCAGGCGTCTGGCTGTTCCATTGCCATATTGAGTGGCATGTTACCTCTGGGTTGCTGGCAACCTTTGTGGAGGCACCGCTGGAGATCCAGAAGTCGCTCACCCTCCCGCAGAACCACCTCGATGCTTGTACCGCTGGAAACGTACCCGTCTCGGGTAATGCTGCGGGCAACACCAAAGACCTGCTGGATCTCAGCGGACAGAACGCGCCTCCCGATCCGCTCCCTGCTGGGTAAGTTTCAAGTCCCCCACGGTCTAGATTTATCTCTAACACGTTCAGGTTCACGACGAGGGGAATTGTCGCATTTGTTTTCAGCATCATCTCAGGTGTACTTGGAATCTGCGTTGTGTGTTAGTACGGCATGGCGAACCACGTCTCAGAGACCAACAGCGCCGCATCTACGATGTTGAATGTCCAAGGAACATCTGGCGCAGCCACGGAGGGCGAAACCAAGCGACCTGCCGGTAAGACTGAGAACTAGAATGACACGGAGGATACCCGCAACGATACCTATTCTTTAACAACCCTATTTAATCTACTCTGGTATATCCAATCATTCCCCACATACGCATTATCCAGGCAACTCAGCGACCGGAGTTGTCGGCGATTGTGACCCTTCTTTATTTAATTTCATCCCTGGAGTGCCCTTGTGCTCAAAGCCTGCCGGTTCGAAATTGAACCGGGACGTGCCGTCCAACTCGGTTATATCGGACTCTGGCCGCGCCGAGTTCGCTTCATATGGCTTCGCCATGCCACCTTCATGTGTATGCCCCTTTTCAGTCGTGTTCTCCGATTCTACCGCCCCCTTTTGTCGCCATTTCCTTCTGGAGTACCATATGTATATCAGAGCAGCCATCAGAACCAAGCACCCTCCCGCGATACCGACGCCGAGCCCGACCTTGGTGCTTGTCGTCATCCCCGCAGTCTCTTCCGTCGAAGAGGTCTCGGTCGAAGTGGGCCGTGGTGTCGTACTTGATGCCGTCGTGGTGGTGGTGGGAGGCTGGGCTTGAGCAGTCGTCGAGGCAGGTGAAGTTGGGGTCGGGGTTGTATTCGGCTGTGTAAGGATCGGGACATAGCCAGGCTGCCATATGACGCTTCCTCCCAGAGCTGTCGGAAGCTGTACAACGTTTTGAAGGATCGAGGAATCGGTGAAGGCGACGGTTCGAGACGTTTGGGGGCACCAGCACGCGTCCGCTGAAGTCAAAGTCGTAGGGCTCGCCGACTGTTTGCAAGCCACCCATTCTTCCGAAGTGCCGTTGCAGTAGACTAGACCTGTCCATGGTTGATCTGAATATCAAACAGTTAGTTGTCTGCTCAGTGATACACCTCTCCCATCATCGCGATTGTGACTCACCACTCAATGCCCCCTTGTCAGGACAGCTCGAATCTCGATAGTCTGGGTCGCTACAACCTGCCAGGTACGTGATCCCGAATCGACCATTGTAGCAAGCATGGCTGGACAAGCACATATCGCCGCCCTGACAACAGGTCTTGTACCCAAGGTCTGCATTTCCACACGGGAACCATTCTCCCACCTCATCTCCAGGCCCGTGGTAGCATGTACCGTTGCTGATGTAGGGATTTGAGCTCATGTTGCTGTTCTTGTTGTTGTTGTCGTCCTGTCCCACATTCCTCCCCCGTCAACAAGATTTCCTTCGTTGTCGTTGCAGTCCACTGGTAGGATATCGCGAATGTGCTCTTGTCGTGATGAGAAGTTTGTGAGGGGCACAATTCGGTTCTCACTCGCCACGAGGAAAAAGAATGGCTGGGACGATGACGAACAACGCGGGAAGAGAAAGTGGAAAAGCGTTGGTAGCTATATCCCTTGCGCTCCTAGTTATGACGGCGTGGGCCATGTCTTAGGTTGGCTGGTTGGACTGTTTGCCAGGGCAGATTGCCAAGGCTTGTTGGTTGCATGAGATGCAACCGGTCCCGTGAACGAACACTCTGTGCACCATCGCCCTAAAAAAGAAAATGATCAACTTAATCCCCCTTGGAGCTGAGTCTGTCCGAAGCCGAGACTGTCACTTTTGCCGTCAATACGAGCCCTGCCAGCTTTAATGCGTTTTGGCTCTAGACTCTTAGCCTTTATCCGACCAACTGAGGTTCTCTGGAATGTAGCCAATGATGCCAAACGCCGTTTTCACTAGCGGGGAATGAAGTCCTCTCACCTATCAAGGGACGAACCGTTTGACGGTTTCGAGCGAATAACTCTGTTGGTTTAGTATGGTGCCGCGCCCAGCTCCTGCACGCAGCTACCCGCTGCATACTGCGCCTCCTCCGATAATTACAACTTCGCAGGGATTTATTGCAAATCCGTTTGCCTTCCAACTTCTCAGCTACGGAGTACAGTCTCGTCCCATGCGGCAGCGCAGCTTCAAGATGCGTCGTTGCTCGGCCTTCTCCGCAGTTGCGGTAAGCGAGGCCAACCGGCGCGACCTGCATGAGACTGACGGGGGAGATGCACAGATGCGGCCATTGAAGCGGGCTGCTTTGAAGGCTCACGGCCGAGTAAGACATTGCGATACAGTGGCGTGCTGTCCCGGGAGCAAGGGAGGCTAGCAGGGCTTGGGTTTGACGCGCCAACTCAATGCCCATCCGGACTGATCTCGGTGTTCGCAAGGAACAATCAGATTTGACGTTTGGGGGGGTCACAAAGACCAGTGACGTGGTCGCAGGGGAGAATATGCATGGTTTCCGAATTGAACCGGAAGTCGGCACGCGTGAAAGGCGCTTGAATGACTGTCTCCCTGACAGACTGAGTTCTGGTCAAACTGCTGCATGAGAAAACGCAACGGTGGAACTTATTGGGGAACTTGTGGTCTTCTTCTATTCTCTGTCCGATTCATATGACATCCAATCCCTTCGATTTTGTAACGGTCCGGGACCTGTGCCGGCGAGGTGGGGACCGGATTGAGTGGGCCGCTCGGGGCCGGGGCGGCTAGGCTTCGGGACCACGGCGATGAGACTCGAGGGTCGTGGAACGACAATTAAAACACCATTGAGCGATCATAGACCCCCTTCGTATGTGCAAATTGATGGATGTTATGTACGAAATTATTTGTAGAATTATGAAGAATCGTCGTCAACAGGGACCCAATTCCATGCAGCATCGCCTGGCCATTGACCTTACGCCACCCCGCATCTGGGGTCCCGGTCGCTCAATTGAATCCATCCGGCCAGTAAGCCTCAAGCCACTCATATGGCTCCTCAGGCTCGTATGCGTTCTCCACTGTGCCCTCCCACTCGGTGATGGCGTCTCTCGTTTCGTTGTAAAGGGCGTACTTCTGGTCTGGGCCAGTGCCGACGGTGATTGGAACGAGTTGCATGTTGTTTGCAATCTCTTTGTCGACCATCACCTTCAAGTCTTTCAGCTGAGTGTTCTTGATGCGTATCTCGTCTCCGTAGTTGGGGTTGATCTGTTGATGAGAGAAGATTAGCCGCATGTCACCAACCCAGACATGAAACTCAAGCTGAAGCACTCACGATGCCCATCCTGTTGCCATTGAGCGCGATCACATTCTGAATGGTCGCGTTTCGCTTCGACTGATTCAAGCAGTTACCGCAGGATTGATAGAAAGTCTAGGGAAAAGTATTAGTGAGATGCCTCATAGAATGTAGAGAGGCTTGACTTACTCCGAATCCATCGGCATAGAAGCCGGTGATGTTGTACTTCCCGCCAAGAGAGTTATCTTGGAAGATCTTCGAGCAAAGTCAGCATATTTCCTCACAGGCCATGTTTGGTGAGAAAGTACTCACCTTGTCAGTGGCATTGCGAGCACCGCCACCAATCACTCTAAGCTGGGTGTTCAAGCCCTTCGAGGTGAGTGCGTCTTCACAAACATCCTCCCACCAAACTGTTACACGGTCAGCTTGGCACTTCTAAAGTAAGAATCCTGGCCCACCATTTTCGATCCACGCATCGCCCAGTGCATGGATGCCCTCAGCCTGGTGTTTGCCAATTACGACGTTGCGGATTGTCGAGCCAGGAAGGAGGTTGAAGACCGCATCAGCATCCGTACCCTCTGTTGTAGTGAATGATATTAGTCGAGTATTCCTTATTGAGTAAGAGCACCGTCGCTCAGGAGTCGAACATACCAGCTTGCTCGTTGCAGCTGCCTTCAACGCGCTCGTAGCGCTTCATGCCTCCATCGAACACCTGCCCAGGAAGGATGTAAATAGCTTCCTTGAGAACGACAGTCTCGTTCGGAACCGGGAACTTGGTAATGGGAAACGGAAATCGCGGTGGTGGTCGTTCACCAAGGTCGCCTTGCGTCGCATCTGTGGATCCGCCTGGACCATCGCCTTGCTGGCGACGCTCGATGGCAGCAGATTGAGCCAGAGCAAGCAGAAAAGAGAAGGCGGAGGCACTGATGACCTTCATGGTGACTGCAGTATGCGATGATTTGGAAGGAATTATCGAAGAGTGCCTTGAACGTCAAAGGACCAAACAAAACTTCTTGTGATCAATTGAGGACCCGAGAGAACGACTATCACTCATCGATGTAACCAGAGGTTCCCGGTGAGCTTCGAGTCTCTTTTATACCTGATCTTTCTGAAATTCTGCAGCTCTCTATTCCATGTGTAAGCTCCTAGAGCTGTCTAAGCTGCCTACCTGGTTGATGGATGACATAGCTCCAAGAGCTCAGATCCCACCCCGTCAGTGGTGCTACCCTACTAGATCGTCAAAATACGCCTGGGAAAGGGAACATGTAGAGAAGAATACAACGGAAGATTGAAGCTCGAAATTCCCATGAATCACTGCTCGAGGATGAGCTTACAAGCCCCTTGGCAAAGCTTGGCGTTCACTGTGATGCCCACACTAGGGCGGTCTGGTCAACGCCAGGCTACCTACGTCCCAACCGGCTGGCACGATTCCATACCTGCACTCCGCCTATCAACCAAGAGAAGTGGGGTTTTCCCCAGAAAGCAGAAAGCTTGGCTCGTGGGATCAAAGGTAGAATACCTTGTGGCGAGGCTGGCGATCTTGCGGGGTGATGAGGAAGAGCATGATTGACGTCGTTGGGGATGCGGGGGTAGTTGTAGGCGGCGGTTCCAGCTGTGATCACTTTCTGGTTCTCAAAGTTACCGTCAATATTTATTCTGGGGCTCTCGCAGCAAACTTCAAGAGTTAACTTTCATTTTGATAGGAATGTGAATATTTCAGTAGAATAAGGAGCAGACCCAGAACCACCTCGTACACGAAGCAAGGGCAAGTATTGTCGGCTGATGGACCTGGCAAGACTTATTGTAGCACGCTTAAGGCCGCCGGAATATTGATTTGGGGCTGGCTGGAGAGCTGATCAAAAACCAACGGCACAAGATGGGGAACGTGGCGTCGTCGTGTGTAGTCATTGCTTGCCAAGGCATAGGTGCCATGCGTTCCAAGTGGCACAGGTGCTCGCTCAGCTCATTACCACCACTAGAGACATGAGAATAGGACTTGGCAGGCTGCATGCCAAGTCTGATCCACGTTGGCTGTTTTTCATGTCACTATCTTTTGTTGTAAATATCTAGTCATCCTGAAAGCTCGCTGTGAGGCAGCAACAATGAGGACCCTCCCGCTACCTGGCCGCCAAGATCTAGCAGGCAAAGGATTTTCCTCCAATAATGTAGAAATTCGCGATTGTATCGAAAAAGATTATTCTGGTTTATCTCTGTCAAGAATCTTGACGAGGACCTTGCAATGGACCTGGCCGAAAAGGTATAGGTATCCGAATCCCCATCATGAATTATGTCCTCGACAGGAGCAATCATGACCGGACTTGAAGATCATATCTTGAATGTCCGACCGTCTATAATAGAATAAACAGAAAAGCTAAGAATAATCTTGAATTACACTGCTGGATGGATGGAAGAGGTTGGACATTGACGACACTTCTTCACAGCGTGTCAATCAGCCCACTCTCATGACGATGCCTTTTTAAATTCAAACCTCCAGCCATGATCTTCTCACAAGCAGGTGATCTCAATTTGGATGTTACTGATTATAATTGACATGCAACCAGCCTCAGGATCTACTTGCGATGATGCAATCGCCAGAATTTTCAAAGACAGCGTTGAGATCCAAGGCCAAATATGGATCAAGAGTCACGGCGTTTGAAGGATCTTGACGTTGTAAATTGAAATTATACTCGAAGCCAGACCTTTTCACTGCAAAAATGTGGTGCAATCATTACAGTCTGACCGAACGCTACAGTATCCTGGGAGTTCAAGAGGAATAGGGCTATGCCTTCATCCCGTTTTCTTCTTTCCTCCCGCCTTCTTCACAGCCTCAATATCTCGTCCCCATATAACAGCAAGCGCCGCGCCGCCAGGCCCAACAACCGCACTCCACATGACCAACTTTCCCAAGTCCATCACAACCTGACCGACGCCCTTCGTCTCATACGCCAAGTAGGCAATCCAGCTCCACGTCGCCAAGGAAGCGCAGTACGTATCCCACTGCAGTAAATCCAAGATCCCCCTCTCCAACGACACCATCTTCACCTGAGACCAGGGCGAGGTAGGCCGAAGAATCTGCATCATCGCCTCGATGACCGGCTCCGAGGCCCAGTCGGCCTTCCAGAAGACATAGCCGATGACGCCGTAGGATGTGACAGCGACGACGGAGAGGGTGTACGTGTAGATCCTGCGGAAATCATTGATCTTCGTCTGCGGCCTTGCCTTTGCGGCTTCCGAGACCACGCCCAGGGCGCCGATGAGCTGGGCAAAGATGAACTGCGCGACGCCGGACCAGAGCGGGAACGCCTGCCAGACGGCAAGGAGGATCTCCTGGGTACGTGAGGTGATGATGCTAGGGCACGGAAGCGCCGCGAGGAGGGTGGGGAGGAAGGCGCCGAAGGTGAGGGAGCCGATGACAGCGCGGGCTTGGACCGAGTCGATGGAGATTGCGGCGGCGAGTGCGTCTGTTGTTGGGGACTCTGGGATCGGGGAGGTGTAGAGGTATGTGAGGAAGTAGAGCGGTAAGGTGGCGCCAATGGTCATTAGTTGCCATAGCATTCCCCAGGATGTTGTACTGTTTGCTTTTTAGGGCTTTCGGCTCATGGTGTCGGGGATGGACTCACCAAGAAACTAGTCTGCCTCGGTTTCCGGCCCTCAGACCTTCGACTTGAATGAGGACATGCACAGCCAGCAGTTGGCCGGCCATGAAGATTGAGAATAGAGTGAGATTCGGGTCTTTACCGTCGAGAATAGGCTTGAAGAACCGCACGAGCATGGTGAGCAGGCCATCGAGCGGCTTCAACGTGGTGAACGTGATCGGCTCCCCAGCGAGGCCCGTCTGGGCAGGGTCCATGAGGCCATTGGTGACGGAGAGGTCGTAGATTGCGACCTTGGCTAGGTAGAAGATGGAAAGAAACACGGCGGTGAACACTGGTCGAGACATGTCGGATGTATCTTATTTATGATAATTGAAGATACGATGTTGTGCTTGATGATGATAGAATGTGGTCGGTCCGGTTGATCGTACCAGACCCGGGTGGAGGAAGCTTGAGGTTAATCTTACCGGGGGTCCCGGCGATCAGCTGACCGTCGCAATTCATCTGAAGTTGCACCCGTCCGCATCCTCGGGAAGCTGTTGTGTCTCCCTCGGCAAGAAAGGCTATGGCAATTCACTGGATGGATCTCATTGGTTAGGGGCGCTAAGGATTTAGTTGGATGAATTGTGTCCAATGTGTCTGAAGATTGAAACTACAAAATATCCTCCAGGCCTTTTGCGACCCATCCCGAACGCCGTTTTGATGATTTTGCTAATTAATCTGCAGAGTGATGATGCAGTAACATTACAGTTATATGATGCCTTACTCCTCCTTTTTCGTTCATGATGTGCGCATTATGAGCTCGACGGCTCTGGGTATCCGGCGAAGCGGAACACGATGTAGAGCAGCGGCGCAATCTTCTTGAGTCATTCGGCCCTCTTGCTATCAGGCATAGGCTGAGGAGACTCAAGCCAGCCGCGCGATGCAGCGTCCTTGATGCCGTCGAACCAGATGTACGCCATCTTTGAGTAGCCCGCTTCGTTCGGGTGAGTGTCGTCGACGAGATCGCTCTTGAGCGGGCCCTTGTCGGAGTGCATGTCGACGAGTACGACCTTCTTAGAGAGCGCCTGCTGCTCCGAGGCGAGCGTCTTGTACTGCTCGTTGACCTTGAGGACACATGCTTCGGTGTTGTTGTTGCCGTTTACGAGGAGGGTCGAGAGGACGATGGTGGCGCGCTTGGAGGTATCCCAGATGTAATCCATCATCTCGAGCATCCGGACGTGCGCGTTATCCGTGTCGTAGCTCTGCGCGCAGTCGTTCGTGCCGGCGTTGATGAGAACTAGGTTCGGCAGCGTCTCGGGGACGGAGATCTTTGCCTTTGCGAGAACCTGTTCGATGCGGAAGCCGGACCAGCCCTCATTATCGTTGTCCTCCATTGTGCCGTTGGGGTGGTTGCCGACCATGTCGACGGGGTTGCCGTCGGCGACGAGGAGGTCGCGAAGGACCTTGCGATAGCCATTGCCGTCTGGAGAGGTTAGGCCGTAGGTGATTGAGGCGCCGAGGGGCATGAGGCGAAGGGAGACATTGCCGCCGACGAGGATGTTGAAGTCGGCTCTGGTGTGCAGTGCCGGGGCTTGCTGCGCGGGGGCGGCGTAGACTTTTTGCTGGGTTAGTGATGCCGTTGAAGATTTGGAGTAAAGCCCGGGCCGTTGATGATGAACTTACCTGCAGTGGTTGACGCCAATAATGTGGCTGCCCAGCGAAGGAGGAAGACGTTTGAGTACATGGTTGCGGTGTGAACTCTGATGCTGAGGTGATGAACAGCGACGAGAGGTGTTCAAGATGTGAGTGAGATGAAAGAGGTCTTCGACTGCTACGATGAGATACTATCCACGATGAGACGCATGAGCAGCGGAGAGGTTAAATAAGTATACAAGATGCCCGAGTGAAAGGATCGGAGACCCAGAGCCAAGGAAATAAGCTCACAATGCTGGGGAACGGATCATGTTGTGGCAAGGACACCCCCTTGCTGCGACTCGGTACCTTGCTTTGCCAGCTTGCCTTGCTTCTTGCGACTGTACGAGAGAACGCTGCAAGCTGCACGCTGCGAGCTCTAGTTCATCGAGAGACAAACCCCCCCTTCGGAAGGATCAGACGGCTCATTGCGATGTTCATTGGACCAATGCCGCGTTGGGAAAAGTGAGGTGGGCGGGAAGACGAAGGGGGAGGGGGGTGTGTGACACTAAGGCGTGCAAGGACGCGGGGGTGGTCGGACAAGGATGACGGAGGGGGAGACTTTAGAGGAGTAGTGTCTGGATGACATGTCAAGGCGAAGGCGAGGCCGAGGAATAGGATTATGTCAATGAGTCCGAAGGACGGGATGATGGCGAGGGCGAGTGACGGGAGCAGGACGTTGGAAGTTCGGGGAGGATGGATGAGGCGGCGGCGGAGGCACGGCGGTGCTACTTTCAACCGCCGTGATCCTCCTATTAGTCTCATGAATTGTTAGTGAGATGAGATGAGCTTGAGTGAGAAAAGAGATTGAGTGTTGCGTGGACGGGGTGAAAAGCACCAAGGTCTCGTTCCTTCGAGTGTTGCTGTCCATCCGTACCGTCTACGATTTACCTGCAAAGAAGAAAGCCGTAGAGCCAGGGTCCGACGTTAGAATGTCTCTCGTCTGAAAGATACGGCACAGCAACACGGCAGAAGAGTCAAGAGAGTTCCATTTCTTTGCATCTTCGCATCTTAGTGTCGGTACCTGAAGTTGATTTTTACACCCCGAGTGCAACTCCCCGCAGAAAAGTGAGTGATCTCTCGCAGGGAAAATGAGTCTTGTCCCGCACTAGGCATCTGCCAATCTGTTTCACCAACCCTGTCTGTCTTCCACCGGGCTTCTATTGTTGCCGCCATCTCACTTTTCTCATTCGGTCTTCGTGATCGATCCTTGTACTAAGCCGGTCACTTATTCCCCGTGGCTGGGGCTCATGGGATTATACTCCGTGCAGAGGATGAGTGGATGAGTGGTTGAGTGAGATTCAAATGACAAAAGAAAAAGCACGCATAGGAACAAAAAGAGGGCTGGGTTAGGATAGTAAGAGGAGACCGCTCGGTAAAGAGTGCTAGTGAGCGCGTGCCCCATAGGTGAGAATTTGGCTTCCCCGGCGGAGTCTAGAAGAAGATCCCTCACATCTGTTTTTGGCGTCATCCCGCAGGCTTCAAGCATCGAACACATCCCTGACCACCCTCTTTTCTCTCAGTCTTCTCATCGGCTGGTCGCCGCTGTATCTTCCTTTACCCGGGAATAGCCGTGGCTTACACGCGGAGTCCCTACGAACTCTTGGTCCCAGCAAATAACTTCCCGGCGACGGCCCAGTTTCACTCTTACAACACAGCCGCACGCCGCGCTTCTCCAGCCTCTTCCTCAGACTTCCTCTGGTCTTTCTACTTCCCACTCCCTCTACAGATAGATGAGGCCCTAATGCTGCGCGCCCATATCAGATATTTTAAGCCCGGACTCATTTCCCCGACTCCTGCGTCAAGCTTGATCTCGTTCCTGCATCTGCCTCCTGAGGCCTGTCCCACCCGTTTCGCGCCTCTTCATTGCGCTGCTCGGATTCCCCTAGTCCGAGCCCCTTCTAAATTCTAGGGCCTCCAAGAGCTCTTCAAGGGGTCGACAACGCGAGGGATTCGGTTCAATGACGGGAACGTGTCCTAACCCGGACACCATCCGGACTATTGAAATGTGTTGCGACGCTGACAGCACCCGCGCTCGACAGCGTGCCAGAGTGACAGAGATGCAGAGACGCATGTCCCTTGCGGTCGGTCTGAGTCCCTGACGTCAGAAATCGACAGATACCAGCAAAGATGCATAATAACTGAGAGTGTTTTCTTGTCGCGTGGTAGACCACCACTGACGATTGCGCACTAATTCTGAATGAGGCCGATCAGCGTTCAAAGTTGTTCGCCTCAAACAAACTCACTTGGGGGTAATGCGGCATCGCGGCGTACGCAGCAGAAGTGAGAAGCCAAGTCTCGAGGGCCCGGCAGAGATGTCCCGAGGGTGTAACCTTGCGATCTTTGATCTTTCGCGTAGGACGACGCCAGATCAATTGTGTTTTATTGCGGTAAGAGGATGGTAGAGCTTATGTGTGACGAATGAAGGCACACAAGAAATGGGACACGGCATTCTATTGAAATCTGATCCTCCGACGCTGCTCTCCCTGGGGCTGGTCAGCCTCACCGATCTCCTCACCGAACCATACAGGCTTACCGGAATCTCACCGAGGATCTTATGAACCCATGGCCTAAGCCGTCGTGCCGTCTAATCAGTCCTCTCGTCCATTTAAGTCTCTTATCTAAGACGTCTCTGCCAAAGTCATCTGATGAAACTCAGGTACTCCGTACAGATTCCGCTCCATTTCAAAGGACTCCACCGTTGTGAATGACCGGTAACGAGTGACTCTGGTCTCATCTCAACTTATCTGCGGCCAATAACCGTTTGCTCCGTCACACCCTCCGACGGCCCGCTGCAGCCTTCCGTCTTAGTGCACGTTCGGTTTTACCCATATTTTTGACACGAACACCATCAATGTGATCGGTTCGCGATATCTAAATGCAACCAAGGGGCTGGTCTTGTAGTCTCTTCTGACCTGATGCTTATCACGGATTCAGGTCCGTGGGTTGTTATGTTGGTCCCCAGCCATGAGTGATGCGTTGCCCTTGATAAATGACGGCTGTCCTTGAGTTGTGGACTTCAAACATCCAGATCTTCTCATTCAAAACCTTAGGTTTTATCCGTCAATCTGATTTAATATCTCGAAAGATTACTGCCGAGACCAGAATACCGAGACGACTGCCGAACCGCCATGTCGAAACCTCTCCCCTCCCGTCCAAGCGACGAAGACGAGCACTCCCCGCTTCTACCCCGCGATGCCTCCCCTTCACCCCACAACGAAAACGAAGACGACCCCGACCCCTCGACGCTCCTCCTCTTCCGCCGCGCCGTCGGCATAAACACCCACCTCCAACCCGCCGACGACTGCGACCTCGAGGCAGGCCGCACCTCCGCCCTCGGCATCTACGCCTCCACCATCGCCGTCCACCGCCACTTCCGCACCCTCCGCATCCTCGCCACAGTGCTCATCTATAGCTGTCACGCTACACAGATCGTCGTCGGCGGCGTGCTCACTTGCCTGGGCCCTTCGGCGGGTGTCCACCGGCGGAGTATCACGGTGCTCGGCGGGGTGAATACCGTTGTTGCGGGCGTGTTGACGTGGATGAAAGGGCAGGGGATGCCGGATAAGTTGAAGGGCAAGGAAATTGAGTTCCGGAGGTTGCAGAATTGGATTGAGGAGACGGAGGCGTTGATGGTTCTCGGGACGGTGGGCGGCACGAGGGAGGAGGTTGGGGGGTTGGTTGAGGCGGCGTATCGGAGGTGGAATGCGGCGAATGAGCGGGGTGAGAACGGGCCGGGGGAGGAGTACGAGGATGAGGGGAGGAAGGGGAAGGGGTCGACGATGAGATGGCTTCGTGGGCGGTGATAACTTGGGCTTGTGCTGCTGGATCTCACTCACTTCGAGCGTATGAGGAACGGTTGAGTGAGTTTATGAAGGTCGCGATCTTTGAATACTATCAAGCTTCAATTCACATCTCAAAGCGCTTACACCAGTCATATTTCACAGCTTAGCCTTTACGGCTACAGCATCACTCCCACTCTGCTGATTCCTCTGTCCCCTCCTCAACATGGGAATATCATCCGTCACGCCTGGTATCTCATTCTCACACCACTCATGCCCACCCAAACCACTCGCTAGTATCGCACCATACCCTCCTCCTTGACTCTTGTCCCCAATGAGAGCCTCCTGGTCAAGCGTCCCAAGACAGACACTACTCCACTCCTCCGCTTCACTGCGATAGTAAAGCCACGAGCCGCATTCCGTACAGGATCCTCGTTGCGCTACGGGCGTGATGCTGAACTCGCGCAGCGTCGATGTGCCCTTTGGAGATGTCCACTTCATTGGCCAGGGGACGCGGTGAAAGGCGACGAAGAGAGCGCCGGATTGCTTGCGACACTGGGTGCATTGGCACGTCTGGGCGTTGGCGGAGAAGTCGTGGGTGTCTGAGAAGGTGATTTCATATCGGAGGGCGGCGCATAGGCAGCCTCCTGCTACGGTAGTGGGCTTTGGGCCGGAGGAAGAGGATGAAGCCATCCTTGGGTCGGTGTTTGGGTGTCTGGGTGTTTCAGGATATCGTGGTGAAGAGTGTCGTGGAGTGAGAGGTGAGTGAGATGCGACCGACAAGTGACGGGGTTTCTAACTAAGGTACGAAGGTTCGAGATCTGGCAGTGAGCTCAACTTATTGAATTGTTCAAGAAGAAATGATTGAATTCAGAGATTACACGATTAATATTACCAAAGGGCGTTTGTTTTGTTCCATGTTTTGTCAGCGTCTACGTCAGAGTTGTCATTGACGCCCTTGCGATGTGGGAGCCGGGACCAAGCCATTGTGAAGCCCCGCCGAGACTTGACATCGTCAACACCTCAGCCCGAACTTGATTGGACTAGAAATATCATGAATTCGTGAACTGCATGTACAATCTGTCTATGATGTCTCTCATGCCTCTATATCGTACCTCTTTTGTACCTGGCCTAACCAGTCGTAACCGTGTGACCATCCCTTAACCTAGTTTACTATGCCATTTCCAAGTGTCGATGCCTTCTTTTCCGCCTCAATAGACAAGATAATTCACCGGTCCTCCTCATCCTCAGCAACCCAGTATGCCTCAATCTCAACGATACACGTCCGCGCCGGGACCGTAACAGCGATGGGGAAACCGCCATAATCCGGATCGTCATTAGGCATGATCAAAAACTCGCCACTGCGCGTCTCATCGCCGTTGAATACCCTCAAAGTCCGCAGCTCCCCCTTCTCATCAACCTCTTTCTCAGCAGCCGCAAGAATTCCCGTAAACGTAGCTTCCGGCCGCACGCTCTTGAAGTGGACGTTGAAGCCCCTACCCACGGCAAGGAACTTGGCATCGCCGAGGTGGATGACCATACCACCGCCAGGTCCAGGCTTGCCAAACACGAACGCGCGCTCGACAATCACCTCTACATCGCCAATCACCTTTGTCCACTTCTCGCCCTTGCCCGCCGTGTTAATCTCCTCGTCAAAGAAGAAACCGAACCTATCCTCAGGCCTCGCGGCCAGCAGGTACGGCGCCACCTGCGCGAGCAGCTTGAACTCGCGCCCGACGACCTCCGGGCCAGTGTCAATGCCAAAGGGGCTCGCGCCGAGGGCGCCGTAGGTGCCGTAGGACAACCACACCCGCCGCGCGCCGTTCTCATCGCGTCGCTGCTCGGGGATGAAGAGCGGGTTGCCCTGCACCGTGTAGTCTTTACAGACAGCCTCGTAATTGTGGAAGTAGAGGTCCGGCGCGAGGAAGTCGAGCGACTTTTCTTGCGTGAACATTGTGTTGTGGCGCCAGATGTCGAGGACGTGCGGGCAGGGTCCGCCGGATGGGTAGACTCCCGGCTCTGCGCCGCCGCCGACGACGATGGGGACGCCGCGGAGGTCGAGGTCGGAAGGGTCGTCGAAGTTGAGCCAGGTGTTTGTGTAGAGGGGGATATCGTATTCCTTCTTTCCTGCGGCGGCGACGCGGCCGACGTAGGAGGAAATGTGGTAGGCCATGAAGGCCTCGTCTGCTGACGAACCGGAGCCGAAGACGGATGTCCAGGAGTGTGAGCCCGAAGCGGGCGGGTCGGCGAATCGGGCCTTGAATTTGGGGTGTAGATCGGCTGATTTCTCGTTGAGGTGACGGAGGAGGGTATCGGGTACGGGTGTGGCAAAGACCTTGTCGGCGCGGCGAGAGCGGTCGCGGGAGTCGCCCAGCAGACCCGTCTCGTTCTCGACCTGGATCATGAGGACCGTGTTGTGCTCGGCGTCGACCTGGGCAAGGTGTTTGCAAATCGCGGCAAACGCCTTCGAATCCGCCGCGCAAGCCTCGTCGCTAAGAGGTGTAACCATCTCAATGGTCCTCTTGACGCCTCCCTTCTCGAGGACCTGCACGCGCGGGAAGCGCTTCGTGTCTTTCTTCACCCAGTGCGGAGCGTATGTCGAGATGCCGTTCTTGTAAGTACCGAACCAGAGGAGAACGAGATGCATGTCATGTTCCCGCGCACCGGCGAGCACGGCGTCGAGCTCAGAGAAGTTGAAGTTGCCCTCGGTGGGCTCGATGTCTTCCCATGTGACGGCGCCGAGGAGGGTGTTGATGTGGTTTGCTTTCATGTCTGGCCAGACCTCGGACATGAAGCGGGCGGAGGAGAGGGAGGAGTTGTGTAGCTCGGCGGAGAGCATGAGGAAGGGCTTGCCCTTGAGGTAGAGCTGCGTGTTGCCATTGGTGCGGCGGAGGTGAGGGAGTTGCGTGACGGGGGATTCTGAGGCTGTCATGACAGGCAATGGAGAGTGTGTGTTTGAAAGGAGCTGTGAAAGAGACAGCGCGAGATTAGGAGGACGAGAGGGTAGAGAGAGTAGAAAGCTGAAGATCGCGGATTCGAAACTATCGTCGCTCGTCGTCGGGTTGAAATAATGTCAAAAAGGATTCGAGTCAATGTTATCCCGAAGAGCTTCCTCTACCAGCGGACCGCTTTTGGCAGAGGCCGGCGCCGGCGCCAGCTCCGCCTCGGAGAATCCGAAGATGATTTGCTCTATGGCTGCTCGGTGTGGGCTCTATCTGCTTTCGGCAGTCGAAACGTCCGCCATTCGTCCGCTTCAAGACGTTTGAATGGAGAGGAGGACCCATAACTGCCGCGGGATGTCAGACGGGAGTTTTCAGATCGCCTGATGGGCCGAGTTAGATTCCCGTTAGACGGCTTCGGATATTCTTCGCAACTCGACTTACAGCTCGGATATTCCTATCCTGTTACCATTGTCCCACGTTTTAGTCCATGTCAAAGTGGATAAACATCCAAGAGATGGGACTATTTCCCCGCACTCCTGATGACGCATTTACTTGGGGAAATTGAAAGTTGAAAGAAGGCTTTTGATCCGAGTTCCAGGAACTGAACATGCGTTGGTTTCGGAAATACTTCGCATCTGTTGAGGCTTTGAGTCTCCTCACAACCCACAGTCTCCAGAAATAAAGTCTCCGCAACCCACAGCGACGCCGGATGGATTGTGGATGTGTGGAGTCACAACGTTGCGTTCGGGCTGCCGCCGAAGAGAGTTCTCGCCCACCATCACATCTCCTGGGGAACATCATGGGACGTTTCGGTTCATGCATGAGGTATGAGGTAGTTCTACTACCTTAGTTCACAGAGTCAGGACATACACTGGGTCATTTAACTTGTCTTGACTTCATTGCCTATTACTCTGCGGACTTTCTATCCCAGGTAAGCCAGGCCAGCAGTCAATATCATCCAGCTTCCGCAGCAACTTCTCCAACTTAAGCCTAGCACTCTCGCTCACCAGCGCGCCATCACCAACGTCCATCTGCTCCATGTACGCCGCCCCGCAGTCCCTCAACTTCGGGATCAGGCTGTTGCCGTTTTGCTCCAGGACGTGCTGCGGCATGTGGTACAGAATCTCGAGCAGGTCGTCGACGATGCGCTGGTGTTCCGCCGCGCGCGTCTTGACCGTTGACCCGAACTTTTGCAAGAGATTGGAGCGGATATTGAGGCTGGTGATGAAGAGGTTGGCGATTTGTGTGTCGTGGCTCTCTGTTATGTGAGATGGTCGAGACAGGCCCCCGCGCCAACGCAGTTCGGGCGGGAAGTTGTCAATGATTGTTTGAATCTTGGCGAGCCAGTGCTTGAGGGCTTCTTCCTGGCCGCCATAGAGGCTTATGGGAGCGGTTTGCGCCTCATGCCATATCAGAAAGAGGTCACTTAGCTGATTCAATCCCGGGACATAGGAGGTCGTATCGCCATGCCACGGCGGTAATTCCGCGTGGGATAGCTGCGGCCCCGTCTCGAGTTGTGAATCTCTCAGGGGTAAAGGGCGCAGGTGGGCGCGATTCTCTTGATGAGAGACAATGCTAACGGACAGCCTCCCGAATATGTCCGCACTACTGTTCAGATGATGGAAAACGTCAACCGAAGACTGTTCCTCATCTCGACTTTTCCAAGGTTGTGTTTATTTGTGTTTGTGTGGGGGGCAAAAACAGGGATAAGTGCATTCATGGGGTCCACGTACCAATATGCCGCAAAGATCAGCCAAAAGAGCCTCTTGAGCAGCTGCTGCTCGGACATATCCAGGTCCGCCATGCGGTAGTATGCGAGGAACCTCGCCCCCGCCGCCGCCTCGGACATACCATGGAACGACCCCATGTCCCCCAGCCCGTCCTCGTTCATCGAGCTGGCTGACGTGCCGATGTTGTACATTGCGACGCACCAGTCCAGAGAGTAGACAGGCTTCCTGAGGCCATGGTCGAGCAGGTGCTGCTCCTCGATGAAGTCCAGGCACCGCTCGACCGTGACGGGGCTGTAATCGGCCCTCCGCAGCGTCGCCACCGTCGCGGCGCAGACGCTCACGACAAGAGCGCAAAAGGTGCGGTCGGTGTTTGCCTCGCCGGTTTTCAGGCGGTGCAGGAAGCGCCGCCGGTGGAGGACGGGAGCGAGGGCGTGGACTTTTTCGAACCAGTCGTGTAGCATTCGCTGGACGAGGTCATCGGGGGCGAAGAGGGCGAGACGGTTGCTGTGGTGGGACCCCGTGTTGTTGTTGGGACTCGGCGCGCCTGCGATGATGGCGCGCAAGTCTGTTGCTGAGTGAGGTGTGGCGGTGGTGTGAGAGTGAGAGTGAGAATGAGAGTCAGTGTGAGTATGAGACTGGGGTGTCTGAATGTGGGTCGAGGATGAAGCGGCTGGTGAGGTTTGGTATGCGAGTCTTACATCTGGCGAGGTGATATCTGATACCGACGGACTCCTCTGACTGGCAGCCGAAGCGGCAACAACTGCTTGCTGTTGTTGTACTTGCTGCTCGTGTTGCTGCCGGTGTTGCTGTGCGTGTCTGTCATGTTTGGTCAGAATGCAAGCTATCAGCTGGATAGCATCCTATGATGAAATGAGATGCAGGGCCGGGGTTTGGACGGACTTGTTTGGTGGTCCTCTCCTCCGCCTCGGCCGTTCATGTGTGCATTGTACGTCGAGGAATGTGCAGCCTTGGCATCGGCCCTCTCCCGAGCCGTAGAGACACTGCCGATCCAGTCAGTTCAACAGAGTCCGGGGGTTGTTAAGATGGTTGAACTTCGGGATGAATGAGGAACATGAGAAAGAATTGACCAATGTCATCCATGCAGTGGTCAGATGTTTACAAAGTCTCTATACCCAATACTGAATAGTCATCATGGGAGAAGTCTCGTGGGACATCAAGGGCTAGGCTTTCTTGCTGCTCACTCTGACTTTGCGGGCCCGACATACGTCGCAGGCATTTTGGTTCCTGATGATCTTGGCCCTCGGCCGCCCAGTGGCTGGTGAGGCGGGAGACGTCGAAAGTGGGGAGTGAGCCCCGTTTCCGTCCGGTGGTGGCCTAGTTGCTCGGTCGATCTCCATGATGTGTGGCTTGGGTGCTTGGGTGGTTGGTAGGCCGTTGTAGGGAGTAGTCTTTGTCAGACCGTATCAAAAGACCCGAGTCCGCTCACACTGATGAGAAGTACCAGATTAGATCGGATCAGACAAGCTGCTGCGACTCATCAAACATGCAAGCTGCGGGAGTGTGTTCGATTCCCCGGATGAACCTCACAGAATCCGGGGAGGGGGCTGATGATCCAATGGTGGAGAACTAGCAGCTTTCAGCTCTTTTTCCCGTTTAGGTGGCTTTGGTAACATGAAGCTTCCAAGCTGATGATATGGTAGGCTGGAATGCGGAGAGGATGGATCACTGTCAAAACGTGGCCGCATGGGTCATGATTGTCCGGCGATATTCCCGCGTTTGTTCTGCCCAGAAGAGACCCGAAGAAAAGAGATGTTGGAGACTTGGAGTAGTATGCGGAAGAGAGAGTGTGAGAGAAGCGATAGTCGGGGGGGAGGGCAGAGGGACATCCGAGGAGAATTGTCGGGAGTTGTGTATTTTGAACTTTCTTGCGCGGCACTCTGCGTCGCAGAAACGTCGGACTTACTTTTCTCTGTTGCTCCTCTCTGCTCCTCTTTGCTCTTGTTAGCCTCCATGTGCTCGGGAGAAACTTTCAGGGAAAAGCCCCGCACTGGGGCGTTACGAATCGAGTCAGGCCCAGACTCTGAAGGGCATAGCTCCAGACCGTCCAGGAACTCTATCGTTCCCTGCTTTCTCATGCTCTTTGCTGGTGTTCATACAGAAGTACACTGCGATTCTCTTCTGCCGATGCTTGTCGCTCGCCGGGTACGAAGTCCAATTCTGTGACTTGGTTGGTTGGTTTGCGTTACCTTTTCCCCCAGATTATCCATTTTTCAGTCATTTTCATGGGGCTGGCCATCCGGACCGCTGGGTTGGAGGAACTGGAACGTATTTCCTCGTCCCTGACTAACTAATTGACCACGCCATGCCTACCTAACCTTACACCAGGATGTGCCAAAGACCAGACCTTGACATGAACAGGCGGCGAGCAGCTTTCCCCGGAACCTAATTGTGGAGAAGTAATATTGGATCTTGTACTTCCCGTCTTCTTCTCTTTGTCCAGTCTTTTCCTGAGATTCCCGCAATCCACCCCCACGGGGACTTGTCGCTCCAATGATGATCTAGTGTCTTGTGCTCCTATTTCTCGTACTGGTAAAACTTGGATACCCGTTTTCTCTCAGTGACGCCTCATAGGGAGAGGAGTATTAATCCATCAGCTCGAGTTGTGTGGCCTGTTCGCTCGGCCGCTTTCGAGCCGTCATCGGGTACAGCACCTCGATCTTCGCCTCGGGGGTGGGCTGTTCTGTTCGAAACCGGGAAGGGGTCACGGCACGGTTAGTGGGCGTCAAGCAATATCTAGATGCCATTTACCCAGAACCAACTACCGATTTATTATAAGGACACTTGCCCCGGTCCCGATCCCGAAAAATCATGAGTTGCAGCAAGCCGGCATCTCGGTATCGACAACCAGGCCCTTCCACTTTTCTTTCCTGAGTGTTGCCTTGCTTTCTTGATTCACTTTATACCCAACTCGCAAAGAAGCCATGGATCTGAAGCAGAAGGAAAGTCACGGCGTTGACCATGTCGACGTTGCGACTATGAACGATTCACATCTGCAACCACCCGAAGCATCGACGCTGCCGTGGTACAAGCAGACAGAGCTGAGGAAGCTCTACTTCATGTTGGTCTTCCTCTTCCTCGGCTCGACGACACTGGGATATGATGGAAGCTTGTTGAACGGACTTCAGACCATGCAATCATGGCAGACCTGTAAGCGAAATTTGTTGTTGTGATCTCGCCTCCAAATTCTTACAACCTACATCTGTATTGCCAATGTCTTTGTGCTGAGAAAATCTCGTACAGTCTTTGAACACCCCACGGGAAGTCGACTCGGGATCTTCGGTGCCATGCCGGGCTTTGGCGGTCTCTTCGTCCTCCTCTTCGCGCCCTACATCGCCGACGGCCTCGGCCGAAAATGGGGCACCGCCATCGGCTGTATCTTCATCGTCTTTGGTGCACTTCTGCAGTCATTCCCCGTCGGATCCGCTTCCAGAAGAGACGCAATGTACCTCATCGGCCGCTTCATCATGGGCGCGGGATCCAATATCTCCAACGGCACTTGTCCTCTTCTCATCACGGAAGTTGCACACCCGCAACATCGCGGCAAGGTTACGACGCTTTACAACACGCTTTGGTACTTGGGCAGTATTATTGCGGCCTGGTCTTGTATGCACCCCATCTCTTTGGACCCGAATCAACTTTTTGATGATCTTGACATTTGACTAACGATTGGTGTAAAACAGGCTTCGGAACACTCACAAAGCAGTCCGGCGATCTCCAATGGCGGCTACCCACAGGATTACAGTGCATGATGCCGGGCATCCAGTTGATGGCCATCTGGTTCCTCCCCGAGAGTCCCAGATGGTTGATCAGTAAGGGCAAGGAGGCCGAGGCGAAAAAGGTTCTCATCAAGTACCACGGCAACAACAACGAGAACGACGAATTTGCGCACTGGGAGTTTGCCGAGATCACCAGCACTCTGCGGCTTGAAAAGGAAGCCTCGGCGCAGAGTGGATGGATGGAACTCGTCCGCACCCCGGGAAACCGCAAGCGTTGTGGGCTCATTATCGCGACGGCTGTCTTCTCGCAGTGCAGTGGTAATGGCCTGGTGTCATACTATGTGAGTTTTTTGTAACCCAAAACAGCCCGTAGCGACTCACGGAGCTTTGGTTTCTGGAATTGCAGAGACTTCCTACATATTTTGAAGAATCTTGCGTCTAATCAGATTTTAAAGCTTGCTGTAATTCTCAGCACCATTGGCATCAAAGAGTAAGTTCTTATTTCCCTACGATTGCTATAGGACAAGAAAAGTCGACCTAACAAGGATTTTTAGCTCCATCACACAATCATACATCAACGGTGGCCTTACCATCTGGTGCTGGCTCGTCTCGCTTACCGCCGCCTTCTTCGTCGACAGAATCGGACGCCGGGTCCTCTTCCTCTTTGCCGGCGTCGGCATGCTTATCTCATTTTCCATATGGACGGCCTGCAGTGCAGTATACGCCCAAACCCAATCCTCATCCGCCGGGATCGCCGTCGTGGCCATGATATTCGTCTTCTACGGTGTTGCGGGAGCCGCTTGGCCCGGTTTGACCGTCTCCTACACTGTCGAGATCCTGCCGTACAACATTCGCGCCAAGGGCCTCACTTTGTGTTTCTGCTTCACTGCGTTGAGTGGTGTCTTTAACCAGTGGGTTAATCCCTTGGGGCTTGAGCAGCTGGAGTGGCATTTTTACTTCGTCTACATTGCCATGTAAGTGCCTCTATCGAGTTATGTCATCGTGATTGAAAACTAACTGAGCGTGGCATAGTTTGGTCATCGAGTGTTTGGTCATATACTTCTTCTTCGTGGAGACGAGAGGTCCTACGTTGGAAGAAATTTCGATGCTTTTCGACGGCGAAGATTCCGCAACTGGCGTTGCGAGGGTCCATGCTCAGGCAAAGGTCGAGGAAGTCGAGAAGAGACAGAGCGCCTAATGATCTCAATGAAGTTTCCGGCCATAGTTTGCATGTAAGCATGTACTTTTGCCGAAAAGCAGCTAGTTCAATCAGCCACGTAGCCAAGTTCAAACCACTGTGCTCGTGGAGATTTTAATTTCAAAAGCATTGTAATTTCCTGCATGGTTCCAAGCTAAGCCTACTAGGTAGATATACCTTCAATTGAGGTTTGTCCACTGAAGGAGTTGCTATGGAGCATCTTACTAAGAGCAAACTCATGTGGTGAATTTACACGGATCCTTGCGCCTCAAATGACTAGTTTTCAATTTCTTCCCTTCTTCTCCTTTCTAGGTACACAGTTCCAATCATTGCGGAATCTCCTATTAGGAACTACCTTATCTGCAGATAGCAAAACAACGCAGTAGAAAGGGACAAATTCTCGAATGACAAGCAAGCGCGATATAACAAAACATGTGCCTTTTCTTACATCTAACCGTCTATCCGAGACTTCCCACCACATCTCAGTCATTTTATTGTGGTGTATTAGACTGAGTGGCGTCGCCGTTTGATACATGTATCACCCGGTCTTTTCGTTATCCCAACTAGGCAGGGTGTGAAGTTAGGTATGCCGAACTGAATGGCCAGTGCAATTACACCGCAAGTGGTCATCAAAGATAACGTGATACCAGCAACCACTTGAAGGAACAGCCTGATATTTTGATCACTTTGAAGCGCGGCCTCAAGTAGCTTATCAACATCCTCGGGCAGTTGTGCGTCGTAGACAACTGTCAAACGGATGAGCCCGATTAGGAGAATCCCCAGGAGAGAGAGAATGCCCCCGTTCAACCCTCGTCTTCGACGTCCAGGAACCTCAAGCATCAGGTTGATTATGAAGGTGATTTGAACGCTGAAAAGTGATCCCAAGGCCACGAGCTGAGAGTCATATATGGTAAAGTCTTCGCCAGCCTTCCATTGTTCCAACTGCTCATCCCGTTTCTTCCCGGAGGCGGTGAAGGCGGCAAGCAGAGAGGCGATGACTAGGCCCAGACTGAGAAGAACAGAGCTCCAATAAAAGGTGGGCAAGACATGTATGAAGGCTTCTGTGGAAACCTCAAGGATTCTAAGTAGATTCGGTGAAGGGAAGTTAAAGACGCGTCTTCGTACATGCTCCACAGCCTTCGCGACCTGAAAACTGACAACGAGGGAGGCCTGAAGACAAAATGTGAACATGACCCACGCAAACGCATGTGTTAGATCTGTGATATTCACATGTCGTGGGTTGATGTTCCGCACTTACGCCGACGCCTGCAATGTCCGCGTTGCCTTGAATGCCAAGAGAAGAACGTAGCTCACCGAGGCAAGTCATATTTGCAGATTTAGCAAGCTCTATCGAAATAGCATCTCTGAAATCCAAGGCACTTGAGCAGGTTTTGACGTCGCAAGTGATAGCAGAAGCGAGTGAGCTACAGCTAGACAAGTACCAAGACGCTATTGGTAAGTAGTAATGTTTTTGATGCTTTCCAGTAAACCTTTTGGCAAGGAGGAATTGACCAACTCACGTAGCGAGTAGTTATTGATGTCGCAGAAGTCCAACTTCGGAGAGGTACGCATGATACTATGTGCGAAATTGCCGAATGACACACAATTGGCGGTGACGTCCCATGGCACATTCTTTGGCGGTGTCCACTGGAGGGAAGTGAAGTTATTAGCCATGGCGTAGAACGAGGCTTTGGAGATGAAGTTAATAAGGTAGGGTTCATAGGGTAATAGTAGAACCAAGAGCACCTCTTCAAAAGTATACCAAGATAGTCTTTAAGTAATACTTTACTACTAAGTACATGTATTCAGCCGCGAACAACAATGCACGGTAATTCGCAGTTCATGGCCAATTCGGCACGAAGTGGCAAGCGCGGTGCGTGGGGTACGTGGCGATGAGCTCTAGAAGGCATTCTTCCAAGGCATTTTCAGAGCATTGTATCAACACAGCCTTGGAAGGTTGAAGTTCCTGCTCACTAATCCTAACTGACCGAGCCTCTATTGCCTCTCCCAATGCCTATGGCGGTGGCTGTGTACATGTATCAACGTAGACGTGTTATGATTCTCCGTTGCTCGTGGTTCTTACGTATGGCGGCAGGTCGACAGTGTGGGCTACAAACGGCGGCTGCTGGTAAGGAACAATACGTGTCATCAAGGGACGAATCATCCTCGAGCTATTCATCTGTCTGGATAGATTCGTAGGTCCACAGACAAAGACCTTGCCGGACTCGCCGGATCTTGCCGCTCGCTCCTCCCCAGCCCTTACTTACTCTGCCACAATCGGCCATGTCGAGCTAAGACATTCCTACACAGCAATGTAGGTACATGGAATCTGTGGCGTTCGTGATGGATGTTGACGTGTCACGTCAGAGCCTCGGGAGTAAGGCAGCATAATAAGGTGCAGTTTGGCTGCAAGCACATGACCTGGATTCAAAGAAGTAGTGTAGACAGACATGAACTGAAAGCACTCATACATGTACGCTCCGCGTCATGTCAGGCACCATGCAACCGTACCCAGCCGAACACGAGATGTTCTAAGCCTCCCAGCACCTCGGTGTTCTCGGAACCACATGTAGTGCCGCTGCCATCACTTCTGAAACATTAGCGTCGCTAAGAAGGCGACTTCTTCAGCTAGCGTCCAGCGGCTCTTCTCACTTATGATTGGGTGAGAGAGAGATTGCGTCCTTGACCGGTTTTGACAGCCTGTGGGAACCATCCACCGGGAACCATCTCACTTTTTGATGCCGGCCAATGAAAAATGGATGAACTGTTGTGGAACATGAAGCCAGCCAGTCATGCATGATATCAACATTAGCCAGCTCTAATACTTGACGTGGACGCGTACGCCTTGATATTAGTAGCTGCATGCCACCCAACCGAATGCAGGATGGGTATTACCAATGATTGGCTGCCTGGAGCCTTCGGTGAGTGTGAATGCCAAGACTGCCAATTCCCTCGTCCGCGGTCTAGAATACATTTACGAGAATGTCTTTTGCAGCTGCGGAAGGCCTCATGGGAGGCCTTAGATCAGCCGGGCATAGAACGAGGCTGGCTACCTACCGTCTACAATCACACGGTACACGGTATAGTGCAAAATGTTAGGAACCCATACCCTCTTCTTTGTTTCTGAAAGGCCAGAACCACCACTCAAGTCACAGGTAACTCTTAATCCATCATATCGTCAAAAATGCAAAAGATGAAATGAGGACGGCCCGACTTGAACGGACAGCCTTCTGGACTGGAATCAGATACGCTACCATTGCGCCACGCCCCCGGATTGTTGAAGAATACAGCACTCAAACAAATGAAAAGAGAGGAAAGCCAGAGTTCTGGAGGTTCCGGGCAGCAGAATATTGACAAAGGGGTGCGGGCATCGTGACGAGTGTTGTTTGTTGTAGGTTGGTGTAAGTCGACGGAGCCGGGACCGTGTGAAGTGGTGAGCCACCGGACCCCTGGTTCCTGAGGTGGGGCCAGGTTAGCCACCGGAGAATCTGTGGCTCCGCTTAGCTTGGGTGACCGCTTCACTGAGGTGAACTGTGGCTGAACCTTTACTTTTCGCGACTCCAATCCCGTCACATTTTCCCATCTAGGTGCTTCCAGCCTTTCATACTTGTCTTTCCACAACCAGGCCGCCTCCTCTACAAACAACTCTACCGAAATCGCTTCCTTCCCTACAACGAAACAAGGCCACCTCGAAGATCTCCCACCCCCGCACCATCACCACCACTAAACAACTACAACCAACCCTCCCTATCGCGCACCTTGCAAGATGGACTACCAAAACCGCGCCGGCTCCAAATTTGGCGGCGGCGGCGTAGCCTCCTTCAGCGCAACAAACGCAGACCGCCGCGAACGCCTCCGCAAGCTCGCCCTCGAAACAATCGACCTCGACAAAGACCCCTACTTTTTCAAAAACCACGTCGGCTCCTTCGAATGCCGCCTCTGCCTCACAGTCCACCAAAACGACGGCTCCTACCTCGCCCACACCCAGGGAAAAAAACACCAGACCAACCTCGCCCGCCGCGCGGCCCGCGAACAGAAAGAAGGAAAGCAGAATATCGACCCGGCGACGGGGTTACCCGTCGGCGTTGTCGGCGCGGGCTTCGGTGCCGGGCAGAGGAGGAATTTGATCAAGATTGGACGGCCGGGGTACAAAATCACCAAAATCCGCGACCCGATTACGAGGCAGCAAGGGTTGCTGTTCCAGCTTCAATACCCCGACATCGCGCCGGACGTGGAGCCGAAATGGCAGGTCATGAACGCCTTTACGCAGCGCGTCGAGGAGCCGGACAAGAACTTCCAGTATTTGCTTGTCGCGGCGGAGCCGTACGAGACGTGCGGGTTCAAGATCCCCGCGCGCGAGCTGGACAAGCGCGACGATAAGCAGTTTAGCTTTTGGGATCCGGATGCGAAGGAGTATTGGCTGCAGGTCATGTTCATGTCGGAGCGGGAGGAGAGGTATGTTGCGGCGCCTGGTACGAGGCGGTGAATGTGGTTAGGAAGGGGAAGGTGGAGTTGCGAAGAGGTGTCGACGAATATTTCTGTTGTACAAGACACGACGGGGATTCGCTGTGGCGTGGGAGGAGAGGAATTTCCTGCTTCACTCAGATCCAAGGGATCCCCAGGAGCACCATCTCTTGCGGCGATCGTGGATCATAGTCTTGGGCGACTTTCAGCCACAGTGGTTATCTGGGTCAATTTGGTCAATGGTGACTCAATGTGGTCCTATGCAAGTGGCACCAGCGAGGTCATATCACGGCGTTTGGGCGTGGGTAATTCGAGGAAGAGGGAAAACTTTGTAAGACTGCTTTTGCTCATCAGGCCCCCCTGGGCAGGGGAAAGAAGATGAGCTGACATAGATCCTCAACAGAAGTTTGAGTGTGGCTTTTGATGTGGCATGGTGCCGAAGGCTTCTTGAGAAGGCTTTCGCTCAACGAGACATGTGAAGAGAAATACCTTACGGCACCTCACTCATTGAGTAACAATAATGAAAGGCAGAATGTACGGATAGACCCACCAATAATGAATGAAGTCTTTGACTGAGTATGAACCATAGGTGACTTTGATCGAACAATGCAAAGGTGGGATCCCAAAGCAGTCCCAAGGAGACCTGGTGTCTGAAAGCACTAGGGCAAGGGAATAGATACCATCTAGGCGATGGAACTTTGGTCTGCATTTCTCCAGTACCCAAGTACAAAAAATAAAAGGGTTGTTGAGAGGTCCTGGATCGAAGAGCTTGGAAGTTGCATACACGGCAAAACACCCTGTTCAAAATCACTGAACGGCAAAGATTGATCAATCACAAACATCGTGAACCTCTGAGTCACAAGTCTTGTTCTCAAATGCATCGTCTGGATTGCATCTACCACTTCACTGTTGCCAGTCGTCCTCATGACTCTCTGAATCCCACAATGTCATCCATCACTGATAGATCCAGCATTACCAGTACATCCTGACATCTCCTCCGCACGCCCCCTCTAGCTCTCTGTCTGCTTCATCATGTTTCTCATAATGAAAACTCTAGGCATCCACGGCCGTATCCACTACATCCCTCCAAAAGACAACATCTCGATTTCCCCCTCCCTTCTACATGATTTGTGCGACTTGGTGTCTTGATGCGAGTTAACGCCCTGTATGCAGTGACTGAAAACAAAAAACGGTAAATGCAAATCTTGTGAAACAAGAATTCTGGGTGTATTGGTTTGGCAGTAGGCAAAATGAAGTCGCCAGTGAAGCACTGGCAGTCTCGTAGTCCTCCGAAGCTCCATGGCTTGCTCAGCATGTCGGCAATCCCTGAAACCGGGAGGCAAGTCGCAATGAGCTGGCCACCAAAACGATGTGCTTGCCACGCTTATCGGAAGTTGTTATCGAACCGCTTGAAGGTGTATCCAATGAAGGGCAAGCTCATTTCGGGAGACTCCTCGACCACCGCCGGCACACCTGAGCGGGCTTGCTGAACGGCCTGGGCCTTGAGAATTGTGGCATTATCAGTCTGGTCAATCTCGTCGGTCGGGAAGTACGTGGTATCGATGGCCGAAGTTAAGCGAGGCTCGAAAGGAGCTCTGATGCGACGCAGGCTGTCGAACTCAACTCCTCTGAAGAATGAGTGCTGCTTGATCTCATGGGCGCCCGAGCGACCCAAGCGGTTCTCTGTGTTACAGATCAAGCTGTTCCATGTTAGTACCCTGCAATATCTCCGTTTTTTGAGCTTACACACCTTCTAATCAGGTTCTCGGCTTCCACGCCAAGCTGGATATCATCAGGGAAGTACAGCGTCTGTCTCCAGTTGACAATCTTGCGGTATGTGTCGTGGCTGTCCTCAGCGCAGAAAGGAGGCCATCCAACCAGACACTCAAACATAATGGTGCCCAGGGACCACCAATCGCAGTCAAAGGTGTAGCCGTGGCCTGTGAAGATCTCGGGGGCAATGTAATCAGGCGTTCCGACTGTGGAGTAAGCCATCAGTCTCCTCGACCGACGCCAGTCGTTGATCTGGGATCTGTTGCTGACAGTGAGGTTGATTTGATCAATGGCAACAGAGTTACGGTCGCGCGGCTTGTTAGATCGGCCCTGTAGCAGCTGTTGGTAATAGTTGTTGTCGTGCAAGCGGTTGAAGCCGGTTGAAAGTCCGAAATCGGTAAGCTTGACGTGACCTCCGCGGTCCAGCAGAATGTTGTCGGGTTTGATATCACTATGCTTGTCAGCTTTGCGAGCTCAAAACTTTTAGACTACTTTTGACCTACCGGTGAATGAAGCCCAGCTTATGGACTGCCTCGATCGCAAGCACAATCTCGGCAATGTAGAAGCGTGTGATGTCTTCAGAGAAGATTTCGTACTTGATCAGCATGGTCATCAAATCACCTCCGGGCAAGAACTCCATCAACATGTACAGGAAATAGGAGTCCTGGAAAGTCGTGAAGAGCTTGACGACCCAGGGACTGTCTGACTCGGCCAGAATATCTCTCTCAGAACGGACGTGGGCGAGTTGGTCCTTCTTGAACATCTCCGTCTTTATCAGAGACTTCATTGCGTACACCTTGCCGTCGTTCTTCTTCTGGACCAGCTTGACTTCACCGAAAGCACCCTTGCCGATGATCTTGATGGTGTTGTAGTTTTCGGGCTTGTCCTTGGTTCGCAGGAATCGCAGGTATTGGCCTTCCTTGCGACCGGCCGTGGACCAGATCTGCTCGCGTCTTTGCTGGCTCTGGCCAGGCTCGGAAAGCTTGACTTCCATCTCGGATTGTCTGTGGAACGGAAAGATTAGCACGTGCCGCCTTGGAGCTGACGATTCTTGTCCAACACTCACCTCTGGTTGCGTTCTCTGGCACGCTTCACGCTGTCCTTGAAGAAGTCGGAGGCCAATTGGGTACACTTCTTCTGGTTGTTGTTGGCGTTCGGGCCGTACTTCTCGTAGAGTCGCTCGGGAGCGGGAGCAAAGACCTCGACGGGAACTGCCTGTTGGTTTGGCATCGGCGGCGTCGCATAGTGTCCGTAACCCTGAGGCGTCTGTCCCGCTGCACCGGCAGTGCGAGGTCTTTGAGCGGGCGAGGGCCCGCGGGAACCGTATGGCGATGCCCGAGCAGCGCCGCCTAGGTTTTGGTGAGAGAATTGGTGGGCGAGACCGACATTGGGATCGTTGGTCCCCGGGGTGTTGGATCGAGGCTGATAGCCGGCATTGTAGTCGCCGTGGCCCTGGGGAGGATATTGGCCCTGCTGCTGGTTCGGGTGGAAGTAGCCCTGTTGTGCGTAACCGGTCGCATGCGGCTGTTGCTGCTGCTGCGCCTGGTATTGCTGCTGTTGGTGCTGCATACCGGCGGCCTGTTGATGTTGCTGCTGCTGCTGCTGTTGGCCTTGGTGAGGGAAGACGGGTTGGGGAAAGGTAGAAGGCGTGGTGGGATACTGTCGGTCGCCGCCGGGACCCAGACGATCTTGGTTACCGATGTTGAGGTAGAGACGGTTATTATTACCCTCCATTGCGTAGAAGTTTCGTCTTGACTCGGGGGGCACGTCGTGTGCGGGTAGGGGTTGGCAGTTGCGCAGGCTGTGCGGGCGACCTAGCAAAGTGGCAGTTTAAATGACAGTGCTATGGGCGAGCGGACCGTGGAAGTGAGGCAACGACTAGAGTGGTAGACGGCGGGGAGGCTGCTAAGAAGATGGGAAGGTTGCAGCCGCAGTGCGCAGGGTCAAGGCGGGTGGTTGGATGGATTGGGGTCGTCCCCCGGGGCGGAAGTCGAGGAGAATAGATTACGGTGGGCGGGTGAGTGGATGGGAGGTCCTCGCAACCCACTGGAACTTGATGAATGGTAAGTGCGTGCCCTAGTGAAAGAGGAGAGGCCAGGGATGGGGACGTAAGGTCGGTAAGGCAGGATATGTGAATATTATGATATCTGGAGGTTGGAGTATCACCACATACCTTGGCAAGTCGAATAAGTGTAAAGGCGGTCGAGAAAGCTAGTTTGTCTATCTGTATGCTCACCAGCAAAAAAAGGGGTGGGAGGCGAGGATTTGTCGATAGGGCGCTTGCGAATGGAGCAAAAGGTGCAAAGGTGGCGGAGAGGGGCTTGATGCTCCAAGGGGTGGAATTTCCCCGGTGCCAACAGTGCAGGCGAGAACAACGACTGCCGGGCAAAGCTAGGAAGCTAGCTGTGTGTAGTCGGTGTACAGGTGATAGGAGGCGGTAGGTTGAAGCACCTCGTGGCTTGAGCGAAGTGAGGAAAGGTAAAGCTGGCAAAAGTCGAGGTGTCGAGGAGGGAGAGAGAGGTCCAAGTCACGAGACCGGCAGGAGCTGGTGTTGGATGAGGTACTCGGTAAGGCAAGGTAAAGTTTTGGTGTTTGGTATTTTGTTGCCGGTACTCTGTACTTGGCTCTCAGCACATACACACAGGAGGAGGCGGTCGAGTCGAGTAGGCACGAATAGGAGGATTCCAGGTTTGAGGTGGCCTTGGATTGGGGTCGGTCTGAGAATGGGAGGGGAGGGGGGGGGAAGAGGAGGGGTGATGAGATGCACAGAGGGACGGACACCTGCGAAGCGGCCCCGGCAGTGAGGTGGAGCAGAGTCACGGAGTGCAGGAAGGCAGGAGTCGGTCGAGGTAGCAGGTACCTTCCGTCGTCCATCTTCAAGCCTTGAATGGAAGGAACGCAATTGTATTCAACGTCAGAGTCTCGTAGGTTGCTCCTTCCCCTAACTTTTGAAGGAAGGTATGCAGCCCGCTGCAGCAAAAAAGGGCAAGACCAGACGGGGACGACGGGAAGGGACTCCTGAAGAGAAAGAACGCCGCACCTGCCACAAGCACCACAAGCACCACACTACCAGCACCTGAGGCGAGGCGGGGATCTGAGAACTCAAGGGGGGGGGTGGCCTTGAAAGTCGAGGGGCCTCGCTGGAGTCCTGGACCCCAAGTACCCCTGAGATTCAACCAATGCCGAGCTGTGAGTGGCCGATGGGCAGGGAGGTGGGGTCGGAGCTGCATCCACTGGGATTCTGGGAATGCCTCCGCCGCATCTCCTCCACTTGGAGGTTTGGCATCTGGCCTTATGCCTTGTGAGGATTCAATCATTACACTACCTTACCTTGTAGTTGGCAGTGTAAGTATTGCAGTCTTGAATTTGATTTTTGAACTCACATCACGCATACAATGATGAATGTTGCATGTCTTGTTCACTCCAGGTCGTTTCTGCATTGCATTTCTAGCTCCTTCCCAAATATCTCCATCATCGGCCGGGATCCACAAAATATGCGGGGCGGAAAAAAACAACGAGGAAGGAGGGGCACGGACGATGTGCTAAGCAACTGGCAGGAGACCGCCGACATGTACCTTGCCTCAGACCGTACTATGCAAGGTACTTGTACCTTCAAAGGCTCGCTTAGTCTCCCCCTTTCACCGACTCTTGAATTCTTGATACTCCATACTCAAGATCCAACTCGACATCATCCTCTGCCACGGATGATGGAACCCAGCCCGCCAATGTATCGGGGTCTGGATGCTACAGCTAGGCCCCTGAGCTAAAGCTCTAATCCGACTCGGTCACTGACTCTCCCCGGGGACCTCGAGTAGCCAGCGGAAACTCTGATGCAACTACCGCATCTCAAGCCTCTGTTTCCGAATCGTCTCTCACCTCCCAACCTCAGATGACCGCCCCTCTTCACCGGGAAACAGACACACCACCCCTTACACCTGAGACCTGAGATCCAGCATTCGCTTGATACCACCTAGCAGACATTGCTAAGAGTGCTATCGCCATCTTCAGTCTCAGCGGTTGGCTTTTCACTTCTCCCCGTGCAACATCGTCCCGGCATCTCGCCGAATGCCTTCTCCAACCGGAGTTGGCGTAAGGTAACTTGGGTATCAACCGGACGCGGACAACCTGAAAGTTCGGATTGTTTGTCTACGTCTGTGAATGGCCAAACGGTTTAGCCCTCCGGAAAGCTCAAGCGGTCGCATCACTTACGCATCCTGCCCGCCTGCGCCCAAGCATGGCTATCCCTTCCACCCAGTTCATCTCTCCCGTCGCCGTCTCGTCTCGCCCGCATCCGCACGTCACTTGGACCCTAGGCTCCAACAGGGTCCTCTCACGGTTGGAGACACAAAAGAAATTCTAGTCAACCTCCTTCCCGGTAAGGTGTGCCGACCACCAACTCATTCCTGACCGAGCGGTCCGGCGGCGGTGACGGTGGCGGCGTCATCTACTATGGCCACCCAAGCCCAACAGCCTGGCTCACGCTCGACATCGGCACGAGGCAACGTCGGCCGTCTACAGCCGCCGTGAGACACGGCTCTAGAAATAAATAGCATTTCTAATGCCTGCCGCCCCGCTCCCATCCGCTCTAAATCTTATACGATTGTCACACCCGTCACAGGAGGAACAAGCTCACAAGCTCACCCGTGGCACATGGCAGCGTTACACTCTTCGTTCTCGTATGCATGGCATTCCTGCTCTTCCATCTTCGATTCCGCGGTCTGTTGCATGTCACCAGCATCCTGCCGACTTTAGTACCATCTCTATCTGTCGATTACGCCGTGTTCCCCATTCACGACGCACAACCCATGGCTCCAATGTCTCACGCTTGTCACCCAAACCATCCCGTTCAACCTCGTATGGCGGAATCTCGTGAGCAGCACAGGAGAAACCAACAAGCCTAGCGCACCGCCACACGTTATGCTCTCGATGGGATGACGAAGCTCGTGGTCGGAGGACGGCCGCCTGGATCGAGTGATGCCCTGTGCCTGTATCAGGTTTGCCTAGTGATCCATGATTGAGCTCCATGCCCGCTGCCAACGCCGCCCAATGATCACGGCCCGACGACGCCCCCTCCGCTATGCCTGCCTGCCATCACGAGTTTTGGGGCTGTCATTGTGCAGAGAGGTCGATCATGCATCAAGATCTGCCACTCTTCACCGGGGATCGCCAGACAACCGATTTTCCACTAAGAGAGCACGCCAGCGTGGGCCACGGCGTAGCGCCCGTTGCATGGGCAGTCCTTCACCGGGATTCGAGATCCAGGGGGACTACGTGAGAAGCAACATCGCTACAGAACTTCAGGCGATTGTGAATTTCATCCTTAGCTTAGTGGCATAACTTAGGAGTTCGTATGTAGAAAAGGCTCTCGAGAGAAAGATGCCGTGACAGGTCGGTCGGTACGTCCCTGAGTAGAGGCACTGTTCTATTTTAGGAAGGCGGTCAGATCTCATTCCACGCTATACCATTTGGGGACAGATAGGTCCGATAATTCGGCGAAGCTCTTATCGCGACTAAAATTTCCAAAAACCTCACTCCCGTTCTCCTGGCCTGAGGTAGGACATATCGAGGCATTGCGAGCCACCGTTCTCACAATCGCATCTCCAGTGCGGCACTTCATCGCCATACACAGAAAGTTTCCAACTCTGCCATATTCCTCATACACACCCATCATGGCGGACTCAAACCCCACGCCGCCCGAGGTAAGCAAGCAAAAGCCCACCCTCATCATCGCGAACCTCGAAACTGATAATGGCATCCTCCAGGCGGCCCCGAAAGCACCGACTCCCTCCCCCGCGACGGCGACGACCACCACAACCACAACCACAGCCACCTCCGCTGCAGAAGGCTACAAAGCCGCGAAACCGAACCCAGTCTGGCAAATGATGGGCCTCCGCGGGCCCCCCAAACGCCTCCCCTCCCGCAACTGGCTCATCTTCCTCTCCATCACAGGCACCATATCCGCCGCCATCATCTACGACAAGCGCGAAAAGAAGCGCGCCACAGCCCGCTGGGCCGCCGCCGTCTCCCCGCTCGCCCGCGAACCCGTCACAGACCCCTCCCAGCTCCCGCGCAAACTCACAGTCATCCTCGCCTCCCCGCCCGGCGACGGCCTGCGCGTCGCGCAGGACCACTTTATCGAGTACGTGAAACCCATTCTCGCCGCGTCGGGTCTGGATTGGGAGTTTGTCCAGGGCCGGCAGCAGGGGGACGTCCGCGCCGCTGTGGCGGAGAAGATTCGGAGGCGCAGGAGCAGGGAGGAGAGACCCGAGGTCGAGCTGCTCCCTACCGAGGAGAATCTCCGCGACGCCGTGCGCGCGAAGAACGGTACGCCCGAGTTCGAGGGTCCTGGGGGCGACATCGTTATCGGGAGACATGCATGGAAGGAGTACATCCGCGGTCTACACGAGGGCTGGCTCGGCCCCCTCGACCCGCCTCCCAAGCCCGAGGTAGTCTCTACCCCTGAGCCCATAACATCCGAAGCGGCGACCTCAGATTCTTCATCAACAGAAACAGCAGAGGGCGGTGCCGTCGAGACAGAAAAGAAGGAGGAAAAGCCCAAAGAAGAAGAAAAGAAATCAGACCGCCCCCGTCAACCCGTCCCCTACAACACCACGGCAGACTACTCCGCCTCTCACCTCCCCTCCACCCTCCCCGCCGAATTCTCCCCCTCGGAACCGGTGCAATTCCCCCACCTCCTCGGCTTCGCGGGCACCTTCACCCGCATGGGCCGCTTCTTCAACCGCCGCCAGCTAGCAGACGACGTAGGCCGCCAAGTCGCAGCCGCCTGCTTCGCCCACGCCCGCGAATACCGCGACGCCGAAGCCGAGACCTCTTCCTCGGACCAGGACGCCGCCCCCACACCGTACGAACAACAGCGCGCCCTGGCGCACGAGGAACGCGACTGGGTTAAATCCGTCTGGAAGCCCGTCGACGACGCGACGGCCGACGAGGAGGAGAAGACCAAGGAGCGCATCTGGGCTTCGCCCATGGTTGTTGACGCGCGTATCGCGCAGCGCATGCGGCGGTTCGAGATCCGGGTCGAGGACGAGGAGCGCGCAAAGGGGATTGTTATCCCTGAGACGGAGATTGAGGGCTGGATCAAGGGGACGGTGCGGTCGCTGGGCTTGTGGGGGTGGAGTGTTATCAAGGGGGAGGAGCGGAAGGGTCCTAATGTTGGAAACATTGACGACGAGTAGACTCTCCCCTTTGATGTTTACTTTTCCCTTCCGTGGAGTTGTAAAGTTGGCGACGGATGAGGTGGCTGATGTGAAGAGTAGAAGGGAGACGATGTATAACTATCTTGACCACCACCCAACACAGCTCTAGAGAAAGCGATTGGGAAAGGAGGGTTCACAGCATATTGTAATTCTAGCTTGTTATTTCTCGTCCTTTGCTTTTTTTCTTTCCTTGTCCTGCATACTCCTCCGTTTTCGTTGCATGGACTGGAGCGCGGGAGGTTATCATAGACTATGGGGGTTCATTGGCGAAAAACATGCCATGAGCGTCCGCTTGTTACGAATATTACTGTACACTCCTCTTTTCTTCCATCCCATGTTCTTTCCCCTGGTAACTATTTACAGTGTCTATGGCAGTCATGGAATTGCGAGGTGAATTGTCGATACGTCCTTGCTTGAGGATACGCCAAACATGGCCTGGTATCAATACATGTATCTACAGCTGAGCGTCGTGACAACAACTCGTCACCACTTTGAGAGGGAACCTACACGTTCCAAGTACCATGGTACTCCCTCAATCATCATCCGAATCAGATCCATAAGCAACAAGACTCGGCTTCCCCTTAAGCGGCGCAGGTGCAGGTGTAGCTGCAGCTGTAGTCGTAGTCGCAGCCGCAGGCACAGATGTACCCCCTTTTCCACCAATCTTCTCCAACCCATCACCCTTCTCACCAACCTTCCTCTCATCCACCTTCCCTTCATTCCCTTTCTCCCTCCTAACCCCAAACCCCCTCTCCCTCTCCCTCCTCCTCCTCTTCCTAGGCCCAAAAGCCCACTCCCCATCACCATCATCTCCCCCGTCCACCGGCGCCGCAGCATTCTCCTCCTCCTCCTCCTCCTCCCCGTCCCCATGACCAGCCCTCTTCACCCCCGAACCTCCTCCACCCTGCGCCCTCCGAAACGCAGCCAACCCCTCCTCCGTCTCCCTCCTCACCTTGTCCTCCTCAGCCCTCTTGGAAGCCCTCACCTCGTCCAAGAAATCAATCTCGTCGTCATCCAGCGCCCGGAACTGGTTCTTAATCTTGTTGGCTTCTTCGAAAGCAGCTTGTTTCGCGGCTATATTTCCACAAGTGACGATGTTATTAGGATATCAAACTCTTCAATGCACAACATCCTCTTCTCCTCTTCATCTTTCCCTAAAACTTCCTCTTTTGCGTTCGTGATCGCCATAGAAAAGGGGTCAAGTAAAGATAAAGAAGTAGAAGAAAAGAGAGGGGAAGAAGGTAAAAACTCACCTTTATTAGCCTGCAAAACATCATACAAACTCTTCTCCCCGCCCTCAACGCTCTTCACCCGCGCCTCCTCCCTCCTCTTCCTCTCCGCATCGAGCTCCCTCTGCACAATCTCCCACTCGGCGCTCTTCTTCGCCTCAGCAGCCTTGCTCGCAGATCCAGCACCGCCGGCATTCGTCGTCGTCATCGTCGTCGTCGTCGTCGTCGTCGTCGTCGTGGTAGTCGCATCCTCAACCACAGTCTCCCCCGTCTCGGCATTAATCGCCCCCGCCGACACGAACCTCGACATCTTTGTTGTAATATCTCCTTCCCTTCTCTCGGGCTCTTTTCTGTTTTGGAGGGGTTCCTTTCACCAGGTTCAACCTCTAAACCTCTGTCTAGTGCAGAATAGGAGAGTGTCTCCTCGTCTGCAATAGAACGGGAAAGGGAAAGTTAAACCCAGGCTGATTTGCTCCTCGAATGAGATGGTAGGCTATAATCTCAAAAAGCTGTCAGGAGCTACTGTTCCTCCCAAGTCCCTTTTGATCTTGCTGTTTTTCGTGTGTTTCGGCTGGGGGTGTAAAGCTACCTTGAAGCTACCAGGTGCTCGTGTAATCTCAAGGATCTGTCAAGACTGAGATTTGAACCAGCAGCCTCGTCACAAATTGACTCGATTTTTCCCTCGAGAGAGAAAGAACAAAAAGTAAAACCTGCGGGATGTGATGCGGATGGAATGTTGTCAAAGTTTTGAAATATCGCAACGTCTCTCTCTGGTTGAGTAAGTTGGGTGTGAGGTAAAGACGGCGTCTGTGGATAAGGTGACTGAGAAGTTGGGAGGACAGGACGTTGGCAGATGGGCGAATCAGCGGTCTCTTTTGGAGTGGGGCGGTGGTCCAATCAAATAGAGGTATAAGGCTGCGCCTACATTCACCACCCGATATCTTACAGATGGCTTCACCTCAGTGGTTGCATGTCACATTCGCATCGAGATCACCCGGAAGTGTTCATCCACGTTTGGAACTTAAGGACACAAGTTTGCTTCATTATGTTTTGTTATTTTGTTTACTTGTCTAGGACTGTGTCTGCCACTGCGTCTTCAGTACGTAGGCTATGCTATGTCTTTGTCGTCACCCATGGGTATGCCATTTTGTGCTCCGTCCCATTTTTTCCCTTTCCAATCTCGTCCTTTCGGCGAAAACTTTTCCAATCCTGCTGTTGATGTTACTCACATCAAAGCTTGCCCGATACCCATGGCGCTGTTCCTAATTAACCAGCGGCCACTGCGCGACATACAAATCTAGCGCCAGTCCCGACGGCTTTCTGGTACGTTGGGTTCATTTCCGTCAAACCACCACTCCCATCCACATATCGAAGAACAGATAACCTGCCTTCTCATAAACTGAACGTTTCCAACCCCGATCCCAAACGCTCTAGTGGATGCCGGTACAAGTTGGCATGAAGAGAAAAATAAAAAAATAAACGTCTAACAATGTCATGAACAGTAAAAGGCGTGAAAACAGCGGTGGCCCACGACATTGTGCCCTCGGGCCAATGAGGTGGGCCATTGTGCCGAATGAACAAGAAATGCCAAACATAGTAAAAGTAAAAGAGACTCCATACCCGCGTCCTGGAGGCTTCAACATTTTTGACCAGTAAGCACGAATGCAGAACACCTCTCCATGTTGAGTCTCCCTTTTTTTTTCGTTCTCGCGAGTAAGAAATCATATGCCCGCGCAAAGCCAGCCAGTAAAGTGAATTGTGATCCGTATGTACCCTTTACTTGATGCAATTTGTCTTTTTTTTTTGGGGGGTGGGGGGGGGGGGGGGGCAGCGCCGACTAGGCGGGCGCCAGTAACCTTGAGGTCTTCTCAAATTGAAAGCTGAAAATTCCGTCTTTCACAGACGGAGTACAGGCCCAGGGAGAGAGAGCCGGGTTGTTGGCGGAAACAGGTTGAATTACAGGAAAACAAGATGGTCTCTCCTTGGCGTGCCACAAAGGAAATGGATGTCGCTGGCGATGGATCGTCGTCGGAATGATTCGGGAATCGGAATTCCTTGACATTGCGGCGCCGGGTCCTATTCGGATCGTGGTCACGGGAACCACTAAGGCGCCCTTGCCATCGCAGGATAAATCGAGAGAATGCCGAAACCCAACAAACTACCACCACCATCTCACCAGAAAACACAGCCAAAGGATCTATTGAAAAGAAAACTCCGTGGGGATCGCGAATGGCGACCGTGAAACGCCAGTAATGAATTTATCCGTATACCAGGGGAGAAAGAATTAAAGAAATGTCATTAGGGGTCGCAGCCGCGCGTCGTACCCATCCACCTCCAAACGCATTGTGGCTGCGAGACAGTCTAGTAGCCAAATCAATCGCGTATGGTAGCGATGGTATCGAGGGGGGCAAACGTGCCCGTATCGTAAAGTCGAATGCCGACGTGGGGACCATTCGGTCAAATAACCGCTTCTTTCGGTTCTCGTCGTGAGAGGGTATCTGAAGAATGCAAATGTATCGTTCATGCCAGAAAAAAAACAAAGTCTGCGTCTCCGGTGACGCTAGACCTCCCAAACTTTTCCGATAGCAAAAATCCCTTCCAGTTTCGTTAGGCGATTGAGTGAGTCTGCCAGGTATCGCCACAAGTTTAGCCCATTACAGGCTGGCCAAAGGTAGGGTGAGCAAAGTACGAAGATGCCTTGGCAGGACCAACGCAGTTCGCACAGCTACACTCCGCAACACCGTGCTCCCACATGGTTTGCTGGTAACCATAGTGTCCAGGGAAGTTTTGTTGGTTGTGGCGGTGACCGTAGTAGTTGTGTTGCGATGGCTGCTGGTAACGAGTGTTCCACTGGCCCGTGGTAGCGGCCTGGGAGAACCAATCGTTGTAGCGAGCGTTGGCAGACGTGGCTGAATTAATGTACTCGGGCGTGCCGTAGCCAGAATCGGGAGGAGTGAGCGGGGCGTTCTGCCAGTTCCAGTTGCCGCCGTAGGCTTGCTGGTGAGCCAGCTCGTTGCGCTTGATAGCCTCGTAGCGCTCGTATTCAGCCGCTTGCTGCTGAACAAACGTATGATAGGAGGATCGTCCACCGTATCTGTTGTTGATGTTGGTGTCGATGGCGGGGACGAGTCTCTCGCGGGTGACTCTTGCCGCAGCCTGATCCTTGAGGACCTTCCAGTCATCCCAGCTGGTGAGCCAGGCCTTGTAGTCGGCGCTGTAATCCAGGTTGACGTAAAGACGCCAGCCGGATTGCTCGAGCCACTCATGTTCCAGAGCGTTGAGCTCGGCGACGGGGATGCCGCTCACCTCAGACCAAGAACGGTTCTGGAAAGTGTTGTCGTCCAAGAACTTGCTGCCAAGCAGCAGGGAAACGGTTAACATGCGCCAAACCTGTCCCTCAGGTACCGTGTACGATGGGTTGTTCTGTTTGAGGGTGTTGACCCGCTTCGCCAGGTAGTTCATTCCGAGGAGAATGGTGCTCTTGGGCAATCTCGTCGATGACAGAATCTGCGAGACGAACTTGCGGAACGGGGGCGTGACGGCCGTGGTCGACAACGGCATAACAACGCGGGTGGCCATCTCGGCAACGAACTCGGCCATTTGGTCGACCTCGTAGTCGAGGACGGCACAGACACCTCCGGGCATGATGGCGGTATTGAGAAGAGTCCGACGAAGATCGAAATGAGATCTTTGTCGGGTGGGGAGACTGCTCGATGCACTCGTGAGAGACTTAGCAGTGGAAGGAAGGCTGTGCTAGCGGTGAATGACCAAGGCCGATGGTGTCGGTGTGTCGGTTGGGTGAGAGGGTTGGTGACACGAGCCCTTAGTAGCTGCGAATAGCCATCAAGAGTTGAGATCGCGGCGGGGAAAGGAAAACAAGACGTCTAGAGATCGAGTTGATGAAGGTGCAGTCGTTTCGCTGGTTGTTGATGACGGCTGAAAGATCCAGCAGAAGATATGTATCTTAGGCGGGGGAAGAGATGCTGTGATGGCTGACTCGGGAAAAGGATGCTTGAACGGAGAAAGGTCGTCGAGAGCGTCAGAGAGGTTCTAAGGGCCGCTAGAGACGGGACGAAGAAAGTTGTGCAAAGGAAATGGAAAGCCGCAGCTCTGTCCTGTTTGGTGAATGGTCAGCGAGAATGTCCAGGAAATCGAAAAACTTTGACTGTCTGTGCCTGAGTCTGATACACAAGCTTCGTCGAATGATGCGTCAAGTAGTGGCGGGCCGGTATTGGAGTGAGGAAATGCTGGGAGGCGACGTGGGCGACAGCGGCAGAGAAGGGGTACCCTGTGGACAGCCCAATGCAGTGGCCATTGTGTAGCTCCAGCACACCCAGTATGGAGGAAGCGTTTGCTGCTGCTTGAATATGACCGTTTGGGAGTGTAATGCTTCAAGGCAAGGGCAGGTCGTTGACTGAAGACCGATCCGATCGCAGCACATTGACGGAACGCTTCGAGACGATACCGAAGCATGCCTTCTGTCAATGCCGCTCGTGGGAATTTGATCGCATTTCGAGATCGGATATTTGGACGAAGCTCGTGTACCATGCTCTCCGCGGGTGGCTCTGGTGGATTGAGGGTATCGCAGGGTCGAGAGATAGCTTACCTTGAGGAAGGGAACCGTAAACAGGTGTACGAGGCCGAGAAGGACGGTGTAACTTGGAGGTGTTCCAAGTGATGAGCAAGACGCGATCGAGTCGGCTCGGTTTGTTGTGTTCTTGCTCGGTGTCGTGCACTAAGAACGGTACTCGGCCTGGATGGGGAGCAGGCGGACGGGTGTAGAGAGGCGAGCGACAATCGAATTCGATAATATCGTGCAGAGGCAGAGGAGAGATGAGAACCTGAATCCTGGGTTGTCGACGACTTTGGATGGGAATATCGTGCAGAGTCGAGGACAGGGGAAATTCGTCGTGATACGGCGGATTCGGAGGTTTGAAAAGAGAAGAAGGTTTTTGGGAGAGGAGAGAGGGAGGAATAAAGTCGGACAAGAAGAATCTCGAGGAGTGAGAATGGATGGGACGGGTTGGGATGGATGGGATGGAGATGGGGAGAGAAAATGGGGACGGGGGTGAGGATGTAAAGTGGAGAGAGGAATGATGGCGGCGTGCGTGTGAATGGAGGCGAGAGAGGGCGAAGTTGAGTGAGGGAAGGGTGGAAGGGTGGAAGGGGCGGTAGCAGCCCGGTAGGTACAGTAGTCGGGTCGGGTGGTAGGTACCTCAGGACCCAGGACTCAGGTAGCCCAGGCGAGCCCGGTACCTGAACGAGGTACCTTACTCTCTGGGTGAGGCCGGTACCCAAGCGGCAAAAAGCCGGTGACGGGTACTTTGGGGCGCTAGACTGGAGGACCAAGAGGACGGGGTGATAGTGACGGAGTGGACAGCCCGGCAGCAAAGTGGACACCCATCGGTTCCATACTCTGTGCGGTGCACCTCAGTCAGGGTACCTAAAGCAAAGTACCTCAATACCTACCTACTGCCCTGAAGGAACAAGACCAGAAGAAACAGGAGCGGACCTGGAGGGAATTAAAAAAAATAAAAAAAACTCACACGCTGCAGCAAGCACCACCCACCTTTTCTAGACACTAGGGGAATTAGAACATCGTGTCGGTTCAAGCAATATGAAGAAGTAGGTATCTTTTCCCTAACACCACGAAGTACTGTGTTTTCTATACACACCAAAGGTATCACGGGCAGCTTGTACTGTTGAGACGTCCACCTCAGCGAGACAAGACGAGACAAGACGAGACGAGACGAGGAGAGGATTGCAAGTGTTCAGCTGGCAGCACAGAGTACAAGGCACAGAGAGTACTCGGTAGAACAGGGCATACGCAGGTGCTTCAATACACCTCAACACAGGAATGACCCGCTGTGAGCGCCAATGTTCGGAAAGTGTATGTGTGGCTCGCTGCTCGTGGAATGTGCGGTGCTGTGCCCGAATGGCTCTAAGGTACTGTGCAATACGAATACCTCTGGCCGTCTAGACTAGCACAAGTACCCATAGTCAACAGGGCAATCGGGGATGAGAGGCGGACGGGAAGAGTGGTGCTACAAGAGTCTGACTGGCAACTGACTACTCATGGCACCCCCGGCTCACTTGGGTGGTGGGAGTTCAGACATGGAATTACACTGGAATTACAGATTCGGGGAGCATGGAAAGAATACGTATCCGTAAGTACAACCAAAATTAAAATATAAAAACATGATGGAAGATCAAATGAGAAAAGGAAGGGAAAAAAAAACTTGGGCGTGTCTTGGACTGGATCGAACGTGGAGACGACAGGGTGACTGGCTCCGACGGGACCACGACGCTAAAAGAAGGTACGGAGGTACTTCGTCATCGGGACAAGCGAGGGATCGGTACGTATTTCCGACCCCCGTTTTAGGACAGAAAGGGCGGCACCGGATGATTGAGGACGAGTATGGGTTTCAATCTTCAGATTGGACGTCAAAGAGGGAAGGGGGCACTCTTGCTACCGGCTCCACTCTCACCCTCTATGAGCCCGCGACACGACACCGCTCCTGCTGCGAAGCAACCAGGGGGGCACTGGGGGGAGGCACTGGGAGGGCACGTTGGAGGGGGGAAGGAACTGGGCATCGGCCAGTCATTGGCCGTTGTTTGGTGATGGTCCAGGGAAAGTGCTGCTGGGTGGGTGGACCACTGGACCGCCAACCGCCACGGTAATGATTGTACACCTCACGCCGACGGGCACTCACTTCCATTTTGATGCATGGATTTCACTTGTGCTCACCACTTTTTGAGAGAGTGTGTGTGTGTGCGTGTTGAACTTGGATCAAGGTGGTGGAGGTGTTGGGTGAAGGAACTTTACTGTCTAAGGCAGCGACACAATTGGCCAGCTTCAGTGTTAGATTTTTGGTACCACGCGTCTGTCTCTGTCTCTCATTAGCCCATCCATTCATGGGAGGAGGGCAGTCGGGTTGAAATGCCTCAGGGCAGCCAGAAAAACATGACTGGGACAGCAAGACGTTGCAGGTGTATCCGTCCCTTAGGTGCAGGTGCAGGTGCAAGGGCCACTTGCAAATTGTGGCAGGGAGTCATCTATGGCTTTAGAATAAAGAGGCAGGCAGGCGCGGGAGAGAGCAGGACTGCAGGAGCAGGAGCAGGCGGCAAAAAAGGGCAGGAGGGAAGGAGAGACAGTCGACAGACTCGAGACAGCATAGGAAGCAGCAGCCCGAACTTCAAAGGCAGGAAGGAGCCACTGGTCAGGACTGGACTCAGGAGGGCAGGGCAGTATTGGATCGGGACGGAGTACGGGAGACTGGAGGCAGGGGGTGGGCCACACCTGCAGCATCGCACCTGCCCTGCACCTGTCCTGCACCTTACTCCTGGCACTCACGCACTGCAGGAGCGCTGGCCGGTGTCTGGCCCTCCTCCTGCCTCTGCTCCTGCCTCTGCTCCCACGCTCCTTCTTGCTCCTGGGCAGGTTGACTGGCTCCTGCTCTGTTGTTATGGCTTGCTGCTGGATGGCTGGGTGCCGCGCTCCTTCCTTCGAACCTGACCTTCCCGGCCAGACCTGCCTGGCCTCTTCCTCCAATTAAAGTGGTATGTATGGAGCCCAAGGCATTGCCTGGGGGTGCAGTGTGCACATCTCAATGGCCCGATGTTGGTGGTGTCTCTCGAGTAAAACTCACGCTAAAACACGACCAGCAGCCAAAAAATCGAACCTCTCGTCATGGGAGAATACCTGACCTACGGACAATGCGGTGGTGCACCAGAACGACTGGCACAGATGCGAGACTGACTTTGACAGGAGACGCTACGCTTTATCCGTACTGTTAACTGTCTTCTTGCAAGCCGTTAATCAAAAGTGCAAACCTCGAGTCTTCCATCGCATCGTGGCATCAACCATGACGCGGAGACGAGACTAGAGCAAGTCGAGGGCATGGCATGCACGTGAGGGGACCGACGGCAACGAGAAAAAGCAAAGCTGACTGACGGACAGGCTCCATTCACCAGGAAACAATGACAGCTCACAATACCCTCAATCTCAACCTCGATCCGATTTCCATAGTCATCCGTCGTCCGGCACACGAGCACAACAATTATTAAGAACAGTCATTCAATAGTCTGCCGTGTGTCTGCGTCTGGTCTACCTGACGACAAATCGTCTTGCCCTGGCGACGACGTCGTCAACGAATACACACCAAGGCATCCATAGCATCTTGAATCATCCCGAGTCTCCCTTCCCATATCCGTGCGCATTGAGCAACCAACACAATAGCGTCCACACCCCGGGTGTCCCATGGAATCCAAAGCCAACAGGTCATCCGGCGCGCAAGAAAAAATAAAAAGTCGTTAATGGCGGTTCGGCTCTAGCGTTCCCTGAGAATGGGATGACCCAGTATCCCGAGGCTTCTAGATGTACTGCAGAGTATTGGGCTAGCCTTGTGCAATTTATGCCAGTTGCCTGTACCTTGCATATGGGTCAAGGAGGCTGGGATGTCGCGGCTATAGCAGGTACTCGTATCAACTCCAAGCACCGAGGCAACCTGCTAGGTACCTTTCTTACCCCCTCCACCAGCACCGACTAGCATCATCTCTTTGGCTTGACCGCTGACCGCCTTGGTCGCAGCACTCGGCACCTCTGAGATTCTCTGGGTCTAACCAGTGACGATTCCCACGACCCCGTTTGACGGCTGCATCGCCGCCCTGGTCCTCATCTTCCTCACACACTTCATCCCTGAGAGCGTACCGGGCAGCCCAGCCTAGGCCACAGACATGGTAGAGGCACGAGAGAAGGATCGGTCTCTTCGATAGCAACAAGCGTCCGTACTCGAGCAGTTTGGTCTCGCAGTCATCCACAGTCCACACGCACCAGCCGCACCAAGGGCAAGGGCAGAGCAGGCAAGCACGAAAATGACACTGGGCACTCTGTGCTCTCTGCATCTCTGCTGTTGACCCTCCGTGACTCCGTCTCTTGCTTCTGGGCAGTGGCCTCTTCTTAATTTGGGGCTCGGCGAATGGGAGCTCAGAGCTTATCACACTTGGCCTCCAATTCCGACTGCAATGGGCAAGGGACAGTCTGAGTCAGTGGACTGTGCCCATCATCCGATCTGCTAGGTGATCTCTGCGGCCTGGTCGCCGCCCGAGGCCCCAAGAAGGGCAGTTTGTCCTCCTTAGAGTGGGAGTCTGGGCTTGCACGCCAGTCTTCGTGCTTCCCCAGCCAAATCCCCCAGTCCGGTAGCCCGGACTCCCAGGTTTGCCAGGCCAGGCTATGACGACGGGAGGGCACCCACTCACGAGTCCACCGTCACCATACCGACCGCTTACGCATTGAACGACCAGCGCCTGGCGGATATTGGCCGTGGTGAGGCGTTGAGAGGTCTCGCGCTTTGTACCTCACATTTGCCTCACCTTGTGCCCATTGCTACGGTTTTCTTTACCAGACTCGCCTAGGATGAGATGGAAGGGATCAGCGCTGATCTCGACAGGTTGGAAACACCACCGGAGAGCGAGGCAAGGGCTGGTATTCGTACAACCATCTTGATATTTGCGGCTTGCCTCGGGAGCATCACCTCCGGCACCAGTGTCTTGAGCCAGAGTATTCCCGTTGCAAGGTCACGTCCGTATTGCCTTAGCTAAGCCGTACCGAGCGTTGAGGGTTCCGTATCGACGTACGGAGTATATCCAGTTGGCATCATCAAGACGAGGCTGTCTCGTGAGTATCTCAGACTTTCGGAACCTTAGGTAACCCCCGTCTTGCTACCCTAATCAACATTTCGAGCAAACGTGGCAGTCAATCACTAAACCTCTTCGGGCTGCGAGGGCAAAACCTTGTCACGATGCACAGGTGTTCGTACGGAGAACGGAGTACCAAAACACAAAATGGATTTCCACCAAGATTCATTCCTGCAGCTCATCAGTAACCACCAGTGCCACCATCCACTTGTCGAATAGAGCGGTGGCTTACAAGTACCTAGCCAAACGCGGCATTTTCACCTTTGGCATATTGTCTTTACCCGCAGCACGGCCCAGCAAAAACAAAGCTGTACGGATACGTACTGCAAATGTGAGCATATTGCATTTTCATCTTCTGCCGACTTGGAAGTTGGATGAGATTGCAGCGGAGGAAGAGAAATACCGCACGCTCCACCCTCCGAGGCACCGCCCCAGATACAGTGCCCAGATGCCTCTCGATTCGGTTCTGTCGTCTAGCAGCACCCCCGAGGGTGATTCAGACAGGAGAAAAGGGTCCACCGGCCAAACGTGACTGGCACATAGGAAACAAATTCACACACGCGCAAATGGTCTGGGACGACACACCCTGCCACACGCAGCGACACTCTCACACTCTCTGAAGTCTGGACGGCTACCTAGAGGCTAGCTGTGTGTCCGGCTGATGATCCTCCTACGCGCTTCACACACAAACCAAACATTGTCAGGCACGTTGCCGTCACTACTCTCGCCGCTTCGGATCACGGCTCACCTTTGGCAGGGGATTTGTGTTTCCGCCTACGGATACTGCCACTGCACTTGCATTTCCAAAAATCCAATTTGCGGCGTCCGAGTATCTATACCGACTTTAGAATCCGGATACAGAGTGTTCGTCTCAGCCTACCACCTCTTCAAACAATTTTGACAAGGACGGATTCACGATAATTGTATCCCTTCTCCTGAAAATTTCAAGGAATCTCCTACCTACGCCAGGCGCATTGCAATCTGGAAGATAGAGGTCATCATGCAGAATCCTTCTGGAGTTTCGCTTTCACGGTTCGCGAGGAGCCGCGACGCGCTCGGTGCTCTCGAAGCCCGTCAAGAGTTCTCAACCCATGCCTGGCCCTCGCCACTCATGTTATTCAGGGGTCAGAAGGCTGGATCATCCGTGCCATCGCAGTACGGATACTAATTACCAGGAATCAAGAATTCATTATCCACTCAGGTGAGATCCGGGCACGCATCCAGGGCCATCGCTGCCATGCAGCCAACAAACCATCCAACTTTCCAACTTGGTGGTTGTTAGCAACGACAGACGTCGAATCACGTGCCTTGGGCTCCAGCCCAGAGATATGGTCGACAGCGTCGTATCGCCAGCAAGGCAACGCACGCCGGACTCGCAAGTGAGACCTGTGTTCTAAGTTGCATGGAGCCATGGACCAGGCATCACAGGTGACAGAAGCAAGATATCAGCAATCACAACCTGGCGAGGCATCAAGGCATCGACTTGGAAATGAGAAAACCTCCCCAGCCCTGCGCCTGGTTGCCGCTGGAGACAATGCCAATCCCCCGGATATGAGCAGGCTGCATGGCTTGGAGAATTCAAATCTCGATCCTCTGATTGGACAACCTCACAAACTCCTAGGCGGTCTGCATGACCAGCCATGCGCTACATCGTCGACGAATTTCCAGCCCTGCGTTCAAACGGCGCTCACCGTTGTATCAATGGGGAAAGATGAAGAAACCCTCTCGAGACGTTGTTGGGATGTTGTGCCTCGATCCCTATTACTCCGTACTCCGTACATAACATCGCGGAAGTAAACAGCACGTTTTGGGGCCGATGCTATAGGTTGACGGCGAGAAACCCTCAACCATGAATTATCGTGTTTTCGATACCAGTGGTCCAACTTTCATCATTCTTCAAGGCGCTCTGTTTCCGCAAACCAGTCTACAATGAATGAGGACTTGGAGGTTGGACGGTATTCGCATTGTTGCATTTCATGGCGAGTCAGGGTGAGGCTGACCCACTGCTCGAGAAGCAAAATGCTGGCTCAATCTTTCGAGACTCGGTGTACGGAGTACTTCGTTCGGAGTACGGCCGGTCAGACATTCGGCCTATCAGACGCCTTCATTATCACCAGCTCAAGACCGACCGGTAGACCCAGCTCTACGCATCTGCACACCCCGGGGTGCTGCTTGCCAGAGACACAGTGCATCCCCTTTCCATCATGGTTCTTTCGGCTTAGCGGTGCCCCCTCGAACAGGGTGTCTAGGGCGGTGCCTCGTGTTAACCACACGCGTGGACCGCTGCAAGTTTGCAACCTTGGGGGGCATTCTGGCACGCTGGCAAAGAATCTCCAGACCCCATCAACATGCAGGACGTGATACAACGAGAAATTCCCAGGCTCAGCCACCTGACGGAGACACTTTTACAAGGGGAAGGCGCTGGCGATCAGAGATGCGATTCTACAGTACTTTGTACTCCATACGTCGACAGTTTCCAAAAGGTGGTCGACTCGCCCAGCTGAGTCCGGTCCCTCATCCGCATCGCGGTCTTGCCGTCAACAGGCTGAGGAAGTCCACAACAGGCGCGCCAGCACCAGGTCTGCTATTGCCGGGCCCAAGCTGATTCTCCTGGTTTGGCGGGCGGCTGGCCGTCACTGACATGCGGATAGTGACACCCAATTAAGGGCTCCCCTTGCACCGCCGCCTGTTCTATGAATATCTCGGGCTATCAACCACGCCGACAACTGACCACAACGCTATGAGATACTAGGGGTTTTGCCTTGGACCCTGAAAACCGAGTCTCACACGGAATGACAGCCGGTCTCCCTTTGGTTTACGACCAAGGAGTGTTCAGACTCCACGCCGAACTCTACAGGCAGTCGATTTGACAACTCATCCGCTATGAGTGGTCATCTGGTGGCAAGACAAAGCACTACAGAGTCAGAGTGGTGTATCAGGGAACCAGTCGCCCAGTCTCCGTCGAGTAGTCGTCACTTGTTTGGTGTCACTAGGTTCCAGGCCCGAAGATCGGGTGGGATTTCATCACACCAACACTCCGTGCCAACAACAAACCGCGCCGAGATTTCTCGATGGCCCACAGACGCAGAGAACACGCAAAGGCTAAAGTGGCACAGTGGTCTTTCTCCAAACTTGTCGTGCCTGTCGTGCCTGTCCAAGGGTCCAACTCCACCATCCGTCTCTAGCGGGTGGCAGGGCATGAGGGCCCCATCATGTGGATGCTTGACCTGGGCCAGCCGAAAAGCTATCGATTCGACCTTTTTTTTTTTCTGGGACTATTTTTGCAGTCCTATCCTGGTTTCTCGATGGTTCCCCTCTTCTTTAAGAGGGCACAAGCCAGCCTTTACAGGATTACCTGCAGAATGGGGCATTTGGGCATCTTCACCGCAACTAGGTTCGAGGGGAACCCGGGCTGGACATGGCGAGAGCTCCAGAATCCAACCCGATCAGATGCCCCTCGCGGTCAGGACCCGTTGCGATACCACGTACTCTGGATTCGTACAGACGATGAAGACTCCTGATCTCTACGTATCCGTATGTGTGCATTCCAATATCATTGCACACCAAGGACAAGGCAACCGCAGTTGCCGATGGCACCCCGACGCGGAGATGGCCATAGGAAGGCCCCCACCCGATGCTCGACAGAGTGACAGACAACAGCATCAAAGTCTCCAGATTGTCAGGATTTGGCCAACTTGAATCAGGGACAGCCCTTTCCGGTTCAGGACGTCGTCAGTCGTCGATGTCAAACTTGTCCAGACTTTCCGCTAGTCTTTGCTAAAAATGCACGTTGATGAGAATTTTTCAGGGTACAACGTCAGGCTCCCAGGCCGTTGTAACAATTTTCGGACTCTGTGGGCTGAACACGGTTCAAGTCGTCATGGTTTTCGAGCGATCTTCTCACGTTTATCCGCTTCTCGACCAGATCTACTCAAAGAACGCCGAAGAAGGGCCTGTTGTCCGCTACGGCTTTGACCACGGCCAATGACGAGGTCTGCCGGGCGCAACGTCTACTCTGTCATGAAGTCTCCGATGCCTGCCATCGCCCGCGTTCTCGCCCTCGTCCAGGCTCCTGAGTCCCGAGTCCCAAAGAAATGAATTGCGCCGTCTCTCAAGTCTTTCCCGGCACATCGTCAGTTTGCTGCCACGTTGGTTTAGCACCAAAACCACTGACTGCTTTGCCCGAGTCTCGCATGCCCCCCCAGCCGCCCAGCCCAGCAAAGGGTACGAACGGGCGGGCCTGGCGTGACTGTATGATTCGACGGTCTAGGTACCAAGGCAGCGACGCAGCGGCATGTCTGCTACCTACTCTGCATACGACGCACGGCTACCTGACACCCGATGGCCGACGGTTCCGCGTCGCCAGACGCATCTATCCTCGGGACCTCTCACGAGTGCTCCCTATTAGCCAGAGCCCATTTACTAATGTCACCATGTCTTACCGTCTACAAAACATACCCATCTAAGTCAGCTCCAGGCGGTGTGAGTATGTTGTACTGCTAGGTGTCCACGGGTATCGACATCTGGAACGCGCTTCGTGGAAGCTGGGGAGTTTTGCCGCCAGCCTCGTCGCGCCCATAGTCTGTCTGGTCTATACTAGTTGCAAGACTTTGAACACATCTCGCCGTGTACATCGGCGGCGGTGCACGTCAAGCGATAATTACCCAGCCTGTGTACTGGCCGTGGCAATAATCGGTCTTCAGACTGCGGCAGTGCCGAGGGCAACGCAAGTTTGAACATCGTGACCCAGGTGCCTAGGTGCCTAGGTAGAAAGTCGCATAGCAAAGAAACCGCTCAACTTGACGGATAGTCGAACGACTTGTAACCTTTCTTCTCGCAAACCCCGCAGACGAACCTGGAACTACGGGACTTTGGGGTGCCATTTACGTCTTCAAACTTCGACGCCCCCTTGGACTACCAACCTCTCCCCCCTGCCGCAGAACATCACAGCTCTTGGCGTTGAAAGACAAGGTCGACTGCTTAGAAATGCCTTGTTAGCGACGATTGGCGACCGTTGACTGGCCGGGTATCTGGAAACCGGTGGAGCGGACGGCGTGCACCGCTGTCCTAGTGGAGAAATTCGAGAAAATGCCGCGATTCTGTGCGTATGTGTGAAGCCGCCAGTGTTGCAGCCCACTGAGCCCAGTCACGGATGGGATGGCTATGGCCAATCTGCAAGCGATCCCACGATGGACGAACGCCGCGACGGCGCCTGGGACGGAGGATCCAAACAGATGGCCCTCGAGAGTCGAGGGGGAGTCGAAGCATGTCATGGACGGGTCCCGGGAGGAGCTATCGGCCCCAAGCCGCCCGCCTTTGCTCCGCAAAACCACTCTCAATCGGGACCAGCAGGCGTTCAGCGGGAAACGCATCACCATTCACCACCCATCCATCACACTCATCGATGTGTTGGTGCAACCTCTTGACGTAGTGTTAGTCGCCACGCTCACAGCCCAGCCCGTGACCGATGACCCTCTCTATCCGCCGTCAAAGAAACCACCCCCCGAATCGGCTCGTCCTCCATCCCCCGAGTCCCCCACACACAAACAAACACATGCATACGGATACACTGTTGCTGAGAGGTGGATGAAGTGACAGGGAAGCGCAACGACTAGAAGTGCAGGCAAGGGAGTCACGGAGGGTCAGCCAAGGCTTCCAGAGTCAATCGACAACGTGCTAGAAGATGCACGTTTGGTGTTATTCAATGCCCGCCGTGATCTACACTACCGTCTACGTCGACGGGCTGGCTGCGTGACCCCCAAATTCCCGGCGCTCGTTTCTGGGGTTGGATCTGCTAATACAGTTCACCCAACCACGGCCTGCCTACGCCGTATGGGGTTTATACATATTTGGCCGACACGACACGAGGAACCTTTCCGACAAAGGCTTTTCCAGCCTGTTGCCCTACCTATGTCATACTGGCCGCCGGAGGAAGGTCCACCAGCCGAATACAGCCCCCCGCCGCCGATGAATGAGTAGCAGGCTCGATCTCAAGCCTCGTCTCGGAGGTAGTGGCCCCCGGCCCAGGGAAGACGCGCTTGCTAGAGTGCTTGCAGTAGTGCCTTGCCTTTGAGCGCAAGAAAGCGGTAGGTAATAGTGATGGACGGAGAAGAGTCGCGCGGTCCCTTACCTATTTCTGGCTGTCTGTCTTGGAAGAAGTGTCTGTGACTATGTAGGGATGCGAATGGTTGATATTTGGAACTAGGTGAGTACCTAACTTACCTCCCCCCCTCGGCCACATGCATGGAGACGGCAAGCCATTCTTGCGGACGTCTTGACAAGCATCCGGACAATAGCGCGCCCGCTCACCAACGGGATGATTCTCACGCCTCTGTGCCGCAGGCAGCTCAGCCGTTCCGCTCCGTCTTCCATTTCACGGCCTGCGATCCTGATCTCGCTTCTCACACCCCGCCCAGACGCGTGAACACCCAGTCGTCATCACCGTCATGTTAATCCGTCCGCCTGCCCGTATCACTCAAGCGCTTACTACACATCCCCGTCGAGACGAGGCGTGCGCGTTCAATAGGGTGATTGTCTGCTGCCTCCAGGCGAAAACGCACTGGGCTCGATATTGCATTGTCTACCCCCGGACTGGACGGATCTGGGAGTTTGTGACTCCCACCCAGCGTATCCGGACGGGCCGCCGTTGACCAGTCGGTGATCTGACGATCTGGCTCCGAGAGTTCATTACAGTCACCGTGAACTTGCGCATCATCCATCCCGCATTCTTGTTTGCCTCCCGTCGAAAAAGGAAAGGGAAAGAAAAGCTGCCTACTAGTGGGTAGATTGTCAGCCACGCTTCGTTCTTGAGCACATTGCGCCAGACGCAAAACGGCTATGCGCGTGGCGTCCGTCCCTACCGACAAGGCCGTACCGCATCTATGCTCCCCTTGGATTCGCGATTCGGCCGGATAGGGGTAGACGGCACATGCAAGCGGTGAGAAGGGCATGGCGCATCCTAGACGCATATGTCTGTCTGCCTACAGTCTTTTGATGCCAGTGCTCTCGTTGGGTACATTCATCCAAGCCAGTGAGGGCCGACACTTGTCGCGCCTTTGCTCTTTGGGGACACACTTGTCTCGGTAATCGCAGGCAAACACTTCTACTAAGCCAAACGTGTCTTTCTTTTCCCCAGAGAGGGAGACGTCAACCAGTTACCAGGCTACAGCTAACGGTAGCTTCTTGGGCTCGACTGCCGACTCACTCACTAGGTAATTCTTTTGCCCTACCCTGCCCTGCCCTTGCCCCTTCTGCGCCGTGTCCTGCAGCGGTGGTCAGCGCCGGGCCAGGCGAGCTTTCAAGGCGCGTGATCTTGCTTGCACACACGTCAAGGCAGCACACGCAACCCACGCACTCACGCTCACGCATCGCTGGACCGACGGAGCGGGCTGGACGCACGCAGACGCAGTGGACGGAAGGGTGGGTTTTATTTTGGGTGTGTTTGTGTCTCGTGCTTTCTGGTTGGGTGTTTTGTGGTTTGGCGTTGGCTGGGTTGGGACTTGGTGGGCGGCTTGAGCCAGGCGGCCTGTGGCTGCTGCATCCATGATCACTATCCGCTGTCCGCCTATGGCTGAGGTGGTGTGGCATCCCACCCTCCCATGCCACCACCACCACTTCCTACGCCGGATCGTGCCGTTGGGCTGGATTGACGTCCGGTCACGTTTCTACGGTCGGACGGGCCTTGGAGGGAAGGGTGGGTGACTAACCCGTGGGGAGGGTGGTCTCACCAATATCCCGACCACGGTCCATGATCTCTGCGAGACGGGCCAGGTCATATTCGAGGGTGACTAACCGCGGCGTATGCTTTCCTTCTGCGTCTCTCGGTTGGATTTATTCCGCAGAGAAGGGAGTCAGGCGTTTGCGATGGGAGGGTTTGTCCAAGTGACGCAGACATCGAGTGCGTCGGGTCGTTGTTGGCCTTGGCGACGAACGCTAGCTTTTTGGGGCTCGAGCTTGTTCTCGATCATGGCATTTTTCTGCAGTGTCATGGAGCGCTGGAGGGTTGAGTACAGGCCGCTTGCTTGCCCCTGCCTTACCGTAGAACAGAGTAGAAGCAGAAGCGGATCTACTGCAATGCACTGCCTGGAGATCTATTATGGGAGCTCATTGCTGTCTTGACCTCCTCAGTGACGTGCGGACTTTAGAACCGATGTCTCGCCTGCAACCTGTCTACCTTGGTCTTTTGCTGTGACGGGCGGTATTTGATTACATACCTTTTACTCTAAATATAATCTTGTACTTGGTTTCGGAAGTTGAAGTTCCCCATTTGTCCTACTTGATCTGTTCCGCTCCAAGTTTCCCTGTTGCCACGGACCTAAAACTCGTTGAGTCGTTGATGCCGTAAGAAGAGAGAGAGGAGAGTAAAAGAGAAATGTGAGGCATAAGCAATGAGCAAAGTGATGTCCTGTTCCCAGGGGACAAACGAACTCACGGACGAGAGAATGGACAAGGCTACGATAAGCTTCCTCGATACCTTGTTTGATGTCACTGGCTTGCTTGGTGGGTTGTTGAGGGTGAGAGGTGAGATACAGGGTGGTTGGTGTGTCGTTTAGGCCTGTCTTTGCTGTGGTTTTCGCTTTGGTGCATACATGTATGCCCTTTCTTCGGACGGGATTCTGTGAGTCTTTGGTTGTGTATGTGGTAGGTGTTTTGTATTTTCGGGTTGTTGGGTCGGATGGGCCTGGGTGGTCAGATGTGGCTTTGACGTGATGCCGGGAGGTTTTCTTGAATGTCTGTGGTGACGGCCCGAGTCGTCGCCGCCGCCATCGCCCTGTCCTGTTGGAGACGACCCAGAGATGTGGTATGTATCGTGGAAAAAGCTTGATGAAGCTATGGGCAAGTCGTTGGGGAATTTGATATGACGATGAGGATTGGAGAGGGTGAAGAAGGGTTTAGCAAGGGACTTTGAGGCGCACGGAAGATTTGGGTTTTCATGACGTCTGTGGGTTTGAGTGTTGAGAGCAAATGGATTTGATCTTGCCTTTTGTGTTTTGCATGTGAGAGGGTCTGAGAGAGGTTGCTTGGAAGGATGTTTGAGGGGTGGTGAAGTTGTGAGGTTGATTTATGTCGCTTCGGGAGTTGGGAGATGTGATGTAGCCATGATCTTTGAGTTTGTTCCGCTTTTGAAGTGTGGCCCGTCTCTGTTGGAAATCGACGGGTCTTGGTCTGCTTCTGGGTATGCTTTGGAAGATGGCCTAGACACCCTGCGATCTCTTAGTGTCACGTAGATTCAAGCCTTGAGTTGCGAGTTTTCCTGATGACTTTCCTTGATGTTTGACTCAGGATGTTATAATGATGGGCCACGATGCTTCACACCAGGTCGATGAAAGCCCGGCTTTGTTTTCCTCTTTGCTGGGAAGCAAGCATCTCGAAGTGAACTCAATTAAAAGGAAGAGGTTCAAAGGAACCAGGGAGTTATGCTTACCAGTCGAGAAAGGACTATGCGTGAAACTCAAGAAAAGGCAAGAAGTCCAAACGGGTGACCGGTCGCTCCTGTGTTATCCCAACTAAGGTCATCCTGATGAGTATATAGCGAAGCCCAAAGTAGCTTATCTCTTCCTCACGAACAAGTCAACCGCGGGAATGAGTCCGATCCCTCAGCCGCCGAAAATCAAGTCAATGTCCTGCTCGGTTGGTGGTGGTGCTGAAGTTGGCAGTCGATCGGTCTCCTGTTCTTGAACCCGTCAACCTCTGGATCCTTAAATGGCTAGGGATCGTGAGTTCTATCTCACGGTACCCCTTCGTGCTTGTACTGTATTTATGAGGATGGTACGACGAATACGGGTCGGGAGGTGAACGGGCGTTACTAGTGAAGATTGTCTTTGTGGTTCCAGGTGTAGATGTGAATGGTTGTTATTGTAGATGTTATTGTAGATGTCCTGCGGGCCAAGGTCGTTGCCTTTAATCCATCGAATAAAGACACCAAAGACGGAATGATCTGAGAGAACGGTAGCTTGTTCGTTATCGACTGCTATATATGGAGACCATTTACTCCTGAGCGGCAAGTCGCTTGTTTGCTAACACTCATGGCTGCCTGCCCTGCTGCTCTCCCAAAGCAGCTGCTTTCTATGTAGATAAGCTAGACAAGTTTTCTCGACAATGTGCCTGGGAAGACCTACTACACTAGCCTTTTTCTGAGCCCTTCATGAATAGAGGAGATCTTTTGCCGTCATCCAGTCTCACCAATGGAAAATGCTCAAATTGCTGCTGTTTATATTGTTAGGAGACACTATGAGAACTAAAGTAGATGCTGCTCTGAATTCTCCCCCTTCCTGGAACACCAACGTACTGCCATGGCCGTCAACATCTACAGTGGCTGCTCAGAGAAGGCCAACCATTCAATTTGATGAAGCTCCTGGATTCACTTGGTGGCCCAGCTTCAACTTTGATATCGCTACATCCTTGTCGATGGTGTGGTTGTGGCCAGCAGACGTGTTCTTCGAGTTGGCGATTCGCAAACCGGTGAATGTCATTCCATACGATGTGGCATCAAGGTTGTTTGTGTAGTCGTCTCCAAGCCTCACGCCATCGCCATTCTCTATGCCCACGTTGTAGAAGACGTGGCCCTGAGACTTCGCTTCTTGCTCCACTGCTGCGCAGAGCAACTTGTCATTCGGGCCAAGGACCTCAAGAAGCTTCGTGAAACATTCGGGCCCGACTTCTTTCGCCTCAACAAGGCATAGGTCAGTTTGCTGTGGGTGAAGTGCTGGGAAAAGCTTGACGAGGTTGTCCACGATGGTGCAAATAGATCCGACTAACCCCTCGAACTCGGACTTGCGATAGATGGCTTACTGGGCTTTAGCTAGAGCGCCGACCTCCTGTCGTTCAGAAGTGGTGACCTTCTCTCGTCGAAGAAGGGTGACCTTGCGGAACTTTGAAACAAGTTTCTTCACGGTCTGATCTGCCTTCTCCATCTCGGCATCCTGATCAGGAACCTGGAGGTTCTCGGACTCCTCCTCCTCCTCCTCGTTGAGCTCCTTGAACTGCTCAGAGGTCCTCTTGGCATTTTCAAATGCCACCTCAATCATCTTCAACCAACTTATTATTAGGCTACGGCAGCAGGGCTGGCCTGGTAGCCTGATTAGGCTGATCTTTACCTTCACCTCCAGCCGAACTGCTCGGGTTAGGCTAGAGGATACTACTACAGAGGACTCCCCCCTATCCTGTGGGCTGCCGCAAGGCTCCTCACTATCCCCGATACTCTTTTTACTATACATAGCCGATATCCTAGCTGATAATCAAAAGCTTCGGTTTGGTTATGCAGATGATATAGGTCTATTAGCTATTAGCCCGACGCTAAAAGATAATGCCACAGCCTTAGGCCAGGACATTACTTACATCCTCAACTGGGGCACTGATAACAAGGTTGCCTTTGACCCAGCTAAGTGCGAGGCAATCCACTTTAGCAGGAAGCATAACCAGATAAGGGATATACCAGATATACAGGCAAGAGGCCTAACTATTAAGGCCTCGACCAAGCCCATACGATGGCTAGGGGTCTGGTTCGACAAGAGACTCACCTTCCGGCACCATGTGGAAACAAAGGTCGCAGCAGCATAAAAGGTAGCCCATTTCCTACGGCACCTAACAAACACAAAAGGGGGGCTACCAGCAGCTGCTGTGCGTAAAGCGGCCGTGGCCTGTATCTTACCTACAGTCCTCTACGGAGCTGAAACCTGGTATGCAGGCTTATATAGACCAGCCTTAAGTAACAACACCAATACCAGTAGTGGTACTACTATGCAGATAGCTACTATAGGTACGGGACAGAAGGGCCTGGTCCGCAAAGTCGGGAAAGTTATTTCAGCAGCGGCAAGGGCTATCCTACCTGTCTGGAGGACCACACCAACTAGCAGCCTCCTTCGTGAGGCTGGCCTGCCCACAGCAGAGGTTGCCCTCGAAGCAGCACGACTACGCTTTGCTACGCGGCTACAGAAGGTTGACCAACAACATCCCTTGGTCCCAAGGCTCTGGCAGCAAGGGCGGCAACGAACAAGACTTCAAAGAACAGCTGGCCTCTTACCTAAATGCCCAAGGCCTTTACTCATACAGCCGCAACACCCCCCAGGCTCACAAGACCTCATAGCCCTAGAGCGCAAGGAGGATGCAGCTAAAGCCTTCCAAGCCTGGCTCAAGACCGTACCAGACAATCATACAATCGTCTACTCAGACGGCTCTAAAGCCGCTGATGGGGCCACGGGGTTCGGCTTTGTTATCTATCGCAAGAACTGACGTATAGCCCAGGGCTGCGGCCGCCTCGGCTTAGCAGAGGTGTTTGACGGTGAGGCGGAAGGGGCGAGGGCGGGGCTCCGACGGGCCCTCCATACCTCTCAGGGCCAGCCGATACACATCTGCATCGATAATACCAGTGTCATCCAGGGAATCCGTGGCAAGGTCCCAGACTCCTCACAAGCTGCCTTCTTAGAGATCCAGGAGGTAGCTAGGATATACGATATACGAACCCATTGGTCCCCGGGGCACCAAGATATTAAAGGAAACGAAGAAGCAGACAGCCTAGCTAAGGAGGGAACAACTCTACCAGTCCCTAGGGGCCAACTAGCTACTCTATCAGGTATCAAGTGGCTTGCTAAAGAGCGGCCAAGACGCCAATATAGACGATGGTGGAAACAAGAGGCAACTCCCCGCTATACCCAACTAGGGCTCAAGGCCACCCTTGTTTGCCCTCCTGAACTTGGCCTCCCTAGGGCTGCCCTTCATCACCTCCTCGCGGCACGGTCAGGCCACGGGGACTTTAAACAATATCACCAACGCTTTAACCACACAGAAGCACTACTCACCTGCTCCTGTGGATGGGTTAAGGAGGCAGACCATCTAGTCTACTGCCGAAAGACCCTACTGAGGAGGCAACAGTGGCCCACCCTCTACCCCTACAGCCGCCAGGAGCCCGTAGGACCTATAGGGTCCCTCGATCGCTACTTCAAGGGGCTAATCACTGACTCTGAAGGCTTCCAGGCCTTCCTCTGCGTGACAGACTTCTTCCAGAAGATCTGCCCGCGGTACTAGGAGATAGGTCATAACCTATCCTCCAAACGACAAACTACCTCTATTAAGAAACCAGATGGTTATAACGGAACTAGGGCACCAGTGGGAACTAGGGATGGATAGAACACATAGTAGCTCACGAGCAAGATTTGGAGGACGTCAGGATACGGCGTGTACTATATAGTATATAGCTAGAGCCTGCGACCCTTCACGCCACATACCCTCCGGGAGGTCTGCCGCCACGGCGTTAAATATAAAACAAACAAACAAACAAACATCATCTTCAACCACTTTCCTGCCTTCTTGATGTCGGCTTCTTTCCACTCGCCCTTGGCGTACAACTTCTGAGGATCAAAATCCGCATCCAGGAAGCACATTGACTCCCCCCAGCGGGTGAGCTGCATGTCCGCGGCTTCGAGTTTTGCTATGCAGAATCCAAAGTCCTGGTGTAAAGCCCGTCCAACTCGGACGTACTGGAAACAGTCGATGCATGACTTGAAGATACCAGGGATTCCGGCTATGGCCAGAGAGAATGATATGGGCTCCATCTCGGCGAATCGCGTTACCAGATGTACGATGGAAGGGGTGCAAGTCTTGAAGAACTAAGGTTCGTAAAGAGTCACGGTAAGGCTTCAAGCCTTGAATCGTACGGAGGCCGATGATGGGACACGAAGGTAAGATGGGATCGATCAACCCCGATAGGGGGGATCTGGTCGGATGATATGGGCAAGTCAATCACGGGTCAACGGAGCAAAGGCGACATCAAGAGAGAACTGGTGGTTTGCAAGGCCAGACTGGGAGACCGAAATGCATTTAGACGTTGTGCAACTCGAATGTGGCATCGGGGAAACCCTGAGGCGTCAAGCTGAAAAAACAGCACCACACCAACGTGCTAAATTGACGCCAATCACCTCTCTCTCCTGGACCGGGCATCCAATCGGAACATGGAGAGAACAGGGACACCTGCCATCTCGATCTCCTCCAAGAGACACCGCCCATGTACGATTGGCGTGTTCTAGCGAAGGCAAGGAGAGGTCATTTGGCTAGCAAGTGGCTGGCCGATCGATGATTGAGGAGCCGGTCAAAGAGGGGCTGAGAACCCCTCACCAGGTGTGCCGCCTCACGCCGCCAGAGTCATTATCAGCCAGTGAATGCTAGACATGACTTTCAATACATGATGCATGTCAGAAAATCTGATATGTCAAATGCCCCATGGAAAGCAATTCGGCACAGAGGATGGTTTCACTTATCGGCAAGGCAACCCGCCAAACTCCTCAGACACCATCAGGCTACTTACATATACTGATCTCATTGACGGTTCGCATCAGAAATATGAAATGCCCCTTTACCCTGGAATATAGAGATAACATTCGCTTGTAGCATAGCGAAATAATAAGCTGACATGGCGGAAGCATCCGACCTGTTGCCCGAGTACCTTCGGCCTCTAGAAATACGGAACATGCTGCGAAATCCGTCCCAGAGCTCGGTATCAGAGCCCAGAACAGTATGTTTTGACCGCTGAGATAACTATACTTGCGGGGGCGCTAATTCTTGTTCAAGGGCCACAAGTTCAATGGAGTGATGATTTCAGAGAGTCAGAACACCACTTTAGGAGACCAAATTAATGTGACGTATACGAATGATCAGGAAGGTAGGAGGACAGTCTGATCGATGTCTCGCTATCTTACTTGACTGACAAAGCTTAGCTATTCGTAAAGAGGTTTTGAATTGGTTGTCACCTAGAGCCCTAGAAACCCCATTTGACCGACTACGTGAAGATCTCTGCGAAGGAGTCGGGGTCCAGGCATTGGAGAGACCTGAATTCTGCAACTGGTACGGAGGTCATCAGAAGTGGCCCTGGTGCTACGGGATGCGTGAGTCACCTGATAATCTTGCAGCTCAATAATTGAGTTAAGTACTGTACTGAATTGTTGAAGCTGGTGCTGGCAAGACATCGTTCGCGTGAGTACTTTGTCTCGATATGTGTATCTTAGGGATATGGTTCCTGGCTGACCGTTAATGACTTAGAACCATTGCCATTGACCACATCCAGAAAGCTCAAAGCACACGGCCAGGAAATATAGGCCTTGCCCACATCTATTTCGACCATGAAGACGATAAACAGTCAGCACTAAAGTTCCTCCGGATGATACTTCGTCAACTGGTTGAGCTCTCACCAACCATTTCGGATGAGGTCATGTCGTTGTATAACGACAACAAGTCTGCAAGGCGCCAATCCATCCTCAAGTCCCGAGAATGCAAAGGACTCTTGAGACAAGAAATGACCCGATTTGATACGATATATATCGTATTTGATGCTCTGGACGAGTGCCGGGATGACGACGAGACTGCGAGTCGAACAGACACACGACATGACTTGCTCGATGCGCTTCATACCCTTGGAGAGAAGTACCAGTTCTTGATCACTTCAAGATACGACGCGCCCTCAAGTGCCGGAGTTCGGTTGGAGGATCCGTTCACAACGATGCAGATTTCAGCAACGCACGAAGACATATCGGAGTTCATTCGTCAGAGAATCAAGCATGCCCAGAACTTGAAGAATTTGATATAAGACAAACCAGAGCTTCTCAAAACGATTTACAATGTCATAGTCGAGAAAGCAGCCGGAATGTGAGTTTCCCCCTCCACCGGCTATCCTGATAAGTAGTCGTGTGCTGATTATCTACTCGGGGACCCTCAGGTTTCTCCCAGCCCAGCTTTACATGCAATTCTTAGTTAATGAAGCACGTAATTGCTTGGTCGAGGTCTTGGAGCGACACTTACACAACTTGCCATCGTTCCACGATAAACCAGTCGGAGAGGCTTATCAAGAGGCCTACGAAAAGATTCTCAAGACTGTCTGGGAACAGGACAAGCAATCGGCAGGCATTGCCCAGACTGTGATCTCATGGCTCAAGTTCACTCAAGACCCCACCAAGGTCACATTACCTCTTCTGCAGGGGGCGTTTTCTCTCAAGGCAGGATTGCATGTTACTGGCGAGCACACAGGGATCTCCGAAGAGGACTTGCTTAGGGTTTGTCGGGGAGTCGTGACGATAGACCGTTTCACTGAGAGAGTTCGCTTCATTCATTACACGGCAGACACTGACTTCGAGGATGAGTATGTTCAAAATCACCGGCTTGCAGGAGCCCAGAAACAGCTAGCACAGACTTGTCTGGACTCACTCACTCAGGGCACGATTGATGATGGACATCCATTGGTTCGGTATGCCAGACTGTATTGGGGTTGCCATGCTCAACACGATGAGTTGCACTTTTGGGACAAGATTGACAACCTTTTAGACTTCAATGACCGACCGGCAATCATCTTCCAGGCCGTCATTGATTCATTAAATTCCGACTGGAAGCCAAAGCCGGGTGGTTACGAATACGCAGGTCTTGAACCACTTCACATTGCCGCATACTTCGGCCTCCAACAGACCGCCATGAAGTTTCTGGACAGAGGAGAGGACATTGAAGTGAAGGACTGCCGCGGATGGACGCCGATGCAATGGGCAATCGTTGGTCGTAGTCGTGACCTCGTTAAAATGCTTTTCGAGCGCCATGCAAGTCTTGTTTCTGAGGATATACACGGGTTTCCCGCAGTGTTTTGGGCAGTTGGGTCCAGGCTTACGGAATTCAAGACGCAATATATTTGCCTCTACGATAAGGCAAGACTCGTGTATGGCGAGTTCAAGGTCTTGGGGTCGAGACTATCATTTTCCGCGGCACTGCCAAGTACCGTGGAGTCGAGAACGAGCACCGATGTTCTTCACTTTCTCCTCGAAAATCTGCCGGATATAGATATCAGAAGATCTGTTGACGAGCGAACACTATTGTCAGTTGTGGCAGAGAATTGGCAGTGGGACGCTCTCGATATCCTGTTAAGGCGCAAGCGGATGTCAACCTGAAGGACAAAGGTGGCATGACGCCGATCCTCTGGGCCTTACTGCCTCCGCGGTCCCGGACTTTTGTCGAAAGTTTCCAGGTGTACAACAGTTCTCAATTGAGCCTCGGGAATATCACAATTCTCAAAGCGCCGAATGTACATGAAATCAACATCGACGACAACCGTTCTTCCGAAAAGGTCGCTGAACCACGTATTTGCAAGCTCATTGGGAAACACTTGGAAGCGACCGACACAGAAGGAAGGACTGCCCTCTCTCTGGCCGCAGAGAATAGATTCCACATTGTCTTGGATCATATTTTACGGAAGGGCGCAAAAGTAAATGTTTGCGACAACAGAAAGAACACGCCTCTTCACTATGCATCCAGTCTCCCTTGCTTCAATACTATTCACGTCGAGGATCTACACTGCTATAACGAATCCAAGATAAGACTTGGCACCACTGAGATCCAGAAGCTTCAAACGGGGATGGACAAAACTTCAGCGGTCTTAGAGTCACCAGAGAGAAGTGTGATTCTACTTCTCAGGCATGGAGCAGACACAGATGCCCGAAACAACTATGGCCTCAACCCACTTGCAATGGCAACTCTGGATGGTTTAGAGGGAACTGCTCTGTTGCTTCGAAAGGTCGAAGAGGATGATAGACATAGGGAAGAAGATCCCTTCGCTGCTCAGCAGCGTCATGTTGACACTGGATACGGCAATGACGACTTGAACCTCCGAGCTCGTCAGCGGAAGGATTACGTCAAAATCCTGCTGGCTACACTAGATCAAAGAGCCTGGTTTTTCTTGAAGCATGTCCATATTTATGATGAATCAAGCTTATTGGTTTCATCTTTGTCGGACGTACTTGGAGCAAATGACGAAAGCCCGCCATCCTCAGAGACCGCTAGTCAGATTGGCCCTGGACAACGGCTTCTATCACGCCCGACAGCATCATTCACTACATCACTGACGATATCACATCTTCATTTCTATCATAGGTCCAATACGACTCTTCGTGGCTTTTGTCGTATCAAACATGCTCACGGCTATGATACGACTAACTTGAACGTCGGCGGCAGTTCGAAAATTACAAACCTCCACATGTATCAACGCTGCTCTATTGTAGCTGAAGGCACCACGGAGATCGGAAACGTGCGGGACGCAGATCTCTCACGGCTACGTATTGAAGCTAGTTCAAAGATTAAGTCCTTGGAAATGATGGACCGTTGCTCTATCATCGTCCAAGGTCAAGCCGAAGTTGCTTCGACTCTTTGTTCAGACTGGTCAAGCCTCGTAGCCCGCGGCGATTCGAAGATGTCAAACTTAATCATGTACGGTCGCTGTTCTGTTACAACTCGAGGGCCTACTGAGATTGATAAGGTTTACGTCAACCAAAATTGCATCCTGCGGCTTCGAGGCGAAGCCAAGATTCACGATGTGATACTCAACGACCATTGCCAACTCCTAAGCTGGGAGGCTTCCTGGACTAAACTGGTAGTCGGAAATGATCATTGCAGTCTTATATTCCAAGGAAAAACCAGGATTCTCAGTGCAGTGCTCACCGAACACTCTCAATTATTGAGTAGAGAAAGCGCTCGTGTACAGTCTCTTGTCGGCCGAGACCACTGCAAACTCTTCTTCCAGGGAAAGACCAACATCGAAGCTGCATCTCTTCGAGATCACGCTTTGCTTTTTTGCAGAGGAAGATCCAAAATAAGAGCCGTCGTTGCTTCTGACTGGTCATTGGTAGCGATGATGACAGTTGGAAGACCCAGCAGTTTACTCTTACAAAATTATGCCAAGGCCTTTCTCACAGATTCTACCGCCACCAACCTTCCATATAATCCCAAAGATGATAGCTTAGAGAATTCAGAGAATCAATCTCAGGCAGGGAACAGTGTGAATAATATCTATGTTGAGCATCAGGCCAGACTTGCGGATCTGACAAGGGCCTACGAAAGCGACGAGAAATTGGAGAACGAAGCAAGCACGAATGACTTTACGACCACGCAAATGATGACATGGTCGAAGAAGATAGCGTTTCCAACTGGAGATGGATCAAAGAAGCTGTGGATCAGGTCAAGCGTGAGGCGTTCGCAGATGGCCAGTGAGTTCAATCTTTTGAGGGCTGGCTGACCTGCGCCTTGAGAAGCCTGCTGGGGTTGGTTATTTAACCCCCGGAGCTCCTGGATGGTATGGATGAGTTATCTGTGAGTAACTGCTGTACTTCAGACCGTTGAGCCATTCAAGCAACGAGTGTTTGTAGCCTTCATGTACCAATGGGATATTAGAGGCAAACTGTGAGGCGCTGAGGTGTTACTTGGATCAACTTTCATACCCTAATTTCCTCATACCGCAGTGGCACCGCACCTGCCCTCATGCCAACTCACACTCAATGAGCGACTCAGACCCCTCCCCCCTGGACCAGATCTTGACGATCCTCAACCCAGCAGCCTCCTCCGTCCTCTCCCTCGACGCAAAAACAGTCATCATAACCATATCGAGCGCCGTAACCTGCCAATCTGCGCCCCTAGAGGGTATCACGTTCTCATTGATTAGTAGTCGACTATACCCAGGCCTCATCGCAGCCTTGACCTGCCCAAGGATACTCTCGCAGACCTCGTCCGTCCAGTCGTGCAGCACAGAGTGGAAGTGATACGCCCTCGCGCCCTTGACGGGCTGTTCGGTGTGGAAATCATACGGCATAAGCTCAACCTTGGGATCCAAGTCCTGGACTTGCGCCTGAGAGAGGACATGAGGGAGGTCCTGGAGAATATGCCGTCCCGGCGCAGAAGGCTGTTTACGACAGAACTCGTCTAGATCGTGACCGATACCGCCGCCAATGTCGACGATGAATGCCGCGCCCGGTGAGGTAGTATCTGCGCCATCGATGAGGTGGTCGGCTACAGGGTAGAAATCGGGGTCCATCCAGAGTCTCCGTCCTTGACCGTACCCTTTCATGAACTGCTGGAACTCGCCGGCGGGGTATTTTTCCATGATATGCGTGAAGAAGTCCTTGTTGCTGCCGATGGCATCTTGTAGAGGTCCTACCTCTGGTGTGATTTTCCGCCCGTTCTTCTTGAGGTACGTGGGGAAGTTGCAAAAGGTAGGCCAGACGCCGCCGACTCTGAAAGAGGTCGTAAGATACTTATATTCGGCTGGATGACGTAGACTTACACGCAGGAGTAGGCGCTGCCGATGATAGGAAGGGTCAGCGACTTTGAAAAGTGGTTCGTCTCGTACTCGTCCACGCCGGTCTCGTACAGGTATCCTGTCGACGCCAGGTGCCGCATCGAACGTGCCAGAAGATCTTTGTCAAAGTCGAGTTCTGCCGCGAGCTGAGCTATGGTCTTGGGCCCTGGGTTCCGGGCCATGAAGTCGAAGAGGCCTGACTCAACTCCAGAAGCGATGGCGCACCCAGTGGCGGGCTATGTATCGTATACCGAATCAGTAAGACGTCTGGTGACCATCTATGGTTGGCCGTGTACTACCTGTGCCCACAAGTGCTTTATCATGATCTCTCTAGGCGTATCCAGAGCCTGAACCAGTTGACGAGCCTGTTTCAAGAGATCGAGACGTTGCTGGTCATTGTCGAGAGAGAAGGAGGCGCCCAGCGTGCCGATGTTGTTTAATAAGGTCGCCACTTCTTTTGGGTTGCTGGGCTGATTTGCCATGTCGACTGACACGCCATGGGGAAGAGGTTCTGGGACTGAGCCCATTGTCCGTAATCAATAGGATAGACGATGGGTAGTCCTGAAGTTAGGTAGGATAAGTGAAAGAAAAGCTGTTCCCAATGCTGACCACAGGTACGTTGGGAAATGATGTTGAATGACATGGGGCATCGAACAGTGGTGCCAGACATCGTCGAGCATATCTGTATGCTTGTCTTTGCATAGAGCCACCACTTCTATATGTGAACGCTTGACAAGGTCCCATATTCGATGGATGTTTTCTCATGATCGCCAAGATTCAAACACGGAAGCTCCCATCTATTATACCACTTCTTTTATAGCTCCAAAGGCAATAACCATTATCTCCTAGCGGCGATGAGCCTATTTAACAAACCGGCCCTGGCGACTCCCACGACTTGCCCGACAAGCAGGTATGGCACCATAGCCAGGTCAGGAAGTTGGGCGTCGATTCGGCCGAGCCGTCATTTTACCAGAGGCGGCTGGCGGTAGTTAGCGGGACCTCGCTATTCTTAAGAAGGAGTATCTCGACAAGTAAGATCTACTAGATTAGAAGCCACCGTGTCTATCCTTTAGCGTTGCCTGCTCCGTATTCGGGCATATGATCTAACGAATACGTGACGAGAAGTGAAGCGGCGTTAGGACTCCTGGATCTCTTGAGGTTGGAAGCGATTATCGAAAAGAGCTATGCGGCAACCAAGAACTAGGAACTTCTCCAATGCCTGCTTGCAGGTGCCAAGAGATCACGAGAATTATGCGAGGCCCAAAGGATGCTCTGTGCCGGACGATAACGCGAATTCTCACGATGGGTGATGTATTTATATGGCCTTGAGACCAGCCCAGCCCTCCCCTTTCCGACAAAGGTGTTGAAAGAGATGCAAGAAATCAGGTAGACACAATGCAGTCCTTGCCCCAAGACTCATCATCTGCATCAACCCAGAGGAATCAATGACTTCCAGGAACGGACTCAACACCTCGGCCTGTCTCTTCTGCACATCTCCCGAACCCCATTTCCTACACCAGGCGATTCCAGACGCCCCCAGCATCATCTCACACCTCACATACTCATATAAAAAGAAAGACAAGATTGCTTTGGAATCCTTTATGAGCCATTCATGAATCATGCTAGTCCTACATACAGCTCTCCCCCTTCCTCCCCTTCCACATCTCCCCATACTTAAGCAGTTCTCATCTCAGGGGCGTCCCCCAGATCTGCTCCTAGATATGCCGCCTTCTCTCTGCTCAACGAGCAAAGCCCACCTAGCAGAAAGAACGCAGTATTAACATCAACAGTAATAGTTTTCCACAGTCTCCTAGGTAGTGGTGGCCCCCCCTTGAAACCATTCCACCACCAAACACCCCCCAAAAACGCCAGGCCAACAGGGAGAAACTCTCCCCGCGATGGAAAAAACGAATCAAAGACCAACTTCCATCAAGCAATCTACGCCCTCCCCTTCTGCTTCTCCGACTTCAAATGCCACCGCGGAATATATCAGACCGGATCTTAACCCTCTTCCCCACACCCACACCCTCACCCTCACCCTCACCAAGTCCATCCGAAGACCGCTTCACGCCCCGGGCCATCGCCAACGCCACCCTCGTGGCCTTCTTGGGAGACTCCGCATCCGAGCTCATCACCTTCGAAAGGGAAGAAGGTCCAATCGGCATCTTGCCCTGCGAACTCGACGACTCCGACTTGACCATCTTCCGCGCAGCGACAGCAGCTTCGACCTTGACCGCCTTCTTAACCGCACCAAGGTGCCGCGTATGAAACACAGCCCTCCTCTCCCTCCCGTGACCGCACACCCTCACATTACCGCCGCAAAAGCTGCACTCGCGCTTCCCCATCCGCAATTCAAAGCGGCCGTCGGGCATGGGATAGAAGCTGGGGATCGCAATCAACTCCTTCTAAGAGTGCTTGCCCTGCGGCACAATCGCCTTGTCGATCTGCAGATTACCCCGCGCCATCTTATCCTTCTCGTCGCCGAAGCGCGACTCAAACTCCCGCTGCTGGTCCTGGTGCCTCTCGAGGGATGCGCGGCATTCCGGCGGCAGGAGAGCCTTGAGGTCGTCGCCGATGGCCAGGATGCCGTTGAAGGGCTTCAGGAAATCGGGCACCTCGGCGGGTCGCTTTCCGGCGGATTGGACGCCCGCGCGCGGTATTTCGTAGACGATATCGACGACGTTGAAGTTGCGCTGCACGGCTGAGGGGACCGTGGGGAATGCACTGTTTGCGTCGCTTGTGTCGCCGGGAGTGACTCTCTCGACGCGAGCGCGGGTCGGCTGCGTGTTGACTGGCTTCTGCATCAGGTTGGTGTGAATGTCGTATGCGCCGTTCCGCAGTGTTGCCATGCGGATGGCGTTGAGACGACTGTTGAACTCGCTAAAGGTTTGTTAGTCTGTGACACATTGACGAATTAAAGATTCGAAACCTACCTAGCAGCACGAGCGTGCTCCAGTTGCCAGTTCGTGTCATTCACGTTGACCCTCTTCTTCTTGACCTCTGTCAAACCGGCAAGAGGATCCGAAGCAGCAGGTGTTTGGTTGGTATGGTACACGGCACTGGCGCCGAACCACGCAACATACTGATTCGAGTTGTACGGCTCGTTGGGATTGAAGATGTCGGAAGGGTCCGCAATATGTCCCTCGATGATGCCAGAGGCACGCATGTCAGCCACACGGTAGTCGTCCACGATATTCCGACCTCCCACAATGATCCTCGCGCCGAACTCGACAAAGACGGATCGCGCCGTGACGATACCTATCGCACGGCCCTTGTATGAGTGGGGAATAATATTCCGCTCAATCATGTCCATCTTCTCGTCGTCGCTCACGATGATCTTGTACAGCTTCGGGTGCTTGTTGAAGAACAAGTAACTGTCGCGGAAACCGACGCAACGGGCGGGCTCTGTCGACAACATGTACTGCCGCTCGCCGCGATCCTTGACGGTGAACGTTCTGCAACGGTACTGGCGGCCGCCCTGGAGGTTGCCGAGCTTGTCGACCTTTGTCTCGCCTTCCGCGTCTTCAGGGAGCACGCACTCGTCGTCGACAATATCGACTTCTGTGCCCTCCTTGTCAATCACCTGCTTCAGCTTAGGGGGTGCCTGTCCAGGCGCAGGTCGGCGTCCGCCGCGGCCGCGCCAACCTCCACGACCTCTACGTCGCGGAGTGTCGGCTTCGGATGCGGGTACGGTGATCATGTTGTCCCAGCCCGGTGGCTTGTTCTTCGGGGGCCGTCCTAGTCGCTTGCGACGCACCACAGGCTCCGTCGGGGGAGTGGGTTCTTTGGCTGAAGGTTCGGATTCCTCTCCCTCGTCGTTTGCTTGCTCTTCCTCTTCCTCTTCTCCGTCTTCATCGGCAGCTTCTTCCTCCTCGCCTGACTCGTTTGCCTTTTCCTCTTCTTCCTCCTCGTCCTCTTCGTCTTCTTCGGGTTGCGCCTCGTGCTCGGGCTCGGACTCGACAGCTTCGGGGACGGGCTCGTCATCGTCGATACCCTCAAAGGCCCTGGGCGTGCTTTCTAACATCAGAGTGCAGTCAGCAATCAGCTTCCACTTGTGGTTTCTCCCAAGGATTATTGCTGTGACAGCGACTTGTTCGAGGGGTAGCTGTCATGAATGGAGGGGTACGCGAAGCGAGGAGGCAACCATCGAGGCACCATGCGCTCGCATCCCTCATTTAAACAACCCCTTGAAGATGAACCGAGTAGAATAAACATCTCCAAAGCGTTGCAGACCATCCACGCATTCAAATCATGGACCATGCAGCTCTGAAAGTCGCGACCGAATGTGAATAATTGGGAAAGAGCTGTACTTACGAAGCGCAGCAGAGGCGCGCTTGGCGGCAGCCCTGCCCGACCGAGAACGACGTCCGGACATTGTGAAGTGCGCACGTGGACACGAGGTGGATGGTGGAGTCGAGATGGGAATTCGTGGGCGCAATTCGCAGGTCTGGTGAAGTGCAAGGCTGAATGAGTGTCAATCGACGCTGGTTGATGGAGTCGCGACGCGAGGCAAGGCTCAGGTTTCCCTGTGGTGGGAAAAAGTTATTGGGGGGACAGCTGGCTTTTGATTGGCCGGTGGACCAAGTGCAAATATCATTGTACACGGCCTTTACACACCGTACACGAGCTCACCAAGGTACCTTTGCGAAATGCTTCAACACACCTTGCTGAGCTGTGCCTTTATGGGCCTCTCACTCTTTTTATTTTTTATTTTATTTTTTTAACCTTATTCACATACATCTCTGGACATGAGCATATCAAGTTCATGGAAGATCATTGATTAGTGCAATGTCATGAGTGAAAGCATGTTGTGATTCGTGCTGTCTATGCTATGAATCCTCGGTTAAAAAAAAAAAAAAAAACAAACAAAGCAGCAATCTGGGAATATCCGCAATGATTATGCAATTAAGCCACCCCAGTCCTAATAATTCCAGAATCCCCATCCCAAACCTCACCACGCAAGCGAGCAAGAAAGCAAATCTGTCTCGTCACAATCGGACCCTCCCAGCTCTAATCTTCCAAGAGCTTCGAGGTTGCACCATTCCAGGTGACTAGAACCGATCGACAGAATGAGACGGCGGGCACAGGGAAACCACCCCTAAACGCCCATGGAAATTTTCATGTTTTGCAGTCGCGGCTGACGACCAAGAAATGCAGCCGGCTGCACGATGCTCCAAGGTGTGTGTGTGCTTTGACGTCGTCTCCTACTCCTGCTTGGGAGTCGGATACGCAACGTCTTCGGCACCACTCGCCTCAATTTTGATAGTGGCCATTTCTTCCGCCTCGCCCTGGGGATAAGCAGTGACTGAGCAGTCGGGAGGGCTACCAGAAATCTTCTAGTTAACCGGAAGATTATCGATTGCCTTCTTGTCCGCGCCCCACTCCTTCTCAATGAGTCTGTCGCGAGCCTGGTACAAGAACCGATAGGCCGTCTTGATGGTGCCGTCGCTAACACCTGCCACCGAGGCAATCTCCTTGGAGGTTCTAGATTCCTTCATGAGGTGAGATGCCATGTAGATACAGGCGGCGGCGACGGACAAAGGCGAACGGCCAGCTAATTCAGAGACGCTCGATGTCTTGCGTGCGAGAGCGCGCGAGACGTTCTCAATCTTCTGCGCATTACGGAAGTTGAGGTTGGAGCAGAAACGAGTGCAGAGGTCCTCGGCACTGGTAGACGCGCTGGCCTTGTAGCCATCCAGGTTGGAAAGAGAGCCGGCACCACGCGGGTTCTCCTCCTTGATCTTCTGCAGGAAGGACTCAAGCTGCTTGAAAACCCTGCCAATTTCCTTCTTTGACACGTGGGTGACCTGGAAGATCTCGCGGAAAGTACGGCCGACACCGGTCTGACGACAGGCGATGAAAATGCAACCTGCGATGACAGCCTCCTGCGGCTTGCCTTTCATGAAGTTGTGGTCGTACGTCAATTTGAAGATGTGCTTGGCCGCATCAGAGACGTTCTTGCCTAGGTTGATACTGTCGCAAAAGGCACCAATCTCCTTGTACGCCTGCATCAGAGATTTGCTAGCCTTGTCGTTCTGGGACTTGTTCTGAAGACGAGCAAGCTGCTTGGAGTCTCTGCCATCGCCGAAAGCGATGGTGGTCTCGAGCTGTGATCCGTTGAGCAAGGGGTTGACGGCGTCACCGACACGGGAGGGATCATCGTTGCCTTGGTCATCATTGGCAAATGTACGCCATTCGGAGCGGGTGTCGATAATCTTGTCTCCAACGACGAGGCCGCAAGAACCACACACCATGTCGCCAGAAGAGAACTCCTCAACCAGATTGGGAGGGTACTCCTTGCAGTCGGGACACATCACGACGCAGTTGAGGTCATCCTTGAAGCCCTCGGCATTCTCGTCCGTCGCGGCTCCATTGGGGCCGAGCATCTTGGGCTTGTACGGCTTGGCAGTGTAGATGTTGTTGATTTCGTCAAAGACTTTGCGACGACGTCTGAGCTCCTTTCTTCTCCGCCGGAGTTCTTTTCGCTTGTTGACGACTGCTTGGTAGGTTTCTTCTGTCGGTTCGCTGGGTTTTGCTATCCAGAGAAGATCGGTATGAAGCTGAACGAAAAGCGGCGAATGCAGCTTGGCGGTGTTTTCTTTGGACGACGGCTACTTCGCCCAATGAACGATCGTCTCAAAGGACGATGCTAGAAGCTGCTTCGGAACCGAGGTAAGGTCTCGATCCCACGCCGAGGCAGTAGGCGAATGTATATAGATAGAGAATCCTCAGGCTGCTTGATCGGCGTTTTCTTGATGAACGGGTTGGGCGTTCAGCGGGAGAATGACGAAAGCGCTCGGGGAATGCCCTAACTATGCACAGAGATAAAGGTGAGCCATGACTTCCTGACTTTCGGCAGGAATATCCTCTCTCACCAATAAAATGTCCTTTGACGGGAAGTCGCGAAAGACGATTTTGCGGGGGAAGGAGGAGAGGAGTCGAGGGAGAGAAAGGCTTTGTTTGCCAGCCGACCGATTCTACCAGTGAAGGCGTCCGAGACGTGGGAAGTGGCGAACAAAGACTTGAGAAGGTACGGCGCAATGTACCAATGTCGCGCAGCTCGAAGGACTCGTATACGACGGTCGCAAAGGTGCTCTGAAAAAAGTCGATGCGACGATTTCTCGAGATTTCGTTGCGGCGGATGGCAGACGACAATCTTTCGTGCGGCGAGCGAGTGACGTGAAGTGGGTTGTAGGGGAGAGAAGTCAAGGCTGAGGTTTCGGATTACGGATGAGGACTTTGACCCCCATACGACCTTAGGCAGGCAGTTTTCGGAGATGGGTGGTGAGATGACTCAGCAGACAGTGAGGTTGGAAGGTACGAGGGAATCGGCAACCTTATTTGGGTCAACCTCGTCTGCTTACCTCATCAAATGAATGGGTCCACTGTCGACCTCGAATTCTCAGTCTTTGTCATCTGCTCGAATGTTCCAACCCGCCGAGGAAGGTGTAAGTCAATTGCTACCTTACTTTCCTTCGCAACTCACCGCTCTCTCTCACCATGGGCAATTCAAAAAATATATATATTTAAAAAAAAATTAAAAAAATTCAGTCAAAATCTTGACGTGTATTCGATCATGGGTATCAATACAAATGAAAAGTACGGTAAAAGAAGGTACAAGAATACACCAACGGGGCAACCCTTCCGGCCCCTCCCGCTTCAAATCTCGTAAACATACACTCCAACTCCAGACCCTGTCTTTATGACAGATGCGAAGGACCATCAGTTCTGGGCACCGCCGGTAAAGGTCGTGTAATCTCCTCCATCGGGTGAATCGGCGGCGGCGCAGTCTCCTTATCCAGCACCAACCGGCTCGGCCCCGTCCCGCTCGACTGCGGCGTCAGCAGGGTCCCGGCACCATCGGCATCCACACCGGAACACCCCGGCCCAGTATAAGCCCGCCGCGCAGACGAAGCCGAACTCGAAGTCTCGGACCCGGACCTGCTTCTCCCCTCGCTAGGCGCCCACTCCCCAGATGATTGTCGCCCTTGATGTAATTGTAATCCCTCCTGGTGCTCCCTCATCTGCTGCCTGCCCCTCGGTGGCTCCGGCATATCCATCTCCGTCATCTGGTGGTTGTGGCGGCTGTGGTGCTGCTCCTGCATCGAAGATAGATCAAACACGTCCTCGCAGCTATTACTCCTCGACGGCCCGCGACTCGCAAGAGACTTGCGAATCATGATGCTCCGCTGCAGCTCCTCCTCCTCGAGCCTCTCCAGAGCACTGAGCTTGCGCCGGCGGGCGAATTCTTTGCGCGTGAGGTAGGGGTCCCGCCTACACGCCTCGCGGAACTGGGCGTTCTTTTTGCGGTCAAAAACGTAGAAGAGCGTCGCCGACATGATGGCGGATGCGCAGCAGAGGATGACGATGATGAGGACTGTTGTTGTTGTTGTTGTTGTTGTTGTTCCTGCCGAGGAAGGGGATTCAATGTTTCCTGGTGTGCCGCCGATGCCGTTGCTTGCGTCTATTGGCGTCGGTGTTGATGTTGCTGTTGTTTGTGCCGGTGATGTTGTATGTGATGGGGACGTTGTTACAGTTGCTATTGTTGTTGTTACTTGTAAGGTTGTTTGTATTCTTGCTTCTTCTCGTCTGAGTATGTCGGAAATGACAGGTGCCATGTCTTCTTATGTTGACGTTGCGGACAGAGAAGGAATTGGGCGGTTTGTTTGTTGACAACGGGACTAGAACAAGTCGCAGTAGTTCAAGTCGTAGTCCGTTACGTCCCCGCCCGGGTCTCGACCTCTTTCTGCCCCTCCCCCTTCTAGATCCGAGGTCGTAGCTGAGTTGGGGGGGGGGGGGGGGAAAGAAGTTTAGAGAAGGTAGCAAAAGATGGTGCCGCGATAGTGTACGCCGGCGCCGGCCTCCGGTGGTGCCAGTGTGACGGGTAAGGTGGGCGGAAGGGGGTGGAGGAGAAGGGGTGTGTGGTGTGGGATGTTTGTGCGGATGGTCAATGATGCTCCGGACGACTGCACCCAAGTGAGGACATCACCAATGTTTATGTGTAAGGATAGGTGAATGGTGTTTTGGTCCTGTTGATTCCGCTCGGAGCGTTTGTTTGATGACGGAGACGAGAATAGAGAGCTCTGTGCGTGAGACCCTCTCTAGATAAAAGTCCGTGTGGTGATGGGCACTGGTGATCAGAAGATGGGGGAGAAAGGGATGACAGAAGGAGGGATGAGAGGTCCCCTTTATTACATGGTTTCTGGATCTTGCGAGACACAATGGCGACCTTGTTTGGCATTGAGAAGAGAGAGCTTCACAAGAGCTTCCATGCAAGCAAGCATGGCCATGGAGGGGGAAGGATCCTATCAGACCCTTGTCCACTGTGAGAGGGCACGAGCCGAAGCAAGCGAAGCAACTGCGAGGCAGAAGGGGCATCTCTACCGCTGAGTGGCCCGCATCCCCTCGAAGCCTTGGCTATCCATCCCACTCACACTCATACAAAGATTCAAGGGTTGGGAGTGTGCATATCGCCCAACTGCGGGCGTGGGGGATGGGATGGAGACTGGACTGGGGGGGAGAGAAAAGCAGAAACAGAAAAAAGAAAAAAAGAGGGTAATGTTTGGGAATAGTAGCCGTAGCCGTGTGAGTGTGCCCCATAAGGCGCTGCCCGCTGCCGCAGCGATGCCACTTACAACTTACAACTTCTCTTTCTGCCCATCGGGCAAGGGGGATCCGTAGGTTGGGTTGGGTTGGACCATGGACCATGGTTGTGAATCGTTCGCTCGGCGCCATGCGATGCGGCTATAATTGGCCGTGTGCTTTCGTCGTGCTACCATCCCTGTTTCCCGCAGCAGGGAAGCAGATCCGCCCCCCGACCAACCGCGGGGAGCCAAGGGTGTGGTGTGTCTGGTTAGGGATGTACCTAGACTTTTGGGGCGGTTCATGTTTCTTGCGGCGGCTTTCTTTGTGACGGCGAGGAAGCGAATAAGGCCGAACGTTGTCCTAAACGTATGCCTAATGTCTTCCCCAGATCGTGTCATGTCTATCGATGGATATCACACACACGAGGACCACTTGCACTTGCGTCAGTCTCTGATGCCATAGTGCTCGTCTGCCTAGCCGATCTGCGTTGGAGATATGTCGAGGCTTGTTGGTCTTGGTAAACAGAACAAGACTGCGCAGTAATGTCGCACTGGACCACAGTTTGACAGAGAGAAAACAAGAGAACCTCTAAGCGTGGGCTCCCAACTTAGAACAATGTACAACAACGGTCCACGAGGAGTCTACCTCGACTCGGCTTAGCTTAGGCGCTCAATCAGCTTCCCAAATCCGCTCGGCCACCAAACCCTGACGCCTTACAGTCCAGCAGCAGCCGACGTGGTGCTCGTGGGCCGAGCTGGAACCCCGGTGGACGAACACGCTGAGAACCTTCTTCGCTCGTTCGCGGGGGCCATGGCGGAAAGGCAAAGGACCCGCGGGGCGGAGCTGGAACACCACCTGCAGTTCTGCACCTGGACACACACCCCCGGCGGGTGGTGTGGTGGTGTGGTGGTGAGGATCCCGTCGTGTTAGTGAGGCGCTGCGCTGCTGCAAGTCACTCACTCATGAGCGATCTCACTCACTCCAACCCGCTCACTCATCTTTTCCGTGGTTCCCTCACTCACTCTGCAAGCTGATGATTCAGTCCCTGAAGTCGCATCGAACGGGCGATGATGCCGACTAATTAACTTCTACCTAGTCGAACAAAGAAATCGCAATCCCTTGATTAAACATCTCACTTTCGGGTCAACGCTCACATTGTTTGCCCGCTGCGTCTGGATTCTGGCTCTTTGTTCCCTCTCATCCTACGACCATTGTTCAACGTTCGAAAACCATTTCTGAAAAATTCTCAGCCCTCCCATCCCTATCGCGACTCATACAAAGAAGAGACTCGGCTTGGCAGTAACATCATGCGAAGATTTAGCTTGGCCAAAGTCGGGCCGGGGCACAATCAACGATTTAACAGATGAAGGTCAGCGTTAAGGCCACAGAAACGACACGAGGCAAAGATGTGGCTTTTTCAGCCGCGAATGCTACGAGTCGGGTCCATCATCCCCGTCGCCCGATTTCGCACCCTGGACCCTTTTCATCCTTTTTCTCTCTCTCTCGCTTCAGCTGATGTCTAAATTACTTGGCGTAAAGAGAATGGTTCAAACAAACAAACCTATTCAGACTGTTTTGATGAAAAACGTTGAAAGAACACAAAACTCTGTCCATCATCCAACAGGCTGGCGCATTGATCACTCCCACGCACCTCCTTCGCTGCATTCGCGGCCGTTTCAAAACGGCCACTACATCAACGGCTACTGCATCAACAGTGGCCTGCAGGATCTGCCTTTTCTCTTCGGGATAGCCCCCCCCCCCCGGGCGAGGGAGGAAGGGACCTGATGATAAGAACGATATCTGCGTTGGTGAAATCAAGGGGTGAGGCCGCATCCCGAAAGTCAATGTAAGTAACAGAGGAAGAGAGTTGATGTATGTTCCTGCATGCGAGGATGGTGAGGATGGTGAGGATGTTAGTTGCAGGGCATTCTGCAACTGCAACCTCCGTTCGAGCGTGATGATTCCGGACGTTGTAGGCACCGTGGGATGACCACCTCTGGCTACCAACGAAGTCCGGATGGGGACACTTGGACCCCACGGGGGAAGAATGGGATGGAGGATTCTGGGAGATGGGATGCTCTTCGGGCTGATTTGACGAGTGGTTGACTTATTCTGGACTGAGCTTCACTTGATCGGTATTGTCCATTCGTAGTTACATGAGCTTTCCCAGGCGGATAGTGTAAAGCTGCCTCTGACCCGCTGCTCATCGAGACTGTACCTACACAAGGGTAGCACTCTCATCTCTTTTGATCAAAGATATTTTGGGAGGTTCGATTCGCAAAAGAGCCTTAAACAGCCTCGGTTCATGCCGTCTTTCCCGCGAAGGATTCAATCCCGAGCTGGCTGAGGATGGTGGGGGAGAACGAGACAACGCCCGATTCTCAATCCCTGCATCTATCTCAAGTTCTTTCGGAGACTCCAAGTCAAAGTCAATGGCATGGCAGAAAACCCGAGCCATTGACTATTCCAACTGGCGAGAACTTGAGGAATGCTCTTCAGCAGAGTATTGCGCTGCATATGAGAGAGAGAGAGAGAGGACGAAAAACATGAACCGAGGCCAAGCACAGACAAACCACCAACGATTCGAGCTCTACCTGCGTCGATGGGGTGAAACATTTCCTATTTCTCGGGCAGAAGACTGCATGCTCCAGCGTCTCAACTATTCGCACCTCAACTCAATCGGCCGGGTGCTTGGGCCAAAGGGCATCCGCGAAGCAGGTTTGAACTTTGAAGTCATCCAGTCTTGCACCCTGAACCCCGAGGTCCTCTGGAATTGGAGGAATCCCTCATCTCTTGGATACGACAGCCTGCGAGGACTGGGAAAGACTTCTCTCAGCCTTCATTCAGAAACAAAGATCCAAGACCATGATCCGGATCCGCCCGCCCGCCCGCGCCGGAGAGAAAGCACTCGTTATCGGGCCAGCTCATGCAGTAAGCAGAAACCCCCCTCCCGCGCTGACAGACGCTGATCTTCCGTCCCCCATCGAACCGACGAACCCCTCTGGCCCCTCCCCAGGCATCCTCCCATTCCTCCCGTGCCGTCTCCCCCCCCCCCCCCCCCCCTCCATGCTCCATCAATCACGTTGCGGAAAACCCCGCAGCCGTTGTCGTCGGTAGGGATGTAGGCTTGTAGCTACTGTATCCTGCTGCCTCAGCTTACCTACAGATTCCACGACTCCGACGCTCGGCAGCGGGAGCATCCCATTGGTGAATGGAGGGCTGGCTGACCTTGGAAGATCATGACTGAGACACATGCACACAACCCTCCGCTGACGTCCGGAAATGGGTCATGATCGCGGTTGATCCATTATCGCGAGTCTACGAACATATGCCTCTCTGTGGATCGCGGGTGAAGTGAGCACCTGGTTAACGGCACAGCAGCGCGGCTGTGCTATTTTCACGTCTCTGCTCAATGTTACCTTGGACAAGGACTGAGTGAGCGATAAGCGCTGAACCGCGGTATGCGATCATAGGTACTCGTACCGCACCCCGCGCATGAGTGAATTCGACAAGAGTAAGTTGGTCTTGGTGACTTCGACCCTGGCTGAAGATGCCTGCTAACGGCCCACGATCTTCACCAGACCCAACGGGTAAGTAAACCTCTTAAGCGCCGTGTCAAGGCAGATTGCGAAATCATCCAATATCCTTCCAACAGAAGCGATACTCAATCTCTTCAATAACCCCTCACAGAACACGCGCAGAATGCAAACTGCATACCAAAAGAAAAGACGAAGCCCGCGTCGCATCACACAGCAGAGCCCCCTTTCCCCTCTTCTTCCCCAGGGGTCTGGGATGCATTCACAACACAGCCACAGCCCTGCTGCACGCCATCCACAATAATCCAATGTCGTACTCGCTGCCTGCGGGAGTGGCATTTCATTCTGCATGTCCTCTACACAGCCCTCCCGCTCTTCATGCCGCAGTCGAGACGGGATGGCTGCACGATGCCGCTCTAAGTGTGGCTTTTTTACTTGGTCTTGGTGCAGAAGTCAATTGATCCGTTTGCGATGTCGTGCTTGCGGCGGAGTGCTGTGGGAGGTTTGAGGTGTAAGTTGATATGAGTGAGGTCGTCAAGTCTGGGGTTGTTGCTTTACCTTCCCGTGGCGTCTCATGCATTCTCTATACTCAGCATCGCGCAGCGTTGCATCCGTCATGACTTTGGCAAATGCCCATCTTCTCGGTCTCAGGCAGGCGTAACTCGCGACCAGTCATTGCCATTCAAATGGGGTATCTTTTGGATCTCTAAATCGTCTCAAGTCCTCTATAAGTGAGCTTCAGCCCACTATATCCATCCACCGCTCACAGTGGATACGGCTTGTTCGTTCGCGTGATGTAAATCTCCCCAACCAGAACCGTGCAACCGACCGTCATGGCGATGGCGATGATGGGTATGTTTTCCCTCGCAAAGTCTCTCCTGCTGACGAAAATGTGCTTCCTCTCCAGAATGTCCCTCCACAGCAGACCGGCCAACGATGCGCTAAAGGCCGTGCTGAAGGCGCCGTAGTTGACGCCAAGAGCCATACTGTAGACCGTCGCCCAGAAGGTGCGCTCGCTGATGGGCACGCCGTTCTCTCGGTGGATCTGCTGCCACGCTTGGATTACTCGGGAGAGCAGGATGGTCGTGCCAATGTTGGTTCCCGCAAACTAGAGAAGGGTTACAAAAGTCAGGTTATATGTGACACCATGATCACATCAGATCTTGAGGGGTAAGGACTCACGTTGCAGAGGATGACCGAGAGGAACCCCATGCCGCCAATGGCACCAATGGTACCCGTCTTTTCAACCCAGTGATCCCATCCGTACGCAAACACCGGCACCCAGCCCTTGGTAACGAGAGCTTGCACGAGGACGAACATGGCAAAGGCAAATGGCACGAGGGCGAAGGGTAGATGAGCTAGCACCGCCATCACCGTGGGGAACGTCTCTTGTGACCAACGGTACCCATCCTTGAAGCGTGATACCAGTGTCGCTGGTTGCTTTTTGGAGCGGAAACTTGAGCTTCGACCGCGTTGTCTTCCAATGACTGCCTTTTCGACATCCGTAATTCCGTCTGGCTGCGTTTGTGCTTCGCCAGGCTCACTGGCTGCAGCTGGCAAAGTTCGTCTCCTGCTCTCCGTAGAACCCTCGCTGGGCGTTCTACTTACATCAACATGTTCTGTCCTATCGACAGCTGTAGACTGTGAGGATATGAGCTGCGTTCCCGCATTGCCGGTTACCTTGTCACTGTTTCCTGGTGCCTGGATCGCTGGGGTGATCATAAAGTCGGTATCATTGGTGTTCCGTTCTGATGCATTCGTGCTGGTATCGTTGCTAATGGGCGAAACCTCCTCCTTCGTAATTCCAAGGCCTATTTTATCGTCAAGCAGATCGGTATCTTGAACGTGAATCTCGGGTCTGGTTGCGTGTGATATCGGCGACATCTCTGTCGTGCCTTGGGCCAAGCCCGTGTCTTCTTGGTTCAGTATACCCAACGCATCTTTCTCCCTGCTGCCCTGGTCTGCCCTGGGAAGCTCCTCATCCTGTCCATCTCGTCCCTGTTGGGCTATCGTACGAGTTTCTTCCCTGTGATACCAGCCAAATGCCAGGTCCCAGCAGAGCATGATGAAAGCAGCTGGTAAGGTGACCCAGAAGACTTGCAGATGCTGGTCGTCCTTCGGTTTGACATTTGCTGCATTGAGAGCAAGGACCGTAATGAGTGTCACCGACATGACGACAGCGCCAAAGGCGGCTCCTCCCTTGTCAAGCCAGGGATTCAAAATCTCAATGGCCGAGAGCAACTGGGCTTGCGGACTGCTCTCGGGCGCTTGATCGGCATGATTCGCGGCTCCTCTGGGGTTCGGAATGTTAGGATTGACGGGTTTCGATTGCATGGCCTCCTCTGGTGGTTGGAACATCTCAATGGACTCGGGGATGAGCTTCTTATCTGCAAAGATGATGTAGAGAAGGAACGGGAACAAGACGACTGCTGTGACGACGACTGGCACAACCATATTGGCCGTGTACTCTACGAACTTGATGTCGAAAGCACCTGCAAGCACAAGGTTGGTCGGGTTAGACGAGACGAGAATGGCCGAGGCAATATTGGCTATGGAGAATTGGGTGAAGATCCACGCTCTCGGGTACTTGATGTTATTCGAGATTCGGGTCATGTAGGCGAGGAACGCCGTGCCGGACAGGATGATGGGGTCGTTGCCGATGAAGGTGCCCAGACAGAAGAAGAAGGCGTAGAGGTAGAAGAATAAGCGGTAGCCGACCTTGCCTCCCCATTGAAGCACCCTGAGTGCCAAGTAACGGATAAGACCCGAAGCGTCAATCGAGATAGCAATATACGCCAGAGTCAGAAAGAAGACCATGATGTCGAGAGGGTGAATGCCGTTTTGGCCAATCGTCCCGTCGTAAACTTCCTCTCTGCCAATTGCCAAGATGGCCAGAAGGAACAGATCGGCGATCAACGGTGCAGTGATTGAGTTCATCGGGAAGTCAAACCGCTTAAATCGCTTGCGTCGAGTGGACATACCCCCAAGGCGGTCCTCCTTGAAGCCATCGTGAGTGTCGTCCTCGCGCGGTATCACCCGCAAGTTGCGAAGCACCTTCAACACCCCATTCCAAAGTCGCACAGGAATGTAGACTGGGATGTGGAAGGGGAACAGTACGACGATGTCTGTGCGCCCGATGAAAATTAATTAATTGTTCATTTGCGACACATGTGCGAGGCAGGCGAAGGCTTCCGAAACGAAAGTACCACGACTTACTCGCAAGGAAGAAGACTATCAACGTCACAATTGACCTCCACTCTCTGATCTGGTCCGTCCGCGTATCGATGGCCATCGCGATGATTGGGGTGGCGTGTCGTGACTTCAAGCCCTCATGGGGCCCAGAAGTCAGTCGTCGACGAGGGGGGAATTCGAGAACTTCGCGAGATCCATGTACTTCTCACGAAGTCTCTGAATGGCGCGATGAAGGAAGCAGAAACCGAATTGGGATGACGGGACGGGGGAATGTATTGGAAAGTGGGCCCGAGTACGTATAGATATTTAGCCGGCTTCCATTGCCAACTAAGAAGACGCGGGTGAGGGCGTCGCTTCATTTTGCGGGGGACAGGTGCGAATGATTGGCACTTCCTCCAACTCGTTCAAGTTAATCAGGTCGGGGCAAACCTGACACGGCCACCTCGCGCCTGAGCTAATATTCTAAGGAAGAGATGGGAGCCTGATGATCACAAGGTAAGATCTGGTGCCCATCTACAACCTGCTTACGGGTCCATCCTCACCTCTACAAGACCTCCTTATTTGCTATCATTATCTTGGATACATCCCGTACGAAACTGACTGGATCGGCCATAGGATTGATAGGGAGAATATCCAGCATAGCAGGTGCGAGATACCTATGCCAAAACGGTGTTGACCGCAGAGACCCGACTTCAACAAGCAGGCCCCGAGCTATCATCATCCGCCCACGTCAGCGAGATCGCCCGGCCATGTGAGACCTGGGGAACGGGCAGACTCGAGGAGGGAATGCGTGGAATGACACTAAGACCTGAGACGGGGTGAGATGGCGGAATGGCATCAACGCCCGACTGGCGAGTTGACCTTCGCCCTAGTGCCTCAACCGGCATAGCATCCTGCACAGTTCCTATGCCATCAGCAAGTCAGCACGAGTCTGATTGAACATTGTTTCTCGTCAATACCAGAGCCGACAGGGCACTGCAACCTTTACTGGCCAGAAGCAGTTGACACCTGCGTCCGCCGAAGCTCTCATATCTGCTGTGTTCCCATCCTTATGGGGCTTGGCGTTGGCGATTTGCTGGTCGGCAATTTGCAGCGTCAGATTCTCAGCGATGCTCGCCCAAAGTACCTACTGTCTTTCACCTACGACTTACCTTGGTGACGACGGTAAGATGAACACCCGAATCCTTTGGCTGCGCCTCCACGGCGGGGGCTCTGGAATGCTTGCCAGTGAATCCAAGCTCTTGCCCCTTGCGCCGCTGCTTTGCTCTACTCGCTGAGCCGCACCGGAAGAGCAAGCGAGCACACGAGCACCTTCCACTCCCAGCCTTACCGTAAAGTGAGGTAATCTATCCCAGCATTGGACGGATTCTCGGGCAATCGGAAGGGAAGGAGACCTATCTTTGGATGGAGGGGCGGGAAACGACCTTGTCTCGTCCAACTACCGGTACCGATTAGAGAGGCAGTCGAAAGCCGTTTTCGTCGATTGATTATCTACAACTTCCGCCGTTTATACCGAGGAGGAAACCAAAGCTTATTTTACCAAGCGTTCCAACATTGGATGGTCGGACCACGCAGCATCAAACTCTTGGGCATACTGATGGGACACGCGCGATGCCACCGTTTTCACCTGCCCCTCTATTGCGTGCCATCATCAGCCAACGGGCCACAGATCAGCTCACCCCGTCTTGCGGATCGTCTCCAGATTGCATAGAGGTTTTCTGCGGATGGCCAGTATCAGGGCAATATGGGTTTGGCCAACGAATCCTGTGAGTGAGGCTTCTCTTTCTCCACTCTCTAATGCAATGGAACCGGATCACATACAGCCGACCACGCGGTGGACAAAATCGGGGACGGCCCCAGAGCAATCGCCCACGACTCCATGGTTGCCTTCATGTGAATCGGCCCTTCTACCTCGCTTTTTGCGACAATCTAGCCTGATGCTGGCATCACTCAGGCTTCGAATCGCAGGCAGGACGAGAAGAGAGAGGGGCCGATTCAAGGAAGATAGCCAAAGGGCGAAGGCTATGCCCATCTGCAGCTTTTGTTTATCTTCAAAAAAGATATTGATCCACGATAAAAAGTCCATAGCTAACAAAAGGTCATTTAGATATTACATTCTTCTGGCAGTATGTGTACTAGCCCGGGGAGAGAAATGGATCAGAGATGTCTGCATAGCAGCGGCGTTGATCTTACCGGCCGTGGCTGCGGTTCACGGTATCGTCCTTGCTGCCCTCCACGTGGATGGTCAGTCTAAAAAAGGACGTTTGCATTATCTAGCTGACACCTATCGCCTAGACGCTGCCGATATGGATATTTACGGAGCACTTCAATTTTGCTCTATAGGCATCCTCGCAGTTCCATTGACGGTCAAAAAGTCCGAGACGTACTTCCACGAAAAGGGACGCAATACTGTCTTTGTTTGGACGAGTCTACTGCTGGCAGGTAGGACGCCACATATCTGAATCGCGTATATTCTCGAACGTTCACCAACACTTATAGGCCTCGTGAGCTTGGCTGTCGAATTCTACCGATCCAATTCCATTCCCTGCTATCAGGATAATAATGGTAACCCAATATCGTCGGACCCAAGAAAGTTCCCGTACGGAGATAGTCCATTATGCGGCATTACCTGTTCCCAGACGGACGGTCCGTTCTCACGCCTGCGGCAAAAGGCTGCCAGTGAGATATTCGTGGTGCCGAGACCAAACGAGCTTCGGTTCGGAAATGCGATGTTCCTCGCGGTGGCATGCTGCGTTCCAGCCATCATCTCGCTCATCTCTATGAGGAACAAGATTGTCATCACCGATTGGATCAAGAAGCAGAATGGGCCACAGAAGGAAAAGGAAAACGAGTCCGAGGAGTCCAAGGACCTACACGGAACCGTAAGCGGGTTCCTGAGTCTGATCGAGATCTTTGTTTTTGGCGGCGCTGCGTTGGCCATCCTCATTCTCGGAGAGATCAACCTCTGGAGTCCACAGATGGATTATCACACTGAGCCATTCGGAAGTGTTGGTGAGTTACACCCACCTACGGAATGTCTCTGTTGCTAACAAGTTCTCATCCAGGCCAGTGGGGTACCATTGTTGCAACGGGGCTAGCAATCGTAGGATCATTCCTCATTTACCTACTCGACGGTATCAACGAGGCCCCGAAAGACCCGCTTAGCCTCTGTGGCTGCGAGCATTGCCATTTGATCTATAATCGGTCTCGAGAGGTGGACACAGAGTCTTTCCGAGAAAGCGAAGACGGGCATGCAGACCACGTTGAGCATGGCTTCCCCCAACTCACGAGCACATCCACACGTGGGACTCAGGCGACGAAGCAAGGCCAGGGACATAGAAGAAAGGTCTCGGCCGGCTTGGTCAAGGTCGGGAAATGGTTTGGCAGCACCACAGAAGATCCATTCGGAGCCCCGGACTACAGAGAAGGGAAGTGGCCAGAAGTTCCCGGAGAGCGATTCAGGAGTTCCACCCTGAGAGATACGGCTGAACAGTATAGTACATACCGGGAACATGAGCCACAGGAGCCAGTATCCCCAGGACACCACTCAGGAAGCGAAGGCGGGCCCTCGACGTCCCGACCAGTATCACCCATATCACAGGAATCGCCATTGTCACCTCCGCCACGGAGCAGATCTAGGCCACGGAACAACTCGAAGCCTGTTTATTCGCGATCGCCGTCGCGGCAGCGACAGGGCCCACCTTCTTCTCCCACTGGGTCACCCGAGCCTCGGCAAACTCGACGCCGGCAGACTCTCGAGGTCCCAGGTCAACGTCGTTTCTGAATGTGCAAGACAATGCGAGGCGACGACAATAGAAGCTATGTGCTATCTAATTTTGGACCAAAAGAAATACTGGGACGATCAGATTTGGTTGAAAGATGCCTTTGTCAATAATGGCCATTTCCACCGTGGGACTTCTCGTTCTCTGTTGACCACATTTGTGGAGGCGTTCGGCGTCAATGCAGCTCAATATCAGGCTGTGAGCTCACATACGAATCACTGTAAGAATAGAAATATCAGGATAGAGTCATGAGATGTTTGGTATGGATGAGCTGCTTGCGATGGTTCGATGATACCTAGCTTTTGTGCACTTAACCACGTTCATATGCAGACGGGAGAATCAAGGCCGAGTTTCAGAGCCGACGAACGCAGTCCGTGATGGTCTGTGCCCAATTACCTAAGCCGCATCCAAAGGGACCAGGATAATGCCGAGGCCTACCCGACGGCATCCCCGCCAACGGACCGGAGCTAGACCGGGGTCGGAGCTGGGGAACCAAGTCGCGAACCTCGATGATGCCGGTCTTGAACACCAGCAACAACTTCCCCGCAAAAGCATTTCCTCATTTCTTTTTGGATTTTGTTTAAAGACCAAGACAATGGCTTCTTCATCGCTTAGAGTGTCATCCCGGATAGCCTCGAGGGCTGTGCGGTCATGTCCGCAGTTCTCACGGCTTCCGAGGGCGTGGCGTCAGTATTCGTCGGTTCCGAGCAACAAGCTACCACTTGAGGGGTATCGTGTGCTTGATATGACGAGAGTTTTGGCTGGAGTGAGCATCTCTCGTCCCGCAACTTTGAGAAGTTTGATACTGAAATGAGAGATGTAGCCATACTGTACACAAATTTTGGGAGACTTGGGGTCAGTCACACTCACTCATCTCCATCTCATGCTGAGCAACCATACTGACATCCTTGAAGCGCCGAGGTGATCAAAGTCGAACATCCCGTCCGCGGCGACGATACCCGAGCATGGGGTCCTCCCTACGCGACCTACAAAGCTGGCTCATCTAAAGAAGGGCCCGGCGAATCAGCCTACTTCCTAGCAGTCAGTATCCTCCAGTCATACACCTGAGCCAAGCTAACTAACTTCCAAAGGTAAACCGCAACAAGAAATCCCTAGGCCTCAACTTCCAACACCCCTCCGGCACAGAAATCCTCCACAGCCTCGTCTCAAAATGCGACATTTTCGTAGAAAACTACCTCCCCGGCACCCTCAAAAAGTACTCCATGGACTACGACACCCTCCGCGCAATCAACCCCGGCCTCATCTACGCCTCCATCACAGGCTACGGCCAGACGGGCCCTTACTCGGACCGCGCAGGCTACGACGTTATGGTCGAAGCCGAGTTCGGACTGATGCACATCACCGGCAGCCGCGAAGGGGAACCCGTCAAAGTCGGCGTCGCCGTAACGGATCTCACGACGGGGTTGTATACGAGTAATAGTATCATGGCGGCGCTGCTTGCGAGGGGCAGGACGGGGAGGGGACAGCATATTGATGTGGCGTTGAGTGATTGCCAGACGGCGACGTTGGCGAATATTGCGAGTAGTTGTTTGATTAGTGGGAAGAAGGATTCTGGACGGTGGGGGACGGCGCATCGTAAGTTTCTATCTCTCTGCGCATGTTTTGTTTTGTGGTTTACGAAAAGTGCTGACATTTCACGAGCCTCGATTGTGCCGTATAAATCCTTCAAGACAAAAGACGGCGACATCCTCTTCGGCGGCGGCAACGACCGCCTCTACGGCATCCTTTGCCAAGGCCTAAACAAACCAGAATGGCAAAACGACGCAAAATACGCCACAAACGCCAACCGCGTCGCCAACCGCGTCGAGCTCGAGGCGCTCATCGAACAAGTCACAGTCACAAAAACGACGGCGGAGTGGTTGGCCGTCTTTGAGGGCAGGGGCATGCCGTACGCGGCTGTGAATGATGTGCAGGGCACGCTGGAGCATGAGCATACGAAAGCGCGGAACATGGTTGTCGAGATGGAGCACGAAGAGTGCGGGCCGATTCGGATGGTGAATACGCCGGTCAAGTATTCGGAGAGCGAGCCTAGTGTTAGGAGTGTGCCGCCGACGCTGGGGCAGCATACTGATGAGGTTTTGGGGGGGCATCTTGGGTTTTCGGAGGAGAGGATTCGGGCTTTGAAGGGGGAGGGTGTGGTTGGTTAGGTCGGGTCAGGGCGAGACACACTCGTTTCACTGCGATTTTAACCCCTCTCAAGATGTTGTGAACACTGGGGAATCGCCCATGAGCGCTTCACGGGGATGATGTGGTGGGTTGGGGGGGGAACCTACCGAAGGCACTGCACTTTCACTGCAATTTTAACTCACCCAAGGGCATTGTGAACGGGCACTGGTGGGACGTATGCAATCGCTTCTGGGTCATGCTGTGGTTGGTCAGAGCTTACAGCCGAAGGATTCAAAAAAGTCACTGAGATTTTAACCCCTCCACAGACATTGCGAACACTGGAAGGACTTTTTCAATTACTAGTCAACCAGCAGGGCGAAGCGGTAAGCTAGAAGGTTTGAACTGCAGGTGTGAAAGTTGTCACGGCCGGGCTCCCACAAAAAACCCCTTCGTGTCGCCATTTACTAGAAGCATTTCGTTTGCCGAAAAAGCGCATCTCATCGTTGAAGGATGATGGGTGTGGTGGGCTGGATCAAAAGAGGTTCTGCCTGTGGCCAAATGGCTTGCCTTATTCGGTTTCACTGCGATTTAAACCAACCCAAAGACGTTGGTGAGAGCACCACTTATCTATCGAGCCCGGTCAGTTGGGTTCTTCCTCGCCCTGAGAATAAGAACGCTAATGCAGGTTTGGGACCATATCCCTGATGATGTCAGCACAGCAATTCTATCCCACCCCGAGGTCTTTTTCGTTCATCACGACAGAGCGTAGCCATCATGATATACCGTAGAAACCGTAGTAAGCTACTCAAAGCCTCTGAAAGTTGTGATTTGCTGAGCTCTCGTATATGGGTTCCCATGTTTCTTTCCATTGCCTTTGTCGTTCCGTGCCGATGGGTTGACCGAGCCTCACCGAGAACATCCAAGATGGGTAGGTACTCAGGGTGCGGGCCTGCTCGGTGAGCCCGGTGAATAACGCACGTGACACCCGCGACTCACGGTGGTCGCGTGTTTGATGGCATTTCTGCCGTTGACTTCCTGCGTACACATCAAGCTGTAATTCTTTTCTCCTTTCTCTCCAAAAGATACCCATTATGCCAAAAGATGTTTTTCCATCCGTCAATATTCTGATTTCTCTGATACAAGCTTCGGCATCCCGAAGCTGAATTCTTTGTCCTTTGCATCGCCCTCCCAGTCTGCTAGCTTCATCATCAGCTCTCACAAGCCATCCACACCTTACACGCCTTTACTGCGGCACAAGCTGTACCTGCTCATCTCAATATGTCGGAGCCACCGGCTTCAGACCTTATGGTAACCGACAACGAAGCTACCAATGAGGTACAGTTAAGGGAAATCGATACCGCAGTTGAGATGGATTTGCTACCCACGCCGACTGTTGAAGCACAGCCGGAAGATGCGCAAACAGCCCCCGTCGAAGTTGAAGCTCCCCAGCTGTGGCTTGCGCCGATTGCGCAAATAGAAATTGAGCCTGCTCCAATCGAGCATCACCACAATGTACAGTCACAGTCACCGGCTTCTGTGTCGCCTCCCGCGCCAGCTATTGAAGAACAGTCGTACGACCCGCAGTTCTCTCTTTCGGCTTCGCGAATCGTCACGGGTCGTCTTAATGGCACCACCCCAGCATCACCACCGCGTCATCTCGTCGCAACTCCTGCCCGTTCAACGCCCGAGATCGCACCAGAGGAAGTCGAAGACCTACCTGTGGACTACTCCCACCTTCCTTTGACCCTTCATCATCCTCATGCAGAACCCACGGCAGCCTTGTCAGCCCTGCCTAGTTATTTACCACCCTCTGGAGCAAAGAGGAAACGCACGGCAGCCGAAGATGAGACTTCCCGGAAATCTGCAAACATCCCCGCCTACCATGAACCCGCAATCCTCAGGCGCCCTGTTCCCAGGCCACCAGTGAAGAGGAAGCGCACCAAGGACGACGGCAGCGGAAAACGAATGTGCGTAAAGTGCAACCGAATTTCCGAGACGGAAGGCAACCTCATCATTTCCTGTGGCTGTGGCGAGGCCTGGCATCAGCTCTGCCATGACCCAGAGATCCCGACAGACGCCCTCGGCAGCGGTTCCTCCAAGTTCAAGTGCGTCACTTGCAAGGAGGAGGAAAAGCAGCAGGCCAAGTATCATCGCGAGCTTGCAAAGTACCGCGAGGCGAAGCAGGAGCAGTCGGAGTGGAAGAAGCATCACAATGACGTGGAGAGGAAGCGTGAGAAGAGGCTTGCGACACTGCCCGAGTTTCCTAAGCCGAGCCTTGTTGGGTTCCATGGAGGCAATGCCAGCAGCAGTGAGGTGAGTGGCGAACACGCAAGCTGGGACTTTGGACCATTTCTGACGCGTTTGCAGAGACGAGAGTACTTTTCGGACCTTAAGAGGAGCGATCTCGTCAACCTCCTTCTTTTTAGTGAACAGATCCACACTGGCCTTCTCGTGGATGTTCTCGCCTCTGTCTCTAAGAAGCACCCCGACCTGCCCATCTTCGGTTCGCCAGATTGGGCTGAACCAAAAGTCGTATGTCTACCATCCTCGCCGAACCCATCTAAGATAAGTAAACGAGACTAACACCTCACAGCGACACCAACAACAGCCCCGCCGCCAGCAAGACCACCGCCCGGCCTCCAAACCCTCAAAACAGCGGTCCAAGACAGGCGGCGTCCGCAAGATCCTCAAGACAGCACCCACCGGCGCAGCCGACCAAGCAGCAGCAGACGCCGAAGACGCAGAGGACGCACTCCCCGATTCCTGGCCTAAAGCCGGACATGGCCTCTACGCGCGTCTTGGGCCTGAAAAGGACGATCCGATGATGTACGACGACAACGATGAAGAGGCGTTCAGCCACTTCATGGTTGACAAGTTCGGGAAGCAGATTACGGAGCCAATTGCGGGATAGAAGCCTGGTGACGAACAACAGGATAAGACTATGGCGTTTCTGCTCATGAATTTGGCGGGTGTCCCGTTTGGTGCTGCTTGTATGGGGGCGGCTCTTGGGGATGTTCTTGCGCAGACCGTGGACTTGACGGGCAAGTCTAAGACGACAGCGGGCCCATCATCTACGTCTACCACGCCGAATATTGTCACCACGCCCAAGGCTGCTGCTACCTCAGAGACCCCGAAGAAGGGACGGCAGACGAGACGAAGCCAACAGGCCGGCACAGCTATACCTGAAGAGGCGTACTCTACACCCAAAGAGATGGCCCATATGAAGCCGTGGTATCTTTACTAGCACCCAAATAATCACCGAAACACAGGCGAGGAACAGACGATAGGTGTATGATTATCCCAGAGGTCGAGATGGAACATGGCGTTGTAGAAATGATACCCGCAGCCTGACTGCAGTTCATTAGTAACTTTGTCTTATACCTATGGTGCTTCTGAGAGAGGCAACTTGAAAGCATGTGATAAAGCTGGCCTTTTGACGTACTAAGACTCACTGCGTGTCTGATATACCCTCACGACTCAGCCCACACAACGTCCTCCACGCCAATGCATAAAAATGGAATGACGTGCTGCAACAGACGCTGTCTGACATGCGCCCATCTACTGTTAATGCTCTCCAGGGAAAAAAAATCAGACGAATGTAGGTAATTCGGCAAGACGAACCGAAGGCGCCATCAGACGGACACGTCGTCCCATAAACCACGTCACATTTCATCTGCAAGAAATAAGTAATATTGGTATAACTATTTGATAGTTATTGATTATCATTAACTAATGTAGGCTTGTTTTTGTGTGACTGTAACTATGCTATGCCTGGTATCTCTCTTCAACCTCGTACTCCCAAAATTGTCATGCAGGCCTCATAAACGCAGGCGGAGGCGGCGGTGAATCCTCGTTTCCCATCCCATTCCCTGGCCCTGTTCCGCTGGCCACCGAGTTGACGCTCGCGCTCACGCTGTTCTTGACCCTCCTCACACCCATCCTTACAGGTAACCCAACCCTCCCCCCAGCACCAACACCACCGCCGCCCTCCTCATCAACAGGCCTCGCAGCCTCGACGTCAACAACCCCGATCCGCCCAGGCGCCTCTCCACCCGCACTACTCAGCCTCAACGCGCTCCCACCAGGCGACATCCTCCCCCTCCCTCCCCTCCTCCCATTCCCGTCCCCAAACACCCGTCCCGCCTTCGTCCCGTACCTCTTCACCTCCTTGCCCAACCAATGCCGACACAGTACCACAAACAACAAATCCCAGAGCCCGATGCCCCAGAGGAACATGTACGCCAGCACACGGCCGTAGGTGTCGGGCATACCCCAGTACGTGAAGCCGCGCGCAAAGACGTCGCCGAGGGCGATGTAGACCCAGAAGATTGCGATGAGGGAGGCGCCGAGGAGGAGGCGGAGGAGGAGGGTCCAGCCTGGCCAGGGATCGTGGGCGTGGACTATTGAGCGGGCGTCGAGGAGGATGTCTGTGGAGAGGATTGCGATTAGGGCTGCGGCGGCGGGACTGTTGATTATGGTCAGTATATGTATTGATCACATGGGGACAGTAGATGAGGAGGGGACGAACCCGGTGCGATATGTGAGAGGAAACGAGACGTTGTAGAGGAACCACGACATGATCCACAAGAGTATCGAGGCGGCAGCGACGTGCGCTACGTCATTGGCAATTTGCGCGCGGAGAAGCCATCGCTTGAACTGTCGCGCCTGTTGTGCGTTGGGACGGCGAGGTCTCCGGACTCGGGTCCGGCTTCGGGGCGGCGGGGGGATCGTGAGCGGCGAAGGACGGTGGGGGCGCTCCATTTTGTGGTGGTGGTGGCTGTTGTCGGCTATTGCTGTGTTTTGCCGCTGCACCACCAAGGATCTCGAGGTTCAACAACAACACGATTGTTTGGAGATTAGTGGCAGGCGAAAAGAGGTGAAGAGGATCGAAGATTTGCGTGTACGGCCTTCAGCATGATCCCTTTTCGGCGGTGACGAGTCCTGTTGTGCCTTTTTTTTTTCTTTCTTTCTGTCTTTTCCTTCCTCTGTGTCGACTAGTTTTCCGTTTGGAGATTGCCCAGCATGCCAGTGACGTTTTCTGTTATGGGAGATTGGGGACACCAAATGAGATTAGATGGGGGAAAAGATGTCAAAAGGGTAAAGGCGCAAAAGGCCAGGAACGAAGAATAAAGACCGGGTACTAGTGACCGATGCGGCTGGTGTCTCAGACGGGAAGTAAAGAAGTGATAAGACAGCTTCGGGTAATAATAAGAGTCGCGGTGCAGGGCGAGTATTAAAGTGAGATAAACCTCGGGATTCTGGAACGTGGCATGAGATCACACCGGGTGGGATAAGTGCTACTCTGAGTGATGGTGGGCGAGTAAGAGTCGTGAGAGGTCCGGAGGTACAAAGTAGACGCGGATGTGTAAAGAGTTCACGTCGCAGACGGGACGGTGTGTCGTTGAGTTTGTACCTTGATCTTTTCTTAAACCTGGGCTGAAGATAATGTTGAAGAGGGTGGACGATTGGACGACTGTTTTCAGCCAAATCGGCGATCAGGCATGTACGGGATGGGACGAGATGATGATGGGAGCCGGGCCAGGGCGTGTCCGGACAAGGTTCGAGAAACAGGAAAACGACAAAAAGGGTAGAAAACCCTTCGACGAGGAAACAGAGACGACGGCCAGCGAGGTGGAATGGATCGATCGGGCTCTTCCGACGTATGTCTGGCGATGTTAGATGTCGAAAAGAAGAAAAGGAAGCAGAAAGAGACTCATACGCCGGCCGGGAAAGCATCTGCGGGAGAAACCCGTAGTTTTGAGCCAGACGTCCGATGCAGATATCTCTTGGCTTCTTCCAGAGGGGCACCGGTCTCCTCCAAACCGAACCCGTGTGATCGTGTTGTTGGTGCAACGGAGCTGCGAGCTGCAACAGCACCGCGTCCCCAAATGCAGCATGCATCTGTTAGTCCTTGGTAACGAACATTCAAAGCCAATGGGCCCTGCGCAGATCATACAGCTCCCCAACCCTATGCGCGCCCCCCTCCCCCCTTGGCACCGGCATTCGACGCCGTCTCGTGCAGTAGTCTGGTTTCCAGGGGCATCGCGAAGTGCCACAACATTCGAACATGGACCGTCTCGTGCGGGGCCGCTCACCGGACTGTCCTTAGCTTCCACCATCTTTAGAAATAGCACGCTGCGGCGCTGCCCAGTCGATGGTGGCCCCTGATGCCCTGGTGAGGCTCGGTCTGAAGTTTTGCCAAGCGCAACACTCTTTCTTCGCTTCGTGGGGTTCGTTACAAGGGGGCCCTGACTCTTGCCGTCTTTCCCAGGGCCAGCCCAAGTCCCCAACCGCCAGTGTTCACTGTCCACTGTCCGGTGGTTGTTCTCTGGCTCGGACGAGTCTCAGACCAGATGAACCTCAGTCAAGTCCCACGCCCCGACGGTGGCATTCTTTGAAGCTCAGACAGAAATATCCGAGCCGCCGTCCGAATTTTCTTGATCGTGTCCCGGGATCTGGACACGTCCGGATTCCACGCAGCCTCGGGCCGGTGAAGGAGAGACTTGTCGATGGTGTGTTCCTGTGTGTCTTGATCAGCGAAATGTTGCGCAATGCCAGCTTCTTCTTTTCAACGAACACTACTCGTTCACTGTAGGCCAGGATCATTTGAGTTGTCTCTCCACAGATCCGAGGAGTCATGCATGGCGGGTAACCCTTGCCAACGAAGCACAGCCTCTCTCCCCTCGAGGCCTTCTCCAACCCATCTCTAAACAGCATGGAACCTGGAAACGAAACGTCGCTCTGCTTTTCGTGAAAGGCAATTCTGGATCCAGTCCGTTTCTGAAATCCATAGCGTGTATGCTATCGCTCTTCAAGCACCACAGCCGCGCCGTACTTGGGGACTGCTGATATAGGTCCTCCGATACGCGGCATGCAGCACGGAATCGAGTCGTGTCATCTCTTTCGTCCAAAGCTTTGGCATGATGCTTTCGCGCATTTGGCAGCTGCCATATGCCTCTTGTCTTCGGCAAGCGACCCTGTTGGTTCGAACATCTCAACGTGAAGACTAGGCATTGACGTGAGATTTCGACGCTGTCATATGCGACTGACCTAGGGATTATTCGCTGCAAGCCGTACCCCACCGCTGGCGCCTTTCGACAGTCGAATGCATCCCTTCGAGCCATGTTGTGGCAGACGAGATGTAGCATGGACCTGATGATCGTATTAGACCGGACAACGTGAAGACGATCTGGAGCACATCGCGAAGAAATGCCGCCAACATGGTAATGATCACACTAGGGCCTCAGTGATGTCAAGTGCTTACCACGACTGCAGAACTCTACATCTCGTTCTGACATGCGGAAAAGGTCTCATTGCCCGGAGATCTTTGGGCGCCTTTGCCTTTTGATGGCCGCCGTTGTTGTCGCATGTACCCGCGTCGTCATCGGCGTCGTTTCTGTCGCTGGTTCATGACAAAAACGGTGTAAGTAATACGGTCCGGACGACAAATATATCCGCTGTGTCTTTTTCAAGAGAGTCCGGTCTATCATCACTTCGGTGCATCGTCTCTCAGCTGAGAGTTGGAACCTTAAATCGCGGTTGGAAGGCCAATGGATCGACAAGAAGTACGAAAGTCGGCGACGGTATTTGAGTTCGGGGGTGGTGGAGAGGAAGAAGTTGCTTTTAGCCGGAAGATTCGATCCTCAGGGCCTTTTGGAAAGCGAGGAAAGAGAAGGAGCTGATCAGACATTGGCAACTTCCCGGCGAGAAGGTGCGACCTGAACCATCACATCGGGCCTGCCGGCGATGTGGGGCCGATCCGAACGCCGAAAAGACGATGCAACCCCCGGTTCTTAAAGGCAAACGACCTCGGGCGTCTGGTTCTCTCTACCTCCCTAACAAATCTTTGAGGTGCCTGACTGATATTTGGTTCAGTCGAGGGCTTAAATTTGGCATTTCATGCCTAGCTCTGGACCAGTACTCGGGTAGGCAGAGGAGCGGGTGACCAGCTTTTCCACCGCCACTTATCCCCAAGGCCGGAGTCCGGACTAAGAATTGTATGAAAATTTCTAGTCCTCCAACGTATGGTAAATACTCTGCTCATTGCGCTTCAAGAATGGGGAATGGATCATCTGACATCACAGGGAGTCTCAGGGATCATGGCTCCGGCTTCAACGGCGCGGATGGGTCTTTTCCGCCCCCACGGGTATCACGGATATGCACTGTCGGATATCGTTCTCCGGACATTATTATAGGCTCTAGGGCGTTGAAGACTCCAATGATTTAACTTGCGGTGATACCGCAGACGAAAAGGCCGTGTGACGGACACCTAGATAAGAGGGCTCATCGTTGTAGAGGCAATATACCATAGGAGAGTCCCTCAAGCAGTTCCTGACTCTGGGGAAGACGAGCAATTGGCAACTCGGAGAGACGGCACGGCTATGAGGCGACGTCTCCGAGCTTAACCACCGTTGAAGCATCATAGACGGACCTTCAACGGAGACAAATAGAATGCGAAACCGACGTATTCGCCGCAGCCGGCTCCCGAATGTGCGAGATGTGCGCTGCCCTCCGGGCTGGCCAAGCTTTCAGTGACAATTTAAACTAGCTTTTTCTTCTAGGTTGAGTTTGTTTGGGAGGGCAGAATTGTACGACACCGCCTATTCCCCTGAGTGAGTTGTCAACGATATAGTGACTTTGTAGAACGTCTGTATGACTCGTTGACTGGACTATGTGGATACACGGGGCACGAAGACCACCATCGTCAACTGCAAAACGTCCAAGCATAAGCTTTGTTAGTGATAGTTGTTGCCTTCCGCTAACTCCGGGGCAATATATTGACATCTAATTAACTTTTGCAGGACTCTCGTATCGTAGGCTCGCAGTTGTCTTCGAGAAGGATTCCAAGAGTTTAGAACCTGAAGCCTATGAACTTGGCAAATCTTATATAGAGCTTGATGTTCTGCAGTATTAGTGAACAGAACATGTGACCAGTAAACAAACGCAATCTCATCAACTCATTACAACATCAAGTTACCATTCAACCCCTACCGAAACTCAGAATGAAGACCTCCATCATCCCTACCATTGCCATGCTGCTCATCTCCAGCAGCTTGGTCGATGCCCGCACTTGCGTGTGTCTTGTACGTCACACTCACCCCCAGCAACTACGGGCTTACACGCCGTCGCTTTTGGAAAGACATGCAGAGCTAACGATTGGAACTATAGTTCAAGGACCTGGACGGCAACAACCAGGGTTCCCAGGGATCTACAGCCCACTGCTGCGGTAGTAAGTGCAACCTCCTCTATCCTCTTGCCATCCTTCTAGTGTCTCGATATCTTGTACTAACGCGTTACTCAGACGACGTCGTCACTGGACCCTTCCACAACGCTGCCTTCTACTGCCCCAACAGACAGGAGAGTGCCGCCGCCTTCGATTCCTGCTGCAGAGGCTGGATCGCCAGCTCGTTCGGATCTTGCGACAGCTAAGCTGTCCAATAGCATCTTGGCTGGCTTGTGTAGTCCGTGGACTTGAAGATTCTGCAGCGATTGATAGAGACATGGATAAAGATGGATGCATTGGCTGATAGCTTGAATACACATGACTGGTTACCACGATCTTCGTCTACCTTTGCACTATTGGCTTCCTTGCTGTATCTCACTTCCCGAACTCTTGTGGTTAACAACGCCTCTACCGCCAGTGCAGCATAGGTTCGTATGGGCTTCCCCGTGAGATAGCTGTAACATACTACCTACGTCTAAGCACCCCCGGCCTCTCCATCACGCTGCTCCCGTTCATGCTTGCGGAAAGAAACCAACATCCCGAGATCATAAACAACCTTGAGACATCCGGCGCCCACAAAAGCAACCCAGAACAGATTCCTATACACCAAGATCCCAACTCCCACGGGACCAACGCTCGAAACGCACGTTTTCAAGACGTTGATGAGGCCCAGCACAGTAGTGCGTTCTTTGGGCAAGATTAAGCCCGCGAGGAAAGCGGCCCTCGCCGCGACGTCCATGGAATGCGTCAGGGCGCGGAGGATCAGGAAGACGATGGCCGTGTTGGCGTCTCGCGGGAGAGGGACGAGTGCTGTGAAGATTGTTGAGGGGAGGTGGGTGAAGACCATTGCCTATGCAATGAAGGTTAGGAGATAGTCTCAAGAGCTTATAAGGATCCAGAGGAGTGAGGATGTGTGGTTGACGTATGTTTAGGTTGCCGATTCGCTTGGCAGTTGAGGACGCGACTAGAGTTGTGGCCGCGGCCAAGAGACTTGTGGTGAAGAACAGAGACCCCAGAGTTCCGTCGTCCACGTTGAATTTCCAACGGAAGAAGAAGGCGATCCAGGACCTCGGTCAAGTCAGCATCAAGATTCAGGAAAGAGCGACGGAAGACATACTGGGTAGTCAAGCTCGAGGCAAAAGAATCGAGCGCAAAGAAGAAACACAGCGTGACGACCACAGGCATACTCTCCCTCGCAATCTTCGGAACAAGCTTCGATCGCCAAGTCTTGGCCTCTACTTCTCTCTCAACCGACCGCTCGCCCAAAATGGGGGCGGTTTCCTCCTCAGAGACGCCACCTTCGTCCCGCTCAGCCTCGATATCACGGCCCAGGAGCAGTGCAAGAAAGAACTTGAACACGCCCAGCGCTGCATATCCGTAGAAGACTACGCGATACGCCGCCTCGAGTTCCCAGCCTGCAGTGGCCGTCAAGTAGTGCGCAGTCCAGCCGCTCGTCATTGCACCGAACGCAGTCCCAGCGGCGCCCATGAGGCTGTACCAAGCATAGACGTCGCTTCTATCCTCTGCAGTGGTCAAATGCGCGACGATACTCTCCTCCACGGCGCGGAAAGGCCCAATCTCAGCGCCACTGCTTGTAATCAGTTTCACACGTTCTTCACCCCCGGCGAGATATGTGTGGATTCGTACCTTGGACTGATAACTCCCACCACAGAAGCAGCCAACAACACCCGAAACCCACTACACGTCGCAAAAACAACACCACTAACAGCCATCAAAGCCGCGCCCGCAGCCAATACCGCCTTCCGCCCGACGCCATCGGCGATGGAAGTCAACACGAGACTGATACAGACGTCTCCGACGAGAGTGAATGCCATGAACAGGCCTATTCGCGTCGCCGTGAACCCGAGGAGTTCAAAGTAGGCTACTAGCTGCAGGGTCGTTGCGCCGTAGGCGAACATACGCACGAAGCGCTGGAGGCATAGAAGCTTGATGTCGGGGTGGCATCTGCTGAGGGCTAGGAGGCCTGTTTCGGCGAGGCCGCGATGTAGAAGTTGTCGAGACATTGTAGCTACTGTCTATGCTGTACCTGGCTAGAGGACGTCGAGACAGGAGCGGAAGAGTCATCGTGAGTGCGGATGGATGGATCATCTCCGCGGGCAAAAATTTAAAGTAGTTGATTGTCGTCGGGAAGTGGAGCCTGGTTATCACTTGCAGCGACGTGACAAGCATGCGCAAGGCCCCTGGTCAATTGATCAACTGCTCTGATTCTAATGTGTTGATTCACACTCCTTTTGGATAGTTGAACCATAGCTTTCACAGAAAATTGGGCGCTCGCAGGTATGGCCGTGAGATGGAATGGTCTATAACCAGCATAGCTAAATACGAAGACTCCATCCCCGATCACTCATACCCAAACTCCAAGCTATCCCAGGCCCTCTCCTAACAACCTCATCCACCTCTTCCTGGTGGTGCCTCTCCGCAAGCCCAATCTCAAGGGCCTGCTTATCCTTGGAGTTGATAGCGACCATAGCCTGCAGGGTAGAGCTCTTGACCACCCCGATCCCCGCCGCCTTTGTCTGAATGATGGCGAGAGCCAGAAGTATGATGGAAAGCACGGCCTGACAGGAGATGAACGCGAGCCAAGGCCAGCGAACTTGTACGAATGTCTCCGATGCGAGTGCTTGCCCTCTTGCAACTATGGTGTCGTTCGTGATGCTGCGTGTGACCACGTTAGTAACCTTATCCACGCACTCAAGAGGAGGGAAGGCATCACGGCAGACTAACAAATTGGACAAGCTCCTTGCAACATTATTCGTGATATTCGCAACAGCCTCATTAATCACGACCTCTCGTGAAACATTCGCCCGCCCCTGCGCCTCCAACGTCTTGGCGCCGTACTGCAATGCAGCCAAGTACCGAGCTGGCGCAAGGCCAAGCGCACTCGGCACGTTACTGAGATCCGCATAGGACCCATTCAGCGCATCCGCAAGACTATCCTGCATCTTGCCGAGCCCAGTTCCGCCGTAGGGGAAGTTCTCCCCGTCGGGGTTGAGGGGGTCGCGTATCGCGGGTAGGTCGTCTCTCACCTGGCCGCTGGGGAACGTGATAGAGCCCTGTTCGATGTCGGAAGTCACATCGATGACCTCGCGCGATTCAATGTTGCCTGCGAAGGAAAGGTTATACGTCTTTGCGCAGAGGTACAGCACAGCTTCCATAGCTCCGACTGTGCCATCATTGCCTTCTCGCAGGGAGTAAATCACCGTAAAGTTGAACAGCGCCGCGTCAGGGTTCACGTCCGAGGCGATAGGCTTGCTCGTACCACGTAGACTAACGAGGCCGAAGTGAGAGGTACTCAAGTTCGCAGAGATCCCGTTAGGAAGTGAAGCTTTCACCCGCGGTGCCCCAATAGGACTCTCTTTAGTCGTGACGTTCAATGAAGCCGTAATATTCCAGAATTTGGCGCAGATGCTCAGCGAGCTGTAGGTCTCCCACTGGCACTCGCTCGTGGGGCAGCGGGCTGGGCTGAGGGGGAATTGTTTGGTGTGGTCGTAGCTTAGACCTTCGAAGATTGATTGTTGGACGTAGTGTTCCTGTTGCACTGCACACATGTATTTCAGTAAACGGGAGATGAAGATGAGGGCGGCAGAGTAAGACATACGTGAGGAGAAGGTATTGGATGTACTGAAGAAGTACGATGTTGATCGGGGTACTGTGGCGTCTCCGTCTACGTGCGTGAGGCGGACGGGGTATGTGACGGCGGATTGCGTCAAGGTCGATGTGAAGATTGCCGTGATCATGACAATCGTCGCGATGAGACTAGGAGACCTGGGACAGTCAGCACTCACCAAGCCTCTCATCATCGCCAGAACCATCAACTCACCAACCCTTAGTCGTCTTCAACAACTGAATACTCCCCCAAGGCCCTCTACTCGCCGAGTCAAAGTCCTGAAAATCCTTCAACGGCCTCTCCTTGCGATACCAAAGCCACTTCAACTGCGACAGGCTCTCTGACACTGGGATCACAAACGCAGCTCGCGCCAGCGTTGCGAGGAAGGCAATGAGCGTGTTGAGTGTCAGGCCGAGCGGCCACTCGGGGAGTCGTTGACCGTCGAAGCGGGATAACACTCCGGCGAGGGCGGCGACGGAGGCGATGCTTATTATGGACCATATGAGCTCTGGCAGCCAACCCTTGAGTGATGTACTCCATGCCTGCTTGGGTGCGGGAGGGGTGAGGCCGGATTCTTTGTGGGATAGATGGGACTTTGTGTCTGCTCTTCCTGGTGTGTAGTCCCATCCACCGTAACCGGGCGAGTCCGCCGAGTTCCGGTCCGTGTTAGACAGCTTGTTGTATGCTACGTGCGGGACGCCAGAGACGTGGGCTGCGCCGGGCTCAGTGGTCATGGAGCTCATCGGTATGGGGTGATGCGTGGACTCTAACGGCTCGGTGCGGGTCTCCGCTGAGTCGGTCGACTGCACGTGAATGAGCGGTCGGTGATCATCTCGCGAGAGGTCCGATGACTCTGAATTGTACGGTGGACGTCTGGTGCTATCTGCCGCCGCCCAAGGACCTTCAAGATGGTGCATGCTTGCTCATTTGGCGACTACTAGGAAGCCTTCAGATTGCAACAAAAAAACGCTCGCAGTCTAGCATTGTGCTTAAAGAAGTCCGGCTACTTCGACAACGTCAAAAAGGGAAAGGTCAGCCTAGCTTTAAAGTAAAGAGTAGTGGCCGAGAGACATGCAGCACATCATCTGTCCATGGACTTGTTTGTGGGTTGATCGTCAAGGCAGCAGGATCACACAGAGACAGCACTGCCCGTGGCTTCCCCACTAGAAAGGCTATGACAGGGTCGTTTGTGTCTCCTAGGGCCTGAGAATAGCTAAGCGACTGCTGCCAAGCCGGGATGGGGACGCTGTTTGTGGCACCCCATGCGGGAGAACCTCGAGGCTTAGGCAAGGGGCGGCTGGGACATTGGCGTGATGCTGGCTTGCATGGGCACAGCCGGGTAGTAGTAGGATCATTTACCCTGTGTCGCTGTCTCACGAAACCGCCGCCAGCATTCGGTCTGTGAGACTCTGGGGTTTCAGTCATGGTGCTGGAGGACCAATGAAGATTTGCGAACACCAGTTGGTCGACATAGCCAGCAGCAACGTGGCTAAATTGAAATGTGCCGTGAGTGATGGAACCATGTTTTGCGAGAAGTATCGGAAGTAAATTCTTGTCTAATTTTGTACGGTGATTTCGACTCATCTATATTCTGGCTCAGACTTGCCTTTACGACATCATTGCCAGCGGTCATTGATTGTATACTTGATCGAATGCCGGAAGCAAAGGGTTACTGCAGAGCAGAAACGCGCAGTTGCTGTCGACTTCGTCCAAGGGACCGCCAGCTCGGAAGTATCTGTACGTCATCATCGCCAGTCTCGGGAAGCACTCGCCTCCTAGTTCCTACTCATGGAGCAATGAGTGTTGTTCCCTTGGTCTTTCCGCTCTCCATCTTTGCTGTCCTCGAACCGAATTGAATCTAGAAGGATAGTCAGTATGAGAAGTGGCCAATCGACATTGGGTATTGCTCACCGCTCTCTTCTTCTCCTGGGCGACCGCACCCATGCCAAGGTCCTTCGCAAGAAGCCTCAACGCCCTCTTCTCAGGATCGACTCCTGACTCTGCCTCGAGGAAGGCAAAGTCGCACTTCTCCCAGACTGGGCATTCGATGGCCCACTTGACAAACTGCTCGTCGAGGAACGGAAATCGTACCTCGCGACTCCAGTGGGACATGGCTCTGTCGTCGCGGCCCAGGTTCCGCTTCCCAAGCCTGCTGACGTCTAGCTTAAGTTCCTCAAGAAGGCCCGGGTAACCTCTCCTCGAGAAGGCGGTGGTATGCCGTACATAGCCGCCAAAGAGTTCGTCTGCCCCGAGGCCAGAGAGAAGCACTCGCGCTGGCGTAGCGTATTGAACAGGAGGGCTTGATGGGTTACTTTGGGCCATGCCAATGCCGCGAGCGGCAAAGTAGAGGGCGTAGGCGATGGAGAGGTCCATTTCGGTATTGTGGGGATACATCAAAGAGATCACTTGGCTCCGATGCGCGAGTACTTCTTGGTATGGGACATCCACCTACTAAGGATTAGTATGGGAGAATGGCCGCGTCAAGCTGAGCGAACTTACGGCAATGAACCTCCAGCTACGAGCAGGACAAACTGCATTCAGCTCAGCAAAGGACTTCCTTCCCGTGATTCTGTCTGGACAAGCCTCATAGAGACTTGGCGCACCAGGAGAGTTGTCAGCCTTCGCTGCTAGACGAGGGTTCTCAAAGGCCACATTGATCAGGTCGATGCCTTGATCAGATGGGACCATGTCGCTAGCCATCCGCGCCAGGATCGTGCAGTCCAGCCCGCCGGAGAACAAGACAGCTATCCGCGTGTCGTTGCCAGCATCGTGGGCTGGGGGTTCAGGAACGTTCAAGACACGTAACTTGAGCGACTCGGTCATCTGCTGCCTGACTGCTTGTACTGATAGTGACACTGCTGAGAGTGACTGGACATCTGATGGCGGGAGTGCCATGTTGAAGACTCCAATGTTGAGGACCTAACATCGTAAGTAGCAAAAACGTAATGCATGCCGTGCGAGACATATAGCTTACCGTCTCGGTCTCACCTGGCGTCCAAGAGCGAGGCGAACTTGAGCCCAGAGACTCACCGTCCCAAGATGCCAAGTCTACAAGGTAGATGCCATCTGCTTCCACCTCTGCCCACGAAGGTAATATGCTCTCAGCAATGCTGGACAGTCTGATTCCTCCCTCTCCATTGAGTAGCAAAGAGCGTCGACCAAGGCGGTCGCGACCATAGAATAGACGGGATGAAGTCGCGTCGAAGTAGACAAACGCGAAAGGGCCCTCGATGCTGCGCAGCACATTCAAGACCGCATCTTCAGGTGCGTCGCGGCTACTGGCCGCGGTGAGCAAAGCAAATATCGCCTCTCCGTCGTTCCCTTGGACGGGTTCCCTTGCAATCTTCCAGGCCTCGCCGTTCCAGCATAGAACGGACCCAGAAGACGCGTCGCGAAAGGGCTGCTGGGTGACGTGGTCACCGCGCAGAGCCAGAACCGTCGAGGTCAGAGTCAGGAAGACAGGGCTACCGCTACCGCCTGACGTTTGACAGCGAGCTTCGCCCAGATGATCCGGACCGCGGTTGCAGAGGCATGTCTTGACGTCTTGCGGCAGGGACTGGAAGCCGTCGCGTATAACGAGGACGTGGATCCCGCACATTATAGCCTACGCGGCAAAGATCGCAGTTCGCCCGTGGCTACAGATGATAGATGACGACGTCTGCAGATGTACTGCTGCTGTTCGTGCACAAAGAGGAGGCTTGCAACCGCGTTGGATGTTGGTCTTGAAGTTGCTGTTCGCGCAAGAATCGGCCGACGGAATTTGTTCGGGGACAAAGAATGGGTACCTGAGCAGTGCACCAATGGAGCACCGCCAACCCCACCCATCGCTATTGGTACGTACTTGTGTCCCTCCCCACGCTCTTGAGATGGTCAGGTGGGCTTGCTCCAAAGAACAACATCATTGAAGTGAGTAAACGTCTAATTTCTTCACTTGAGTTTATTGTTTCTTCAACTTAAAGCCTAAAAGTAGCATTCTCATATAATTCAGTCATATTTTCATGTGAAATGGATCGCATTTGATGGGGTGCGGTACTGATTCAACAGGTGACGCCACATACCTAGCATCGTCATGCAAAACCTCCGAGATGACCATGGGCTTGCTTCCCCTCCCCCGAAGGAGACAAGGAATGAGCGGAAGCTAGACGTAGGGCGGCATGGACTACCCGAGCAAGTGACCTTGCTTTTCCGGGGAGATCTGGGGATATTCCCCAGTTGCGTGATGCAATTGGAACCCCAGCCGCGAAGACCCGACCTTGGCAGTTGAGGTCAGCCCAGTGTTAGTCGGCAACATCACGCCACTCTCCCGGCCGTCCTCATCATGCGACAGTGCCATCATCATCGGCTCAGCGAGATGTGACAGACAGATACCATAAAATGAACCACCTTTCCCTCGGATCTAACAGATAACGGAGAAGCTAAGAATCACAATGGTATCTAGAAGAACTTGTCAACAACTATGGCGCACTCAACCCGCCCTAATAAGCGGCATCACAAGCCGAAACATCACAAAACCAGCAACAATCGTCAGAACCCTTCCCACGACAACGACAGCAATACTCCTCCCCAAAGCCCAACTTACAACTCAATGCCGGCAATCAAATTCCTTCTCATCTCAACATCAAATTCGCCTATTCTCAGACCGTTCTCCTGAGAAAGCAGCAACAGCCCCCGTAACCCCGAAATGGACGCCGCCTAGCGACCCCACTTCCCGGCCCGTCGTCATCCTCGGCGCGGGGGTCCTTGGCCGGCGATTAGCCGTTATGTGGGCCTCCACGGGCCGGCCCGTCATTCTCCACGACGTCGACTCTGGCGTGCTCTCTTCAGCGATGCCCTATGTCGGCGACGCACTCACTACAGTGTGCGCTGTTCGTGAGACGCACCCGGGCCGAGTCACGACTAGCACTGTTCTGGAGGAATCGTGCAGTGGCAACCCCTGGATGGTGATCGAGGCTCTCCCGGAGGATCCGGAGATCAAACGGGAGATGCTGGGTAAAGTCGATGCGCTCGTTCCCGAGGACTGTATCCTGGCTTCCAATAGCTCGACATGGCCGACATCAGCTCTGAGGCACCTCATCACTCGGCCGGAGCGCCTGCTGAACACGCATTACCACCTACCGCCGCGAAATACATACGTCGAGCTCATGACTTGCGGCGTCACAGACCAAGACCTCATGCCATTCCTCAAGAAGCAGATGAAGAGCGTGGGGTTCAACCCCCTGGCGCTCCCTCATGAATCGGTTGGCTTCGTCTTCAACCGGATATGGTCCGCCGTCAAGTCCGACACGCTGCGCATCCTACAGGCGGAACTTGCTTCGCCCCGGGATATCGATGCCCTCTTCCGAGACTTCTTCCACGCCGAGAAAGGGCCTTGTGAGAAGATGGACGAGGTTGGGCTTGACACTGTGTGGCAGGTTGAAAGGAACAGGGTGAACATGGGGGTGGTGGACGCCAAGAAGGCGGGATATACGGATTGGCTGGAGGAGAATTACGTTTCTAGAGGGAGGCTTGGAGAGAAAACGGGGGATGGGCTGTATTCGGCTGAAGAGAGGAAGCTCTTACGTGAGAAAAGAGCTCGGGCGAAGAGCTCCTATCTGAAGTTGCGGCGATGATGTAGGATTTATGCGCTTCGAGTGAGATTCTTCACTTAGCTTAGCCCAGCCTGAATAGGGAAATGAAGTGGCCTAGATTCGGTAGCTGCAGGTTGCAGCAGTAATCATAGGCTCTCATTATACAGAGCCGTACAGCGGATGGGGATGATATTGATGAACGAGCAGAAGTTCCACTCGTAGACTCTTACCCCTTCTGACCTGCAGGAAAAGCCATGGCAAGCTGTATGCGGGCATGCAGCCTCTGGCGTCTTGTTCATAGGCTGGCTCTGTCAAATAATATGGTACATCGCCATTATGGAAAGAAGGTGCCAAGCCAAGTTGGCACCAATGCCTTGCTAAAGTTGACTTCATATTCCTTCCGCGAGTTGGAATCTTCGGTTCTAGTCCCCTTCATGAGCTTCAGATCCTGGGCTTCTTGCCTGAAAATTGTTGGTATGCACATCAGCAGGGCAGACCTTTCGGTCGCGATGATTTTAATAGTACTGTATTGGTCTATTGCGCGTAGAGTTAGAAGAGGGGAAAAATTGGGCGAAGCCCACGATGCCTCCGGAAGTCGTATGTAGGGACAGACCGTCAGGGTGGGCCCATATTACCGGCCTCCAGATCCATCTCCTCTGCCTACGGAGTACGGCCCAGAGATCCAACAAAACTCTCCACCCCGAATCTTCTCTCTGTGTCGATCTAGTTCTGCCGGTGGCCAATGCTGGTCTTCTTGGCCTGATTCGTCATGTATTTAAGATGATTGTCCGCGACCGGTACCCCGAATGCCGTGACTGACGTGTTGAAATCTCGCTGGATTTGACGTAAACGAGAGCATTTGTTATGGACATCTTTAGCCTCGGGCGTTGCGCCGTCAACCAGACTTTTGAGGGATTGGATAGATCCAAGATAGTTTCGTTCGCCTGCCAGGACCAGCGGAAGGCCGAATCTGCATAGGCCTATAGTCTCGGCAAGCTTCGTCACTTCAACCAGGGAGGCATTGTTGCACCGAGCTTTGACTAGGTTCCATTCGGGAGCAGGCGGAACAGTAGCCTTCGGAGGGTTTCCATAGAAATTGTTGTATACGGGCACCTCCATTTTAGGCTCCTGCACTTTTAAGCATCCTCTGCTTGTCAGTCCGTCCCGAATAGCCTTGTTAATAAAACCCCTTAGATCATGAATACGACGCTGCCGGGTCATTTTGATGTTATCTGTTTCCCCCTTGTTAAAGCTGTTCGGTGACTTCACGATTCAGAAACCTATCTAATAACCCATTGGCATCGAAACATTCATAAGTGTTAAAAGGGATTCCTCGGCTATCAAGGAGCTGTCCTTCTTTGTTCACTTCCGACGTAACAACGAGATCTCGAGCCATCCCATTAAAGGCCCCTTGGTCTCCAAGCTCCCAAGCCATCCACAATAGCTTTTCGTTCCCATCTCTTGCTTTGAGGTTCCTGTAAGGTGCGAACCAGGTTGATGCAAGCTTGTCGTACAAAAACGAATCCGTAATTGCCGGCCAGCAATTACGCCTTATTTACCACAAAGCTGGAATAAGACCGACAACATGTCATATTTGTTCGTGACGACAAGGAGCTGATAAATATCCTCCAGCGTCAGCGACTGCGGCACTTCGCAGAAGCAACCGTGGATAATCTTCAAGAGAATGGAGAAAGGCGCAGGGCGATCCTCTGGAAGCTTCACGACCCATGCCTCTCCCTCGGGCTTGGACTCGGAGAATCCACCAAAGAGCATCGCTCGAAAGACGGGAGATGCGCGCGCCAGTGCCCTGGAGCAGATCACGAATTCGAATACGTCGCCATCTTCTAGATTGCCGACTTTGAGAGTGAGGTCGCCTCGATCGTCGAATGAGACCTTTTCGCAGCGCTGCCGCTCGGTCCAATAAATTCAATCGAGCCTCGATTTGACCAATTTGACCACTTTTTCCCCAGGATTGGTTACGTTGAGTAATTGGCTAATCAACTAAGCCAAATGTAAGGTCACGTGACCCTTCTTATTATTATTATGTTACCCGACTAGGTAATAAGTGAAGCTATTTATACTAGTGTCACGATCCTGGTACAAATAATCTAACGTCTCCCATAATAGGCAGGATCTTCCCCTTCAGCCAGTTCTTCGTTAGCTGCGACTAGCCCATTGTCTGAGGCTGTATTGAGTGCCGTTGCGACGTCAGGGTCAGCTTTGAAGTACTGCAAGCTCTCTTGCAGTTAGCAGCCATGGTAGGGATGGAAAACATATCGAGGGCAAGCTTGCTGAGAAAGGGGTAGGTTGACTAGTGATCTTTCTACCGCTTTACAGGGTCGTCTGTAGATTAAGGAGGCTGCCGGAAGTAAGTCTTAACCTTATCCTGTTGCCGAGGAGCCTCCCGACCTCGCCTGCTCTGTACCTATTATCTGAAGTGATTATCTTTATGGGGGGTAATGTAATCTCTAGAGTAACTACGGTATTATCAGGAGCATCCTCTAACCTATACTAATGGTCAAAGTAGTCCCTGAGCTCCTTTTCCGTATCATAAACCTACTTAAGCTGGACTTCTTTATCCTAGACTGCTTTAAGGTAAGAGATACTAAGTGAGGGGTGAAGAATCATAGATGTAGGGAATAGAGGAGACTCCCCTAACTTTGTATAGTAGGAGGAGAGCTTCTGCTAGGCTAGCTCAATAGAGGTACGAAGGTGCTCCTAGTATATAGGAGAGAGGCCATTGAATCGAGTGGTACGTTGCCTCTAATCCTCCCTTACATGTTAGGGGAGAAAGGATGCTTGATAAGGCTGGTAATAACTGTTGACTGCTGGGCGAAGGGGGTGCCCTGAGCGAGTCTGAGAAGGTTAGAAGTCTTCCTTGGAGGTCAAGTTAATCTCCGGAGAGACTTCTCGAGTAGGAGGGATAGCAGGATAGATCACAAACTTATATAGAGCTTTCTACTCTTTAAAATGCTCGAGGAGGTAAGTTACTCTATACTAGTTATTACCTCTTAGAGACGATTATAATTATCCCCCTTACCCTAGCCCTCTATTCTCTTCGTCTGTAGGTAGAAAGGCTCGAGGATAGACCTGACCTTAACGAGGACCTTCTAGTCCTCTGGGGAAAGGAGGTCATCGTTAAGAACCCTCTTTATAATATTATCCTTATCCTAAACCTATTTAACGTAGGTCTCGATTTCCGCCTTCTTTTGAAGAGCTTGATTAATTATAAGGTATATAGAATTCTACCTCGTCTCGTTGTTAGAGAGGAGGTGAGTCTCTTGAGAGCCCTGAGTAAAGAGCCTAAAGTCTAACCTAGTATTAACCTTATAAGATACTTTCTTGAATCGCTCAGATCGTTAGGGTAAAGCTCTAATAAACTTTATGATATTTTAAAGTTTATTAATAGGTCTAATCTTCCTCTAGAGCCTAAGATCTTCTTCCTCGTGATTAATAATTTAGTAGAACTAACGTGCATGATAAGCGAGCGGATAGGACAAGCGAGCGGATCGCTCGACAGCAACCACTCCACGTATGTAAATCCTGATAAACATCAACAAAGTTTAATTAATTGAAACTACCCATAATCCTCTTCTCTAGACATTTCTCTCTGAAATGGACATGTGCGCGCATTGTGTCCAGTGTTCCCGCAGACGCCACATCGCCGTTGACCTGTTTCCGTCCTCGGCCGACGGCCACTACTCCGGCGCGTTTCCTCCTCAATCTGAGCTATAGCCTCTCTCTGTGATTAAAGGTCATCTACCTCAGCTATAGTAAGGCTCCCTCCTTACCTGAGACGAGTTTTCTTAGATCTCCGCCGTCGGCTAAGTAGATTATTCTCCTCCCGAAGGGTTTTGTTCTCAGCCTCTAGAACAGCATTACGATGCATCATATCTAGTATCCCTTTAAGGATATAGTCAACTACGTTACTAGCTGGTGTTGGCGAGCTATTTGGATGATTTAAGATTCGATCTTTAATCAAAGTTGACTGAGAATTTGCCTCTGTTGGGTTGTTTGGTGTCTGAGAAGTCCACGCTGGGGGTGTTGCTGGGAGAGACCCTGGGGGCGTTGGAGTGTATAACTTCACATCCAGCTTCGAAAGCACACTTTCAGCACTTAACGGAACAAACCCAGCCCCTCTAAAACCTCCCTGGATGTTTTTTACCGTTAGGGCTTGCATGAAAGCGTTGCGAAATGCAGGGAAGAAGTCCTCCTTCGTAATAACTAATATGCGTATTACCCCGGCGCATCTTATCCTCAATTTGTCGACCATAAGCCGTCTTTAGTGGCCCAAAACACCCAACGTCTAAGGGCTGAAGTAGATGAGACGAATGGGCCGGCATGCAGAGTGTGACGATATTGTTTTCCTTGCAATATATCTCAAAGTCCGCAGAGTGGTGACTTTCGTGCCCATCGACGACGAGGAGGCGATAACTGCTAGTTGTACGCGGTTTTGTATGCCGATCAAAGTGCTGGAGCCAGTCTAGGCCTCTTTCATTTGTTGTCCATCCGTTTTCAGACGTTACGATGACCCAGTCGCGTGGGAGATCTGTTTCTATATACCAGGTGGAGAGGTGATATTAGCCTGCAACGATGATGTACGGCGGAACGCTGTAGCCTGACGAACTGATGGCCTGAATGACTGTAACCCATTCACGATTGCTAGGCTGCATTATTTTTGTATTTGAACGCCTTTCGGCACTCGTGACGACCATCCCGGATGCAATCTGGCCCATCATAAACCCAGTCTCGTCGAAGTTGTAGATATCGGAGTCTATAATGCCGTATTTCGCGATTATGTTCGCTACAAGCCGAAACCACGCGTTTATCGCGTCTGGATCTTTGCATTGGGCCCTCTTATAGTCGTACTTGCGAAAAAAGCGCGTCCGGAGCTGTGGTTGTCGTTTAACGAAGTTTGAAGCCCAGCGCTTCCTAACTGGGGGCGCGTCGCGGTCGGCGAGCAATCGATTGGCCATTTCTTCCACACCACTGATCCGGGGAGGAAACGATCGGGAATCCAGGTCGAGGATATACTCAACTAGCTTCTCCTCTTCAAGCTCCGTCAATTTGCGTGAGTTAGGTATAGTATCTTGTCGTGTAGGTGTCCCTTTTAATCGGGTGCCTAGGGTCCTATGGGGGACTGAATAGATTCTTGCTGCGGCTCGAATGCTGAGTTTAGGGTTTTTTTGGATAGCCTTGACTGCTAAGTTCAATTGGGCCTCTTTGCTTTGTGACGACATGATTATTTGTGGCGTGATACGCATTAGAAGTGAGGAGGAAGGATGAACGCGGTTGGGTGGGCAGCTCGCTTGTCTGGGCAGCTCGCTTATCAAGTACGTTAAACTAACTAGAGTATAAAGTCGAACAAATTATCGACCATAGAGTAAGGAACGAGACTTGAGAATTCCTGATTAAATAGAAAAACTACGGATATGAAGAAAATATATGGGAACCTATTACGAACCTCTAGAACTCCCGGCAACTCCTTGGGGATTACCGGAAGTCGGCACCAACGAACCCGAATCCAATAAACTAAACTCAGGCAACAAGGACGGAGACAAGACCACGTCGGGATAAACCGTATCCTATTCCCCGATAAAATCCGTAGGAAGACGGTCGGAACCAGCAGAAGGAGGACGCACCCCCTCTTGTCGACGCTGCTCCGCTACCGCCTCCTCCCTTTCGACACGTTCTAACTCCTCCACACTATCGATACCACGACGCACTGCACGCATCATCTTTTCGAACCACATCTTCTTCTGCTTTCGAAGACGCAACACCTTCTCCTCCGCAGCTTGAAGCTCATCCTCTAACTTCTGATGCTGAGTGGCGATATTCCGAAGCTCGGCCGCCCCAACACCAAGAACGTCGCAACGAGAGCGACATAAGCGAACGCATTCGGCACAACGAGAGGAATCCGAAAGGGATACTTCACAAGAAGAGTAACCCTTCCCCTCGCAATAAGAACAAGTCGGCATGACGGAAGAATTTTGAAGGATAGCCGAGAGCAAAGAATTCTTGGCCACAGTCTTTTTCGCAGGACGAGCTTCAGACGAAGATACGGCCTTTCTTTTTTGAACACGGCCTGACATCGTGTCAGTACGATTATAAACGAACCAAACTTGACGAACCCCAACCTGGGCCACGACCACTTACTTATAGGTCTACGGGACTAGACCTTTGAGAGGGAGAGCCGATGTTACGACCCAACATGCATGACCAAGAACAAGGCCTGCCCCGCAGGCTCGCGGCGGCTACAGCGCACCATATATGCAGAAGACAAGGAACACTAGGCACCCTCTCACGGAACGGAAGAACTATGGACAAGTCACGTGATGATAAGAGATAAGGGATAAGGATAAGGATATGTTGGATATGAGTTATCCAAGCGATCCTTGGATAACCAGGATATGAGCTATCCAACATATCCAAACAAGGACTGTGGAGGCAATACTACTGTATTGGATCTGATGATGATGATGGGAAAAGCTGAGCGCTGGCTGGGCTGGATATCTGGGCAAGGTGTAGGTGGGGCAGCTCCGAGATGTGAAGGAGCTGCCTCACGTGACCCACCTGCACCTGCCACAGAATAGGACTACCAGAACATAGCAGCTAGGACATGGAGATCGAACTCAAAGAAGGAATGCAACTAAAGTTCTACCTACTGTACCCTATAAACCAACAAGAGCAGGAAGAGCTCAACGAATACATCGACGAAAAGCTTACAAAAGGGCACATCAGACCCTTATTATTACCCGCTAGAGCACTACTCTTCTTCGTCCCGAAGAAGGGGAAGAAGAACTTAAGACCTATAGTCGATTATAGAGGACTCAACGTAATTACTAAAAAGAATTACTACCCCCTACCCCTTATTACAGAGCTCAGAGATCTATTATACGGAGCCCAATGGTTCACTAAGATAGATCTCAAGAAAGCATTTGTTGGGCAGCGATTATCAGGCAGGGGGTCAATGGGATGTATTGATGAGTATGAAGAACGAGTGGCTATGGGAATATCCCGACTATCTATATAGTGAGTGGAAGACCCTTTATACTGGCATATCCTTGGCAAACTTAGTCATGCTTGTGTAAGACCATATTGTTTCATAGGCATAGTGTGACAATCGTTGTAACGAGTGTACTGGGATGGGCCTGACAAATGCCTCTTGAGTTTCTGGAAGCAGTGATTCTTCGTTTTTGTTCCAAGAGTCCACGGTCTGGGGGTTTCGTTTCAGCGAATTTTCCATCCCGACATCAAAGCTTGTTGTATCAGCTCTCGCTCAACGTCAACGTTGAGCTTCGGCCAAACGCAGCCTGTTGAAGGGTGCTAGATCCTAAAGACAGGATCACAAGACATGTGGCCCTCGATAGCGGGGTACATTGTCTTCAAAATTTGCCCGATGTATTGACCTCTTTCATCAACGAAGCCTTCTTGATTCGGCGTTCCCTCGACGAGGCCAGGGAACTTAGGTCCGTCCGACTTGAGAACCTGTTCCAAGGAGTTAACGATTTTGGAATTGCATTCCTCGCGATGCTCTTTGGATGCTGCTTCGTGTATACAGATTTTGTCCTTTGAGTCGGCGTCTAGAAACTTGAGAAGGTGGCCTCTTGTGGCCGAAATGCCTGCTCGGCGAAATTCCTTTACGTCGTCTGGTTTCGTCAGGCCACGCCACTTCTTCCCACTCTCCAGCATTGGATAAGGCGCAATACTCACCTAGAATTTCCGGGTAAATTTTCACCCACACAGACAGCACATTTGCTTCATCGTTGCTAAGATCTGAATACCCGAGGGCGAGTCTGGCAATCGTCTCGTGGTAGATTTCCGTGACGCCGACCTTTCTGGCAATGCAGGCGGTCCAGACAACATTGGCCTCGGACTCAGGCCTTTCCCTTTCGTGCTGCTGGGGTAACCAATTCTCAACAATCTTTCGCGTCACACAGTTCCTAAGCTCATACGTCTCTGCGTGCTCCATTAAGTCCTTGAACTCCTCAATGGAGATCTTTGGTGGAAGAATGTCTTTGCGGCCATGCGCAATTGCGAAGAGAATGAACATTGGCCCGACATTAGCTTTCTTTAGCAACATGGCGCCTCCGTCGTTTGTCAGGTTTGACTTGTCTTTCATCTTTTTGGCCAAAGGTTTTGAGGCTTGCTTTATGATCTCGAGGTTGACAACGATTTCCAAGTGCGATCTCCACTCCCATGTCGTCCAGGAATATAATTTCTGTGATGACTCGGAGCTTTTATAATGGGGGGTTTTGTTCAATACAGGGCTCCAACGTGTGTCCGTTCCCCATGGAACGGGACGAGGGGAAGGGAACTCATTTGCAAAGATGAAACGGAAATTGCCAGAATCACCATCGCCAGTCTTAGTGATCATCTGGATAGGATGGGCTTCGTGTAATTTTTCTTGGAGTTTCTCCCAAATCTATCTTTTAGACATTGTATCTGCCTTGGAAAGTGTGAGTAGGTCTACTCAATGGCTGTAGAAATCGTGGAAATCGTGCCGCACTTTCTCGTTTGTAAGCATTGGGCCCAGCACTTAGCAAAGCAAGAGGAAAAACAAGCCTCCAGCGCTTCCCCCCCTTCCTCTCTCTCTGGATCGTTGGACTTACAAGTGTAATACAGTAAGGCAGTCAATAATGCTAAGGAAAGGTGGTGCCAGAAGAAGAGCTTGCAGCATTGATCCAGTCTACGCTGGAGGAAGTGAACTGCTTTATATCAATCTCGTGAAAGCAGTGACAGAGAGAATACTGAAGCCATTTGCATTTGCACCTGGCAGCTTTTCTGTTTGCTGAACAGATGCCCATGCTACTTTCTCTCCTTTGAGGTTCAGTTGATTGCCCCCTGGTGGTCAAGAGGCTCAACGTTCACTGGGCTTACCATAACAGTGACAAAGACACTACATGAGTGCAGACCCTCCACCTCCACCGCAAACAAAATGATTTCAGGATGCGGGATTTGTCAACACAAAGAACAAGCATTGAACAGAAATGATTTTGTTTGAACAAAAGACGCAGTTCAGCTTCCACTGTCCAACTTCTTAGTTATGCTACCTCTGTGCCTCTTCAGGCATTATTTCCATCGCATCGAGCCACTCCATTGTAAACGCCGTCACAATCTTTGTCCAGTCCCTTACAGTCGGCATATCAAGGTGCTCCCCATCATCCTCCATTTTATGCCATACGTCAGGGAAGGGCGAGGGAATCATGTGCAGAATGTTGACGCCCTTCATCATGAAGGGGACGTGGTCGTCACCGATGCCGCCGCGTCCAAACATTTGGTTCATCTTGTTAATATCGTAAAGGAACGGCATCTTGGGCTTGCTCTCGAGCAAGTTGAGGTGACGCATGCGCTTCTCAATGTCGGCCATGGCCTTGTAGGCCCAGTGGGTTGACTGGAAGTAGGAAGGGACCTTGGGCTCTGCTGAGCCGAGAAGGTCGAGCAGCACGAACATGCTGATCTGCTCGAGGGGGTTCTTGTAATGAGACATGGCGGGGTTGAAGGTGTTTTCCCATTCAAGAGCCAAAGACCTGCAGCATGATGTTAGTGCGATGAGCCTCACATCGTGTCAAACTTCAACTGACCTTGCGCCATAAAGTGAGTCGGTATCTGTCCAGGACTTGAAGGCTTCCTCTCCATCGAGCAGCAAAATCTGCAGACCCATATCTTGGGGTACCGTGCCACCATTCTCCCCAAGGGCAACCATCTCATCGTACATCTGGGTCATCATCGGATCCAGCGTCTTCGCAACGTGAAGCAGCATAGCGCACGGGGCAGCGCTGTCAGTCGCGCCGATGAAGCCCTTGGGTTCAATCTTGCTGTCGTAATGCCCCACTAGGGTGAGATAATTAGCCTGGCCAGGCTTCGTCCATGGTGGTTCGCGCCTGATGATGAGATTCTGGAACGGAATATCGCTATTGCCAGTGGCGGGGGTCTTGTCTGTTGAGTTTTGCCATTGGATATTCCACTTTGGTAGCGTCTTGGTGAAAAAGTCGACGAAATGCTGTTGAGTCTTGAGCTGCCCATCCGTGCCGGGCACCCGGGGGATGAGAATGGGGGCCAGTAACGGGCCGTTGTGAATGTCGAAGTCGGCCTCAGATACCGTGACATTCTTGAGCACGGCTGCTGAGAGCGGCGTGTAGGCGCATACTGATGCCGCGAAAAGGAGATGAAGGAACGCGATCCAGAGTCCGCGGACATGATGGCCTCTCACGAGAGGGAGGCCGGCGAGGGCCATGGCGGGCTGTGACGAATGACAGCAGGGAGGGCGCAATAGGACCCTGTTCTCATGAACTCATGCTGTGTTCGCGGGCCGGAATCGATGGCGGCGCGTCGCTTCGTCGTCGTTATTGTCGGGAATAGGAGAGAGGCGATATTCGATGAGTTCGCGACGGAGCTCCGGGATTTGATGCGAAGTTCGTGGTTGAGTTTCCGAAGAGGTGTCAACTTTTGGACGTCTTCCGACCGAGGGATGGACCGGCCGCAACGGGTTAGAGCGAAACTGTCCTGCAACATGGAGCTGCAGTCCCCCTGTGGCTCTGTTTTAAAATAGCGGGTTTTTGAGTGCATTAGGTAAGACACGCAGGGACCCGTTTCTCCGCACGGCCCGTGGGTGCACGTTCCACCGCGACGACTTCACTTCACTCTTCATCTCACATCATCCCTTTCACTCATCCCTTGCCTCACTCATATTGTGCATCTCGCTCATCACTAGCACTGCTCTTTTCACTCGGCCTAGTCATGCTCCAAGTGATGACTAGGACTCAGTCTCTTCGAGTGGAAAACGTGTCGATAATCCTCATGGTGGAAGACTAACATCAGCAGTCCTACATTCAACCTCTTATTTCTCACTATTCTTACGCTCGTCTCATCTAGATTCTAATACCCAATCGAAGAACCCCTATACCACGATATCTCCGTCTAAAATCTCGTCACCATGATTACAAATCTCTATCCATCTTCATTACTCTTCTTCATCTCCTATCATCTCACTCTGTTCCCAAGGCTCCAAAGACTTTCAAACACCAACAGGAGCCGTCATGAACAAGCGTTCCCTCTTCATCAGCACACTGCAGACCAGGACAAGTGCCCCAGCAGTAATGACCAAGATGTACGGCAGATTCAGAGCCTCGACAATAGCCTCGAGAACTTCCTGCTGCATCTGCGGCGGCAGCGTCGTGACAAAGTCCGTCCCGACACCGGCAATCGCAGCCTGGATCTGGTCCTCCGTGACAGTGTCCGGGAGGATCGCAGTCAGCCGCTTCTCAGCTCTGTTCAGGAACACAGCATTGCTGACTGCCAGAGCGATATTGATGCCACTCGTCTGCGCCAGGGCAATCAGAGAGGAAGCGACAGCAGCCTTGGGAGCTGGCACGCTGGCCTGGGCAATCGAGAAGCCCGCTTGTGTGAAAGTCCCCACGCCGGCGCCGAGCATGGCTGAGGCCCCGTAGATCCAGGCCGTGCTAGTGTCGGTCTTGACGACGTACATCAATGTGGAAGCAATGACACTAATGATACCGCCGACTGTGAACCATGGCATGTACAGCCCGAATTTCCCCGATGGATGCGACAGCATGCCTCCTTGCGTCAGAGTCACAGTGACCATCACCAGGATGAACGGCAACAGACGGACAGCCGCTTCAATTGCGCTGTCTCCCCTCGTGAACTGGAAGAAGATAGGAACGAAGTACACCGGCACGAAAATGGCGCAGCCCCCGGCGGCCGTGACGCAGAACATGAGGATGATGGTCCGGTAGTATTTCCGAGAGGTAATGAGCTCGACTGGAAAGATGCGTCGTTTCTTGGTTGTGCCGATGCAGTACGCTTGCTGGATGCCGAAGACGATGAACAGGACGCCTGCGACGACGAAGAGGGCGATTTCGGAGCCCGAGTCCCATTCGTATAAGACGCCGCCGAAGGAGATGCCCATGGTGAAGCAGACGATGGCGCCTAGCATCAGCGGAGCACCGATCCAGTCGACTTCAACCAGCCGCTGTAGGATGGTCGCGCCGGGCTGAGGATCAGGGGACGGGAGCATGAACAGATACACGGGTGCAGCTAGGCCGCCGATGGGGAGGTTGATGTAGAAAGCCCAGCTGTCGGTCGTCAGCACTGAGGAGGCTATCGATCAATGTGAAGGAAAACTTACCGCCACGTCGCATCCGAGTCAGCAAAGGCACCTCCTACCACTGGCCCAAGCAACGTCCCAAGCCCCCACGTAATCCCGATGCTAGCAAGATACGCAGGCCTCTCCTGAATCGTCGTCGTAGCGGCGATGAGGACCATGACACCGAGATACATACCAACGCCACCGAGACCGCACAAGGCTCTTCCGACGATAAGGCTGTTCATGTTCGGCGCTGCACCGCAGAGCGCGCTGCCCGCCTCGAACACGGCGACACTAGCGATGTAAAGCCATTTGGGCTTGAGATGTGAATATAGCTGGCCATAAAACAGGTTGACGGCCGTGGCCGCCATGATGAAAGCGACGGCAAGCCACGCAATGTCCTTGATAGAGTCGAATTGCAGCACGATCTGCGGCTGCACGTCGGCGACGACGGTGTTGTCTAGGGCGAAGAGGAAGGTTGAGGAGAGGATGGCGAAGACGATAAGGTACCACTTGATTCCGGTGACGGTACGAACGGGCTCGACAACGACGGCATCTTTGCCTCGCTCTGTGTCGGTGTTGTCCCCTGAGATAGGGCCCTTGGTGGAGGAGGAGTCGGGCTCGACCTTCTCCAAGGGGCCTCCTGTTTGGGGCTGGGTCTCAGTCTTGGCCGTCATGTTATTGAGGGTTCTCGTCTGAAAGGTCTGGGTGCGTAGCCTTCAAGCGCGAGATATCATAAACTCACTCATTGTAGCCCTGATTCACGACTGCTCAAATACCTCCTCTACTGTCCCCCTCTCAGGCTCATATGCCAGCAAGCCATAAGCTGAACTCGAGCTGCCTAGGCCAATGGCCTCAGTAATCTCGTAAGTCGCATATTAGAGTCAGCGTATAAGCTCTGCATACAGCTGCAGCACATCAAAGCTGTCTCTTGGAGTCAGCGAGCTTACCAGCTTACCCGCCAAGACTGTCTGGCATCAAGTCGCAGGCAGCAGCAAAGACAGCCCAGCTCGAAAACAATCCGTTTGATTCCTGCTATACGCGTCTTTGAGATTGCGGTCCATGCCGCTAGGAAAACATCTCAGCTTACACAAAGGCGCGCGGATAGTCGGTCCGTAAGACAACTTCTTTGAACCGGTACCAACTCTCACCGCAACCTCACCAACTTTTGGACATTGACGAAGGATGCATACAAAGCTCACCATACGGGCCATGCATGAGGGTGGTCCAAAGTCCCGGGTTTCTGGCAATTCCCAATCTCACCACCGTCACTCGCACCGCCGTCTGATTGGCCGTCTGCTGACGTGACACGATGACCGGTCAAGCAGGTGATGTTTTTGATAAGCTTCCGCGAGCCCAAGCTGACGGGTTGCAGGCCATGAGCGCCACGGTCGTTGACTTGAAAGATACTGAGCATGATTTGACGTATCAGACGCGCTTCCGTAGAGGTCTCGACGTCCCGAAGGCACGTATGTGAGGCTTCTTGATGTCGTGGCCCAATGAGAGAATTGCGCTCGTTGAGGCTGAGATAAGCTTGTCAGCAGCCAGTTCACGAACAGCATGTAAGGAGCGCTAAGATAGAGACGTATAAATCATGATGCAGGTGAAGTTCTATTATTAGCTTTGACTTTCTATTGCCCTTTTAGGAATGAACTCGGCTTTTCTCAGCGGTTCTAGAGGCTTACAGCCTTTGTGTCACTTGCCATCCCTGTCTCCCTATGCAATAGAAGCCAATCATTCCGTTCCTCAAGCCTTTTTGATCTGCAAACATCCATTTTCCTATCCCCAGAGTTCGCAAGCCATTCAGTTACTCATCGTCCTCGGACTTGAAGACCACCTCGAAATTCTTAGCTGCCACCTGCTTGCCATCATGGACGACAGTGAAGTCCACGCTCTTTCCGGAGCAGGTCATCTCCACATCGTAAGTGATCTTGGCGAACACTTTGCCCATGGGATTGGTGAAGCTAGGAAGGGATGCGAAGTTCATCTTCTTCTTCCAAGTAATGGTGCACAGCTCATTGACGCGGTGGTCCAATCTCTTCGGAGGGGGCCACGCCTCGCTGGAATAGATCGTTCTGTCGACCTGGCTGGGGACTGACTCCCAAAGACGGTAGTACGACTTTGTGACTGGATCAGCGGACGAGACATTGGTTCCCTATCAAAATTGTCAGAGAACTCCTTGCATAGAAACAGGGCGGTAACATTGAACGTACCCGCTCAAGAAACCACTCCATGCAGGTTTTTTTTTTTTGGTTTTGTTTTTGTTCTATTTAACGCCGTAGCGGCAAAGGCGCAGCCGCCCTTGCGGCAGACCTCCCGAAGGGTATATGGCGTGGAGGGCCGTAGGCTCGAGCTATATACTCTATAGTACACGCCTTTTCCTAACGTCCTCCAAATCTTGCCCGTGGGCCACTGTCTGTTCTATCCGTCCCTAGTTCCCGCTGGTTCCCTAGTTCCGTTGTTACCGTCTGTCCCTCTAGGAGGAGAAATTCGTAAGTCGGGCCTAGGTCAAGACCTAGTCCTTAGTACCGCGGGCAGATCTTCTGAAAGAAGTCTGTCACGCGGAGAAAGGCCTGGAAGCCAATAGGATCCGTGATTAACCCCTTATAGTACCGCTCAAGAGATCCTATAGGTCCTATAGGATCGAGTGGGCTAGAAGGGTGGAGGGTAGGCCACTGTTGCCTCCTCACTAGGGTCTTTTGGCAGTAGACTAGATGGTCTACCGCCTTTGCCTCCCCGCAGGAGCAGGTAAGTAGTGCTTCTGTATGGTTAAAGCGTTGGTGGTATTGTTCGAAGTCTCCATGGCCTGATCGGGCTGCTAGGAGATGATGAAGGATAGCCTGCGGCAGGGCTAGTTCGGGAGCGCAAGCGAGGGTGGCCTTGAGTCCTAGCTGGGTATAGCAGGATGTTGCCTCCCGTTTCCACCATTTTCTGTATTGGCGACGTATACGCTCCTTAGCAAGCCGTTTGATCCCTGAAAGAGTTGCTAGCTGTCCCCTTGGGACTAGTAGGGTTGTGCCCTCCTTAGCTAGGCTGTCTGCTTCTTCGTTTCCTTTAATACCTTGGTGCCCAGGAGACCAATGGGTTCGTATATCGTGTATCCTGCCTACCTCCTGGATCTCAAGCACTCCATGCAGGTATCGACCTTCCATTCGAGCTCATCTTCGCACCAATACCTTTCGCTCTCTTTATGTTCCTCGGGATCATAATCCATCGTGCAACAGGTACCGTAGCTCATGCGAGAGACTCTGGACTCGATCTCGACTGCGAGACCAGGTGCGAGGTTGCGGCGCGTCAGTCCGTGAATGGTGGCGCCCCGACAGATCGCGGTCCACCTGATTCAGGTTAGCATCCGCTAAGAAGATCTGAGAAAGAAACCTACGGCTTGGCGCCATGGCCCTCAAGAATCTCGATGCTGTTTCCAACTTCTTCCTTGAGGCGGCTTCGTAGATACGGGCATCTGCCGAAACCCCCGACAAGAATGATTTGCTTTCACACCCAATGTTAGTCGTTTGCCATTGATCGGAGGCAGTGCTTCTCACCTTGGGCTTTGACTCCGTCTTGATCATAACAGCTTCGATCTGCTTCTCGACCAGTGAGATGGTCTGGTTGACGATGGGGTCAAAGACCTTGAGCAGGTCCTCCTGATCAAGGATGAGGTGGCGCTTGCGCTTCATGCCTCGCTGTTGAGTTCCAGGAACGCGACACTCGGGGGGAAGATTGATGTGCCAGTCGTCGTCCTGGTTCTTGAAGTAGGGCTTGATGCAATGCTCCCAATCGTCATTCAAAAGCTTCCTGACCTCGTCTTTGGGAATGTTGTTCCAAGCTTGGGGAGTAACCTTCTCCTGAAGCATGTTGACAAATGCTTCATCAAGGAAGACGCCGCCACAGAGGTCGCCGTCACTTTGAACTGCCTCTCGAACGATGAAGGGATCCAAGCTCAGGATCTCATAGGTGATGAGGTCGACGGTACCGCCACCAGCATCACACACAACGATGTGATTTCCAACCTGGGAAGTAACTAGTCAGTGACACATCGCTCGAAATTTGAACAGTTCACAGACCTGGGCGGTGGGCATCTTCGACAAGTCCTTCATTGTAGCTAGAGCCGCCGCTTCGGGCTCCGAGATGAAGGACAAGCTCGTCTCTCCAGCTGGACGGGGCTTCAGCAAGCCAGCATCTTCGGCAGCTCTGCGCATTCTGGCTTTGGCGTAATCCGGCCAAATTGCCGGAAGAGTGATAACGACGTGAAATCGACACATCTTAACCATGGCATCGCCAACTGTGCTGACAATGCACTCTATGGTATGGTTCCATAAATTGCACTTATGATCTTGACCGGCTCTTTGTTCGCGCTCTTAGCCAGTCTTCTGGCGGTAGCAATCTGGCTAGAATCCTGGATGTTCTCGGGGAGGTCACGCTCGTCAACGAGCAAGAGCTTGAACCACTTCAATGGCTCCTGCTTTCCATCGTTGGGAATGGCATATCCCCAAGAAGTGTTACCGCGTTTTCCTCGGAAAAGAATTGACGAGGGCACTTTTTCTTTGTCGGAGTTGAGGTTGATCTTGGACTCCCAGCGGCTGATGACCTCGATGTTGTCGGGCTGACCGGAGTACGCCCAGCTGACGCCAGATAAGCTTTCGAGTAATTAGCAGATAGTCCATGAAGGTTAAGGAGGGGGAAAAATAGTGGTTTGGTATTCTTACGTCGTGCCAAAGTCTATGCCGATGATGATGGCCTTTTCATCTTCTTCGGAGATTCGAGTTCTCACCATGGTGGGCTGTACTTTCCCGCCGAAAGCTTCTGTATATTGGTATCCTGGATGAACTTCGTCAGTGTAGGAAAAAAAGATGATGAAAATGGGGGGAAACGGTGGTGAGCTCCTGCGGAGATATGGGAATGATGAAAAAAGAGGAAAGAGAATGAGTGACAATTCCAAGCGAGGTGAAAGAAAATTCAGAGAGGAACACGTACTACAAACTTTGATGAGATTGGTGAGAATGGTAAGTTGAAGCAAGAGAAGTTTGAGAAGTGTGTGATGAGAGAGAGCGGTGAGATGTTGAGCTGCGAAGGTGAAGTAGATATTTCCCCCAGGAGTACGGCCAAGAGAAATTAGTGCACCGTGGCTACCTCGCCTCACTTAGGTCACAGGGCAATTAAAAAAGGAAGGCACCTGGCTTCAAAAGCAAAGGAAGGAACTTTCCGCGGTAAGCCATGCCCTCATGAAAGAAGATTAGAAAATTGTATGTTGGCAAGCTCAAAATTTCTACCAAAGGTCTGAGAGAAAGCAGGCTAAGCAGGAAAGCGCGCCTACCTCACTGTGCCAATTGAAGGAGGAAGGCGCAAAATTTCCCCTACTTCACCTTAGTACCCGTTCTTACCTCTACCTCAGCTTATACAATATTCTCTCATTGACTCTGTGCCTTTCTCATACAGCAACCCTCCTACAACTCAAACAAGCTCGCTCATTTGCGCGAAGATTCCTCACATCGCCGAGAGATAAACCAAGTTGCTCGGCCGAATCATGACTGAGCCTCCACAGGTAAGCTGCATCAAACACGCAGACTTCTGTAAATGGTTTCTCTTAGATTCTAATTTTCATCCAGGAAAGTTCTATGATCATGGAGGACACTAAAGCAGGCTCTCCCACGAGCATGCCAGAAGATGACACAGGTGAAGCGAAGACTTCGCCATCAGCGGACATCGACATTCCCCACGAGCAGATGGTCATATCCTCCCAGGTGAATCAAGCGCCCTCCCTCCCGCGTCTCAATCTTTTTCGAAGAGTACGCAAAAGCTTTTTCAGCGAGAACCTGGAAGTCTTCCACTGGGAGAAACAGAATGTTCGGCTCAGCGGTTCGGTGGCTATCCACCAAAAGCACACCTTCTTTGTCATGGGCAAGGCAAAGGTTGCACTCCAAGCACAGCGCATTAGGAACCTTCAAGAACGCCTCCAGGAACGTGAGAAAACATTAAACGAGCACGAGAAAGACGTGAAATGTCTCAAGGAGACCCTAGTCAAGACAACAGACGAAGCATCCGATACGGAAGTGAAGCTAGCGTTGGCGCTTCGAGAGGCCGCCGATGCTAAGTTTAAGCTGGCCGAGAAAGAGTCGGATCATCGAGATACCACGAACAATCTCAAGCATCATAACGAAGCGCTTGCGGCGCAGATTACGAGTTACGAGTCCCGAATCGTGGAACTTGAGGTCGCGAAATCAAATACTCAGCCATTTGCCAATTCGAGAAAGGTCTCGGACGACTCGATCCAGTCCGCGTGGGCAAGACTGAAATACACCATCAATAACATTGCTTCCAACATTCTCATTGCCTGCCCTACGCAGGAAGATCTCGAGGACACACGCGGCATTGATAATTCCTGCGTCCTTAGTTCTATCCACCCCGAACATATCAAACAGCTACAGGATGAGGACATGCGGCCTTTCGTTATCCAACATTACATCTGGAAAGCCGTCATTGGAAGAGTCTTTGAGCCTGGCCCGCGCGGCCACTTTGGAAAGAGCTGGGGCGGCACCGTCGGAATGTGCTTCATGACTTGCTTCAAAAGATTTCTGAGTAAGCATCAATACCATGCCACCTCCCAAAGGATGAACACTGTGACTAACAACTGCGAATGACAGTGGTATGCCGCGAGAAGGGAAGAGAACCTAATGACCTTCTACATTGGGAAGCCGAGACCGGACAAATGATCGAGCAGATGATTGGCGTCGATGAAACAGAGTTGCTAGAAGTCATCTCCAAAGAGTTCACGGCCTTCTCCAAATTCATTCCCAAGGCCAGCTCCAACTACCAAGCCAAGTGTGAAAAGCTTCGCAAAGGGCTCCGCAAGATATTCGACGAAGCTTTGCAGCTCCATGCTATTACGGGCTGGACCCGATTAGTGGATCCGGGCTAGCGCCCGGATATTCTACCACATTTAACCGTACGGACCCCTTTATATTTATAATCTACTGTTACGGCCAGCTAGTCGTAGTGAGGTATGTTTGCAGAAGTTGAGGCTGCGGAACTAATAATAGTATCGTAGGCAGGGATAGCTTTAGGGAAGCTATATTGTCGGAACGGCAAGGCTGATAAGGAGCAATGGGCAGGTATCGTGGGCTGGCTGGCGCCTGCCCTGGGCGAAGTGGGACAACCGGCTTAGTCATCACGGCCGGTTAAGGTGGGACAACCACCCAGGCCGTCCCCACCTACTTCGATCGGCCCCTGCCCACAATGTAAATAGGAAGAAGAACAACAACAGCAATTATCACGGACATCGACGTGATTATTGCCGAAGATACACCCTCATGAGGAAATGTATCACGCCTGTGATACCAACATCAAGAGATATCGGAACATTACTTGGCCAAACATAAAAGATGGACAGTTCTCCTAAAACCACAGACAATACTTCGAATCATCGGCAAGACTTATACCACGGTCTATTTATGTACTTTATTTCACTTACACGGCATCGGTAAGAAGAAGGAAAAACAACCTCCCTCAAAGACACAATGCCGGCGAAGTTCCACTTTGCGTTAGCTCATGCTTGCTGGATGCCGCGGGCTTCAACACCAGATAAAACTAGAATTTACCGATAAGACTTATCGGGATTAGTTCACGCCTTTGGAGGGTGTTCATGCGCCTTCATTGGGTTTGTTTTGCTTGGTGGAGAAAATCGTGGATGGTTGCTGAAGCGGGCGGTCTGCGCGGCCTCGGCGCTAGGGTACAGAGTGCACAAACTTTCGGCAACTTTTCATCAGGAAGCACAATAGCTCAGGGGTAGAGCGCTGGGCTCATAACCCAGAGGTCCCTGGATCGAAACCAGGTTGTGCTATTTATTTTGCATTTTTGCCTATTTTAATTCTCCTTCCACTCTTTCTGTTCATTTTCCATGATAATCAACCCATTTAGGTGCAATTTTATACGAGTTTTGGAGATACTGCAAACTTTCCACCTCTGCACAGCCAGTGCAGAGCACCATGCCACACACTTTTCCTCCAAGTCTATCGCGCACCCTCTCACCCTCCATCCTATCCCGGGTAACCACCATAAAAATTACAGGTCCAACGGCCCGGCTCATGTCTCAAAAGCCGATAATCGGAACAGGTCCCGGTACTGAAGCCGCTCCACCTCACCAATAACCCCCCCCCCCCACGCCGAGTCGTTGCCGGCCGAACAAGCTTACTTGAGTCTTAGTTGGCGTAGTCGACGATGATAGGACACCGCCCCGGCCTCGCGCCATCCAATGGAGTGCTTATCTCCGCGACAATCCCCCGGAATCGAGTCTCGGTAAATGCTTTAAGCGACCATGAGTTGCGTCATAGACGAGGTTCCGAATTGCCATTTGGTGAGTTGTCGGAAACCTCTTCTTTCATCACTACTACGTCGTTGGAGAACATGGAGTTTACGACTTGAATTAACTTTGTACTCAGAGAATAGGGTCCTGGTGGTTTATCGAGACTTGAGAAACAGCGACTCTCGAGATTGCCAACTCACCGCAATGACTTCATCATTTCTAATCAACTAGCCCCAACGGAGTCCCGCACGCTAAGAAGCGTCTCGCTAACAAGCGGATAAACAATATCTGGAAATTCTTGACTTCATTAAAGTACTCTTTCGCATGCCTACTTCAACTTGAAGGGGAAAGAGAGGTAATCGGATCACACTTGGAGAGTCAATACAGAGGGGAACCGATGTTGGAGAAGCGAAACTCTGCTGAACGCAGCAGAGGTGACACGGACGCCAGCAACAAGGACATGGGCTCAACGCCCACAGGCGCAGGCGCAACGGCAGTGCCCGGCGAGGCGGCGGTGGTGGCTGCGGAAGGAAAAGAAGTTTCCATGCCGCAGGAGGTAATACGGAATTCAGCCCTGAACTCTGCCCGGGATGGCGGCTTTCACGACGACGAGAAGCGGTTATCCGCGGGCGGAGGTAATGAGACGAGGTCGCCTTCACCGTCACCTTCGAATTCGGACTGCGAATCGCATCGAGATGCCGGCAAGAAAGATGGGCGCAAAGGGATTATTGGCGCGACGGTGGGATTTCTTACCTGGACGCCAAGGAAGATGCGATATGATCCCAGGAATCCTCCCCAATTCACGCTCGGTCTCAACTTCTTGTTCGCAGTTGTAAGTTACCTTTAATCACACTCACGATGGAATGAGATGCTGACCGAAATAGGCTGCGACATTCACCGTCGCCAATCTCTACTACAACCAACCAGTCCTCAATAGGATCGCAGAGACGTTCAATGTCAGCTTCGAGAGGGCATCATCGGTAGCGACGCTGATGCAGGCCGGGTACGCAGCGGGGTTGCTCTTCATCTGCCCTCTGGGCGACATGCTTCGACGACGGCCGTTCATCTTGGCCCTTATCTGGGTGACAGCCATGCTGGTGAGCCACCCAACACAAAGACTTCTTACGAATCACATCATCCTAACACACCCCAGTGGCTCGGCCTATGCCTAACAAACTCCTTCCAAGCCTTCCTAGGCCTGTCCTTCATCGTCGGCGCCACCACAGTAACACCACAACTCATGCTCCCCTTGGTAGCAGACATGGCTCCCCCCGAACGAAAAGCAAGCTCCCTCTCCATAACAACATCAGGCCTAATGCTCGGCATGCTCATCGCACGTCTTCTCTCGGGTATCGTGGCAAACTACACATCCTGGCGCAACATCTACTGGTTCTCCTTTGGCGCGCAGAATTTGTTGTTGGTCCTCCTCTTCTTCTTCGTACCGGATTACCCGTCGACGAACCCGGATGGGCTGAACTACTTCCGCGCCCTGTGGACTATCGTGACGATGTTGTTTACGGAGCCGATATTGGTGCAGGCTTGTCTGATTGGGTTCTTTATCAGTTGTATCTTTACGTCTTTCTGGACGACGTTGACGTTTCTGCTGGCTTCGCCGCCGTATGAGTACCCGTCTATTACGATCGGGTTGTTTTCGCTGATTGGGATCGCGGCGATTTGTGGTGGGCCGGTGTATGGGCGGTTGATCATGGATCGATATGTGCCGTGGCTGTCTTCTGTGCTTGGACAGACTGTTATCTTGATCGGGTGTATCATTGGTGCCTTCACGGGTACCTTTACCGTTGCTGGGCCCGTGATCCAGGCTATTTGCATCGATATGGGTATTCAGACTGCGCAGACTGCGAACCGGACGGCCATTTATACCATCAACCCCAAGGCTAGGAACCGGGTTAACACGGCGTACATGGTTTGCGTGTTCTGTGGGCAGCTGACCGGTACGGCGGTGGGTAACAGGCTATATGCGCAAGGCGGGTGGAAGTACAGCGCGGGCACCTCGAGTACGTATTTTTTTTCCCCGGCCTCGTTGTTGCTGTGGTTTTCTAACATCTCTCAGTCGGATTCATCGGGTTATCGTTGATCCTCACCATGCTCAAGGGTCCACGGGAGAAGAGCTGGATTGGATGGAACGGCGGCTTCAAGCTGCGGAAAGACGCACCGAAGCCACAGCCGGCCTCACCCGAAGAAGCACAGGGGCCGGTGGAGGAGCCAGTGGAGAAGAAGACGGATATCGGCGCCGGTGGTGAGGAGAATCGGCGGTGACAGGGCCGATAGTGGATGGATAAACCGGGGGTTGAGGTAACTCGGTGGTTGGGCCGTGCCGAGCTGCCGGAACAGGCGTCCCATGGTTCCGGGAGAAGCTAACTGTTTTAGATTAGCGAAAGACAACCGTGATCCGTGGTTAATCGAAACTTGATGTGTTTACGAAGTGCTCAAATGACTTGAAACTAAGATGAAGAGGGTTACTCTGAAAGTTGAAGGAGAAAAGACGCAGCTGTTTGGGGTAACAAACGGTGGAAGTCTCCAGGCTTCATACCAACCTAATGTTGCCCGGCAACCACTACAGCGAGACCCCGGACAGAAGACTCGCCAAGGATGCCCGCCAAGACCCATAATGAGGCCGTCTGGGGGAATTGAATGGTGGCTGAGGCGAGGCAAACTTTAGCGATGCATGTCACTGGACCAGGGGGCCACGGGGGGCAACAATCACGACACTTTGAGGGACCTTAGCGAGGGGGCCGCCGTTGAAGGATGGCTCCGGGTGCTGTAGCCTGTGGCCCCGTAGCCTGAAGCCTCAGCATCAGCGGCACAGCGGCGAACGCCCCGCGATTGAGGCCCACCAAAATCACCAACCACCCGACTGCGACCATCCGCCAAGATCGGCAAGGCAACCTGGCCGGCGGGAAAGAGAGAAAAAACATGTTCCTCATTGATGGGAGAGAGCAGGGGTGTGGTGGATGATTATCTCACTCACTTCCCTTCTCACACTCACTCTCACCGACTCTCACCTCATTCACCTACAGAATAAGCCTCACTCACCAAGGCAATTCACTCACGAATTCAATCTGCCAACACCGAACCTGGCCATGTCAAACACCGCCCAGCTCACTACAATCCCCAAAACGCCCTGATGGCCCGCTACCAAGGCCTCGACTCGTCCGACCTATTCCGCTTCGACACTCTAGCCTTACGCGACGACATCCTCGTCTCGGACGGCAAATCCGTCTCCAAGGTCGAGTACGACGAGTATGTCGTCTTCAAGAAGGACAATGGCATTCCCTCGGGCGCCAAGACGGGACTAGAGGAGGATGAGGATATCAGTTTCCAGCTGCAGCATAAGGAGGAGGTGCCTGGTCATCAGACGCTTGATTTAGCATTTCGTCATGGGTACTCGGTTGATCATAATGTGAGTCCCCCTGATATGACCCAATTGAGGCTATTGTACAAGAAACTCACGTCTTAACAGGGAGCATTCACACAAGAGCCAGCGCGGCATCCAGAGTTGGTGCTAGATGGACGGGTTCGACGAGTGTGAGTTCACTCATATTCCCAGCTTCATCTCAGACAGAGGCTAACAGCAACAGTATCTGCTTCCGCCGCAACAAGTCCTTTGACCGTCGAGAAGACGGCATCACCATGACCCCAAAGGACCTCGACGCAATGGACCTACACCCCGCTACCCTCCAATACTCCCGCCGCGTCACAAACGAATCCCGCTTCTGGTCCCTCGACCGCTCCAAGCTGAGTGAGTACCTCAACTTCAACTCACCTCACCCACAAGGACGCCACACTGACATCCAGGCCAGGCCTCATCCTTTCCTTCTCCAAAAACCCAAGAACCCCCTACGACTTCCTCTCCCTAACCTACGACGTCCGCTCCCGCACCTCCTCCGTCCTCGTCCGCCAATCCTACCATCCGCGCCAGCACTCCCTCGAGAACCTAGACGAATACGACCAGCGCCTCGAGGCATGCCGCGCCCACTGGGCCCACCCCTTCATCACCCCCGTCGTCCTCCTCCAGGTGCAATTCATGCGCACCGAAGAGGCCGTCATGGAGAACATCAACCACGTCAAGGCCCTCGAGTGGCAGGTCAGCTCCATCGCCGGCTTCGAAGCGTTCGAAATGGAGCGCGAGAAGAGGTCGAAGCTCATAAGGAGGCTGACGTTTGCTTCTTCGACGGCGGCGGCGTCGCATAATGAGAAGACGCCGCAGATTGCGGGGCCGATGAGTATGGCGAATTTGATGAAGAGTGCGCATGATGTGCTCAAGGAGTCGATTAAGTTGCTCGATACGGTTCGCTGGATGGAGAGGGTGGTCAAGCTGATGCTGTCGGCCGGTGATGAGCTCGCGGAGCGCATGTCGACGGGGGAACTCAAGATCCGGCTGGATGATTTCCATATACGGCAGACGGATGCCGATCAGAGAGATGAGCAGGACCAGCAGGTTCAGCCTGACGAGCCGCCTACGGGGCCGCCGTCGCGGTCTTCTGCGAGTACAAGGAGGCGGTCCCTGCCAAAGGCTCCTGATCCATTGGCTGATCCGCTCGGTAACCATTGGCATGAGATTCGACAGTACCTCGAAGGATTACAACGGATGTGCATGGGTCTCGAGACGGATCGCCGCATGTCTGAGGCCCGATGCCGCGCTCAGATCGATATCGTAAGCATCATCTGCCGCCTGACCCCGTGTTTCCCAAAGCTAACACATGACCCAGATCTACAGTAAAATGGCCCAAGAAGACAACGTCCTCAACGCCCGCATGGCCGTCGCCTCCTCCCGCGACTCCTCCTCAATGAAAGCCCTCGCTGTAATAACAGCAGTCTTCCTCCCCGGCGAATTCCTCGGCACCCTCTTCGGCATGTCCATGTTCGACTGGCAAGCCTCGGGCGAAGACGCAGACAGCAGCGACAACGGAGACGGCACCTCCACGAACCCCAAAGATCCCATCCCCGTGCTAAGCCACCTCTTCTGGGTCTACTGGGCCACCGTGATCCCCTTAACGATTGGAATTCTGGTCGCGTGGCGCGCGTGGTGGGTGAACCAGGACCGGTACTTCCGAAGGCACCTGTCGCGGGAGTTGTCGGAGGAGCGGTATTGGACTGCTGATGGGAAGCCGAGGGATTTGGAGCATTCGTTTTGGTGGGATTTCTTGTACTTGTCTGCGAGGCGGGATGAGCGGCCCGCGCCGTCGGCGAGTGATTTATATGGGAGTAACACGCTTGAGCTGTCGCCGAGCATGTCACAAGACAAAGACGATATGAGGTCTCCGCGTGGGGATATGACTGTGCGGAGAGGTCAGATTTCGTTTTTGAGGTCGCAGAGTATCCGGCAACGGAACACTGTTGCGGTGTAAAGTTTGGTCCGAGTATGTTGTACGTGTAGTTATGATCCTTGATGCTGGGCGGCTTGTTTGCTTTCTTGCATGATTTTGGGGTGGTCTTCTGGGTATTTGACACTCGGAAGAGTATCTATTTGCATCATGATGGGTCATGTGGCTGGAGAGACTCCTGGCCGAGGAAGATATATAGATGAAATGAATGCCCATGATTGATGACGACAAAGAGGTCGATGATGACTACTCCCGATATCTCATGTGATGACTCGAGCATGCAGCAAGGCTAGGCAGCTACTGTCCATGGAACCTTTACCAAATCTCAACGTTCATTGGCCAAGCAAGGGAAGACAACGGATCGAGGGAGTTGGCATGATAGCTTCATGACGAGACGCCAGACAGCAGCAAGGGAAGTACCGAGTAGGTGGTCACATGAGAAAGAAACACAGACAATCATCACCAGGAACAAACAAGTGCAAATGATTCTTTGCTACATTGTGGAGATATCTAGACTAAGGTGCCCGCCCCCTCACGGTATAACCATGCCATGTCCTTATCTCCCCCAACATATGCAGTCTTCTTGATGAATGTCAATGTACCTCCCGAAATCCCAATCCATGTTGGGCAGTGAGAAATGTTGTTGAATAGAAAGGCAGACCTAGACAAGAGTCCAGGTCACACCGCTGACGCGGCCGCGGCCAAGGTCACCCAGGAGGGCCTTGAAGACGGCAGGGCTGACGTCAATGTCGTTCTCAGCGCAACCCATGCACTTGTCAGTCACCTTGACGTCGACAGACTTGCCCTCGGTCTGAATGCGGACAATCTTACCACAGAGGGGGTTTCCATTGGACTGGGAACCCATCTTGATGTGGGAGATGGCAACGATCATGGAGTTGTCGTTGTCAGTCCAGCCACAGGCGCCAAGACCAGGGTTGAAGAAGGTGATGTCGCCCTGGAAGGAACCGGGGCTGAGATCTTGACGAGCCATGACGGCAGGGGGCCTGGAACGAACCAGTGTTAGCATCTGCAGGAGAGTTAGGCAAGAAGAAAAAAGACAAGGCAACTTACTCAACGTCCTTGAAGACACGGCAGACGGTGAAGGAGGTGAGAGGGTCCGGAGCGCCATCCTTTCTGCCCAGGCGGGTAGAGCAACCGATGTGAGTCGCCTTCTCGGAGAGAAGCTGCTCTGCAGAAAAATGTTAGACAAACTCAAGGGAGGTGAGTAGGTGAAGTAAAAACATACCAGTGGTGCTGAAAGTCTCGTAGTAGTTCTCAACGGTGGTCTGGAAATTGTTCATATCCTTGAAGCTGAGCCAAAGCTTGACCGCCGAGGCAAGAGGGTTGGTGACCTGGACGCTGTCCTTGGCCACAGAGCTGAAGTAGGCAATGACCTCGCCAGCGCCATCACGCTGATGAGCAGGAGCACGGCCAATGTAGCCCTGAGCGGCGAGCGCAGTCACCCAGAGGTCGGCGTCCTGCACGAGCTTGTTGTCCCAAAGAATGGCAGGGACACCTGCCTCGGAACGAGCAGTGTTGAGCATGGAAAGGGCGCGGTTCTCGTCGCCACTGAGAAGGCCAGGAGCAGCGTGGACGATGCCGACGGCAGTGAGGCCGACTGAAACGCCAGTGAAGAGAGTCTTGACGCTGAGCATGTTGACTGTTGTGTGGGGAATGTGGGAGATGGAAAGTGAAGTGTATGTTATGTGTGTGTGTGTGTGTGTGTGTGAATTGAAGTGAATGTGAAGCCTGAAAGAGACAGTGTTGGATTGGAAGTTGAACTGAAATAGAAAAGACGCAGTCTTTGAAGTTGGGTATCAACGAAGAAGAGTGATGGAAGTGTGTGTGTGGGAAGAAGAAGAAGAAGAAGAGAGGGTTGTGGGTGGGAGAGTGAGGGGGTTTATATAAGGGTCGGAGGAGGGAGGGCTCGAGAAGCAGAAGGAGTCCAAAGTCTTGTACCTTCCGTTGAGCAAGCTTCTCGTCTGGAAGAGAATTCCAAGGCGTCCTGGCGGCAAGAACGATTCGGAAGGAATCAAGTTGGTTGCAGAATCGTCGGCCTCCTCTTGACCGGGCTATCCTTCCCATTCAGAGATGATATGATGGTGGCAGGTAACGGTGGGAGGCAGAAATTCCGAGATTCTCACGATGGTGGTGATACCTGAAGACTTGAACGCAGAAGTTACAGCCTTTCAGGGGAAACTGGCACATCTCCCCTGGGGCACACATGGAGGACTGGGTGGGCGACACAACATGGAGAGACCAATGATGTAGAGCTGACCTGACAGTACAGCAATCTAGATGAAGCACCATGACAAGCCATCTCGGAATCTTCCCCGAAGCACAACATCTGGGCCAGAAGAGAGGGTAAAGGCCAGAGTGGTGAACGACCATGGTCTCGGTTGCTGCTTGACAGCTACCTGAGCTGCAAGAACGTCCCTTCCTCCCTTGGCAACTTCTGAATATCATGGAATTGAAAGCACGTGATTCAAATCCGGTGGAATTTATCTGAAGTGTGGATTCTCAGTGAAGCCAAGCTTTGTGGGCAGGAGCATGGTCACACTGCGTATGCACTCAAGGTGATCCCCAGACGTGGTCAGCAACAAAGACACCCCGCACAAACGTGCAGTTTCTCATGCCTGTGCAACATATCAATTATACAGTAGTATCAGTAGATGCCAGCTTTACGTTCTGTGAGAGCTGTCATGAGCTGTGGTGATGGGCCCTTGCCTTAGACTCGGTGGCTCCCATCCACTGGAGCTCCCTACAAACACAACACCACCCAATCGCCGACTCTTTTTGGCTCTTGTAAAACGTGTCCCAGGCGATTTTCAATGATGATATCTCGCGATTGCAAAGTCGAATCACAACTATTTCGCACGGATTGTTGATGTGGCCTCTTCATCCTGCCTGTACGCACCTGCTTCCTCGAGCTGTGTGGGCCAGACTCACAGTGTAATCCACAACCGCACAGCCCTCCCTTTGTTGCCTAGCAAAACCGCCTCATTTTCAATAAGAAGAAGGAACGGTTGCGGAAGGGACGATTTGATTTAAGCAGGTGGGTGGAAGGTGTAGCACAGTGGCTGTTCTGTGAGTGCTGGATGGTTTGAGTGTGGAGGTTCGAGGATTTGGGCGGCCGTGTTGAGCAACCATGGACTCCTTACATGCAAAAGCGTTTGAAACAGCATTCAGCATAGCAATTATGTTGATGGGAGCAAACTATGTGATATGGCAGTCTGCACTGTTTGCTTGTGGTAGCGAGATCTCCGAGGAGAGACCACTGTCTGGGAAGGCTAGGCACGACGAAGATGTGGTTTTGGAACAGGCCCGTCTCTATTCAGGGTACACTTGAGTCCTTCTATGTTATTGCCAGATCGCATCTATCTGCAAGTTTCTATCTATTCAAACGATGTCTCTGATCTTGTCCCAAACATCGTTGTCAAGCTCTGGGAGTCTGACAACGTTCCGCTCATACCAATTACGTTCAAACACCTGCCTATTACCTTCCTTCTCTCGATATATGGGCAACTCCCAGTCCTCGGGCATGATACTCCGCCCATACTCGTTATCCTCCAAGTCGTCGTCTATAGCTTGATTCTTCTGCAAGATCTTGCTCCAGAACGGCAGGTGCTTCTCGAGGCCAAGAGCACCCAACAACGCAGCAAGCTTCTCTTCCGCACTTTCCCGCTCTTCGGCGAGGGTAGCAAGTGTCTGGAAGTACTCCTTCGTTGTCGCAGCGTCCCCTATTTCCACAATCCTGAGAAGCAGCTTGGTCCAGTGCGTGATCAGCACCGGGTCAAGCGTGCCCTCGAGCATTCTGAACTCGATGGTGCCCTTTATACGTGGGTCATTGCTCGGCTTCGAAAAGTCCCAACCGAGGGTGCCGAAGGCGGTGCCGCCCTTGCACCCACGAAACGGGGCAAGCTGACTTAGAAGAACAGATAGACTGTCTGTAGCCCAGAGCTTGGCCAGCTGACCCCGCAGCTTCCGGGGCAAGTCGTTCATGGGAACGTTGGCCTCCAAGTCCAACAGCACCTTGGCCATGACTACCTGGAGGGGGTTGTGCTGTGACTTGTTATCTGCGTCCTCGAAATCAAACGCTGCGGTGTAGTCGGGTAAACCGTCCGCCTTTGCGACAACTGCATCGAGGTGGAGAGGCAGCGTCATGGGATTCCATTGTCTGGAAGGGTGGACGAGAGTATATAGAATCGGGTCAGCAATCATAAACAACGTGGCGATACGTTTCAAGCTACGGAGAGAAAACTTGCGAACACTACCCACGTGGACGTGTAGACCACAGCTGATGTCCAGCATCGGTCTCAGCCCGCCGCGGAGGATCCTCAATACGTCGACGATCTTGCCGAAATCTTCGGGCGAGTCACGCAACACGGGACTGGACATCTCCATCCCAGTGTGCCCGGCATACCCCTTTTCACCGGAAGCCCAGTCAGAAAGGCTAGGATCTCTCTCAATGTACCAGCACTGGAATTCCGCGATGACATCTTCCAAGAAGTGAAGATGACAGTCCGCGGCGTCTGCGATGGATTGTATCCCTGGTATGGAGACTTTGCCCTCATGGTCGTCTCGGAGGTCAAAGACGGTGTCCCATGCGGCGCTGAAGTAGCCCTCATCGCAGAGCATTGTCTCTAGTTGTTTCGCTGATTCATCGTGGGCCTGTCCGCGCTCGTCTTTGGGATTGGTACCGAGGTGTTTGTCGATCAGGTCGGCCAGCTTGTCGAGCTCGTTCTGTGGTGGAGGGTTGGTTGGGCTTGGGAGGACATATGAGGTTAAGTGGTTGTAGACCCAGCGCTGATCGTCGATGTCTTTGCCGGTGTGTTTGGTGTTGGTGAAAGGGACGAGGAACTCGAGCTCGATCCCAAAGGTGTAAGGTGGCAAGTCTTCCTCGTCTTCGAGGTTGATGGTGGGTTTGCGAAGGCGGTGGGCGTCGAGTTCCGGAACGAAAGGGTTCCGGCCGAGAGGCTCGTAGTATGCTGCTTGTACATGGAGGTTAATATCTTCGAGAAATTGAGTTGTTGTGTACGAACCAGGTGATCCTAAGGAAGAGATGGGTTGCTTCAACTGTGCAAGAACACGGTCTACTCGATCCTCAGTTTCGTTCAGACAAAAGTTGACGATGCCGTGACATACCTTGATCCAGTTCTCGATTGCATAAGAGTCTAAGGTGCCGGCGTGTTGGGAAAATCCTATGACTCTCTTCTTGGGGTCTTTGTCGAGGAGCCCGGAAAAGTCGTAGGCGCTGGAGAAAATTCCTGGTCTACCTTCCCAGTCCCTGACGTGGATCTTGGTACCATTCATGATCTCCTTCAAGCTTTTGGTGGTCGTAATCTGGAGGACTGCTTCGTTCTCAATGTCTGACCCGCGGATGGAGGGTGGTTCGAGCATGTTGACCTTGTTAGCAGTTGGTAGACCACGAGTGAAGAACGCCTCGGTGGGCTCACCGCGCCATTCGGCATCAGAAAGGAAAACGTGCGAATCGGTGCTGAAAATACGTGCAAACTCGAGGCCCGGAGCAAACAGTGAGGCCGGTCCACAGTATTCTGCATGCAGGTCGTTTAGACGCGGTGAGGCGTACCAGAGAAAGGTGAGAATTCGACGGACCTCTGAGAGGGTGAAATCTCCCTCCTCGGGCTTGACTTCCACTCGAAGGCGGGGGATTTCGTTGAAGGAGATAGTGAGTTTCTTCGAGTCTTTGAGAATGAAGCAAATTGATATGATTAGAGCCGATGCCAGCGGGATCATGGGCATGAGCGGAGAACGGATGCTGGCGAGGTGCCATCGCGGAGACCCTTGTATATTGAGCTCTTGCTCGTCCAATGAAACATTCCAAGCATCTGAGTTTGCAACTAGTTGGTTTCCAGCACCATCTGTGGTTCCGACTGCTGTAGGTAGATCTACCTGTCGGATACTGCTTGCGATAATTTGGACCAGATCCTGGCGTTCTTCTTCGGCTGCACCGTCTTTGATTCTCCGGTCCTCGTCATTGTCGCTTGCAGACCGACGTGCTGCTGGTGGATCAGGGCATTGAATGAGGAATTGTAGCACAAATCGGACTTTCAACTGTCGGCCACCACTGGATTGTTGGAATCTGTCCATCTTCCTCAGCTTCTTGATCTGCTTCTTGTAAGTCTGCGTTTCGGGAAACGTCTTGAGGCTTGATTGTTATGTTGTATGTTTGTTGCTAAGGATTCGTTAGAGATATATTTCGTGTAAAGTATCGATATCAATGAGAACTTCTTTGGAATATGTATCGGAAGCAATGATGTGGTCTCTGGCATTCCCAATTCTCCGTGCCTTGGGCCTCAGCAACGTAACAACTGAGCTGTGTCGCATTGTGATGATTGCACAAAGACATTATTTCATTGGACGAGGCACAATTGCTTTGTTACGGTACTGATAAAGACATACTGAAAGTCCTTCTTTTCGAGAACAGCTGCCCTGTGATATAATCCCTTGTCTTTGTGTTGAGTGACCGGTGAACTTCGGTGGCTCGGTGTAGCTTGCTCGGACATCTCGGTGAGCTCGGTGAACCCGGTGAGCCAATTGGTACCTGTGTGGGGCTCGATGCGCTAAACCCTTTTGGAGCTGAACCTGGGTCGGGAAACGCCGACGTGATTTTTCTGACGCGCCCTGCTGCTCTTCAATGCATTTCCAACGCGATCCACATCTCACAATCGGTGCAGCGCTCCCCTTCCAGCCTCAACACGACGGATAGTTCCATCGGCGCGCAACGAGGCATCCGGCGATACAGCTCCACACGCACCCAACGTCAGTCGCTAGAGATAAACGAAACGTCAATTCACGTTTGCGCGTGCCAAACGACTGCCCCAATCCGCGCAGTCCCGTCTCGTCTCTCCCTCGAAGTGTCCCCAGCCACTTCTCCGCCCATCGTCTTGCGACAACCTGCCATGACCCATTGGGTCTCATAGTCTCCCACCATGGACGCCCGACCGAAGCCCCAGGCCTTCCTGTCTACCTATGCGCCACGAATCCGAGCCTACAACAATTCCCTCCTGACCCCAAACGTCGCCAGCGCTCCGGCCACGACCAACTCGCGAGTGACAAAGCGTGGCACAACCATCATCAACTATGCAGAGGACGGCTACGATGAAATCGATGATGACGACGACAATGGCCGTCGTCGCCCGACTGGTCTGCGCAGTCTCAGAAGAGTAGACGATTCGGCGATCAGCCAGGATCTTCTGGACAAGGCTGGAAAGGACACGGACGAGCCTGTCGAGGTACAGGGCATCTGGAGAGACTGGTTTGGCAAGGGACGTCAAGTACGGAATGACCAGCAAAACTCGGCGCAAGCAGACCTCCCTTTGACTTTGATTCCCATCCGAATCGAACTCGATATTCCGTCTTTTTTGCCCCAGGTCGCCTTCCCATCGGCGCCTCACACTGTCGACACATCACTCCCGCAATACCGAGCACAAGAAATGACGCCGCCCTACCGGCTTCGCGATACCTTCCTCTGGAACCTCCACGAGACGGTCATCACGACCGAGCAATTTGCGCAAACATACGTTCAAGACCTCGACTTGCCGAACCGTCACAACCTGATGCTTGATATCGCCAGGCAGATCCGGACGCAGCTTGAAGAGTATGCCGGTGTTGCCCTGCACCCCTTGTTCCACGCGCAGTCGCAGAACTCTGGAATCAACGACGCGACTAAGCCGAGCTCGATGATCAACCAGGACGAGACGCCCACCCCCGCCGCAGCAATCAGCCGCTCCGACACTCCAATGCAGAACGGCGGCATCGGGACACCATCTCGGTTCAAGGACGCGACATCAGCACCAGACGTTACCGCCCACGCAAGCCCTATTCCCGTTGACTCCGACGAGTATGACCACGACGACGCCTACCGATGCATTGTCACCCTCAGCATCAACCTCCAGTCAGCATTGTACACTGACAAGTTTGAGTGGTCTCTGCTGCATCCTCCGGGTATGCCAGAGGCCTTTGCCAGTCAAACATGCCAAGACCTTGGATTGACAGGCGAATGGGTCCCCGCCGTCACACACTCCATTTACGAAGCAGTACTGCGCCTCAAGAAAGAGGCCTGTGAAGCGGGTGGATTGGTGATGGGCTGGAACGGAGTGCGCGAGTTCCCCAACGATGCCACGGCTGGAGCCGACGCCGGGTGGCGTTACGATCCGGAAAATCTGGCCGATCCCTGGGAGCCCAAGGTTGAGATCCTCAGCAAGGAAGAGATGGAGAAGCGAGAGGGCGACAGAGAGCGGCAAATTCGCAGACTCCGCCGCGAGACAGCTCGCTTCAGCTCGACGACTGGCTTGGTGGGCGGTGTGCCATTCTCTGGATTTGGCAATGTGGTGGAGGCTCCGGAAGAGGAGCGTATGGGCAGAGGCGAGCGGTCCAAGAAGAAGCGTCGCTTCCGCAGTTTGAGCCCGATAGGCCGATCTGGAACCCCTGGCGGACGCGGAACGCCAGACGTGGGATCCGGATACGGTGCAGGAAGCGGCTTGACGGACACGGAGCGTTTATCGTGGAGATGCTGCCACTGCTGCCTCTGGGGCTCAAGTGTGTGGGCGGTGAGACCTGGACCTGCAGGACCACGGGTGAGTTCCCAATCTGGCAATGAAGAAGACATGTGGGCTAACAGAAAATCAGTCACTCTGCCAAAACTGTGGATTGCTGTACGAGCGGGATGGCAAGCTGCCTCGCCAAACCAAGAATATGCATCTTACGGTCATCCGAACGGCATAAGAGAACAAGATGGAGCTGTTCATTTGTCATTTTATGGGCGACGACGTCGGTACCATCTAGAAAGCAGGGCGAAAACGAGAGAGAGAAAGAGACATAATCTGGTGTGAACGACGCATCGGATGACCCAGGAGGAGAACTGTGCGCTGTGGACCAGTGCTTTGTGTACATGATGCGCAGGCAGCGGTTCTTGCAGGCAGTCAGGCAGGCAGGCGTTTTACTGGGGATAATCTGGCCCTGGCCTAATGAGCAGGGCAGTCAAAGGAGTCCGGCTGTGAGCAGGGTTGCGCGATATTCCAGTTGTTTTCGGGCTAATTACGGTTGAGGTGTCCCTTTATCGTAGGGGGAAGTATTGTAGGCTATGTGTAGAGATCCAATATACACACAGACAAGCATCCTCCAGGCCAGCATTCAGGTGATGTATGGCTAAAGACGACAATGCCCAATGAGATATCGTGAGGAGGGAAGGCCTAGGTAGGTAACAGAATGATCTACTACTCAACATCCACAGCTTTTACTTCTATTGCTACCACTGCCTCTATCTCTACCACTAACTTTACCTTTACCACTAGTACTACTCCTGTTGCCTGTTTCCCTACGTGTGTTCCTTAAGAACATACTTGAAAAGATAGCGAGAATGATAGTAGTAATATAATGAGAAGGGAGGTTATCAACGTGTTGATCGGCGGGTTTGTTCAATAAGTACGTACGTACTGTATACGTCTTACTGTGTGAAGGGCATCTCACACAGTCCCCTCACTCACTCAACCACCTCGATCTTCTCATCTCTCAAAACACACCCCTCAATCTCCAGCTCTTCATCTCAGAATAACACGTGAAGCTCACTCACCTTCCCGACAACCGCCCATCGTTCCGAACTCATTTCCGAAATCTCTAAAACAGTACATTACGGCGAATACCCACGGCCAGCGCCAGGCCGACCCTCTGCTGCCACATGTTCCCCTGCCCCAACGGCCAGCGAGTGCGACGTCGTGGCAAAGGAAGGCCAGAGATGCCGAATCGGGACGTGAAAAACCACGGAGCTCCTTGACCGTCAGCCTCCGCAATTCTCCCACTGAAAAACTTGACGCTTTCCCCTTGTTGGCATGTCATGTCACCGGGTAAACCTTTCGATGGGGTAGGTAGGTAGAGTTAGGCTCTTCGTCACCTCCCGTCGATTCCTTACCGTATGTCTTCTGCTCTCAACTTGGGTACTACGTGGAGAAATCGACTGGCTAAACATAAACAGCCTTGTCCCTGGTTTGCCGACTTGGAGACGAGTCGCTGGGGATTCTCTGGGCGGTACCTGACTTCCAGGCTTGCGCGTGAGGCGGCTCGCCCTGCCCGTCACTTTCAATCTGCGCGTATCACAGATCTAGGACGAGCGTGTAGTGGTGGTGGTAGTGGGGGACGTCGCTGCTCGCTTCTGCGCCTATGCCGAAGGGGAGGAATCTGCGTATGGTCAAGTGACTCTGGCATCTCCACCATCGGATGCCGCAGGCAACTTGGGAAGAGGACTTTTTCACGAGGACGGCCGGCCTGCCGACGGGAGCTGACTTGAGGTTCTGCTTTATCGACCCATTGAGCTACGATCCGCGACCCTGAGCTACGCCCGAAGGCGCTCGATACCAAGTTTCGCCCGGTTTCCATCGCTGAAAGAGGGAACGAGATTCAGCTTCGCGCATCGTCGTTCTGGGCACCGCCCGACATTCGCGGTGGTTCCAGGTTCCGTTGGATATGTTTGGACACGATTTGACTCGTTGGCGATAAGCGGACCTGCCTTTCTCTCACCCTCATCAGATGAGACGCGTTGCGTTCATCGGATGTTGACGACGTTCATCCCGTCATCGTTCACCCCAAGGGAGGCGAACTACGATATTGCCAGCCACACCACCCATCACTTCCGCGAGTGAAAGGTCTCTGTCGCATCCCGCTCATTTCCGGCTTCATTTCGATGATGTCCCATATTGCGGCGGCCCGGCTGATGCCGACGATGACGGGTGCGAAGGGGT